GAGTCGCCCTCGACATCAGGTCTTCACAATCACTCACATTTACACTTACCTCACATTTCACTCAAACAAATTGATCCACGCACACTTATAAACCAAAAAACCCTTATAAAACCAAATAATACACAATTAAACGAAAAAAATTACTCACTCACACCTCACCATAATATAAAACACAATAGTACACCGTCATTACACATTAGGGAAACGCCACAAGCCTCTCACACACTAACACCAATATTAAAACAACGCACATATCCAAATGTAAAAAACATTCAAATTCTTTCAAAATCAAACAATAGCCCTAACTCTCAGGCTTTTGCCGAAAATTCATCCAAATTAACACACTCGCTTTCACAGAACACTTCATTTTCACACAACACCGCTAAACATAATATTTACAAGCCAACTGAGACATCAGAACAAGAGCAAACATTGCTCTTACTAAAGTAAGATATTGTTTTTATTATACACGGTGGCCTAATTTAACCCATTCGAATTCACAGAACCGTTTTTCAAAGTCTCAGTTTGTAATAAATTTGAACAAAAAACATTCGGGAATCACTTTCTTATTTTCGAAAATTTTCTTTTTCTAATGAGGTTTGTTCAAAGTCTCCCTAAAAAAGGTTTGCCTTCGAAAAATTAAAAATAAAACCTAATTTGCGATTACATTTTTTAATTGAATTTTCGTACCTTTGACATTAATTGTCACGTCTAGAATATGTAGATTGCGGCTTTGATTTTTAAAATGAAGGTTTGTAAGGTTGTCCGGGTATAAAATATGTTTTCACTAGACAACACCGAAATGAATTTTTTTCCATGAACTTTATAATCATTCATTACAAATTACATAATTTTTTGTCAATAGGGAAATTCACGAGAAAATTATGGATCATCAAGAGTAAGATACAATTCACTTAAAAATATTTAAACACTTAGATTTAAATGTTTGGTTATATAGATGCTGTATTGTTTATTTTAGAAAATTAGAGAATGATTTAAATCAAATCAAGGAAAATCAAAGGTATACATTTATTAGCTATATAGCATATTATATAATATATAAATATTGTTCACTTTCATTATTTAAATTATAACTAATTTATTACAGAAAACACCATGAACAATTACTACAAATAGAGAATCGCTTTAAACGCTCCAAAACAAGGCCTCAACGTCCAGCCTGCCTCCCTTTTAAGACTGTTACTGACATGCGAAATTTTGAAGATGCCAGCGACAGCGTCTACGACGAAATCGTATGTGCAAATATGAACCAGTTGTCTGTTTACACAATTAATATTATCATTCTTACTTCTACTAATTTACAGGTTGCTTATTTCCGTTATTTGGGAGGATTTAATATCCAGGATTGTATCTCAAAATATTTATTGGAGGCCATTGATATAAACGAAAATATAGTTAATGGCATAATTTACAAAGGAAAGGGGCCTAATCAGCTAACGTTGAAGGGAACAATGTTCGTTAACGCCTGTCAAGGTAAATATAAATTATTATTTTACGTATATATACATGTTTTCAATACGTAATTAGCATGAAGTTATAGAATCTTATTTGCACAATATTTTTACAGATGCTTTAAATGAGAACGCCCATTTTATTATGCCCACTGAAGCAATCGTTGACTTGACGTTTACTAAGACCTTGAAGAGTCTAAAAGAACGATTACGACGGAAGCTGAATGTTCAAGGTAGACAGCAGAGGCAGGAAGGCGAGGATCAAGAGATGGAGCCTAATTTAGAAGGTACATAATTTTAAGTATTACCCTAAAAAAATTGATGGATCCCGTCTTACATACATGTTATAGTGTACTATAACACGTAGTATACACTAGTATAATTAAATAAAATAACAATTATTTATAAGAGAAATAATAAATATATTTATTTAACGTAAACAACATATAAACTAAATCAACTAACAACATACAACAACATATCAACTAAACTAAAACAAGTCGCCTAGCAATACTTTTAACGGTTTTGGAAAGAAATATATAACAATATTTTTAAAAATATAAATAAAAAGACTTTTTTCTCCATAGACCAAGCGATTAAAGAGGACCAATATCAAGAGGAGGACTCATCGGAATTATCAGGTAACAAAGTAAACTGCGACACGGAGGAAATACACGGACTGGAGAACGAGATGCCGATTTTTCACGATTCCGCAACTACGTTCTTTGGTACTACATATTAAATATATATTTTATTTTATCTTCAATAATTTCTTTTATTAAAAGTTTTCTGAATTTTATGTGTTCATTTGCAGGGTCAAGTGTTGAGTGATCGGTCAGTTTTATACAAATATATCAATCCAAATCTGGTTGCTGTCGTGATTCAAGGAATAGGTGATGCTTGTAAAAGTTAATTTATTACATCTATAATAAAAAATAATAAATAAAATTTTCAAAATGTGTATTTTTATTTAAAAACCAATAATAATAATAATAATATACAGCATAAATTTTTTCAAAATGCCGTCACAATGCGTGCATTCAGCAAGCATTTCGTGCAGCAGAACGGGAAGGCATAATGTCGGCACTATTCGTGCATGCCGCGAAAAATTATATTATTCATCAACGCTGGCACAATGCTGGTATTATAGACGCACGCCGTGACTTCCACGGTGTGCTCGCATAATGCTGTCCCGATGCGGATGTACTTGGCCGTCATTGTGCTGGCATGAAAGTCACGCCGTGCTTGCATTCTGACGGCAACGTGCCACCACAATGTTATCTGGGTACTGGGTCTGTATCGTCGACATGTTACCGATTGGCGATGGCTGCGAATATCTATATTACCTTGTCTAGAGGGCGTCCTAATGCAGCATTAATTGAACTGTCTAATATAGATTTAATCTTATTTTTAATCAAAACAGCTTACAGTTAGCCTTGTAACAAACTATTTAATTTTATTTTCCTTGGGTATTTTTTAAGATTTTTATATATCATTAAATGATTATGTTATAATTATTAAAACAAATAACACAAATTTTTGTTTTAGCACTTAAGTATAGATATTCAAATGATGATCTTCAAATTAAATTTGTTTAAAATTAATTTTTACAGAAAGTGAAAAGATGTTAAAGTAAAAGATATATAGAAAAAGTTGAAATTACGAATATTAATCAACAAAATTAACAGTGCAAGTTTATAATATTAAAAATTTAAAACCATACAGCATGCTACATACTTGAAATATTTCCAACTGTTGAAAAAGTATCTTCAATTTTGGGTTTGGCAAGAATATGCTCAGTGATTTCATTGAATTTTTCTGTAATAATATTTTCAGGAATACTATCTGCAAGAGAGATAATTTTGTAACAAATATATAAATTTTATTGTATAACCAGAAAATATTTTTAAATTATTGAAACTTATCTATTATTGAAAATATATCTTACATGTTCCAACTTACCATGAATATTATGTTATTCATCCCAATCTAAATTGAGTTCAAGCTCTGGTTTAAAATAGTATTCTTGTTTGATTGAATAAAAGATATTTTCTAAAATATGAAACAAATATAATTTAATGATAGATTAAATCAGAATTAGATTATTAAAAATAAATTTTATTCTCGTAATCTTTCTAAAAAAATTTAACAAAATTTTGAGTTGAGAACTCAATTAACAACCTCAAATTAAGTTACAGATGTATAAATGCATTTTATTAATTGACATATTCCATTAAATAATTCAATACCCTATATAAATAACAAATGTAAATACCATCCTTATTGGCAATGTCATCTTCATCTAAATGTTCTTTTTTGACCATTTCAGGTTGAAAAGTAAATTTTTCTGACATTTCTTCTAGAAGCTGTTTACTCCTGGAACTTGTTTTTTTCAGTTGTCAACATTACGAATAACACATAGTTAAGACTTTTTATGATTCAAGTGCTGTGACATTTTTGTCCTTGCAATTTGCAATATATAGTACATGACAATAATCAAAAGACTTGTTATATAGAAATACCCTCTCGATTGTTAACTATGCTTATTATTTCGAAGTATGCTATTGTCTCGTCCCGACTTGTATATTGTACCTATATATAAAACCATGGATAGTCGAGAAAAAACAAAAAGGCGTTAAACCATAATACAATCTTTTGAAAATACGAGGATTTAAATATTTTGAACATTCCAAAATATAACTTTTGATAAACATCAAATTTCAAATATTTGAGAATTTCTAATGTTATCGTCGCTTTTCATCAAAATTAAAAAAATCAAAGTATTAGTTTCTTAGAGAATTCTAGCAGGAAGAAAAGGTTGATGAAATTTCCAAAAAAGACAAACTAATCAAAAGTAATATAATACTTGTAATAATTAGTGGAATATCATTTTATTACTTGACTAAGTTATTTCGATCTTCAATAATGTGAATAATTTAGAAAAAATGTTTTAGCACTGATCGGTTTAACTATGACGAGTTATTGAATATTGAAATAATATATGTCTGCAATTTTAAAATATTTTTAAAATTATTTTAAATAAAAGGTCAAACTCGTAAATTTGTAATGAATCACAATTTATAGGGAATAATAAATGATGCAATTTACCTGACTTCAAAATATTTCCAAATTCAATTTATGAAAAATTTATAATTACAATCAATTCTTTACTTTACAAAGAAATCAATGACACATTTCATAATTATCATTTCTTTAGTCCTAACTTGGGTTAGATACATCGTTAAATCAATCGTGCGATATCTCTTCAAACTTTCAATCATTGTTTCTTGATGTATCATTTCAAACATTTCAATCGTCTAGTTATTCTATTTGCTTTGTACGAATCCTAACGAGAACAAAAACGCAAATAATGCTATCCGTAATTACGATCATTACATTTCGCCTCAGAATATGCACATGTCGTGACTGATCCTTGGTAATTTAATATTTCTTATTTCAGTGTATTATGAGTACATCATCAGATTCAGTATGACTTCATTTACCTACAAGCAAACAATTTTAGTTTCTTTTAGACACCGCAACATTGATCTGCTGCTTTGTGTGCGTTTTTCGGATGATGATTGTCTGAAGTCTGTTAATTAATTATATCGAAAAGATATTTTATCTGTCAAAAGAATAAAATATGCAGTGGTTGGCGAGTTTTGAAAGTTCTTTTCATCTCTACGATTCTAGTAAGTTGTGTTCACAAAATAAAGGTACTTTTCATTTATTTTAATTTTTTTAGCAATTTCACGTAAAAAGGTTATTTTATTAGTCCATTTACTAAATTCATATACAATTATTTTCAACTTTTTTCTTAATTTTTCAGCAGTTTTTCTTATTGTTACAATCATTGGATTAGCTGGATTTTGGTGGTCTTTAAATATTGCAGATTTCTGCAAAAACACAGCGAAAACAATTAAATTAGCTGCCACATTGCCTGGTCCACCTGTTTTTCCGTTGATTGGCAATGCATTAAAGTTGGCATGTTATCCAGAAAGTAATGTTCATCATGCGAAATAACCAACATTGTTTTTGATTTATACTTACAACAAATAATTTTAAAAGATTATTATTTTTTTTTTAATTGACATTTTGTAAATTTTATACAGTTCTCAAATAGTACGAACGTGCTATTATTATATATAATCATTAAAAATAGTTGAAATTTTACTTCTTTACATGACAATTTTATTTATGAATGTTATTTCTTTCATGACATGATACGACTGGTAATAATGACGCGACAGAATTTTTCAATTTTTAGAAATATTAGATAGATTTCTTGAGCTGGCGCGTAACTATCAGACACCAATGCGATTTTGGTTGGGACCACAAATACTAATAGTTTTATCTGAGCCACGTGATTACGAGGTATATGGAAAGTCATATAAATCAAGTAAGTCATGCGTGTTGCAAATATGTAATGCTAAATGTTACCAGGTAATATTAGGCTGTCGAGAGGGAAGTTACAAACATGAAATATATCATGTTGCCAAGCCTCTGTTTGGCCAAGGTTTACTTACAGGATCAGGTATAGTCTTTCAAATTAAATTGCATAGATTACTATGTTATAAATAATCAAGTATTTAAAATCGTTATGTAGGTCCAAGACACAGAAATCATCGAAAAGTGATATTACCTATGCTAAATAACAAAGCTCTAACTGAATACTTTGCATATTTTAATAAACATAGCTTGTTCTGCTCAAAATTGCTTGATAAAAAAGTAAATACTGGACCGTTCAATATTCATGAATTTATGACGAATTGCTCTTATGATATCGTTTTTGGTAATTACGAATGACTTTTTCAAACTATTACTGCTTTTTAAATATTTGAATGATTTGTTGCATTCTTGAAAAAAGTGTTCTTGAATTACGATTCAATATTACAATTAATCTGAAAACATTCCTTAATAAAGAAAACTTTTTAATTTAAAAATACTTTTTTAAGAAACGCAATAAATATAAGAAATCTTTTCATTGCACTGCGTCGTAGCGTAAAGAATAATCCCAGAAAAATTTTATGATAGTTTCTCAAACCATTATTCTTTTATTGGTGTAATATATTAAAAATATTAATTCAATTAAAAACAAACTTAACAAAACAACGGATAATTCCGTTAGGAAGGCCGTTCATAATATGAAAAAGGGTTATTACAACGTATGTAATGTTTGACTTAAATTTTTATAGAAACTATCCTAGGATTATCGGCAAATGCACAAAAAGAGAAGCCAAGAGAAATTATTCATTGGATTAAAACGTATGAGCTTTTAATTAGATTTTTTATTTTTAAAAAAGATTTTAGTTACAATAAATAGGTAAATAGCTATTGTGGTATTAATATGTGATTTTTCTATTAAATTTATTTTAGTATGCATGAGCTTATGTATACGAGAGCTTTTAAAGTGTGGTTACATCCAGATTGGTTGTACTATCGAGTCAGCGCTGGAAAAAAGCAAAGACAATCTGAAATATTTATTCGAAATTTTATAGAAGATGTAAGTAAAAATAACTTCGTTGGATAAACTGTATAGAAGCCACCGAAACGATAGTAATACAAAATTATTATGTTCGAAAATTATTTATTTTCCAAATCATTCCTTTTATACAGGCAGTAGCTCGGACAAAAGAGCGGTATTATGCTGAGAAAAAGAAAGGCATCTCAGAGAGTACAAAGTTTGTATTTCTTGAACAGTTAGTCGATTATGTAATTACGAATAATTTTATGACTAACAGTGAAATGTGCGAAGAACTTTTTACAGTTTTCTTAGCCGTAAGTTTTGACATTTTAATATTTATTAATCCATTAAGTACGTTCTTTTGTATGTAAGGGTTCTTGAACAGCTTTACGCGTGGAAAAAGCGATGCATGAGCAGGCAGCGTTGGGTGAGAACATTCACGTACAAGCCTATTATTTTTGAACTACTTGATTTTATGGAAAATTTTTCAAGCAAATTTTTTATTCTTCAAAACCTGGTTAAAATTATAAAAGCGAAAAATATTCTGAACAGCTCTGCAAAAATTCATGTGTATTTTTCGTAATTCTAAATATCTTTCCAGTACAAATTTTTCGTGTAAAGTCAATACTTTTCGATTGTAAAAATCATGAATTTTTATATCACAATATGATAAAAAAGATCGCAATGTCATTGAAATGCCAGCAAAAAAATTATTTCAAGTGGACCGCGCATTCTGTCGATAATATACTTATTTAAATACAACATCACCGGAAAAACATGAAACTATCGGTCTTTGTTTAAACGAAAAAATAATGGGGTTATTTACGTTCTCGTATAAAGCTAATGAGATTCTGAAAGAGCGTAGTCGAAAACCCAACTCCCTATATAGTTTTTTGAAAGAAAATTACCATTTTTTTTCTATATTTAAGATTTTGCGCACAAAAGAAAAATAATTTTGCGCGTTAATAAATTAATGAAAAATAGTGTTATAATTTTTGTGAATGTATTCTAGGTAGAGGACACGACATCTTTGTGCACTTCGTTTGCATTTTTAATGTTGGCAATGCATCCAGACATTCAAGTAAATTGAAACTTAGTTCGTCTTTTGGCAGCGTAACGAATAGTCATTAATCAACTCTATTCATTATAGATTAAGGTGCGCGAAGAAATACAATCAGTCATAGGAGATAAATCGATGAAGATCGAACATCTTGCAAATCTAAAATATCTGGAAATGGTCATCAAGGAATGTTTGCGACTTTTCCCTATTGGACCAATCTTACTTCGACGCTTAGCAGGAGATGTTGAATTAGGTATTTCTTTACATAAATTTCTCTCGAAAGCTATATATTTAAATACATACGACTATTTCTTTTAGAAACGTGCACTTTACCAAAGGGATGTGCTGTATTGCTGGCACCATTCGTAACTCATCGTAGTAAAAAATTTTGGACTGATCCGGAAAAATTTATTCCCGAAAGATTTTCAACGGAAAATTCAGTTGCGAGACATCCATTTGCGTACCTTCCATTCAGCAGCGGTATACGCGGATGCATCGGTAAATATTTTACAATTGATGGATGATTTAAAACAGAAAATTACTTGCATATTTTTTTTTAATTTTCAGGTCAAAAATATGCGATGATGGTTTCGAAAACAATAATCGTTAACATCATTCGGAGCTTTCACCTGTTCACAGCCGTAACCCTTGAAACTCTTAGTTTGAAAATGGACGTATCCGTTCGTTCGAAAGACGGTTACTTTGTTTCATTGACGCGCGTATCGTAAATTAACGCCATGTAACATTTCTTTTCCTATGAACTATTTATACTATGAACATCACGAGTGTTACTTTACAACTTTTACAGTAAAAGAAATAGATTTCCAAATGTTTGAAATATGATTTTCTTCTGTAGTTTTATTTTCAGATGTGGGGATTTAGTGCGTACGAAGGGGGAAAGTGTAAGCAGATGCATACTTACTGAACATTATCAACTCGTGCAGTTACCTAGTGCTAATTGAGCGGCGGTTGTTCTAACACCCCTTGGCAAAAAGTTGACGCACTCGTATGGGCACGATCATTGTTTCGCACTTAAGGTGCCGACTGCAGGTGTCGGCAGACTGATACACGTAACTCATTCACACGAACATGCATACTTCGTACTTACACCTACGCGCATAAGCCCCGTTTGCAGAATTAAAAAACTAAAGATATATTAGAGAATATACAATAGATTTAGAACGCGATAGTCATGTGAAATTTATAAATCTTGTAAACAGAGAATAGATTAGATAAAACTTGATCTGTGGAATGCACCTACACAGATAAGACCTGCCTGTTCGTATCTAGTTTCGTGTCACTGTATAGTTCAGTTTAGTGGCTTCCCGGCCGCCTGGCTGTTGGTTGTTAGGAAGTGTTACGGAAAAAAGTCACCGTTGAGTGAGCGCTTTTTTTTTCAATTTATTTTTCAAATCAATTATTTATGAGAAATATCTAATTTTCGCTTAAATATTATGCATACATCATTAAAAAAAATATGAATTGGGCGTGCTGTGAGCGATTGAGACAAGATTATTATCAATCTACCTGTACGTACTTTTTTTATAATTTTATAATAGGAACGTAAATGGTACGTAACAGCTCCTATTTTATTTTTAGTGTACAAGCGTTACACGATTATTTTATATTTATTATTTTCTATTTTGATTGTTAGTATATATCGCCGATCTATCAATTGTAAAAATTATTCGGTGAATTGTGTACACAAAAAGCTGGAAAAGAGAAGTTAAATTAACATTATAATATGTTATATATTGTCATCGTTGATTAAAAAGATTTTTTAAACAATAAAAGAAAATAATTACTGTTTGAGACAATTTTTATTAAAATTGATATTAAATTTTGCAGCAGACATTTTTTTCACTACTCTGAAATACCTTGAAAACAAACATCTCGCACAATGACACAGTCGACGATTACATGTTATTTCAAAAAAGAAATTCATATAGATTGGGATGAAGCGGACAATTGTTATGGTAAATATTGAGTTAATTATTAACATTTTTTAAGTACATTTTACTCTAACTTATAATTTTGTAATCAATGTTATGTTAATACTGCAGGTGAGTTATTTGATAATTCTAATGAGAGATATAATCCAAGAGTCGTTCTAGAGAAACTCCCAGAATCTCTACTGCAAAAGCACGTTAATAAAAATAAAGTTGTTCCAGTAAATGCATCTTTAGAAATAGTTGAAAGTAACAAATATTTTATAAATTTATTCTACAATATACATAACATGTAATCATGACTTATTAATTAATTATTTCTTTTAGAATGTTCAAGGTGTAAAAAAACATATAAAAATAAAAATAGTTTCCTAACGCATAATTATTATTGCGGGAAGGAACGTGATTTACAATGCGATCATTGTTCCTACAAGACAAACCAGAAAACAAATTTAGTTATTCACATTTCAAAATCTCATTTAAAAGGAAATGAGAGAGCTCGTGAAACCAAACATGACTATGATTGTAAATTATTCTACAATTGTTGAATGAACAGAATTATACGCTTAACTCATGGTTAAACAATTTTTAATTTATTCTTCATTCATATTCCAGGTAAATTTTCAAGATTCTGTGAAAAATGTAAAATAATTTCTAAAGCACTTTGTCCAAGTAAATGCGAGAGATGTTGTAATAAATTACTCTACCAATGCAAAAAATGTATGAAACAATTTAAGACTCATTCATTAGCATATTATCATTGGTCTACTAGATGCGGCGTAAAAGGATATTTTTATTGTATTAAATGTGATTTTAAATCAGTCTGGAGGTCTAAAATAATACGCCACATGATTCAGACACATCAAAGTTCAAAATCAAGTGCAGAATCCGAACACATAAGATGGACTGCTCTAAATCACAGTGATAAAAAGCGGGAATCAAGCTTATACCAATGTCCAAAATGTACCAAAATCATGGAAAACTCTGAGGCATTATCGTGGCACATAATATTCTGCGGGGCAAAACATCGTAGTGAAAATGTTGACATAGAATTCGAGGACGTTAAAGATGTTCAATTTAAAGTTCAATCAGAACTTAACAAATGTTCAGAGTGTGGAAAAATATTTGATCATATTTATTCTTTGAATATACATACAAGATATTGCAAGAAAACAAAATATATAACTAGGATAAATAAAGACAGTGACGTTGAAGTTGTTGAAACTGACGAAGGTATTACAAATTATACAAACCTTAATTTACGATTTTTATTATTTAAGAATTTATTGCAATCATTCTCTTTTTTTCTTAAAACACTGATGGCCCGATAAGTGATGCCATTTTATTCGATGTCTGATTGGCTGAAGCTTCAATCAAGTCAATAATTAACGTGATATTGGAAGCATACGCTTATAAATAAGCCCAGTCCCATTGAAATCGATTGAACCGTTCAAGACCACACGAACATAGATAAAAAAAAGATCAAGGTCGAATTCAAAGCGTCTTCCATTTTGAAGTTGATTTGAAAATATCGGTATATGTATGAGTTATTGGGTTATTGATCATATAATTTAGTGACAAGATTTTTTCAAGATTTTCAAACGGCTTTTCGTGAAATGAATGTTGGTTCATAATTTCAATATGAAATTGAATTTTCGTGACCTGATTTAATATTATTTGTTCCCAAAAACGGGTATTATATTGAGATAAATTTTGCAGAGAAATTAACATTTATAACTAAGTAGGTATTACTATTCAATTTAGACAATTTATAATTTCAGATCGTCTTTTGAAATCATCAATATCAGCAGATGCACGATATGCAAGTAAGTATTACTTCTATATTAATTGATACTTTTCATTTTTAAAGATATCAAATGCAATGTGTTTTCAGGGATCAAAGAAATGGTTGTCAAGTATTGTGCCAAATGTCAAAAAGAGACAGCTATTGAAGAGGGTTGGGGAATTGGCCGCAAAGCATTATGTCACAAATGTAAATCTTTATTATTCTTTAAATGTAAAAAATGTCTTAAAAAATATGTTAGATATTCAAGTATCTTACTTCATTTGAACGCCATTTGCTATCCTCAAGAAGAATACCAATGCACCAAATGTAATTACACAGCCTCCATCTCTAATAAAGTAAAAGAACATTATGTCTCGGTACACGGAACTGATAATGCGAGTGAGTCTATCTACGTTGTTGATGACAAAAATATGTTGTGTCAATTCAAAATTTAAATATATCTTTTAATAATGGAGTTGTTGTACTCACGTGAATGCAAATTATCAAAATGATCTTATTTGCAGAGTGTAAAAAATGCGGAAGCAAATTTAAAAGTATTAATTATTTAAAAAGACATATGCGCCGATGTGGAGTACAACCAAAATTCCAGTGCGATGATTGTCCATTCAAGTCAAAACTGAAGCTTTATTTGAGAACACATATCTTCCGTAGTCACATGGAACCCATAGTTATTGATAGAGGCGAATCCATTAAAATGTCACGGCAGCGCTTTTCACGTAAGTCACGTATTCGATCGTTTGTATAATGTTTACACTCCTAACGGAAACTGCTATGATTTCGATAAATAGGATCGATGATTCATCTCAAGGCTCACTGCTCTAAGTGTGAAAAAGAGCAAAGTTTGAGTGACCGTCTCAAAAATTGCCGAACCTGTAAAAAAACACTATGTTACAAGTGCAAAACCTGTAATAATTATTATACCTGCGATGATGAGAATGCGTGCGATCATGTCAAAGGTTATCTGGAAACAATCAAGTACGAGTGTAAACGTTGTGGCCGAGGTGCGATTTCCGAAAAAAGCTTGTGGATGCATGAGTACAAGTGTGGCATCAAAGCGTCCTTTCGCTGTAGATTCTGCAAATACGCTTCCATTTTCAAAGGGAATACAGCAAAGCACGAGAAAGTCATGCATCCTCTTGAAATTCACGTTCTCGATTCTTAGAGATTCAGAGATTCAGCACTAAATATATTTATCATTATACATTTTTAATGACTTTTTCGTATGGATATTTTTAAATGTAGTAATTGAGATAATGAAAAATAAAAAGATAATATTGTCTTATGTTTGTAGTATATACTTTTGTAGTGCACGAGAGTTAGCATTATTCATTGATAATTAAATGGTACACCCATCGGCAATGGGTTCTACATGAACGTTTTGAATTTGACTGTTGAAGAGAAAGTAAAAACAGATTTCGAAATTATCGACAGAGATATCACTCTAGATTATTTGAATAATGAAAAAAGAGATAAATAAGTAATCGATAATTTTTTAATCTGTGTTACTTTGACTTCAGCAGCCAAATTAAAAGCGTTTGTGCAGATTCAATTGCTGGTGGGTGTACGTAGGTTTAGAATATAATTGTTTGCCTTATTATTAGGTGATAGCCCCTAAGATTATGTTAATATTGACACCCGAAGCGCATTGAGTTAACATTTACGCAATGTTTCTTTCTTTTCTCCGACGCTGTATATACGCAGATTTATCTTCCCTCCTTCAGACTTATAAACTTAGTTTGATATTTGGCTACTACGAGCCGCTCGACTCAGCACCAATACAATGACACACTCGGGACCGCTATACTTGGCAATTTACCTACTCATCTCTCGTAACCATGGAGACTATACGTAGCTTGATACTGCTATAATGTTCCATAAAACGTAAAATAGTGTAATGTCAAATAGAGCCACGGTTAGCACGTTACTTGTATAGCATCGTGGGATCGCATACGTAAATAAAGTATATGTCGTTAATTGTGTGTGATCAAAAGCAAAAATTTAAGAGTAGAAGTCTATTACAGTATTTCAATCTTTAGCCAGTTAAGAATCCCATTTTTCAACTCACGATCTATAAATATTTAGATTAGTTTGCAAACTACCACTAGTCGTTGGAGATTGTAGGTTACATGATTTGCCGGTAGATTGCTGCTTTCTCTTGGAGTACCACAAGCATATTATCGTCATTGAGTTGTGTACTTTTTTTAAGTGAATTTTATTCTAAAACATAGTCAACAACATTGCAAATAAATGTGATTTTCTTGAGAGCATTTTAGCAACGGTGAGTACAAGCTGTTGATTTTATTTTAACGTTTGAAGAGAGGTTAGCATTATAAAATTTTGACGCAGCAATTTCAAATTTTTTAAAAGTATACTACGTTATTTTTTTATTTCGAATGTTTTATTTGTGAATATTAGCATAGAATTTAGCAAACATGGGTTATTGTACTAGACATTTACAATTTAGTGTATAATTAAAATAAGCTTATGTATTATACCTCTCCAGAAAATTAAACATGTTCTAATTATAAGTAAATTATTTCAAAGCTATGTACAACTATATTGTTACAGTGAATTATAGATATTGTTTTAATCAAAACTCCAAGACGAACAATACCGATTATAAAGTTATTTTCAATTATGCAGCCAGTTATTATTTTGAAGTTATTTTAAAATATTTAATTAGCCATCTAAAATATTCTGCGCAATAAACATTTCGCATGATGATACAAACACCGATTACTCCTTATTTCAAAAAAGAAGTCGACATACCTTGGGACGAAGCGGATAACTGTTACGGGGAATGTTTAAGTATTGTTTATCAAACATTTACATCGTTACTGTTATTACTCAAACTATAAATTTATTCGGACTTATGTATGTATTTGAAATATATAATTATTTCAATTTTAGGCGAAATAAACGTTCCGAAAAAAATATACTCGGTGACTGTGGCTTTAGAAAAACTATCTGATTCAATTTTGCAAAAGTATAGTAAATCAAAAAATACTTCTTTAGCATCTGCGCAACAAGAATATACTGGTAGTAATAATAATTATATTATTTATTTACGATAGAAAAGTAGGTAAAGCGAGATATTGACGAAAAATCCGAGTTAATTATTAGTGATACCAAATTTAATTATCTCGATTTATCAAAAACAGAATTTAATGATTACTTTTGTTTTATAGTTCAAAAGATGTACAAAAAGTGTACTGTTTTACCTTGTTTAATTCGAATACAAACATTTGAAAATCTACAATAATTGTTATCTCGAGAAATTCAAAGTAATTTCGCTTCTTATTAGATTTTATAAATTTTTAAAAGGATTTTTGAAAAAAGTAATCCTAAGATGAAAATTTTGATTAAACGAAAATAATAACTTTGCTTTGCTTATTATTGCCTTAATTACATCAATAAAAAATATAGCAATGATTTATGATCTGATTATTTTTTTAGAATGTTCAAAATGCAAAAAAATTTTTAAAAATAAGTTGAGCTTACGAACACATACTTATTTTTGTGGCAAAGAGCGTAATCTACAGTGTGCTCATTGTCCTTATAAGACAGGACGAAAAAAAAGTTTGATTGTACATCTTTCCAGAATTCATCCAAGCGGAAAGAATATTCAACAATCTGAAATTGCTAACAACGGTAAGTAATATAATGTACTAATGATTTTCGGGCTGGAGAGTATAACGTCTCCCCATCACCGGTTCGCCTGTCAATTTAAGCAACTTTTCTGTATATAAAAATATGTTAATTGAATTTATTCAGTATGCTATGGAATAATAATGAAAGATATCAAAAAATAAAATAATATTGAACGCGTTCGTAAAAAAAAAGCAAATATTGTTATGTTCTTCTTTGATCTTTGTCATACTAAAGACGAATACTCACTCAACGTTGATCAACATATGTTTTTAAACGAAAGCTTAGGTTGCATTTAAAAATATTTTGAAATAGTACATTAGCCAATTAGTACGGGGAAGTAAATGCTTGTCTCGCGTGAGGTTTACGTTCAAGCGAAGTGAGGTTGGAAAGATGTATGAGATTTAAACCTCTTCCAAACATGATAGGTACGATATTTTTCAAAACAGTGCGTGGAAAACGCGAACACGAGCACACGTTTGTTGCTGAGCTTGCAGCAAAGTCAGTTTCCGCACAACTTGTTGAAAACGCTATACCGCTTAATTTATAAGTTATTTTTACTATGATACGGCCATATCTTTGAGCTCGCTTGCTGAAAACAATCTGCAATAATGAAAAATTGGACTGGATGGTTGCAATTATTTACATATTTTTATTTATACAATGATTTCCCGAAAGTTAGAGATGTAACATTTTCACTTTATTTACGGAATTTTATACCTGTAATACATTTTTTTCAGTAAAATTTTCAAGAATCTGTAAAAAGTGTAAACAAATCTCAGAAGCACTTTGTCCGAGTAAATGTGAAAAATGTTTCAATGAATTGCTCTATCAATGTAATACATGTGCCAAACAATTCGAAACTCATTCATCAGCATATTACCATTGGGATACGAGATGCGGCGTGAAAGGGTATTATAATTGCATTAAATGCGATTTCAAATCAGTTTGGAGGTCTAAAGTAGTGAAGCATATGAAGCAGTCGCATCAAGTTTCAGAATCAAGTCAAGAATTTGAAAAAATACAATGGGCCGGTCTGAGTCACAATATAAAAGAAAGTTTAGAATTCAGCCCATATCAATGCTCGCAGTGTACTAAAATAATGAAAAATTCCTATGCTCTATCACGACACATCCTACTATGCGGAGGACCAAAACGCGATAAAAATTCTGATATGGTGCTCGAGGACAGCAAAGATTTTATTCGTAACAGACAAGTGGAACCTATAAAGTGCTCGAAATGTGGTGAAAAATTCGATCACATTTATTCACTGAATAAACATGTACGATACTGTCAGAAAATACCAGGTGTCGTGAGAATAATTGGCGATAATAAGATTGAAATTGCTGAACTCAATAAAGGTAAAATGGCTTTATTAATCGTAAGCTTTTATCGTGATTGAATCTGTAACATGTTTATAATTACAGATCTTATGCAGATATCATCAATACCATTAGATAAACGACATGAGAGTAAATATTATTCCCACTTTAATTGACATACTCTTTAATAATTTCAAAAACATTAAATATAATATTTTTAGAAGCTAGAGAAATGGCTGTTAAGTATTGCTATAAGTGTGAAGAAGAGACGGCAATTGAAAAAATTCGGAAAATCGATCGTAAATCATTATGCCACAAATGTAATTCTACACTACTGTTCAAGTGTCAAAAATGCTTTAATGTGTATTCTAAATATAGGAGTGTAATACATCATTTGAATTCAATTTGCAATTCTCAAGAAGAATTCAAATGTTTACAATGCAATTACACAGCTCGTAATATATCTTACGTTAGAAACCATTCTCGATCAGTCCACGGAACTAGTAACATTGGTAAGCGTTATAACATTTTACTTCATTCAACGAATTTATTTTTCTGGTAACATACAAAAAATTATGAAACGTATTCTCTTACAGAATGCCAAAAATGTAAAAGAAAATTTAAAAGTACTGATTATTTGCGAAAACATATGCGTGTATGCGGATTGAAACCAAAATTCCAGTGCGATGATTGTCCATTCAAGTCAAAACTGAAGCTTTATTTGAGAAAACATATCTTCCGTAGTCATATGGAGCCCATAGTTATTGATAGGCGAGAATCTGTTATAATTTCAAAGCAACGCTTTTCGCGTAAGTTGTATATGTCTTCCATTAACTTTTTACGTTTAGATAACCTTATAACGCAACGATTAATGTTTTTATAAACAGGGGCCATGATTCATCTTAAGGCTCACTGTTCCCAATGCAACAAGGAGCAACGTTTGAGTGACCGTCTCAAAAATTGCCGAACCTGTAAAAAAACACTATGTTACAAGTGCAAAACCTGCAATAATAATTATACTGGTGATGATGAGAATGCGTGCAATCATGTCAAAGGTTATTTAGAAGCAATCAAGTATGAATGTAAACGCTGTGGTCGTGGTGCGATTTCTGAAAAAAGTTTATGGATGCATGAGCACAACATCTGTGGTGTTAAACCTACGTTCGGCTGTAGATTCTGCAAATATATTTCCAACCGAAAAGGGGATACAATACAGCACGAGAAAAAGAAACATTCTTATAAATTTTAGTTATATATATTTAAGCTTACTTTTATAATTTTTGACGAATATAACTATTTTATTAAAATTAAATTATCGAAACAATATATTTTCTATTATTGTATGAAATTGAGTTAGAGACTTTATCTAAATATAATAAGCAATAGACTAAAAACTGTTGGACCACGACAGTGAGATTCACTTTTAATCACGTAAATAGGATTTTAAAACAAAAAATGAATTATTTAGCTTTGTTACAATTAAAAATTTTGTCATTACAGTATTGATTATAATAATTATATTGATTTATACTACTTGAGATGTTTAATTTCGATTTTGTTTCATTGGAAACTAAAATTAATATTTGGTAAAGAGATATCAAAAAAATATATTTTTCAGGATAAATGGGTTTGCATCGATGAAAAATGCTTTTTTGAGAAATTAAAAACTGGATTATCAAATTATTGAACCAAAAAATTAAATAATTATGTTTTAGTAAAATTTTAGTTCGCTTTGACAAACCGAGACTTGTATATTATATTATACAATACTTATATTATACACTAATATAATTAAATATATTATATTATAGTTATGTATATTATACAATACTTGTATGTTTTTTATCTAAATAAATAAAAAACGATTATCATTACACCAATACCACTTACACTCACAGGATGTTAGTTTACAAAGATACCTAGGTTTAGAATTATCAGCACGCAACGTTATACTCAAGAACAGATTTCGTGATTTTTTTGCTAACAAAAATCTGCGTTAGTGAGCATATGTAACAGTACATAGTTTTTTCCAGAAAAACAAAATATTTCTGCGGAAAAGTCATTCCTAAAACTATAATATTTTCGTTAAAAAACTGGAAATATTCGGTTAAAAAATAATACATTAAGATGTGTAATGTTTAGATATATTCTTTTCGCTTCGATAAATTATTTTTTTAATAAATAATCGAGGGCAAATTAAAAAAAAACATTCTACCTATTATTTTAGTGAATATTGTTAAATTTAAGATATATTTATAAGGTTGTTATTGCACTTGGTTATTTATCGTAATTGAAAAAGTGATTTTGTATTACGTTATGTGTACGATGAATTCAATAACAACTGGCGTTTCTGCACGCACTCCGACATGTAAGATCGCAGTATCCTACACCTCTGTGAACATTCTTCGCTGAAATTTATGAAGAAAGATTTTTTCTACTATGAACGAATCAATGAAAAATGCGACGATATTGGCTATTTATAAAAATCCACTTCTGCTTGTCAATACAAGTAAGTTCTTTACTGATTCGATAATAATATCAAAAGATATTTACCGAAAATATTTACTTTTACGAATTTTAATCAGTTTGAGTAAACTATTTTCTTTGATTCATACATTTAGCGGCAAACGTAACATTTCATTTATATTGGAAGTTACGTTTGGTAAACAAAATAATGCTCGTAAACATTGTTTTTACGTAACTATTTGTTGCAAATACAAGCTTAACATTATGCCTACGACTTTGGATCGACATTAAATATTATTCATGACTCAATCAAAGCAGTCTGATCACAAAACTTTTCCAAATCCTATATTATTTTTAGCCATAATTCTTGTTGTGACGATGACAGTTTTAATTGGATTTTGGTGGTCACGAAATATCAAAGAATTTTATATTGATCGCGCAAGGACAATTCGGTTAGCTTCAAAATTGCCTGGACCACCTGCTCTTCCGTTAATTGGTAACGCGTTGACATTGGCTTGCAGTTCTGAAGGTAATGCATTTGTTATAATAACTATTATTGCAAAGTTTTCAAATTGACGTGGCTTCTTGTTTGAGTCAGACATAAGTAATCTGTTGACAATTTTGCATAATTCTATGAATTATTTAAGGAAATCAAAATAATTTTATTCAATGTTTCAATATCTTACTATGTTACATTGTTCCATTGGTATTTAATTCGATTTAATTTTTAATTATGTTTGCAAAATTAAAATATTGTAAAAATTTGATTAATACAATTGTAATTGTCCAAATAACTGAATTCAAATAACATCTAATTATGGATTCAACATTATAGCTCTATACGAATTAAATAATAATTCCAAATTTAGAAATATTAAACAGATTTGTTGAGTTGTCAAACAAATATGGGACACCAATGCGATTTTGGATGGGACCAAAGTTACTTATTGCTCTCTCTGAACCACGCGATTATGAGGTAAAATAAAGTTGTTCCTAAATCGTCAAGGTATTGTTAAGAAAATAATAATTACTTCATAATAAAAAAACAGATAATATTAAGTTGTCGAGAAGCAAGTCATAAGCACGAATTGTATCAACTTGTTGAACCTTTATTCGGCCAGGGTCTAGTTACTGGATCAGGTAAGAATTTGAAAATGAAATCATCATAAAGTTGATAGGATTTCTTTGAAAAAATTTGTAGGTCCAATGCAAAGAAGTCACCGAAAGGTAATAATGCCGATGCTCAATAATAAAGCCTTGAACGAATATTTTGAATATTTTATTACTCACTGCCGCACCTGCTCAGACTTGGTGGATAAAAAAGTGGGAACTGGACCATTCGATATTTATTCGTACATCAGTAATTGTTCTTTCGATATGATTTTCGGTAATAGCATGTTTTTAATTAAATTATCTCTCGTTATTTCAGGCAATTAGTATACAACTCATAGCCATCAGATATGTAGAAATAGCTTACGTAATGATTGCATAATATGAGATGTGGACAATTCATTTTTATTGTGAAAATCACGATGTTTATTTACACAAATTTTGCACAGTTCATAATTTTTTATATTTTCTAAAACGCGAGAGCATTTTTTTTTAATTTTTCTATAGCGTGTCTTTTGTGAGAGAAGAATCATTATGTTGATTATTTCATCGATGTGGAAATTATTATATTTCAAATTTGTATATATTTTCCTATAATTTTAATGCATGAAATTTTAGATACTATATTAGGAATACCAGCAGGTGCGCAGAAAGAAAAACCGACAAAACTTGTTCATTACGTTGAAGTGTACGTAAATTCTCTTTTGCACGATCAATTGTACTTTAAAAAGCTAAATTAATTAAGGAGAATATGGTGTATCGAATTATTTTCTAGTGTATATAATAATTTTCATGAAAGAGCGACGAAAGTATGGCTTCAGCCAGATTGGTTATACTATCGTCTAAAAGTAGGGAAGAAACAAAAACAATGCGAAGTGTTTCTCCGGCGCTTCATTGCCAACGTAAACGCTATTTTTATGAATAATTTTTAAATGCACTTCCTACAGCCATACTTTTTCAAATAACAGATAATAGCGAGGAAAAAAGAACAATACTTTGCTGAGCAAGATAATGATGTCCCTCCGAAGGAAAAGTTTATATTTCTCGAGCAACTAGTCGAATATGTGATTACAAATAATTTTATGAGCGACAGTGAAATAGCCGATGAAACTTTAACAATTTTCTTTGCCGTAAGCATGAAATATGTAGTATATGTTGAAATTCAGGAAATAACGTCAAAATATAATTTTAGGCACAAGATACCGTATCTCTGGCTACCTCTTTTGCTCTTTTGATGCTTGCGATGCATCCGGAAATTCAGGTAAATTATGTTCATAAAATTTTTTAAATATTATAGCGTTCATCTCATTATTGAACTTGAAACTATTTTAGGGGAAAATGCGTGATGAAATAAGACGAGTAATAGTAAGCAATCCAATGAAATTCGATCATCTTGCCGATCTTAACTACACGGAAATGGTGATAAAAGAAACTTTACGACTATTTCCTCTAGGACCAATCATTCTTCGTCGATTGACAGGAGATATCAGATTGGGTATATTTTTGTCGCATAGCGAGTAATTAAATAACTGGTAATATATTTAATTTGTTTGTTACAGATACGTGCATACTTCCGAAAGGATCTGCTCTAGCAATCGCGCCTTTTGTAACCCATCGAAGTACTAAGTTTTGGTCTGATCCAGAAAAATTTATACCCGAAAGATTTTCAGCGAAAAATTCGATCGATAGACACCCTTGCGCATATGTTCCTTTTAGTCGTGGTTTACGCGGATGTATTGGTAATTACGACTATTTTATCTGCATTTTAATAACGTTTGTTGACAAAGTAAAAATAGACTACTTTTTTATTGGTTTTTTTTTGGTCCTGCGTATTTTTCGAAATTAGAAGCGATGAAAAATGTATAAGAAAAACGCGAAACTCTTTCATTTTTTCAATTGTGAAACAATTCAATTATTTAAATAAAGGAAGGAAAATTTGTATATTCACTTATAACTTTTACTTTTTTGAAAAATAATTCTTTTTTCAGGTCAAAAGTATGCGATGATGGCTATGAAAACAATGCTTGTTCATATTGTTCAAAAATTTCAACTAACGACAACGTTGAAACTAGAGACCCTACGTATTAAAATGGATATATCTGTTCGCTCGAGTGACGGGTACGTCGTTTCGTTAACGCGAATTTAGTTTATGTGATGTTACAAAAAAAAGTTGCATGGAAAAAGTGCATACTGAAGAATGTGCTAAACAGCGATATTAAATCCAATGTTTCAATTATACTGCAACAATAGCCCGAACAAGTATTAATCACACTGATGAAAGTAGTTTTATTTTTAATATGCCATAAATTTAAGAAAAATATTTGTTCATAATTATTCGTTTATCTGTCTCTCTTAAAGTTCAATATTAATGTTAAATATCATTGCATAATCTTCATTAGGTTTTAATGGCTTTACATAAAGTTTGTAACAATTCATTATCAAATTTAAAATGCATTTAATATAATTCGATCTAACTCTTATTTAGTTTTAAGAATTTGTATCTATTGACTTTCTGTTCATTATTAAATCAAATTGTTTCAATACAAATTTATAAAACTGCTTGTAATTTCTTACTTCATAAATAACATAGGCCAACCATAAATCCTCAACAGATATGATGAAAATATGTATTTTTTTCTTTGTGAAATCATCTTTATATTTAAAATTCAGTATTTTTACTTTTTGCTGAAAAAAGTAATAAAAATTGTAAATATTATTTAGCTTTTATAATTAATAAATTTGAAATATGGAAAAAAAAGTATACAAACCTGATTTGCAGCAATTTTCATACAATTCTACATCAGAAGAAGATAGTTAAAAATATCTTGAATAATCGAGTTATTTTTCTAGTTGAATATTATGCATATTTCAAGTAATTATTAAAATTACATTAGAAGGTACAAAATTAATCTTTTAAATAGATGCAACATTTGAAAGTATATCCAGTTAATATCTAGAGTAATTAACAAAAGAGAGATATAGAATAAAAACTATTACGAACAATATATTCTTGACTATTCAAAATAACAGAGACCATTTCCTAGAATACACATTAATATTTCAATTATGGATCTATAACAATCATTAATATAATTATATTTTTTAAATTATTTTGAATTTCTTATGAAAATTCAAAAAGATAAATTTCCATTTTTTTTTATAATAAAAAGTGAAATAAAGTTTTATTTAACGTTAATAAGTGGCTGTATCATATTATTTAATCTTTACTCTTAAAGTTTTATCTTTGAATGAATTTTAATATATTTCTCAATAATATGAGTCATACAAATAAAAACACTTGAATAAATAATTACTATCACATAGTTATTAATCAGTAACTGAGTATTTATATTAAAGAAACAAAATCTTAATTTCTTACAAAAATGTATGCTTATTGAAATATCTATAACCTCTAAATAAAAATGAAGTTGCTAATCTGAGCGAATAAAAGGCCTAATAAAAGCGTCGTTTCTTATTAGGACTAATGTTTCCGTCATTATCAACTTTCGCAGGTTTCTTCTCAATGTCATTAGCTATAAGATAATTTATTCCTTTCTGATACTGTAGTTTTATTAAATAAGCATACAATGCATATTGCTCATTTAGATCTTCACTATCGATAATGTTCTCGAGAACATCATTCTGCACGTAATTGGCGAGTCGCTTCACATCGAAAAATAGGAAATCAAAAAGTGTAACACGTTTATTAAACTTTACGTTTCTGAGCTTGTTAATCTCGTCTTCAATTTGCTGATGAATTCGATTTGATTCTTTAATCAACTGTTGGTTCATTTGGATCAAACTCTCACAGCATATTTCATTCTTAGGATTGACTCTAAGTCCAAGAGCTTTCAGTTTCTGTATATGTTCGTATAACATCATGTAATTTTCGTCATCGACTTCAGATGTTAAGTAAAAGCTCATATCGAAAGGTGTCTTGCCTTCCTCGTTCTCGAGATCGATGTCTGCGCCGAATTCTAACAATAATTTTGCACACTGGGCTCCGTTGAAAAGTTTGGAGCAGGCAAGATGTAAAGCCGTGTTGCCATCACAATCTTTAGCATTCACGTCACATCCAAGTTTCACAAATGTTTCGATATACTCCAAAAACAAATCATTTTCTATGTGATTCACGCAGAATATTACGAGCAGGTGTAGCGTTGTTCTTTGCTCATAAAAACGTATTTCGTCAACTCTAGCGCCTGAATAGAGTAGTAGATCAATGATATCCTTATTGCCGGTTTCAATAGCCAAATGCAGAGGAGTACCGTCTAAACCAGAGTCGTGGCGATTGACGTTGCCGCCACGTTTGATAAGAAATTCTGTCATGCTTTTATGTCCGTACAGTACTGAGAAGTGTAATGGCGTGTAGTGCGCAAATTTGCGCAAGTTCCATAGAATCGGATCGTTTACATCTATGTCTTTAGTGAGAAATTTCTTTACTAATCTGAAATTTGTAAATAAAATTATTCATACAGCAAGATTGAATTGAAAAGAATCAACTAAAAATGTTTCTTACTTGTGATCGTTTCTGGTCACAGCTATATGAAAGTAGTTTAGTCCATTACAATCTGAATGTTCATTTTCTTTATTTGTTTCTTTATACAATAGATCAACTATAGTATCTCGCTGTCTGTGGTCTTCATTATACAGTGCAATATGTAGTGGAGTCATGTCAGACTTGTCTCGTAATTGTGTGTCAGCACCATATGCCAACAGCAGCTCTACATTTTTTTTGCAATTGCTTTCAACAGCAAAATGCAAAGGTGTGTAGAGAGGACAAAAAATTGCATCACGACTTACAGCAAGATTTATATCAGCACCATTTTTAATGAAAGTTTCCACTGCTGTTGGATCATTTCGCAAACAGGCTATATGAAAATAAGATAGTTGTCTATTTTCAATACTTTCAACATTCATATTTTCTACTGATAATATGTGAACCATAGCTGATAAATCTTTGAGTTTCTCATAAGCTAGTTGCAATGGATTGAGACCATTACTATCTTCGAAATTAATATTCTTACTAGCTTTTTTGAGAACTGTTACAGCTTCTAGTGACTCAAAATGCACAGCAAAATGTAGGGCTTTGTAACCTGGCCACAATGGTGAATTCATACTTATGGAATCATTCAAATCTGCCCCAGCCTCCAAGAATTTTTCAACAAGTTTTCCATTGTTATTTGAAGATGCAATGTGCATATGAGTCAAACCTTGACTATTTTTTATATTTTCATAATTTTCAGTACTTTCTATGTATTTCAACATAGCATCAATAGTTTTTACTTGTCTACTCATGAAAGCAATGTGCAGAGGGGAATTGCCTTCAGAGTTTACAGCTGTGATTGATGCTTTCTTTTCTAAAAGGTTATGTATTAATTCTAAATCACCCAGCTTGACAGCATTATGCAGTGGAGTATTTAACATTTCAGTTGATTTTGATGTTTTATTAACTCTACATTTGTTTTCTAGTAAAAATTTTGCAACATCTTTTCTTCCACATTCAATAGCACTGTTCAATACTGCATAATCAATCCACTTTGAGTTGATGGGAATGCCTTTGGATTCAACAATTTCTTTTATTTTTTCCAATGGATCTGTTTGAACTACTTTCAACAACTCCATCTTTACAAATCTATTATTTAATATAAATAAGTTAATATAAAAAACAATCATGAACTCCATATTATAACAAGTATTCTAGTCGAAAAATACTTAAATGCTTGCATAAAGTAATAATAGAACATATTTTAATATTTTATATAATAAATATATTCTTATATCAAAACAAGTCTCCACAATTTAAAAATGTTTATTATGTAAATGTACTTTTAATGTTTGAATATCTACGCGAAGTCAATTAATAAAATTAATTTAAGAAAATTGATTTTCAAAAATTTGTAAAAAATATAATCTTTTTTACACACATATTTTAATAAAATCTAACCTTATTTTTTTTTTCGAATTAATGAAATCTGATCATTTTTGAAACATTTGATAAACAAAACCTTATATATAATATTAAGTTGAATTACAAACCAACTGTTGTACTGAAATCTACTTTCAGTTATGTTTACGTCGAAATGAATGAACAATCCGCAACAATCGTAAAATAAACAAAAAAAACGTGAAAGTAGCGGTATTGCATGTACTAACGGAACGGTCGAATCCTTTGTTTACATACATGCACTCACTCCATATCCTGTACTTCAGAGAAAGACAAGACAAATAACTTAATAACTTAATATATTTGTAGATATTTTTGATTTGGGTACCATGTATAGATATTTTGTGATGAAATTGATCAAATTCAGAACCTTTGATAAATAATTTTTCCTTATTTATATAATTTGAGAATTCACGATTAAATTAGAAACGCACTTAACTAACGAGAGAAAGAATAGTACATTACACGTCTAGGGAAGTAAAGATATATAGGAAGAGATTCATGGGCTTGCTCATACTTTACTTCCCTAGAAGTGTAATGTACTATTTTGTAGCAGGGAAGCCGGAGAGTTGAACTCCTGCCCACGTTAGTGCGGGCGGGAACTCCCACTTTCCGGGCGCTTGGTACGAAAAAAATGTTCTTGATTGGATTGATTGAATAATATTCTCTCGTATAATGTATCGATTCAATTGGTGTCATACCTTTGGCATCTATTCACCAATAAATAGAAATAAAACAATATTTTATTTCTATTTATTGTAGTAGAGCATTTGTTAATACTTTCAGTTAGAATTACATTGAGTGAGTTGATGCTGCTTTCGACATTATTAGCTGTTTTAAGAGGAACGTTGCACGTTATGCGTTCCTCTATGTAAAGAGCATATTTTTTTCAGTCGACTTTTATGTTATTGTTTAATTTATTAAATACTTGGTGATGTAGAGTAATTAGTACCAGCGAATGATCTGATGATCTAAGCATGATGATACATTTCAAAATATTTTTTGTCTACACCTTTTGTCTATACCTTTTACCGTGTTTAATAGTCAGTTTACTTTATAAATTTTCTAGCTTTTATAATCATGTTCAATTTCAACTGTGAAAAGCTGCAATGGTAGTTTTTTGATGCGATGCCTTATATTATGAATACTTATTACTTTATATCCATGTTCTTCTATGGCTGTTTTTAATTCACCTATATCTACTGACGGGTGAATGCTTCTTAATATAACTTTGAAACCTTTTTCTTCTTTACGTTGGTAAGTGTAAAATTGCATATTTTTTTCTTTCAACGCAGTAATAATTGGCAAATGTTTTTCCGAAGTTGTCGATTGAATTTTAATTTTGTTTAGTCCTATCACTTTTAAGGTGTAATTTTCTTTGGCTATTGTGTTCAGTAGATTTTCTAATGGTTTGATATTCTCTATATTGTAAACGAACATCACAGGGGATTTGTTTTTTAACTTATTCGCTTTGTTATTTTCTTCTTGACTATGATTTTCTTTATTCTTTTTTAATTGTCTTGAAGTATTTTGTACCTGTTGCTTGTGTTATTTAACCAGTAATCTGATTATTTATTGTGTGGGCGACATGCATTCTCGCACGCAACGCTGTATCGTCTCGGAGTGATAACGTTACTGTGTCATATCTTCAGTTCTGTATGATATTTTTAAAATAATAAAAAATTGACACAATCGGCGTGAAATCACTCTATAAAAAAGTATAAATGCATAAACAAGTGTACATTACATAATTTATCATTTTGAAGTAGATGATTTCATTATTATTATTTACTTCAATAATACGTTCTTATAAACATTTTGTATTGGAAATAATAATTTTTTTTGATAAAAGTGAGTATGCAGCTTTTTCAAATGTATAAAAAGCAGTTCCACATTTTAACGCACAAAAGATTTTTGGAAATATTTTGTTAGATTAAAGAAACAAATGGCCAAAAGCTCTCAAGAAATCACTCAATACATAATTAATCTAGATAAAATGATAATAATTATCTCTTGATAATTAATTGATGTCTTGTGTAAATCAATTCTAATTGCCAGACCGTCAATTCACCTATGAAAGCGTCGTGGCGAACATAGTTAGTTTTGGATAGAATGTTATTAATTACACTTATTGGTCTGAAATTATCATAATAAAAGAAACTGGTGGCTATGAAGATGGAAAACCGTGTTACTCGAAGACTCTTGTCGCGAGTAACGTTTATGCTCAAAAATAGAAATCGTACCCATTCAATAGTAAACACGTATGCGTAGTATGATCCCAATACTGCTGCAGGTATTGGTACTAAAAGTTTCTCCTAGCATTTCTATTAGAATTAGAAACTTTTAAGAATCATATTTATGGGATGACATTGGTAGCCCGTTAATGAACCATAACACTCTTATTGGTATCCTAAATAAAGATGACAAACAAGAGATCATTTACACAAAAGTATCTTCTTGATGTTTGATTTAGATATTCGACCGATTCATGGAACTCCGAAAAGATAAAGCAATGTTAAAGCTGTAAAAGATAAAGTAATGTTATATCTTTTGTAAAAATTATGATTCGTGACATCTAATTTTCGCCAATGAATTCAATTTTCAATGAAAAATCTAAACTAAATGTAACAATACAACGTTCAGTTTAAATTTTCTAATAATTTAGCGATCTTAAAATTTTTTGACTTTTGAATGTCAAAATTGAGTACAAACTCGCGAAAAAAATATTCAACAATTTTGTTGCATAAGGATATATGCTCATATACTTATTCAATTTTTCATAAGGCCCTATATACAAAGAGCCTTAGCAAAAGTCCTTACATAAATATTTTTTTAATAAGAAGTATTTTTCTAAAGTGTTATTCAAATCAAACTGTCCCATGTCTGTTTACCATCTTAATAGCCATCCCATTGCATTAATTAAGTTTGCTCGATAGATAAATACAAATATTGTCAGATATGTCTTATGCGGTACAGTTATTGTTATTACTTTAAGAACCGAGTTCATTTTGAACTCTGCAGAGGTACACAAGGTATCTGTACGCATTCCCTGTAGCAACGGGAGGTCTCCTCCATCACATATGGAAAGTTTTGAATGGCAAAGTCTCCTTACATACATCATGATGGGACCTACAATTTAAGTGGAATCCGACAACTAAACTCGAGGTAACAAGCAAAAACAATTCATTTCTAAAAATGTTACCTAATTTTCTAACGCGTAAATTTGTGCTTGAGTATAAAATTAAAGGTTTAGTCACAAGTACTCGTATACTTGGATATTGAATTCAATAAACAAATGATGCATTTTCTTCTAATCCCGCGAAAGTGAAGTGAATATGGAAAAAGCATGCCTATATCTCTTCAGTAAAGCTGTAGACTTGAAAGTACTAGATATCGCTCGAGGTCTCAACATAAGTCGAATTAACCAAATGTAATGTGAGTATCGACGGCACGCAGGAATATTGCCGACTCTACAATATGGCATGTGTCCACTATTGATGGTAACTGAATCGAACTAATTGGGCACATCGTAGCTCTTGATCTAAATTTGGTATTTTTGAATCTTGGATAAAATCGTGATTCATCGATTCTTTCTTATCGTTCCTAAATGGATATCATTTTTTTTACCTAACGAAGTTGACATTGAAGAAGCAAATTTCACAGTAAAATTATAATTTAATCTAATCTCTAGTTTTCCCTCTCTCCGCTTAGGAGTCTTGCGCGAAGACTTTTGTTCTGGTAAACTCTCAATTAAAATCCATTTGTTAATCAGCCAGTTCTGAATTAACATTGTGGTCGACTCGTTTCCAATCGTCGCCAGTAAGTACATATAAAAAAATATCCTCATAAAAACACAGGTTTCAAAAACTTACATATGTAGATTTATTAATGTTTTATCCTAAAATTAACGACTGAGATGTTTGATAGTTAATATTTTTTTAAATTTTGTTTAACGTCGCTCTATTTATGCTTCAATCAGTGCTAATCAGCAATGGAGGCTGGCAATGTGTTTGAGAACAAAGTACATGAAAACTTTTTTCAGTGGTGCTTGTATCAATCAGCGGAGACTGGGAATCGAACCCGGGTCTACCGGGTGCGAAGCAGTCGCCCTACCGATCGAGCCATTGCAGGCCTCTTGATAGTTAATTATATTCTTATTGCTTTCTTTTTTTTATTACTATTATATGTAATATCATTGACAGGGTTACCTTACTTTCCGAAAAAGATCATGCCAAAATTGTCGAAAAATTATTGTTAGGTAACGATTACCTTCTAGTCTTTATTAAAAATGTATCATAAAATTAATTAAACAAAATTTTTACTCGAACTATCGGCAAATTAATCATACGCGTACTTCCTATATTTTAGACTTTTCTATAGCCTTTCATTCTACAAAAATGTACATATCTGACTCACTAAATTTTCACGTTCCCGTAATGTCCAGACACGTACCGTCAAAAGCACTGTCAGAAGTATCATGAGCGTTGGATAAATAATTTATTACATTTTAAAAGTACTATACTTCAGCAACGACCATAAAGAATCAAGTGTTATTATAAAAACCGCACACATCTATTTGATACTTTATTAATATGGATAATGTTTGAAATAAAATCTGCTTACTATAAACAGTGTTCTAAGTCGAATCGTTGTGTGTGTTTGCATTTTTTAATGAAAATAACTCTATAACAACTTATCTACCTAAATTTTTAATTTTTGAATTCCTTATTATATGTTACGAATCTAACTTTTATACCTATCTTTTATTTTATTAATCTCGTACATCTCTCTTCAGATCGTAGCTGCAATGGTGCTATCCCGTTTTCTCGTTTCCAATATTATAAAACCTCGTGCAAGTTTTAGAGTTTTCACAAAAAGGTACGTAATTATATTTTCATGATTCAATTCATTGTTTTGATTAAATTTTTTAATCTCTGGGTAACTTTTTGAATATGACAACTATTCTGCTCGACAACTGACGAAACTACTTTCTACCTTACATTAACGTATATAATATTATTATTGATAATATTATTATTACGTTGTATTATTGAATTTTTGAAGAAAAGAATATGCATATTGCACTGACTAAAGGTTTTTTCAAATTTCAAATCAAAATGTACGTACGTAATTTACGTTCTAGCGATTACTCATCACTAACGAATTATCGATTATGTACCGCAAGCAACAATATTTTTGAAGAACAAAAAGTTTTTAAAAGGTAAGCATTTAAAAACCCACATAAAATTATTGGTATTTATACTAATAATGAGTATTGTTCATTTAAATTTGATTAAAACTAATCTGTAACATATTATATGTTACAGGTCATTCGAGTCAAAGGTTGATCTCCGTAATGAAAGTCATAAAAAGTTTATGGAAGTGGAATCGAAAGAACTGTCTAAAGCAGATATTGTGGTAAGAAGTTCTGATTTTCCATAACTTCCATAATTGATCTAGCTCGGTCGACTTGCTATTCGCGTTTAAAAAATAATTTTGCGAAAAAAGAAATGTACTGAATATTTTTCTACCAGAATATGCTCTACCCTTATAATTACCACTTATCCATGCCAAAAGAAAGGCTCGGGTACGGCCTCATGGAAGGTTTTAATTATTGGATGAAACTACCAAGGGACGTAGTAGAGCTTGCCGATAATATTTGGGTTGCGGCATACGAAGCTGCCAGTTTGTATGTATCAATTTTTTATTGTACAGTAACATTTCAAAACTAATATGTTAACAATTACTTGTTGGTATTGAATAGATTGGATGACATTGTCGACGATTCACACTCTTGAAGAGGTTTACTGGCAAGTCCTTACCTATTAGGTGTTGGACGTGCAGCTATTTGCAGCCAAGGCGTTTTCTTCATAACTTTAAAAAGACTATTAGAACTAAACAACCCGAAGGTAATTTCAAATTTTTCACACGAATGATTTTTATGACCACACGAGATTACAACATTTAATACTTGCACATCTGCAGGCTGTAGAAATGTATGTTGACAGTATAATCTTTTATTGTGTTGGATTATATAAGGAGACCGACAATACAAAAAAAATGATTTGTCCAACTATAAGTGAATTCGAAGAGTTGTGTCTTCAAAGTAAGTGATTTTCCGAAAATCTCTAACGGAGCTTTCAAGCTCTAAGCCGCAATTCTGGAGCTCTTATTGACCAAGTAGCCTAAGAATTTTTACAATTTACATCGAAGCTTTGCGTTTCTTTCTGAATAAATATGTAAGTTGTGCATTTTATTCGCTTCTTTGAACTATTTGATCGAAAAGGATATTTAGGATTTTAACGTTTTCTCTAAAAAAACTTGAGCCCGAAATACTCCAGTCATCTCAGAACTCGAAAGCTCTGTAGATTATTAATTTTCATTTGTGTAGGTATAATTTGATACTGAGATAAATGCGTGATAAATTTCCGTAAGTAACGAATTTAGATTGTTTAATTGTGCATTTCTTCTTAGTTATAATAAGTAGCAATAGTTAGTAAAACTGTTTCATGGGTTACACTATCATATATAAGGGATATTTAATGTATTTATTCCAATAATTAATTAATTTTCAGAATGTGATGGAATAACTAGCTTGCCTATCAGAATTATGCAAATATTGTCCGATACTAAGACTGATTATACTCATCTCTTGCATTTGTTCACTCTTCATGGCCAATACGTCAACGACACTGCAAATTTATGCCAGCAACAGGTATTTGGTTATTTGTGTATTGTAATTTTATTTTTTAATATCTTCCATATTTTAATAAATCAAAATAAAAAGAATATTGACTGAAATTATTATGTCCGTTAATTTCATATTTAATTAGACGTGGGATGCAAAAGCTTACCTTGAAGATATTTCTGAAGGAAAATTCACACTACCAACTATTCATGCTGTTCGCAGTGGGACATTTGAAGGGCAAACTGTACACAGTATCCTTTAACGTCATAAAACACTTTTTTTTGGCATAAAACGTGATCTGATACTATTGTTTTAAATATTAGTGATGAATTTCCATACAAATATTAATTAGACATTTTACTTTCGAAAACAAAAGATGTAGCAACTTTAAGTTATTGTTTATCTCTGCTTAAAAAACTTGGATCAATTGAATTCGCTATGAATAAAACAAGATCACTTGAACATAAAATAAGAGAAGAAATAAAGAGATTAGGTGGAAATCCTGTACTTGAGGAGTATCTAGAAAAAATTATCAACTTGTCATATGATGAAAAGTACCCAACATATACCAAGAAAGTAACATGCTAAATGGATACCTTAGGATTTTTTTATGAGTAGCTAGATGATTTCCTGGGTTGCCAAATCAATCTTCTAAGCTATATATATTGTTTGAAATTTTTATTGTAACATCCTTATTCCTTGTAATAATAAATTTAATTATTTTGTTGCTAGAATGTATCAATAAAATATATAACCTTTCCTAATGTATAGTAGCTGATGAAAAGAACAAAATCAAAAAGAAATTTTCTAAGATTGTGATAAAAAAAGGGATCTATAGAAATAGCCAATAAAAAGATCCAACGTTTATAAATTGGGGATAAAAAAATGAAAACAAAATATCTAATGTTTTATAAAAATAATTATAGTGAACACCAATAATCGAGAAAATATCAACAAAATATTACTAAATTTTTCGATCTTTATTATTTTTTCCGGTTTAAAGACCATCATCTCACTGGATAAAATAACAAAATTATTATATAAAAAACTTAATAATTTTAGGTTAATTTTAATTTTATTTAATTTCATAAGGATAACCTTCATTACAGGTAAATCATAATAAATATCCAAAGATAATTAAAATCACTATAATCTCGGCAGTAATTAAAGTATTGAGAATATTTGTTATACATGCAAATGTTATTTATATGTACTTGTGAGATCACGTTATCACAACTTAAATAAGCGCAGTCGTTTGTTATCTAAATTAAATATCATATCATATAAATATGTATAACCTATTACACCAACGAATATAGATGTTTAGATAAGCGCTTATCTTTGTTGCTATTATTAAGTTCGTTCATATTGATTCTCATACAAAACATTGGCATCAGAAGCAAAATCAAGCTCTCGTATCAGATTCAAAAAGTACAAATTCAGAAAAATGTTCTGTAAGAGCGATCTGTTATTCCGCCTTCGTGCAACTTAATTCAGCTGCGAATTGTTTTGCAAACGAAATTACAAAGCGCTCTAGTCCTTCGTGTCCTTTAATTAACGAGCCAATGATGCTGCGTTCACAGTACGCCGATGTTTTAAGATTTTGTCGAATTCTGTCATTCCAACGATGGCGTTCTTCCATCTCTATTTACGTCGTCAACGCGTCATGTTTTTACACATGTGACTTTACCCCATCAGTACTAACGATATACCGCGCAACGGACAAGTTAATGCTATGAGTATAAAATTCAGTGCAATTTACGTCATGTTCAAGTGGAGCGATGTATTCTAAATACTGTAAAAGTATTCGAACGGCGTGAGAGCGAGGATAAATAATCAACTGACAAAATCAACAGTTATTGGTGGAACGTCTGTGAATTAACTTGGCGACATTCTTATCGCCAATACTTTATTATTGTGAGTAATAAATAATACAATTATTGTGAAAATAGTCGCGCAAACGAAACTGTTACGCCCGAGCAGAATAACTTTCGTTTTCCCACTCTTGTAATTCAAATTTAATTTTCTCTTAATTACGTACTAACCAATTAATTTAATTTTATATATGTGTACATATAATACTCATTTCATTGCAATAAAATTAAGAAAAAGTCAGCAGTTGACTTTAATCTATCGAGTTAAGTCGATTAAATAGAATAGAGTTTATCAGTAGTAATTTGTTTGTTGGAACATTTTTTTTTATTTAATCATTTCATTCATCAACTTAAGATTGCAATCTGAACCTCCATCCGAATTACAATTATTTTCAAAGTCAATACTGTAGTAACATTTCGTAACGTATGTATTAATCACAGTATGATAAAGGATTAAGTAATTATTAATGATTGATCAATCTTAGAAATATTTGTATCTATTTATTAATTAAATTACTTGAGTCTGTCTTTTATATTGAAAAATACGCTTCGTTATTTACATTTCATACAATAAACAATATTAGTTTGAACACACTCTAACAAAAGTGAATTGCAGCACAGGGGCGAAACAAAGCCGACCGACAAAATAAAAAAAAATAGCGAGCTCGTTAGTGTCGCGTGTAAACAAGCAAAAGAAAGGAAAAAAGCAGTGTTCTACGAGGGTTTGGTATCCTATGTAGAGGCCTAAATAGCTGGACGAGAGCGAGAGTTTTGCCGCAGAAAAAGCGCCATAGAATTTCGCGCCCAGCCAGACGCTCACTGTGAGCTTTTTTGACCGAGATAAAATATATTTTTTTCCACTGTTCGAAGATAAGGTCAATATCTTAATTTTAACAGCTATATTCGAATCGGAAACATACATCTAATATCAAAGAAAGAGAAAACGCAAACTCATCGAAAGTCCGTATAACCTAATGTTTTCATGAATATCGATCTTTCAATTATATTGTACCACCAGTACGCCCCGTTAGGTCCGAATAAAAACGTTGCGACCCTCGTTCGACTCCGCACAACCGCTTGGATTTTAGCCTCGATCCAGTTGAAAGAAAAAGAAAAACCATAACGTGAGAACGTTTTGGTTTCTGGCTCGAGGTATTGCATTGTCAGCGCCTGCGCGTCCATTCATTTCCGCGAGCGAAGTTCGCCTACCACGCTATCAAAACGGTATAACACACGAGAGCCGCCCGCGAGCGGACGTAAGATGTGGTACGCGCGCGCCCACGACAATTTCATCTTATTAATCCGCTCGTTCGCGGTCATCAAATACGACTCGACGAAATTTCACGAGGACGCGCTCGCGGGTAGCAGGCTGTTTTTCCGTCACGGTACGAGCAGCCGTCTTCGTAGGTGCCGTCGTGCAACTGCAGCTTAATGAAAGCGAGAGAAACGGCTTTTTTTTTCCTTTTCCTTCGTCTATTTTCCCGTGTATGCGGGCCTTCGAACGTGGGTTATGTATTCAATAGATTTAGTGATAACCCAGACAGTTAATTGATGCGTGTACACATTCGATCGTCAGGTACAGACGAGTTGAAATGTCTGATATTAAATAATAATAACCCCATACTTTGAAAAGTAAACATTTAAAATCCATTGGTGAAGATTGTGAATTGACAATACTTGGTTCACCCGATAAAACTCGGTAGAACTAGCAAAATAATAGTTCCTATGAGTTTGAACTAGACAGATCGATGAAAGGCCCCAAAACGAGGTAGAAGGTCTTTTATAATGATCATGCCCCAGCGCCGAGCGCCCAAGAGTTAAGCCCGCTCGCTACCGCAAGGTCAACGCCTTCTTTTAATTGGTGACACGTGTTCCTCTATGTTAGATACTTGAATTTTATACAACGGTTTTTTATAGAAAAAACCCTTAGGAAAGCGTAGAATCAATAATTAAAAAAATACTACTTTTTGAGATATTCGAATTTGTTTAAGAAAAAAGTTAATAACTTTTTAAAATAAAAAATTATCGTTTATCATTGCAAATATTTTCAGAGCTTTACACATATTTAAAAAAAAGTTCATCCCTACATATCTTCAATAGTTTTTAAATTCTAGCCTTCTGAAAATTTTTTATCACTCTGGTAAGTTAATAACTTTTAATTTAATTAATATTTTGCTATAAATATTTAGAAAAATGATGATATCTATGTATTAAGCAACTGTGCAAAGTTTGCAAAAAATTCGTTACCCAGTGTTCCTGAGAAAGTGTTCCCCACATTAGAAGTTATCAAAAAAACAGAATCCGCTAAAAATATACGGCGTAATTTTTATTCCATAAATAAGGTAATTGATACTCGATGACTTTGTCGAGCGTATACTTGAAATTTTGATACAAGAAAATAAAAGCGTATTTTGAATACTTTAGGACGAAAAATGTTTCATGCTGGTTTAATACCGACTAGCCCCTTTAATTCTGTATTTTGAAATAAATAAGTTATGTAATTTGGTTGATTATAAAATAATAAAATATTATATTTACAAATATTTTCAATATCTTTTTTTATTTATTATTTAAATAAACACCCGACTAGATTTTAAAATGCACTCTTTGTTGTACGTAAATGAATTTCTAAGGAAATGGTAAAGTCAGTCTTTGCTTGAGTCGAACGATTTTCATTTCGTTCTATGATTGTATTGTGTAAAATTTTGTGTTGCAAGATGCTATCGATACTGTGGTGGCGAACAGAGACATTCGTTCTTTAATTGCTTTCCAATCCATTCCAAATAATTGGTGACTTTCGTGTAAACACCCGGGTAATTCTTCTTAGCACATTCTTCGCCGAACGAAACAATACCTGTGAAAGGTTTGTCATCGTAAATGAGGTGCTTAGAAGAAACCATTATTTAATAAAACCGAAGCAAATTATATTTACCAACAATTTCCATCGCGTCGTCATCATTGCGAACGTGTAATGGACCACCACTGTCGCCCTAGAATAAGATTTATTTTTAAATTGACGGTAAAGAATATCGTATATTATCTAGTTAGCTTGCCAATCAACTTACTCGGCAAGAATCGCGTCCTCCTTCGTGATATCCAGCGCAAAACATGTTGTCAGTGACGCGACTCTTCGGGTACTGCGATCTTAAACATTCTGTTTTGGACATTATTGGCAGATCAACTTTACGTAAATGTTCGCTGATAGGTTCGTTGTATCCAAGCCTTCCCCAACCGATCGCCACTCCTGTCATCCCGCTGTACTTGAAAGTCGCTGCAATGACATTGCTAACTATTGTCAAAATCAATCGAAAACGGAATGATCAACCGTACTATACTTACTTTTGTTGGGTAAGCAAACAGTTTTGATGGCTCCGTCCAATCGTACTGGCCTGGCGAGCTCGATAATTGCAACGTCATTATCATCGGAATAATAATTGTAATTTTCGTGCACTGTGAACGACTTAATTCTGTAAGTAGCGTTGTCAGCTAAATGAACGGAGAACAGCTTCTGATCGAACCTACAAACAAAATCGAATAGTAACTGAAGATGAAAGACATTGAATTCGTTCGTCACCGTAGATTGAAATGATTACTCTTCAATACAATGAGCAGCCGTAAGAATGTGTCTCGAGGTAATCAAACTCCCTCCGCAGTGATGTTTATTGTTGTATTTGATTTGAACTGCCCACGAGAACTCATCGAAGCTCGTTATATCTCCGTTTACGATTTTCGTCCGATGGCTGATTCCACAAACTTCAAATGTTGCAAAGAATTAGCTTATAATATTGCGAAGCTACAGCTCGCAGAATAGCTTGGCGCATATGATAATTACCACAATGTTCGCAAAAGTTGAGAGACTCTACAATGTTATTCGTCTGCAGCGCTGGTAACCAGTTGGCCAAATGCTACAATATCACAGGTAAGACTGTGCGTACAGGTGCGAGAGAAGCAAAGTGAGGTATGTTATTGCGAAGACTTACGTCCACCGGTGTCAAGATAGCCGCCTCGGGCGTCCGGAGAGCGAAAGCTGCGAGCAGCGCAGCGGCGATGAAGGCTCGTGGCATTTTGCTCGAGTCTGTGTCGGAGCTTGGAGAAGTGCGACGTTTCGCTGAAAATTTGGACAATTTATATTGTACCGCACAACTCACAAGCAGATCCACTCCCAGGAGCGGGGATAACCTGCCTTGACACGACGCGAGCTTGACCTTTCGACCCTGCGTCGTGGAAAAACTGATTATTCGCTTATACGTACATCGTAAGTCACACGAGGTCGGAGACCTTCGGTAATAACCAAGACTATCTTTCACCGAGATAATAATCGTGTCAATGTAATTAGATGCCCTTGACTCCGCGTTAATGGAGCGCCTTTAACGAAAATGCGGGCGAGCGTATAGCCGAATTCGTAATACACAACTTGAGCGGATATGTAGGTGCGGGATTTGACGCGTGACTACGGCTGTGGCCTTTGTCCAGGTGTGGTTCCAAATCAATGCACCTTAACGAATCTAGAGGTCACGTGTTTCGAACGCGTTTTGCTTCTTTCGCACCTGTATGCTCCGGCGGTCATCTCGCAGTCTTACCTGTGACAATGCTGCAGATGAATAACATTGTGTAGTCCCTCAACATTTACGAAAATCATGCTAATTATTATACGCGCAAAGCTACTCTGTGACCTCTAGTTTCGCAACATAATAAGTCATTGACCTACTCATAGTCTTTAACATGCAGTGGATGTGGGGAGATTTTTTTTACATATAACTCAATTTATAAGTTATAATCGGCAAATTGGAAGCGAGATATACTATGCTAAGTGCAATAAAATTATTTTTCAGTGTAAACATATTTTTAAATATTAGAGTAACTTTTAAAATATAAATAAGTGAATGCTATTAATACTACTTAAATGTTACTAATATTTTATAGAAAATCAAAAATCATTCTATATTGTTAATTAGTTTATGGTTTTATTTTTATTTTCGAATTATTGGCGTTCTGATAATATTCCGATATATTGGTGATAAAATCCCCAAAAAGAGCATAAATTACATTATGGTAAAATACAATCTTTTATAGTTATGGATAATACATCTATTAAAAAGGTAATAAAACGAAACTACGAACATGGATTTAAGTTTATCAAGGATGACAGGGATTTTGAGGGAGATCGATCGCGATGTAAACTTTTGTAAAATAATTTTTGTTATATCGAATCGATACAGTAGAGACGGATAAGCACTTGTCATGAAATTTTGGTAATTCCGCAGGAATTTTTCTACAATAAGTTCACAACAGTTCCGACTAATATAGACATACATTAGATGTGATGGTGATAATTAAAGATTTTTTGAATTACATGAGGTAACTTGACGCGCATGATAATCACGACCAATCTTTTTGGAAGATTACCAATGATTGTACTGTAAGTCAATTGTTTTAATGTAATTTCGATAATTATATCTGCCGTACTCAGTCAGGTAATTGGAGGCGCGCGTTGTAAATCGATTAAATATAATTGCGATAAAACTAGCATTATAAAACTATTTTAAGAGAAACGATAATGACATGACATTGTATTTCATAGAAAAATTCATGCGCATTATGTGTGATTGCCACATACTATAGCATAAATATAAGGATTTTTGAATTTAGTCACAGAAACTTATAGCTGCAGGCGTCAGTATAAGTTAAAATTCCGTATTATTAAAAAAAATGAAGTCCTTCGCCAATACAACTATCACCATCCTATTAGTCGTGGTGATTGTCAGTACCCAAGACGTTAATCTACTTTTGCAGAACAAAGATCTTGTTGATCAGGAAATTGGCTGCCTTCTGCAGCGTAATCCCTGTGATTTCATTGGCAACTATCTTAAACGTAAGTTTTTATTTTACTCTTTTCTCAGTTGACTTTTCAGTTTTTTGCATTTTTAGCTTATAATTTATTTTAATAAATACAATTTTAATTTTTATCAGATTAACAGATTTCCTATGCAAGTTTTATTAGACAGGTACACATTTGACACGAAAAATAAACGCGTATGGAAATTCTTAAACAATTTAACAAGAAATTAACAAACGATTAAACTGAAAAATTTTAATGAAAGGTTACATAAATTTACTGATCACATAAATTAGCTGTTTTGCATCTTTAAAGTAGTTGCTAAATTGCTAGATTATCAAACTAATTTAGCTAGTGTTGAGAGAAAATTTTAACAATTATTTTTCATTTGAAATATTAGAAATTTCTTTGATAACATAAATTTAACTAGAAAAAATTATGCCACTGTTTAAGAATCTAACATTTGTTAATAAAACTAAAAGTGACCAACGCTTTACCCCTTTTTTAAAAAATAAATAAAATTTACAATCGCAAGATTATTCAATGGACTATCATCCCTTTACTTTTATAATTTTTGTGATTCGCTTATGAATATACGTATCATGTAATCTTCAAAAAATTTAATAATGAATTTCTTTTATAGGCTCAATGTCAGAAATTTTGAATGGCTGTCGTCGATGTACTGCCCAGCAGGCGACTGTCGCCAGAATACTCGTAGATTTTATGCAGACAAATTATCCGAGCGAGTACTCTATGATAATTCAGATGTATGATAAACGAGGTTAAAGTTTGAAATTAAACTTAAAACTTTTATTCTTATATTCTTTTTGTTATTCTTATTTATTTATTTATTTATTTATTTATTCTTATTTTCTTTTTGTTTTTATTATTGCTTTATTTAAAATCGCATTAACAACGAGGCCATTAGCGTGATTTGCAAGAAATAATACATTCAATTTACTTATTTACATTATTTCAAGACTGAATACAATAAAATAACTATATTATTAAAAAATAATTTATATTTCATCGGTGTATTTAATGTCTTTCAGAAAATGAAACGCTTTGGGAAAGATTTAGCAATCGTTGAACGTGGTCTTGATGTCTTGAGAAAGGTTGTTTTTACTTCTTCCGTTTGCGAAAGAAGGGCATTGTATTAGAACGTGTGATATTGTCAACTTTACGTTGGAAGTTTCACATACAACAGGATGATTTTGTTGATGTGTAATCAAACTGTGACAAATTCTTAACGGGTCAGAATTAAAAAAATTCGTATCAATTACTTTTTGTGTTATTTATTAGACATATACGCGTATACCGCATCTTATTATTTAATTATTTAATACTACTTGATACATGTAGTTCACCAACGTTATTTCGTAGAAGGGTAATAAAAATATGATGCAAATTTTATAAATAAAATACGATTTAAAATGTTCATACTTTTGGTAGTACTTGAAAAATGTAATTAATTATTCACTGTTATACTAGACTTAATTATTTATTATAAGACATTTATATTAATTGTCATTAATTAACAATATGTGTATACTTCTTTTTTTTTATATATTTTCATATATATAATGTATTCAATTGAAACAACAACTTTTTATAGTTATTTAGAATATTAAAAAATAACATTGCAAGCTAATTTATTTGCATGAAATAAATGTTTAAAATTTCAATGGTTATTTTTTTATACCTATTTGAAAGTAAAAATAAAATTAATATATAATTAAGAAAACATTCTTATCAAGTTGATTTTTTACGATAATTTTGAATTTTTAAACCTCTTCTTCAACGATTAAAATCTAGTGTGAATATACTATGAACTATATAGGACAGGGTTGGGCAATTCTGGAAGAGATCCTCAAAAAGCTTCCTGCAGTTTTTTGCAGACTTCAGACCTCACAATTTTCGCTCCCGCTTCACATAAGGTTTATTCAATTCAAACTCCGAAGTCAACTGCAGGAAGCTTTTTAAGGATTTCTTCTAGAATTGCCCAATCCTGCATCAACCACATCTTACACGTTATCACACGATTGACGATTAATAACCATAAACCATTCCACTGTAAATTTAATACATCTCACGCTTATGATCTTTCTGTATATATAACGTTTGATCGAGTTTTATTGCTTTAAAGATTGAGAAAGGTAAGTACAAACTGTTAGAGGTTTCATAGATGTTCTTTTCATAATTCAAATTCTACAATATATTTTCTTTTCAAGGTTATAAAAGCAATTTCGAAAAGCGTAGAACGATTATAAGACGTTTTCTTCAATTAATATAAGTTTTTAAATGTAAGCAATTTAACTCTTGAAGAGTTTTAAATAAATTCGGTAAGACAGCCAAAGTTTTTCATTATGTTAAATCGATAGCGTAAATATACATCTAATTACAAAATTACATACAATTAATGAATTATCTTTTACCTTAATAGCTTTTCTTTATTAGGCCAAGATTATATAAGTTTGCAGTTTCATATCAAGAAAATTTTAATAGTAAATATCTTAATTTAATCTTAAGAGTTAACTTGCATTTTTATTTATATCAATAAGTATTTAATATTTTGTTGTAAGTTAAAGTCAACTAAAAAAAATGGAATTAATATCTGCAATTCAATTTCAACCTTTTGAAAAAGTCAAACAAATTGCTGAATCTATGAAAATTCTTGAGAATTCAGAATATTTGGACTATCATGCATTGAATTTAGCTCTTGGATTAAGTCGCAAACGTACAGCTAATTATTTAATTAGTAAAAATTGCAGAGTAAATATAGAATCAAAGAAACGTGAAAATACTCCTTTGCATAATGCTATAGAATTTATAGGTGATGAACAAATTGTTTCTGACCTTTTAAAGAATAAAGCTTCCATCATAGCTATAAATCATGAAGGCAATACTCCATTACACATGGCTTTTTTAAAAAGATATGGCAAAATAACTGAACTTATATTAAATGCCATATTTGTACATACATACTATGGGTATGAGAATATTAAAAACAAGCAAGATCTCACTCATATCCATATTGCTTGTACGATGGACAACGAAAGATTGGTACAGTTGTTCTTGAATGTTGGAGCAAATATTAACGATGCAGTTAACAAAGTCTCTCCTTATTATCCTGGCTACACAGCAATGCATTTTGCTGCTAAAAACAATTGTATTAATGTAATAAAACTTCTTATGAATCGTGGAAGTGTAAAAATAATTAGTCAGGGTGCAGACAGTGAAAATAGAACACCAGCTCAACTGGTGTTCGAGAATCTGAAGAACTTGCAAGTATCATTTTATCATATGACCATGCAAAACAAGAATGACAAATCAGGCTACTACAAACATTTATCTCAATTTCATGTGGCATGCTTATGTGATTATCCAGATTTTGTTGAAAATTTTATTTTACATGGTGCTGATATAAATACTCCTATTCAATCAGAAGCTACATTTTGCCCTGGATACACACCATTACATTGTGCTGTAGAGAGTAACTGCAAAAAAAATGTTGAAATACTACTTCAGAAAGGAGCAAACATTGATCAATTGAACTATTACAACATGACACCATTACACTTGGCACTGTATAATGAGGATCCCAATGACAATAATACAATCCTAGATTTATTATATGCTGCTGTAAAAGATAAAAATAAAAATATTGTTGATTTGAATGGCCTGAGCTACATGCAAATTGCAGTAACAAGAGATGACAGAGAGACCGTGAAGATATTCCTTAAAAATGACAAAGCTATTGTGAACCATACAGTTATGTACAATCTTCGTAATTTTTCTGGTTTTACAGCATTACATTTTGCTGTGAAATACAAGCATTTGAAAATGGCAAAATTATTGATAGAAAATGGTGCTGATGTGAACAGTAACGATAACTTTGAGCATGGTACTCCTTTACATTTAGCATTTGAAATTTGTCATCGACAGCTTATCGAGCTTCTTTTGGAACATGGTGCTAAAGCGGATATATTACGAATTGCCGACAATAAATCGATGCTTCATTTGTTGATAGAAAATTACGTTAATAAAGCAGAAGCACATGCATTAGTCCAGATGTGTATTAACAACAAAGAAGCGAACTTTAATGAGTACTATGACCCAAAACGAGTTTTGGCTAAGTATGTTGAGCGATTGGTCAGCTTGGGATGCAATGTCAATGAAATAGAGAGCAAAAATGGAAATACTGCAATGCATTTGGTGTGTAGCGAAGACTATGATGACGGGCCTTACGCTGAAGAACTTTTGAAATTTGGTGCAGACATAAATATTGAAAACTTCTATGGACAAACCCCATTTCAAATGGCTATAGATCGGAATTTCAGTTACTACATGTTGTTGTTTCATCACGTTCAGAATCTAAAGGCTTTGGAACTCGAAGTCAACCCAAAAAATGAGAAATGCTGTAATGAAGTTTTAAAAAATTATTATTTTTCTTTCAGCGATAAGGATATTGTACGTAAACATCAACAGAGACTAAACGAAATCGAAAACATGAAAACTTTTATGCTCGACCAAAAGGTTTCTTTGTATGACTTTGTGCGATTTAAGGTAACTCTTGCAGTTGTTTACGTTTTTAAAAAGCCGCTGATAAAGCTTTTTGAAGAAAAAGATACAAAAGAATTGGATGAGAAATATCCCACATACGCTTATCTGATTAAGTTACGCTATCGTAAAACCGTTGAGTACTTTATGATTAATGGAGCGCCAAAGAAAATCCGTGGTGTTCTTGTAAAGAAAACTGGTAGAGGAAAAATTCGTAAATGATATCTTTGATATTTTTATTTTTTTGTAGTTTTTTGAAACGATATCATTTCAGTTTAACTTTGACACTTACATTTTACATTAAGATTGATTAGTATTATTTGATAATTATTTTAAGATATTAATTGTTTTAAATATATTACAGATTGTTTAATGTAAGATGAAAATAGAAAGAACAATTTCAAGCTTTGGAACTATTGTAGTAAGTGGTTTTCGTAACGTTCAAACAGAAACTATTTTTTCTAGCAACCTAAAAGTTTTTCTAAATATTTTTTACAAAATCCTTCTAAAGTGAAGTAAATAACTTTCATATTAGACCGGAATATCGTCAGAAAACTATGGCTTTATTTATAATACATTTTGATATACATTAAAAATGGTCTTCTAAATTGAATAGTCTTTATATTATTATAAGTTTTGAGAGTGACTTTTAAAAATAAATCAAAAAATAATTTGGATAGATTATGATTTTGTATGTTATTATCTTTAAAATTTAATTACTGGGAGAATATTTATATGTAAAATAATTTAATATATGACACAACTTTTTGGAGAAGTTATAAAAACGATTCGTGTCATTTACTACGAAAAATATTCAAATTATCTTGTTACATAAAGCTCGTTGAAAGTTTTAAATTAATATTATGTAAAGTTTTATCTGTATTTATCTTAATCTTATAATAAAATGTCCACCCTTATTTCATAGTTTCATAAGCATTTTTTTCACCGCGACAAAATGTTTAAAAATAATTATTCTTTTTACTACAGTAAATGTACAGGTTAGACCTTTTCAATACTCTAAGTTAAACCTATTCATTTTTGCGTATGTCTTTTGTGCTATATAATAAAACTTTTCTGGAAAAACAACGTCATATCATTTTATCTAATTGTAAAAATCTAAATTGGACCAGACGGTGTTTAATAGTAAAAAAGTTTTTTACTGTCATCTGCATTTGGGGTTGTCATCGAATGAAACAAGCCTATATTTTCGTTTCATTCAATAACAATCCTACTTCTATAATACTCATTCGTAAATAATTTTTATAGCGCTTCTATTGTCATATATTGTTTTTTAATAATTTTTTAAATGCACAATAATTAGCTTATCACAGACAGTGACAAGAAAGTGCGAATGACTTTTAATTGATTGTTTTTTTACATACAAATTACGACTTCCGGTTTAGGGTGTTAAATAATATTGAGAGAGAGTATAAAGCTGAGATTTAGTAAAGTAGTCTTGTTAGAATGTTAATTAATACGTTATCAATGTATTCGCTCATTAATTCGCAAAATTGATAATTTTGCTTTTTTGTATTGTTGTATATGTTAAACTGATAAACGATATTTTCCAGCACTCTTGTTAATTATGTATTAAATGATCAGTGATAAGACCGTTATCACAAAAAAATGTTAATAACTATTGTTCGGTCAATTATTGTGGATAAAGCCTAGTATATTCATGTTAATACGTATCAAAAAATGTCGGATAAAAGTACAAAGTCAAAGTTTTTAGTAAGTATGTGTTGCTATAGAACTTTAATAAATTAATGCCTCATTAATTTGATCACTCACAACTTGGTTCGAAACTTTCGTAAAGTGCTTCGTTTTTGCGATAAATTCATTTGTTTATTAATATTGTTGATAAATTTCAACAGACTGCTCTACGCACTCGAAGAAATTCAGAACTTGAGGTCAAAGAACATAAAAAGCACTTTTACGTATAAATGTTTATATACTTTGTGGATTTAATATACATTAATTAATTTAATTAAACAATTATATATATTGTATATATATATATATATGATGTGAAATCGTTTCGTTTACATTTTATCGAGCATAGTTTTTTAACGAGTTAGCTGATCACACGAACAATTCATACTAATTTTTTCATAAAGAAAAATTTGATTTTTCTCATAAACAAATAAAATAAAATTTGAATCAAATAGTACAAGAAAGTCTAATTGTAATACACGTGTGCTATCGTATAAGAGGACAGTACACATATCGAAATATTTCTCAATCGTAGACCATTGTGCTATTATGAAGCAATTCAATATTACTTATATTACATAAACAATCAAAAACTCATGAATAAATAATGATTGACAGCTACCGACGACTTTCCTTTCAAAGTATAACTTTCAACACATTTACTACTATAGATCAGACAATACGACTATAATTGTTGTACATACGATGCCAATTTTGTACACAGTATTTAGTTATATAATTTTATTTAGTAATTGTAAGGAATGTCAATAAAAAAAATGTTTTTGTATTTTGAAATAGTTTTCGTTTACACACGACAGTTTTTACAGTGTCTGATCCACCGTAATAAAGAAAATTCATTAAATTACAGCTCAATAAACCAGTAATTATGCCGTATCTTGGTATTACGCTTGTATTCGCTGTGCTCGCAACTTTGGTCGCGCTAACGCAATGTGAAAACATTTCCCTTGGTGCTGGGGAGAAAGGTGAGGTAGAACTCGAATTGAAATACCCCAACGATAGCATTTTTATATGGAAGTGGGGTACAAGCAAGACAGAACTTGTTCGTACGTACACTGTTAAGGAAGGCAGAATTTCGAGACTGCTACTTACTGACCTGACGAAGAATCTCGATTTAGCAAGTGCTCGGTTATTGACACACTTGGGTACAAGTACTGTTAAGATTAAATACTTCAATGACGGCAAGCATGACATTAAATTTCGAGTTCAGGCATTTGGCTTTAAGAGCAATAAACGTAGACATCGATATGTATACTATAATTGAATTTTATTATTGCTGTATTGGTATTCGTACCAGATATTATAGTTATTCTAATTTCCAATAAAACAATTATATTGAAACGTTTATATAATATATGTATATATACTTTTATAATATTTCCCAATACATTTTTTTGCATTTTCGTCAAAGCTACGTATTTTTGTATTATGAATAAAACTTGTTACAGCATTTCTTGCATCGCACATCATCGCAAAATTATTTTTAGTAGTACTCATTATTAGTGTGATTACTTTAATAGTACTGCAGCAAAAATAACTAACATGAAATTGCATATATATATTTTCCAATCAGGTATTTCAGTAGGGATTTGGTGCGCTGAATCCGAAATGTGAGCTAAGCCTCACTCTGTTCGCTATTTCACCCTTATCAAGAGATAAGTGCTATAAATATAAGCCTTATTGTTACTAAATAAAATCGATTTCTCTCTAATTATACAGGCCGACAAAATTTGAAAAGTGTCCGGACCTAGAGATCAGACTAAATATTTCCGAAGAGATTTAGTGTGCTGAGTCCGAACAGGTCCGAATCTGAGCTTGGAATTTCTCCATCATCAGTTTTCATTTTTCATTTTATTCATCATCATTTCCATTTTCGAGATATCCTAATATAAATGCGTCAAAAACACGTTTTTTGCAGTTTTAACCCCTATAACTTTGTGAAAAAATGTTTTTATGTAAATTTGATGATGGTATCTTAAAGAGCAACTCTCTTTCTTAAAAACGCCGTTCTCAATTTCTTCAATATCATTTCTTTCGAGAGAGATATGATACAAGGAATTATGGTAAATTAGCATTTTCGAAAATGTCGTTTAAGTAGAAGAAATTTTCACTCAAAGATAGCAGATAACAGAGAAATCGATTTTATTTAGTAACAATAAGGCTTATATATATATAGCACGAGAACTATATATCTCTTGATAAAGATGAAATAGCAAACGGAGCGAGGCTTAGCTCACATTTCCGCTACTGGGGCGTATCTAATTATTTTTATTGTACCTGCTTTTAGTAATTCGAATTTTTTGCAAACCACACACTATTATTCTCCATTTTAATTTACTAAAAAATATTTAATATATTCAACATATTTTTAACATATTAAAAAATATTTAAGGTTCAGCTGGTGAATGAAGGAACATTCTATGCGATACGATGATAAATAATAAAAAGATTCATTGGTATTTGTAACAAAGATATATCAATAAGCTCTCAAGATAGTTTAATATATCCCAAAAGCAGAAGTATTATAATCTGCGACGCCAACTTGTGAAAAATGGTTGGTTACCTGTTCCAGAAGACACAAAAATTTGTGGAAAATTTTTGTAAACGTTTTTCGGAAAACTTCAAAACGTTTTTTCATTTTAGTAAAAAAAAACGTTTTTAAAATGCTTTTAAAACGTGAGATAAGTCCGTTTTACAAATATTTCGATGTTTCAGACTATAAAAAGTTTTATTAAAAAAATGTTTTTAAAAAAGTTTTGAAAGCATGATGAAAACGTTAACATACTCTGAAAATTAAAAAAATGGGTAAACTTCCCCACGTTGTAAAAACGTTTTAGATACGTTTTTTTTATCAAAATGAGAAAACGTTTTCAAAACTGTTTACAAATCGTAACAAACTTATAAAAGCTGTCAGTTTCAGCTTTGATAAGTTTGTTACGATTACTTAGTGACATATTAAGCAATTAATAATGTTTGATGCAAAGTTTATGTTAGATAATTTTTTTAATCCTCAGAATAATATGGAATTTTACGGTATTTTTCCGAATTGTAAGATACACACCTTGACGAATTGACTAATTTAGAATCATCTATTATACGCCCAAATGGTAGAGAAAAGATAGATTTACTGACTCCGTTATGCAATATAACGCATACTATTTTGTAACTGTAAATCCATCAGACAGTATGGAAGATATATTAAATCAACATATTAATTATTACAATTATGTAGTAAACGAGAGTTTACGAGAGTAGTTATATAAGAGATATATGACGGCAGACGTTATAGAAAATTTGTACATCTGTTCTCAACCGCTGTAAAGAATAGAGCTCTTTTGTGCATGAAATAATAACAATTTCTACCGAAGTAGTTGCAAAAGCAATGGATAATATTAAAAGAATTTACGTTTCAATTGTAACTAAAAAAGCTCATTACATTATTGCTGTACTTTTAAATTATTAATTTACATAACATTACACAAATATTGAGAAATGTTAAACTTTTAAACAAAACCTTTGCAAATTTATGATGCATTTCAAAGACGTTGCTTTGTATCACTAGGTACGTTACTACGCTATAGAGCGTTATGTGTTGAGAGTTGGAAAAATTTCAAATCCGTATTATTACTATATTCTTGCATACGTTCATGGTCCAAGTCGCGTTTTAAAAAATGAAAAATTCTGCATACTATAGTTAAAAGGTAAAGATTGTTATTCTTCTAATTCATAAGGTAATTCTTTAGGCAGTGATTATAGTCGTATTTCGAGCATGAAAATTGATTGATGACCTTTTTCAATTACTGATTATCTGTCGATTAAACAAATCAGGAAAAAGAAGGTATGACGCATTTCTTTAATGTTATCGAACTACAGATATCGTTCTTTAGAATTCCGGCACAAATATACAAATATATGTTTGCTTGTGTGAAACAAAAGGATACGGTTCGGCGTATAATCTTTTGCAAGCAGCACTCGGAACATAATTTGATAACCGATTAAAGAAGACGTAAGAATACATTGGCGCGCAAGTGTTCAAATAAAAATCATTTCTCTAATGTGGCTCTGTCACAATCGATTAATCGATTTAATCAAGATTGTCATATCGATGAAAACAATATTTATATTTTCTTTCAATGTTAACTCATGAATCTTATGACTGAAGTTTTCCAACAATTCTACACGTTCGTCGTGCCATCAGTCCGGGCATATATAATGGTAACTTTTGAAGCTACATCCTCAGTAAATTCGATTTTTAGACGAAGCACTAATTGTAACCGTTGTCGGTTTCAGAAATTTTAGACATTAACAGCATCCTTCCTCTGGTAGGAAGTTTACGAACATCTTGCGAATAATCCGATCAGTTTTAACATATTCGTGAATTTGATACTTGATTTCTATCAGGAGTTTGTTATCATTTGCTATAACGCGAAGTATTTATTTAAAAGCTGGATTTTTATATCTACGATCCAAGTATACAGATCATTACTGAATCTCAAAAGTAATAATCATATTCGTTATTTCATCTTACAGAAATATTCAACATGTCGTCTCAACGCTTGATCTTCGTCATTGCCACACTCGCTGCTTTGGCCGTAGTAGTCCAGAGCAAGAATGTAGTATTCGGTCAGCGCCGAAATGGTGACCAGTTGATTGAGACTAAGACGATCTTGAAGCCCGCCCAATCTAAAAAAGCTGCCGTTGCTCAATACACCTGTACACCCTTGAATGGAAAGAAAGTCACCGCAGTAGAGCTTGTCGACCGTAATGGTAACAAGAATGTCGCTGATGCTAAAATTTTAAGGGGAGCAATTGGTCAAGCTTACGTCACCATCGCTTTCCACAGCCAAATCCATTATGGCATACACTACATAGTTAAATGTTACGTTTAAGGTGGCACTACCAAATTTTATACATATAGTATATTACGTAGCTTTCAGATTATTGTAAATTAAGAAATAGGAGTCACCGACCTAAATTAAGAGAAATAAATTATGGAAGATGAGCTTTTTTACATTATAAGGATAGAAGCGGAGTGATGAGTTGTCTTATTTTCCTGTTTTTTTTCCTTTTATAAAAAAGAGAACCTGGCAAAGTGAAGCTAGTTTATTCGCGAGCTGATTGGCTGAAAGATAATCACTATAAAATATTGTAAAATTTCAACTTTATTAAGTTACGTAAAGTAATGAAGTAGTGTAAAGAAAAAAAGAATTGCGCGAAGCTTGCTAAACATCACTAGTTTTATACTAAAAGAGAGACTTGAATCTTCTAATGATTATGATTGGTAATTTGAGTATGATTACATGATCTACTAACGTAAAAGTTAGCAGGATGTTTTAAGATTCAAATAAAAATTTAATTTCTATGTTTCTCGTGTTTCTATAATTTCTCGTGTGGCGTTTACGCCCGAGCGAAGCGAGAAACTCTTTCCCGAACATGTGCCGTACCGTATTTTTTTATACGACGTGTGGAAAGTGTGATTTTCAACGCATGTTTTTTGCCGAGCGTGCAGGAAAAACGCACTTTCCGTACGGAGTGTCGAAAAACGTCTTTTCGATAAAAGAGTCGTAATCCGGTTTCAACATCCTGATACGGCTCGTTACCTTTAGATAGAATTATTTAAATAGTCAACCTTTTGAGATGAGGTGAATGAGCCAATTAAGGGGTTTCACTTAAGATCGTCCTGAACGTTTCCAATCGCGGCACATCCCCGCTAAAACGTATTTTGAGCCTTCCCCGTATTATCATCTCGCTCCTCTGATCCCTGTCATCTCTAACTGCGGCACACTTCTTTATATCCTTACATCATTACAAACGTCCTTGTGAAAGTAATGACAGTTAACAGCCTTTCACTTTCGCAACCCCCCCCCCCTGTTGCTCCGTAATAGGGGATAAAAGTGCTTTTTTGCTGTAAGCAAACCTCCATAATCAGCTGTAAGCATCGCGGAATTCTCTCTTGACAGCTTAAAATCTCACAGCTTGAGTGTAGGATCGCGAATGAGCGTTTGACTAATTCTTATGAGTTTAAACTTGTCCCTACCGTTTACACTCTTCTTTTATAGTATCGCATTTTTCGACACTCCGTGCGGAAAGTGCGTTTTTCTCGCACGCTCGGCAAAAAACGTGCGTTGAAAATCGCACTTTCCACACGTCGTATAAAAAAATACGGTACGGCACATGTATCGTAATGTACTATTACTTACGCCGCTACTTATACCAGGGCATTACCATACAGTTATTCCCTTTTAAGCGTCAATGATAATGTTTATCATATACACACGAAGGCAAAAAGCTGTTAGCGTTTGTTTGCCTTTTTTCTAGTTTAATCACTTCATCTATACGCTCTGTCGCGTACGTCTGCGTAACTTACGTTTATATCTACTGTCATCTCGTTACCTGCGTTCTCTAGTCCTCGTCTTGTTACTGCTTACATTTATTTGTTTATACGCGATTTTTCTGTATGCAATTTTACAGTTTTCAGATTAAAGCGTTTAAATAATTACTCTTTTGTGTCTTTTTTATCGTTTGTCCATATTTGTATGTTTTATTGCAATTTGTAGGCTAGTGCAACCATGGGTATTTTACGCCAATATTGAAAATAAATGACAGTTTAATTGCTTCTCTTTCTCTTTGTTATATCAGTAGACTGTTGTATAATCCTAGGTTTACAATGGGGGTTCGACTCGACAAACTCGAGGACAAAGTCAACTCATTAGTATACCTTAATTTGACACAAGCTCATTTGACATAGAATTTTGCACCCTCCAAGATCTCTGAGCTGATATATTGGCTAATGAACATTGCTAGACCTTCGTGAAAATGTAAGCGGTTTTATGATCAAGCCTGATCATAAAAATGGTACTGCGTCGTTAATATAATCTGTGTGAACCCAACAGCAATGATTTCATACCCATCGAAATACTATTTAGGAATAGATAATCTTCTTCACGTTTACTATACCAAGCTTGAAAATTATGGCGAGTTGAAGTTCACGCAAGATGAACACAAAAGGGTCGTGGGTTAATGTCTCAGTCTCAGCTCTTGTCTGTCACTTTCTCTTCGCTCTACAGCGGTTCCCCCCGAAAGTTAATGACCTTGTCAAATACCATAAATTTCTCTTTAGTGTCTGGCCCAGACGTAAATTTGTGGAATTCCCCAGTTTTCGGCTTTAATCTTTTCCAAACACGGGTTTTTCTAACTAGTCACTTTACGTGATTTACTATATAAATTACATGAAAAATACGTAAATAATTTTTCAGATAAGTCAAATCAATACACTTAATTCAATATTTGCATGCTGCAATACGCCAATTCTAAAGAATATTGAAATTTCTGTCACAAGAGTGTGCTTATTATAATTCATTTTGTGACCGAAGCTTGAAAATTTCGCACATTACAAATTTTTAATTGAAAAATGATAAGTTTTAAAGTATTAATGACGAAACCTACCCCGAAAAAAATATGTACCATTGCGAAAGTTTCCCTGTATGGGACGGACTAGAATTCGCTTTATTTATAAATCCATAAAAGACGAAAATTCACGTAAAAATTCTCCTTTTCGACGACCTGCAAACAAAATTCCCATATATTCATGATCGTGGAATTAGATATACCACGGACTTGTGCTCAAAAAAATCACATTGGAAACGCGCCATTTTCAAGCGCTCGACAACGCTGTCCTCTTCTAGTTCTGGTCTGATGGGCGTGTCTTTTCCCCCATGCACATCTCAGTTTCCATTGGCTAGAGCTGAAAGCGAGCGGAGAAAGCGACTCACCCCCTAATTCTTACCTTCACCCCTGCGCGTCTTTCGCAAAGGTCAGCGAGCGCAAGCGACAGGGAAGGACGACACTTTGGTCTCGCACGCCGACTCGAGTGGATCGCGCTCAGACTTGCTAAGACGCTCTAAGTGAACAGTCGAATTTCAACTTCTCGATAGCAATGTTCAGAATAGGAATAAACTCCAAGTGCCCGAAAAATTCGTACGGTGATAACGAAGTGCACAGTGCGGTTCGCATCGGCGACGTCCAATTGGCCTATGACATGGTGCGTCGCGGCTATCCAGTCAACGAACGAAATGACGAGGACCGCACGCCCTTGAATATGGCCGTGCTGAACGGCCAACATGACATGGCCAAGATGCTGCTCTATGTCGGAGCAAATCCCAACGATGAAATCATAGACGAGGATTCATTGCTGCACTACGCGACCAGAAAGGGCGACGTTGCGATGATGGAGCTGCTGTTAAATGGTGGTGCGTACGTGGATGCAAAAGGAATCTCGGGTAAGACACCACTTTTCAAGACCGTCGAGAAGAGCCCGTGCGACGCCGAGTGGTTGCTCGAGCCCGAGCACGGCACCCAGTGTCTGCTCACGGCCATCGAGTGCCGCCGCCTGGAGATCTGCCAAGTATTGATCAGACATGAAGCCAACGTGAACGCCAAGGACCGCCATCAGAGGACTCTTCTCTACGTGGCCGTGAAGAGAAACTCCCACGAGTTGGTAGAGTTACTGCTGGAGCATGGTGCCGACATTAACGCCCGGGACGAGTCCCGGGAGACGGTGCTCCACCTTGCTGTGCGCTTCGGCTACGTTAGGCTGCTGGACTTGCTGTTACAGTACGGGGTCGACATCGACGCCCTCAACTTGAACAAGCAAAGCGCGCTTCATCTGGCCGTGGCCCACGAGCCCGCGAAAATCGGATACTACGGATTTCCGCACACATTCTTCGCTCGGCTACTGATGGTCGGTGCTCGCATACACACGAGGGCCGCCAACACCGACGAGACTCTGCTGCACACGGCCGTCAGGGTGAAATGCTTGATCTTTGTTAAGTACTTGCTTACCTGCGGAGCCGACGTTAACGCGACCGAACGCTTCGGGCGAAAGACGCCACTGCAATTCGCCGTGGAAGCCGAAAACGCTGACTGCGTTTACTACCTTTTGGTCTACGGCGCCAACCTCAGCGTTGTCGATTTGACCCAGGACATAAATAAAGAAGTTAAACGAGCGATATCCAGATATTTTACGCGGCGGGTCGCTGCCAACATGTATGTCGAGAAGAAGTACTTGGGATTGGTGAACGTCGAGGACGAGTTTTTTAAAGAGTGCGTCGAGGAAGTGGAGCGAATGATGACAACGGAGTTGTGCGATGAGCAAACTTACTACGAATTTCTCCACGAGTATCGACGTCGGCTCGCCAATGCTGTAGGCAACGCCGACCTTGCTAAGATATTCCTACATCATGCACACGTAGTGAATCCAACTGAAAAGAGCTTGCTGCAACGGATCTTCCCTCTGTATGTGGATATGCTCTTTCAGAATTATTGCGTCGGTATTCGGCATGCGCCAGTCCTTGCTGCCTTCGACGGGCTCACGTACCTTCTGCAATTTCCAGCCGTGGTTGTCGACATGATTATTAAAATGCTCAGCAGATATGACGTCAAAAGTTTAATTTATGCGTTGACTAAATCACTGGACAGCAACATATGCAATGTTATAAAAAGCGAAAGCGAGTTTCATCTTAATTAATATTTTGTTTATCATTTGTAAAAATAAGAATTTACTATCTTTTTATTATTTCTAGCTACTGTAAATATGTTTGTATAGAATTTTTAGTTTAACATGGTTTTTGGTTTATTTATGCATGTATTTTTAAATTAAATAAAGACGAAAAAATCTATACTCCTATTGTGTTACCTTATTTTCGTTCCTTTCTCATAAAATTTACTGACAATGACTGAAATATATATTTTCAAGTTTTTAATACTCTTAAAAATTTATAATTTTAGATCGTTACTTGTTTAATATTAAAAAAAAACCGATTATTTTAAAGAAGTTGCATAAACAGTTTAATCCTCTATCGTTTCATTTATATTTATTAAATCTAGTATACATAATTAAAAAAATATTTTTCATTATAATTCTAGTATTAACGACGATACTGTTAAATCCATGTCTAGATTTTGTTTTTTGATATTGATTTATAAATAATTATATACATGTTTTATATTAATAGATATATAAAAAATGAATTTGAAATGGAGTTCTGCAAATCTGTAGTTATTAATTTTAAATGTTTTCACTTCGTGCTAGTCCATGCAGTATCTATGAAACAATAACAATTAGTAAAGCTAGAAAAACAGTTTTACGAAAAATAGAAAATTAATATCTTTCAACTTATATCATTAAAATAAACATAATTGTAATACAATTCTTAAATAATTTTCAATTTACATGTTTTTTCTCTTTGATAAATGTGATTGAAAAGTTAATTGCATTTATATATAATTACAAAGTTCTAATACTTACTAGGGTCAATGAATTTAACAACACTTTCGTGTGTTAGGCAAATGCAACCTCATATATTAAACAATGATGTTTCGTTTTGTTTGAAATTTCAAAATTACTTTTCTGTTTTCTGATACCGACACTGCCAATAACCCTGCAATATTGCAATTTGATGAAATAGGCATAGATTGGAAAATATTTCATTAAATCATTGGTTTTCACTACGAATCTAAGTATCTCATTATTAGCATACAACATGGCATCATCGAGATCAAGTCGCAGAAAGTCTTTGAGTGATATATGTTCACTAAGTTTGATGTTCGTCATACAGGTAACCTCGTTATTCCTCTGATTTTTCTTATACTCGTGAGTCTCTTCGTCAAAGACGTTGGTATTCAACATCTTTCGACAACTGTCGTCGTTCTTAGGATTTATTTCGATACCAAGAGCTTTGAGATCCTGCACGTGGTGATAAACCATAGCTGATTTGTTGCAAAGCTCGAAGACAGTTTGGTCCTCATTATTCTCCAATTTAATCAATTCCATTTTCAGACAGTCTGTAAGTACATATAAATATGTAATATATTTTTATGGAAGATGAGTCACGTTGTTAAATACATTTATCAAGTTTGAATTAAATTTGATTTTTTATTGCCTGAAATGCAAGATTGGTTTCTCGCAATATTAAAGCATTGAGATTTCGTTGAAATGGAAATATGAGATCCAAGCATATGTCTACGAAATTATTTTACAGTAGTTGTCGCATTTGTTTGTGTCTAAAAAATCCAAAATATGCATATTAAAGTTTTCGGTTGTTGCGCCTTCATTGGATGATCTTTGTTTATTGTCTTGCCGCGTAAGGGCTTAAGAAAGCGTCACATCTCGAATGGTAAATAATATAATTTACAAATATCTCAACAAACGTGCATTAATGTGATTTTTATTTGTAAGTAGTTCATAAATTATACATGACAAAATTATTGAAATGGAATTATCAACAAAATCAAAAGAATAAACTTACTAATAAATACAGACTATTAAGATAAACAGCTTGAGTATATGTTAAATGTCGATAGCAAGTATGCGTAGTAGTAAGAGGTAAATGCAACAAGTTATCTTGATTTTTGATTCATCATAGTAAATGTCACGATCTGGATCGGTGGAAATAGATTGATGCAAGGGCTGTATTCGGCTTTTTGTTCTTTCAATCCAGAATTCCCTTTTGTTCTTCTTAGTGACAATATATGAGAAATTCTATCCGATTTCCCTCGCGTTATTCTTTCGACTCCCACTCCCTGAATGACATCTAGCCGTGCAGCAGAGCGGATATAAAGTCGGAATCGGTAAGTGTTCCGACGTTATAACGGCCTCCGTCTCTCGAGATATAACAAAATAAGCCCGTTATAATTTTCAAATAGACATTAATTTAGCGTAAAGCTATTATGAAATACCCGTCGATTTAAAGATAGATTATAAAATAGTGATTGGAACCAATGTATTTTTATATCATTGAAGCGAGTACAAATTTTGATTAAGTAAATTAATTTTTTTCAAAAAGTTATTTATGCCGTGAAGAATGTAGCTTTAAGACAAAATCGTATTTTTATCTATTCGAAATTTAATATTATCATCCAAGAAGTTATGGATATTTACGGGAGCCATAGCATACACTGAACGGTTATCAGTGTTTTTTGTATTAGTCGGAGATTCTTAGAATTGATTTTCAATTTTTTTCAAACGATTACCTTATTTAACATTGATATGGCTTTTAGCTTGCAATACGTAGCAAAAAGCATTGCACGATGCGAAAATAAAGCAAAGCCCGGAGAATTTCCATTTATTGTTTCCTTAAAAAACAAGCGTCAACGACCATTTGGTTTATAGATGCATTGAATCTCTCATCAAAAATGTTTTAACAGCTGCTCAATGCGCTATTGGAAAAGATCCTCTTCAGGTAAATATCATCAGTAGAAGCTGTAAATAAAGAAAATCAATTGAATGTTTATGTGATTTTTAATTTTATCATTATTTTCAGTTATTCTTAATTGAATTCGAATTAATTATCATGGAAAATAGTCTACTCGGTGAGTTCCCTATATTTGAATAGGAAAATAATGTTATTTACCAATGTTTTTTTAATTTTGGGTATAGATTGAAACTAGGTTTTATATTTTCAGGTGTTTCAAAATGCTGAATAACTTCTTTATTTGCAGTATTTTCAAAAAACTAATCAAGCGCGCTGATGACCGGATTAAAAAGTATATTTTTATTAAATTCTTTCTAATTTAAATTAAAAGTATAAATACATTATTTATTCTACCATAAATGCACAGATATTAATTTATACGTGAACGTTCATCCGAAACGTACGCAAGCAAACGTTTGCGTATAGAAGCGAAGATAGAATTGTTAAAATAACAAGCGGTTTATATTTATTTTATTCCATTATCTGTAACTATGTAAATTGTAAAAACACTTTCGTATATAAATTTATCGAATTAAGAAAATAAAGATATAAAGAAGTAACACGCTTGTCACATGCACATACTCACTTTACTTTTTACGCACGCATACACATCTTACTTTTAACGTTTAAATTTTAGACTTTTTTAATATTAATACATATGCATTTTTTTAAACTTTGGTACTTTTCACTGCTGAGTGTTGTAAACTATTATTCATTAATTTTAATTACGATTTAATTATGATAATTAATTATGATTTATTAATGTCAAATAAATGATACTCTTCAATAATTATTAAACATTTTAAGTGCTCTTATAACTTTTCACTATTTTAATTTTCACATGCTTATTATGTGTTTGCTGGGCCTATCACTTTTAACTATTAACAATGCTAAATTGAATTATGAACTCATTCACAAACTGACACTAGCATCTATAGATATAGCTATAAATACAGGTAATCAAGTTATATGAAAATAATTATTGATAGTATATAGATATTCAATATTCAAGAGCAATACGTAAATAGAGCATCATAGTATATTTTGAAAATAAATCAATCAAACTGATAAAATCCTACATAGTACTTCATTTTTTGTTCTGATAAACTGGTTTCTTCATCATTGAAAATAATTCAATCAAAAACTTTATCATCTTCATTATAGTCACTTTATTAATTCACTGTTGACTAAACTCTATCCTAATAAATTTAATTTACATTGTTTTCCATTTTGAATCATCCAATTAATATGGTCATTTTTAAGAATAGTATTTCGTATTGCATGATTATAGAGCTTTTTCATAGATTTGGAAAGAGAAGTCATTGCATTTGACCCTCCAGCTAAATTTTATAATGGAGCTAGAAGATAAAACTGGCTGCTTTATATTATTAATCAGAGGAAAAGACTTGCCTATTAGTAGATTCTTTGGAATTATACTCTTAGATGCCTTTCCAGGAAAATAACTATGTCTAAGTAAACAAGCATTATTTCCTTAGTTTTATCCAATAGAATAAACATTTCCAAAGATACTCTATTATCTGTACTGTTATTCTTCCGTCCCTATGTACAGAAGTCATGAAATAATTCTACATTTCACTAGTAGTTTAAAACAAGTCCAATCCTTATATTCAGGTTTGTTTTCAACTTGCCATCTCTGATAATTTATGTAACTTTTGGCGTATCTGAGGCAAGTTGTCCAATTGACACGTCTTCCATAGCTTTAACGGTAAAAAGAGTAAGTTGCTTTTAAAAAGCGTACGTATACATTCGGTAAAAACAATGGGTTGTCACACGTCGGTAGAATTTTCAGTAGTCTTGTTAGAAGCATTTTTTGGTCAAAGTCTCAAGAGATTTATTGATATAGAATAAACGTTACGACGTGATTATCAATAAAAGCGTTTTGTTTGAAATGTTTCTATCTAACACGCGTAAACACCAATACATGCACCCATCGGTGCGGCGAAGAGGATGGCAACTGCCATCTCAGAAATTTTAGCAATTAAAACATTTGGAAGCAATAAAAAACGATTATTTCATCGTACCCTTGATTGTTGAGATTCAATTTTTTCAAACGCAAAATTAACAGACGAAAGACGGTAAATATTGCCGAACGCAGACAGACTCTTATTCATTTTCCCCTCCTCTCAACACTGTAACGGCGTAACGTTGCTCTTCAAACATCCGTGTCGTATACCTTATTCTATATGTCGTGTACCATATATTAGAATACATAACGTTCCTGATTTCTACATTAAAGTGTTGTCCGTGTTTAGGGAAAACAAATATTTATTTTGAATTTAAAATAATAGCAAACAATAATTAGAATCAAGATTCAACTAAATTGATTTTAAATTAATTAATTAACATTGAGATTTTAGTTTTTAATGATTAACTTTTTTGTCACATTATCAAAGTATTTATAATCAAATCTACAACTCATATATTATCTTATATATAATATAATAAAATTATTTTAATTGAGGAATTTATTTTTGCTCAAAGAACATGCTTGTAGTACTCAAAGATACAAAAAAAAATTAATATTTTCAATTAACATTGAATATAATTTTTATTACAATAATATAAAAATATGAATCGACAATAAAGTTGTTACAATATAAACTAATTTAATATAACTAATTTACTTCAGCACTGTACTTTACTTATTCATTCGTTCACGATGCTCAGCAGCAAAGTGTAAAATAACAATATTTTGAGTTCTGATAGGTAAGTGTTTTGTTGCTTCCATCAAATATAAAAAATCGTGCAAAAAATCCTTTGGAATTTCATCTTCTTGAAGACTCCTTTCTCCATATCCAATAGAACTATCTTTACTAATATTACAATGCGTATTAACAGTTTCATTTAGACTTTGTGTACTACTAGTTTGAATATCCAATACCTAGATAATAATAAAAAATGATCTTAATAGTATATGTATCAGGTGATCTGATTTACCTAAATTATAAACATGGTAAGGAATAATATAAAGCGTTTCAAGAAATATTGTGTTTATATTGATTAGCTTTCCTATGTGAAATTAATGAGAATTTATAAAATATACTCACATTACAAAGTTTCGTGGTTTGAGTTTTTCGGAGGCGATATTTTAAATAATTATTCTCCATGATAATTCCATTAAGAGTAGCAGTATCATATTGCAGTAAATTATTGTTTTCTAATGTATCATAGTGTTGGTATGGCCAATTTTTGAGATCTGAAGTATCCAAATACTGTAAAAAATATACAGCTATATTAGAATATTTATATTTAAATCTATAATAGTAGATTACGTTGATAACATAGTATAAGTAACTCTACATTTTTTAATTTTTAATTGATCTCGAAAACTTGAAACTTACAGAAGGATCCAAAAAGTCGACATATGATCCTTTAATCAACATTGTTTTGAAATAATCTGCAAAAAACTGTTGTACTGTTTGTGACGTCATTTAGCAATAATTGTTCGTAACAAATGACGATAATGTTCACGAATTATTTATTTTATTTTATTATTAACAAAAGTTCTATTAGTGGAAACTTTTTACGGGAACTGGACACTGCAAGAACTGCGTGCGTAATGTCTGGTCATGTGTAATATCAACTGTCATGTGATGTCTCGTGACGTCTTGTCGCGTGGTGTTAGCTCTAACTTTCGAGCTCTAACCATTGGCCTGGCGGTGGCGACCTGTTCGATGTTGAAATCATGAGAATGTTCATTTCATGACATGTTTTTGGATGAAATTAACATTCTCATGATTTCAACATCGGCTAAGATCTCATTTATGCTTTATAACAGTTTATCATATCAATACTACTCAGAATGTATCCACAAAAAGTAGTACCGATGAAAATATACAGCTATTTACAAAAATAAATTATAGGGATTAATTTCTTGTTGTAAATGGCTATAACATCTTTCAAGTAGTATTGATGTAATAAACTGGTATAGAAGCAAATAGAGATCTTATCTGATGCTTAATTTATGAGAATGTTAATTTCAATACATATCTTGCATTCAATTATGTTCTCATGAATTCAACATAGAATAAGATCTAAATTTGCTTTTATACCAGTTTATTAAATCAATACTACTTCAAAAATGTTATAGCTATTTACAATAAGAAATTAATTCATATAATTTATTTTTATAAATAGCTATTTATTTTTGTCCAATGTTTTTTGTAATGATTATCACTTGTGGCAATTGAAATTGAGTTCATTATGTGAGCATTATTACATGATTGACAGCTTGACACATGTAACGACAAAACAGTTGATAATCATTTCAAAATTATAAATAAAAGTCAGTAAACTTTATATTTTATATTCTTAATATAATAATTGCACTGAACATTCAAACTAATTTATTTTATTTCAGTTTTTCTTCTATATATTTGATCCTGTATCCACAAATCTATATTCTTTCAATATCTTGTAATGAGATATTGATAGAATTTTTTTGTTACATGTTAGATAAAATATACAATGCATTTTATGTGTATTTTCATAGACAATTCAATCAAGTAATACTGTTGTAATGTTTGCAGGATTGAAGATGTTTAATGGCACATTAAGGATGGAACCTTACATCACATTCTACCAATTTATAATAGTGGTATTGAGATTTCCTATACGATAACTAGAAAAAAATAGATAAATAAGAAAATTTATGCACCATTCATATCTCAAGAAACCGAGTAAATGTTTTATATCAAAATTATCTTAATTATTTAAAAATAGAGTTTTTTATTTATGGAGATAACTTATTACAGGTGTATTTGAGCAGCATCAAATTATGTTTGCTTGAAAGGTGACAATTTAGCACTATTGTTTTATATAAATATATTTGAACCTAATTCGGAGCCTCATTCAATAACAATTAACACTATATTTGGCGCTGGTGCTCAAGGATCTTACACTACTTCCAGGAAACATACCTGCAATATCTATTAGAACCGACAGTAATAACAGAAAGCGCGTGGTATTATTTGAGAAAAGCCTTGAAATTATTTCACGCGATATGGATGGAGAGACTTTTTGTATATGTTACTAATTTAGATAGCAAAAAAGTAGTATTAAAGTCATCATATATCAAAAGGAGGTGAATATAAGAAACTAATATACGAATCTAGCGATGCAAGAAACATTTACTTATATGATTCCAATATATTTTACATATTTCAGAATAAATGAAATTTATTTTTAGATTACAACAATTACCATAACTGAACTTAGCGTAAATGAATCTTAATCTGAAAAATTAGCATATGTAACAAATAGTTCACTATTTAAGCCTGCGATCGTTGCGGCCGATTGTTCTTATCAATCACAACAAGCGTCAAAAAGAAAAACGTGTAGATTTTTACTCTTCTCTAAAGACAATATACTGTCAGTTTAGTCCAACAAAATATCATCTAGACTAGAGAGGAATCTATCTCACAAATATTGTTACCATTGAAATTGTTGAGTTGCCAATGTCAGATCGTGATCAAGCACGATCAATATAATTTTAATTGTTTTATTTAACAGTTAGATGAAATTCCGTCAATTTTGAGTTTCAAGTACATCTTATTCTAATTCAATAAATCAATATATTAACTAACTTTCTTTTACGAATGGTTGCTGTTTGGTCATGATGTTGATAGTTCATGTAAGTAGCATATACGTGTAGGCGACATCAACATTTAAGTGTGGAGTTTGATTTTTCATTATGATTTTTTTATGAAAGCATGATTTTAAAAAGTTGAAATTTTAATTTTTAATTTTTCGTTAGCATAAGAGTTCTAGTGTTTATTAAGCGTTTGAAAATATTATTTTCAGGCATTTGAGTATCAATATAAAATCAACTATATTGTTGAATTATTATTAGACAACAATATTTTCTTAGCGTGTTAACTCTTTACAAATAGATTTTTTTATTAGTTTAATTTATTTAATTGTTTTAGTTTTGTTAAATGTTGAACTGACTAAATAAACTGATGTATTGCGTTCACTAGGCTTTAATTTTTAAGTTATTGCAGTATTCTTTTGAGTTGTTAATAACGATTTTTTTTCTATGTTTCTTAAAAATCTATTCTATTTCCATAAATAAATAAAAAAGCCTGTCTAAGTATCATTAGTGAATCATAAAGTTCTTCATTTGGTTGTGAACTATAATTAAATAATTCTGTGACTACTTTAGCTAAGCTTGATAAAATCGATTGACTTTCAGAATCTAAAAACTGAAAATCAGCACTCATTACAGTTTTTTTGTAAAGAAAATATTTCTCAATCCATTTCTTCAATTTCGCTTGACTTTTTCTAGATTTTGTAATTAACTGCAATAAAAAAAATAAAATAAATAGTTGAAAATAGTATAAACAAGTATATAAAACTAGTTACTCACAAATTGGACTTCAAATTTTGATGTAAAGGCCAATCATTCTCACAAGCTTTGCACTTACAAAGAAATTTGTAATGGCGACAAAGATCTTTTCTTCTAGATAGAGATTCAGAACCATAACCAAACCCATAATCGTCAAAAATCTGAAATAAAAATTGTAAATTATGAAAATAACTTTTATCCACAAACAAAATATATTAATTATACCTGAGATCCTTTTTCTATTGGGTGAACAGCTAAAATCATTTGTTGAGGCTTGTTGCCATTCTCCATTACAGGAATCCTAGTAACATTTGGATTACAACTATGATTAAAAAGACTGCAAAACAAATAAATTACTGCACCAAGATCATGGTTTTCACCTCTACGGTCATTTTCAGTGAACTACAAATATAAAATTTTTAAATTTCTAAAAACTAATAAATTTTAGCATATTCATTTTTACTTACTACATGACCATTTGTTTCTAAAGTCATATATTGATGAGCTATTAGTTTAGCCACAAAAATCACTTTTGGATTGTCTGATAATTTTTTAATACTTTTGTCAGAATTTTCTCCAAAAAATAAGGTAGAAATGTATGTGTAATAAATAATAATGGCACTATCCAATGTAAGACTAATCAGCTCTGTCCATATTCTTTTACTTTTATGAGTTTCAAGGCAGTAAAGTGCTCTATAAATATCACTGCAATAAACACCATCTAACAAACACTTTTCTAGTGGATCTGAAATTAATCACTGTTATAAAGTCGACAATTAAATTAGTGAAAACTTTTTCTCTCACCTTTGATATCATCAATACGGTTTAATTCTTCCTCAAGCTTTTCAATGCTGCCAGCTTCTCTGATGGCTATTAAAGCTAATCTCAGACTAAATGATAAACAATCATTCATTTTCATATTAACAAAATAGCCTTTAACAGAACATTCAACATCATGATATTGTTTCCATGCTTCCTCTCGACATAATTCAGAGCAGTACATGGCATAAACACAATTAGGACAAGGAATACTGTCCCATGCTCTTGCAAAACAATGAGAGCAATGAGTATAAATGTGATCTAAATACAGCTGCAAAGTATAAGGTCTCTCGATTACTAAAACTTCTCCTACACTAATATTACGAGTTGCTACAACATGCTTTCCATAGTTCACATTATACTTTATATCCACAGCATCTGATGCACAGGGGATCTTATTGTTTTTTACAATATTTGGTAAAGCTTGTCTTATCATGTTACTTTGAGACTTTTGCATATTAAATTTTGTAGCAGACTGTATGTTTTTTGTAATTTCTTCTTTATTGTTGTCACTTAATTGTACATTTTCCAACCATTTCGTGGCTTCTTGACAATCATTATCAGCTTCTGGTTTACCTAATAACTTCAAACATTTGGCTTTTCTTCTTATTAAATTAGCTCTATAAGAATCAGGATAACTTAATTGTAATGTTTTGTTGATGTCCCTTACACACTCTTCATAGTTTTTCAAATGATATAAAACTGCTGATCTATTAGCATATGCTAAAGGTAATTCTTTAGAATTATTTTCTGCATAAGCTATACTTTCGGAATAAATTTTCCATACATGCAAAAGTCCACTTACTGTGCCTTTTATTTCAAAAAATAACTTATCAGCTTGTTGACGTAAAGTGTTTGATCTAACATTGCTTTTACATTCATACTTAACATTTAAAGGAACTATTTCGTTCAGTACTTCAATTGAAGTTTTAATTTGATGTTCAAAATCACTTTGGATAGAAAATTTTAGGCAATATCCCGCAAATTTATTAGCTTGAATAAGCTTTGACTGAACAAACATTTTGCAAAATAAAGAGTTCTCAGGCGGTCTCGTGATCCATCCATTTATTCTCTCTATGGCCCTCGTCACATATGCGCATATGCGCGCGTACGAGCGCGTACAAACGCGTACAAATCGCTAAAAATTTTGATAGTGCCAACAACAGAAAGTTACTACTATTCCTCGCATGCCCCAAACGAACACACTTACTCCCGGAACAAACGTATCATAACGCTATATTATTGAAGCTTATGATACGTTTGTTCCGGGAGTAAGTGTGTTCGTTTGGGGCATGCGAGGAATAATAGTAACTTTCTGTTGTTGGCACTATCAAAATTTTTAGCGATTTGTACGCGTTTGTACGCGCTCGTACGCGCGCATATGCGCATATGTGGCGAGGGCCTAAATATCACAAAAGCAATCGATCGAATACAATCGATTATCAAACTTTATTCCAATCGACTAATCGATTAATCAGCTAAAATAATCTAAAACAATCGGATAATCGATTAATTGGCGGAAACATTTAAATAATTATAATTTATCCAGTGTTTATTAAATAACGAAATTTATCGAATCCAACTATTATTATTTTCAATGTTCTACTATACAATAATGAAATTGATCATGGACCCAATTAATTACAATAAATTTTTTCATAGAACTTTTACTTTTTGAGTTTGAGTAAAATGAAAAAGACTAGGTGCACAACGTAAGTGACATACACAAATTGATAATCCCAATATGATGATGTGCAAGACGTGATAAGCTCAAGCACAGGTTTTTGCATAATTTCCATCGAAATTTATCTTGCCTTTTTGTTTTTTAGTTTTGTTATTGAATGTCGTCTTATCTAGATATTTCAATATTTTCACTGTTTCCAGTGATTTGATCCTCATCCTAGACGTTGAAAAAATTCATTAGTAAAATAAAATTCGTTGAAGCTTGATGTATATTAAATTTAGTTAAATTATATTCAGAATACCATAATAAAATAAATATTTTTTTTACTTACTATTTCTTAAAATATAAATGATCAAATAAGTATCATATTAAAAATAAAACCAATATTATAATCACACATAATTAATTAAATAATTAATTGAATATCTTTGATTTTTCAATGTCACTGGGGTGGGTTGGGATTTAATTGACTAGTCTTCCGTATCTAAAAAATTTATAATAATTTTTGTCGCGCACACGCAATTTTACTTCGATTTCGATTACAAGTTAAAAATGAATCGAGCTACGATCAATCAATGGCTCAAATAATCGACTTGATAATCGATTATGTACGAAAATAATCGGACGATTATTAAACATCGATGAAAATCGTCCATCACTACTAATCACTGCTCCTGACTTGCTTGTTCCGAGTCGATAACGCATTTTATGGCATCAGTTTGTGTTTTTCGTTCCGATGTTGATTGTAACCAAAGCTTTTAATGGGTTTTATTGTATGTACCTACAAATATATGTGTATTTGTTCACACTTGATTTGATTACAAAAATATTAATAAGGTACATTAATCTACAGTGGATGCTATACATGTAATGATGTTTATTTTGTTTTTAAAAAGACAAAATAGAAAACACATGGTGATTGAAAATACTAGAAGAAAGTTATTTGATATTGAAAGTTGCGTGACAGTCTGTGACAGTTGACAATATTGCAGGGTTACGTAATCAATTATAGTGAAATGCTTGCGTACATAGAAACTAATAAAATCTATTTGGAAAAAGCTTTAAGGGAATTTCTGCTCAAGGACACATCTGACGTTGGACATCGTCCATCAGAGTGAAAAAAGGTAGTCAAATTATATATATTATTGTACCAATAATGTTAATATATAATAGATTTATATTTTTCATCGTTGTTTGCATAACCCAATAACCCAAATTTGTTTTTTAATTTGATGATCTTGTTACACGCCCGATATCCTGTAGCAGTAAGCCTCTATAAATATAACATTTTAGGGGAACTCCCTAACATAAGATGTGGGATCCCCCGTAAGTTGCCATAAGCATTATATAGCATATGGCATATTCAGGGTTGGACGATTCTGTCAGCGAGATTTTTCTTGCCTGCTGTTTTGATCCGCTGAATCTAAAGTTTCATGGCTGGATTATCGGCTCGATTATTATTAATCAACAATTCAACAATTAAAAAATTATCTTTTGTTTGCAATAAACATTTTTTTTATTTTTCGTAACAGATATTTAAAACAAAAAACATTCTTAGCAGTTGTTTTTTCCAACTCATGGTTTTCGAGAAAAAAAATGGTCTTGATGCATATTTTGATCACATAAGGAAGCTCTGCTCCAAGATCTTAAATAAGCTCTGCTACCTGCCCTGAGTCAGTTCTCCCCATAGACAACATCTCAAACAACGAATCGGCAATATGCCAGAGCTTTTTCCGTACTATTAATTTAATGTTCAGTTACGCGAATTAATATTGAGAGTGTATTATTCTATAAATTTCTCTCTTCCTTCAAAATATAAAACTTTACATGCAAGTAGGCTGTCGCTAATACCTAGAACCTAGCCTATTATCAAGTCAATTTTTTAGTTGTAAATATAAAAATTGTAATTGAACAATTTTTATTACAACTACAAAACGACGATATCGAACTTGATCGAACAATGTACAAAATTTGCCGCGTCGTAATTATAATAAAAAATGTTATATTATAATCTTTACTTGCCTGCAACTACAAAATTGATTTAAAAATAGTCTCTATAGGCTCTAAAGGTATTAGCGGCAGCCTACTTGCATGCAATTTTTACTTTAGGACAAAAATGTAGTGGATAGGAGGGTTGGGGGAAATAATATTATAAATAACATTTTTGAACAACTAAATGATGTTGCGTTATTGAGTATTTTATAGTAATAAATTATCTTATCTAAGTAAAAGTTTTGTAAAAAAATGGTTATTGGTAAAGGATAGTTTTATCCAATTATTTTTTTAGTATATTAAAAAAATTGAAACTAAAAATATAGTGTTCTACTAAATTTTACAATAGATTAATCGTAATTTTATTTATTTGTTGATTTGTTTGAGGTTTCAATTTTAATTTGTATTTTGTCTAAGCATCTGTACTCTCTTTCATCATACCATTGTTTATATGAGTTTTACATTAAAAAATACAACATAAAAAGTGTTACATTTTCTTCATAATTTTTCCTGTAGAATCGATTGGCAAACTTAGATTTATAAAATAACTTTTGTCATAATTTGTTTAAATAATTTTTTATAGACAATTGAAAATAACAAATGTATAATGATATAGTCAACATTAGTTTTAATGAATAGATCTATTTTTGTAAAAAGAAATTATAAGAAATTATTACAATATATCAAATAAAATACTACAGCAAATAATCGCTATTACTCAAACTTTATTATCCAGTACGAATCGTTCTACTTTGCCTTGTCCTAAATGTAACAGTTCATATATTACACAATAAAATAAAATAATATGTATTTTAAATAAATTGTAATTCATTTTATAATACAATTTATAATTAAAATATTCTGCAAATATAATCATGATATGTACATTTAAGATTCCTCTGTTTAGCATGACATAATATGAATCAGTGAGCGGTAAACATATTTTTACAATTTGGTATCTGGTGTTAGCCGTAGCTAAATATTTTCATAACATTAATTTTAAATAAATACAAGGTTTTTTAACTTAAGTATAAATAAAATATAGATGAAGCACAATATTCATTAGATAACATTTAAAACATTTTCAATTACATAATTAACATATTTTATTTTATAAACAATGCACAGGAAGTAAGAACATACAATTAGTTAAACTATAATTGGTTCAATATTTATTGATGCATATGTTAATTAAGGATCTTAAAAGATACTGAAATTCAAATCAGCAATGACAAAAATACCTAAAGTTTCTTTAACACTATTAGGCATGTTTATTAAATACTGAACGTGTTTCCAGTCAATGAAATAAGTATATATAAGAGAGTTCATTTTCATGTATTAAAAAATTTTTTTAAATGTTTGATGATATAATTATATGCTCTAAGTCTGAGTTTCCTAATAATTTAAAAATTTGTTCGGAAATCTCCGGTACCGCAAATCCTGTTAAAGCAAACAAAGAATTTGTGGACAACTCAAGCAGTTTTGGTCTTGCTATAGCTTTTCTATACTGCAATTGAAATAAGCCTGCGAGGTTAGGAAAACGATATCTCATTGATTGAAATCTCTCTGGAGAAAAGAATTTCCTTATACCTTCACGCTTCACTTTAGCCATGGTTGGATAATAAGTAACGACACCAGTTTCACACAATAAGTCATAAAGAATGATTCCATGCGGTTCAATTTCTTCATGTTTAGCATTTTCAAGTTCATTAGAAAAATGGTCGTTCAATATTTCTGGGTTTCGATAATTTCTCATAGCTTGGGCTGCAAAATTTGCATTTTGCTGTATTACGTGTAACCCACACGCTTGCAACTTTTTGATGTGAGTTAATAAAATTTTGCGCGTTTTATAATGCGCGCAAGTATTTTCAATATGACACTGATTGCAAGAAATAAAGTCATGAGCTAATGCAGTTGTCCCATGATTATCGATTACGTTAATATCAGCACCGGCGAGTAACAATCCCTTAATGGCTTCGAAGTTGTAAAATTGTACAGCGATGTGGAGTGCAGTTCGACCTTTTGAAAAAGTAAAAATTACTATATAAAAACAATTTTTTTCCATGTAAAATAAGCAATAGATTGTTACCGCAATCGTCTTGTTCATCGATATCCTCAATTTCCGATAACATGTCAATCAAAGAAATATATATGTCTGCGGTAATCGTTGGTGGTTCTACAGCAACGATATTGTGAATGATTGTGCGGCCCATATAATCCACTTCGATTTCGGATATATAATTTACAATCATTGCGGAAATTAAATTCTGCATATCCTCGGTCCTGAGCTTAGTAAGAATTTCACCTAAGTAACCTTTATGAGTGATACCACAATGAGCATTCAAGCTACATCCCAATCTTAACCGAGACTTTAAACCGTCTATGGGAACAGTCATTGATTCTAAAAAATATTTTAGTGGCGTCTCTCCTAATACGTTCCTAGTATTCGGATTGGCTCCTCCTCTATAAAAAAGAATACAAAAATATGTACGTAACGATCAGTATGATTAAGATAAAATTTGAATATTATTATTAAATCAAGAAATAAATGAAACATAGATGGATAAGTGAATACTTTGCAAAAACTGAACTGTAATATTTCCATAAGTAATGAGTGATTGAGAATATATAGTTTTTTTTTAATTTCAGTGGTATTTTAATTAAGTTTTAGATTTTTTTTACCAGAAGAATGTCTTTCGTATATGGGTAATTCTTGGCTATTTCGATTGACTTGTAACCCTTAGGTTACGGATTTTTTTTTAATTTGGCACAATTGTTGTACACATAAAACTGAGATTTTTCCCAAATTTCGGAGACGATACATTAATTATATCAAAAGTTATTAACAATTAAAGAAAAATGATAAAAAATTTTCAAACGGCTATATTTTAAAAACTAATAAAGATATCGAAGTCGGATTTTTTTCAAAATACTTATAATGCCTTAAAATTTCGAAATAATTACAACAATAAACAATAAAAATTTTTTTTCGAAAGTTATTAACTTTTTGTTTAAACAATTGCTAATATCTCAAAAAGTATATTTTTTTTTTTGAAAAATTCTTGCTCCTACGTATTCCTGAGGATTTTTGCTATCGAAATCATTCATAAAATTCAAGGGCCCGACATATCGGAAAGCGTAGCCCTAATCAAAAGAAGACGCCTCGGCGTAAGGCTGCGGTAGCGCTCCAGCGGACTCACGGTCGAAAGGTACTTTAGCTTTAATCTAAAAAACTAATAAAGATACCGAATCGGATTTTTCCCAAATTACTTATAATACCTTGAACTTTCGAAATAATTACAACAATAAACAATAAAAAATTTGTTTCGAAAGTTATTAACTTTTTGTTTAAACAATTGCTAATATCTCAAAAAGTATATTTTTTTTTTGAAAAATTCTTGCTCCTACGTATTCCTGAGGATTTTTGCTATCGAAATCAATCATAAAATTCAAGGGCCCGACATATCGGAAAGCGTAGCCCTAATCAAAAGAAGATGCCTCGGTGTCCGGTCGCTTTCGACCGTGAGTCCGCTGGAGCGCTACCGCAGCCTTACGCCGAGGCGTCTTCTTTTGATTAGGGCTACGCTTTCCGATATGTCGGGCCCTTCAATTTTATGATTGATTTCGATAGCAAAAATCCTCAGGAATACGTAGGAGCAAGAATTTTTCAAAAAAAAAATATACTTTTTGAGATATTAGCAATTGTTTAAACAAAAAGTTAATAACTTTCGAAAAAAAATTTTTATTGTTTATTGTTGTAATTATTTCGAAATTTTAAGGCATTATAAGTATTTTGAAAAAAATCCGACTTCGATATCTTTATTAGTTTTTAAAATATAGCCGTTTGAAAATTTTTTATCATTTTTCTTTAATTGTTAATAACTTTTGATATAATTAATGTATCGTCTCCAAAATTTGGGAAAAATCTCAGTTTTATGTGTACAACAATTGTACCAAATGAAAAAGAAATCAGTAACCTAAGGGTTACAAGTCAATCGAAATAGCCAAGAATTACCCATATATTGGTTCGTATACTGTTAAGAAAAATTCATTTTCATTTTTGTCAATTAATATACATGCTTTACTTTGTAGGCACTGCTAGTTCACGCTTAAAGTCTTTTGCAATCGATGTTTAGTGAATTTTCTAAAAATTTCTTGATCGAATGACAAAATGGGAACAATCGTAGAATACATACCTAATAAGTCTTTCGAAAAGATCAAATTGAGAAGTTAAACGGGCACACTTGTGTAGCGGTGTGTCACCGTGTGAATCTTGACAGTTGGCATTGGCTCCATGCTTCAATAACAAATCAATTATTTTAAGTCGCTTTGGGAGTCCGACAAATTGTCGATGACTGTCCGCAACTAAATGTAAAGCCGTGTAACCAGGTTCGTCAATGTGAAAGAAGTCTATCGGCGCGTTAATAATCTGATTGCAATTATAATTTAAAAATTTAAGGACGACGTCGGCGTTGCAAACATAGCAAGCGATGTGAAAATGGCTAACACCGTCCGTATTCACAGGGTTGTCGCTATAATCTTTTTGACCTTCCAGCAGCAAATTGATGCATATATGCCTCCACTCATCTGAAAATTAGTAACGAATTTTGACATTACGTATTATAAAAGACCGTAATATTGAAAATATTATGATTTTTGAAAGAGGCATGAATAAAAAGCATTACCGAATTTTACTAACCCGATATATCATCACATAAAAAATTGTACATCATGTGTATAACAGTCTGTGTTTGTGCATTCTGTATTGTGACTTTAGCGCCGGCTACCAATAGTACTTTAATTATTTCACGCATATGTTTTGCTATAGATATGTCATCAATGTGGATAAGAATGTGCAGTGGCGTGTATCCTGCCCAAATCGGTGAATGTGTTCGAAGTTGTGCATTGACGTCTTCTCCTGTGGCAATAATTCTTCGGATAGCGGAGAGATCAGAGTGGAGACAAGCAATATGAAGTGAAGTCATTCCAGTGTCAGCTTGTAAACGAGCATACATTGCTTGATTCCCTTTTAACTTTCTTACGAAGTAATTAAAATAAATGCTATGATTAACCTTAATAACTTCATATAACATTATTTTTCCTTCCGCAAGTGACATGAAAATATCAGCACCACGTCGTAACAACAAGCTGACCGTACTATAACAGTGTCTTTCGTAAGCTATGGACAACGCTGAGTGACCCGCATACTTTTTCACAAACGACAATTCTTTGCATTGCTTATCTATATATGATGGGTAAGTTATTATTGCGCTCATATCAGCTCCGATGTTTAGAAGATGTCTCACAGCATTTACATTCCCACAAAAACACGCAATATGTAAATGACTTAATCCAATACCATTGACAATGATTTCTTTCATGAATGGTGATGTCAATATAATATCACCCATTTCTTTACTTTCTCTGAGAAATATCATGTGTATAGGAGTCAAACCGAGGGCATTCCTTACATTTACATCTGCACCACAAGACATCAATGCTTCTACTGCTAGGGCACATCCGTTAACAACTGCAAAATGCAATGCCGTTGATCCACAGCATAGATTCGGGAAAATAGGAGATTGTCCTTTATAGGTAATATTTACATTGAATTCCATTGTTAGTATTCGTGCAATAATTTGAATATTATTTTGAGCAGAAGCTATGTGCAGAAACGACAATCCATCTTCATCGACAAAATCAACAAAGCTAGGCATTTCATTCATAAAATCCAGCAACAGGTCGAGCGCTGGTTTTCTATTTAATCGAAAGGCGAGATGAATTGCAGTATAGCCATGAATATCTTGACTAAAAAAAATATCATTATTTTCGATGCAAAGCTGTTTCACAATTGCTAGACTCATCTTCTCGCTAGCTTCGCTAGCCTTATTTCTATTTTTAGCCAACGTTACAGCTAAGTGCAATAGTGTAAATCCTGGCCACAATGGTGAGTCACAAATACGAACACTTGTACCCAGTCTTGTTAAAAACATATGAAAGTTTTCTATATTTTGCATGGAATAAATTATATCATATAATCTTGTTTTGCCATCCGAAATTACAATATTTTTGCAGTGTATTGTTGTAGACATAATTTTATAAAGATCATAATTTTCATATTTGTCCAGACACATGTCCAAAGGTGTGAGTCCTTCTGCATTTTTAACGTATACGTTTGCTCTTCTTTTTGCAAGTGAAATAAATAAATCAAGATTACAAAGAGCAGCGAAATGTAATGCAGTATAGCCTGCCCATTGTGGTGAATTCATATTTATGGCATGATCAATATTTATATCTGTTTGCAAAAAATGTTCAGCATATGTTGAATCTTGCAATACACAACTTACATGAAAATTAGACAAGCCCCAGTCATCGGTAATTAGTTGATAATTAGTACTCAGTGAGTTTAACATTAACTGCAATATTTTATCAATAGTGTTTCTCACTGTTTTATCTGCAGTAATATCACTAATAATTTCTAGTTTTCTCTCCAATGCTATATGCAGGGCTGTCATTTTTTTAGCATCTCTCATTTTTACATTAGCACCACAGTTTAAAAGTAAATCTACTGTTTCAAATGCACAATATTTTACAGCAAAGTGTAATGGAGTAAATCCAGGAAAAAAGGATGCATTTGCCTTGACAGCTTGATTAGTGAATTCTCTGCGTAGCAAATAACCATTTACAACTTCAACATTGTTGGTTGCACAGGCAATATGAAAATGTGAAAATCCATCTTTATTCGTAGGATTTTGGAAGTTCCTGAATTTGGAGTGTGCTGATAACAGTATGTTAATTAAAGGATCATCTATTTTATATTCTTCATAAAATAAAGTATAAGCACTATCATCTACCATTTTATGAAGTGGTGTTAAATCCTTTTCATCTTGTATAGTAAAATCAGCATTATAATGTAACAAAATATCAAAAACTTCGGAATCACTTTTATCAACAGCAAAATGCAGCGCTGTATAACCAATCCATTTTGGATGTAGAAGCTGCAAGTATTCAGTACTTAAAAGTCTACAATTAATATTTTTAAGTTTACTAATGATCCAATTAATGTCATATTTGTATTTAACGATTTCTGAGTCAAGAGCATGTCGAAATTGAGCCAGTTTTCTGTTTAGTTGTCTATTTCTTATACCAGTGAACATTTTGTTATAACAATATCATTCATGAGAAATATTATATTAGTGTTGAATATATGCTCTCTTGTTATATAAAAAGTTGATAACTATGAGGATGTTATGTTGTTTCTGAAAATAATAGCATCACAAGTGTTTCAGATGGTATCATAATATCAGTAAAAATTAAGCTATATAAAATTATAAAAGAGTTTTTTCATGAAAACAAATGTAGTGAATGATCCAAACCAAACATCAACAAATAAATCTGTTCTTTATTTTCTGCCTACCTTACGAATGACTCTCAATAATAAACCCAATTTACTTCCTGCAACTGTAACCTAAAAGTAGAGAAGTTATCAATAGATAAATCATGAAAACATTACTATTTTATAGACTATATATCTAGAAATAGATAAATAATTATAAAATTCACTAATCATACTTTTGACAAGCTAATTTATAATTCATAATTTACAATTTATATTACAAATTCCATCTACTTAAGATCCTGAAATATTGATTTCAGTTAAGGTCCCTGGAATTAATGGTGTATACCGATTCGGACTTAATTATAGGTCAAGTGTGGCAAACATAAGGTTAAGTTTGTTTATTAATTATAGTACACGTTTAAATAAAATTGTTTTTGTTTTTACTGTAACGTTATAGTAAAACTTGCATTAACTCACAATAGATTAATTTGTATAAAACAATGATTTTGATAATTTTTGTGTAATGTTACTTTTAGTGTTACTGTTTGTGAAATAATTTTCGTCGTAGTAAGACGTTCATTAGTATTGACAAGATTGATTTTTATAAAATAACTAGACCCGTCTAGCGCGCGCTCATAACACCTTCATTTTTTTATCAACTTTCAACAGCTGTTCAAAAATCAAAAGTTTTGCAAATGAACTTCAATACTCTAATACACGATGAAATATATATGTGATTATATAATTTAAAAATTTCACAACTGTCAACTTTGAATATTAAATAAATAATCAATTAAAGTTTGGGAGAGGTAAGAATGATTTCATAGTTTTATATATATAAATATAGAAAAAATTGTTAAAAATATTACTTTCTAAGATATTTATTAACGTGTAATCTTATTTATAACTTCATATTATAAACAGCAAAGTTTAGTTGACCTATTACGGTTAAGAAGAATGAATAAACTTACTTATAATTGATTATTTGCTAAGATTTTAGGTTGAAAATTTAAATTAATTTATCATTTTCATAAAAAGTAATTATTTGACTAATTACTTGATATTTTGCTTAATGTTAATACAGATATTTACGTCATTAGTCAATTACAGTTATTACAATTACAGGATAAAGATTACACACCAGTACATCTGGCTCTCATGGGAAAGGGTAATTTTAGGCATTACGTGGAGTCATTGCCGAGTTAACACCGTTAATTTATTATTGAAATGCAAAGCAAATGTTAATGAGCGAAACGCTTGTGGAGAGACTCCGTTTTATGTTGCTGCTCGCTTTGAGTTTCGTAAAAGCCTTTAAAAGTAAAAGTGATTCTTATCGATTTAATTAATTACCTGTATTTATTCGTCGATTCCTATACTTTACAAAATATTATATAACTGCTATTAATGCAAACCAGCGAATAAAAACTCATTTTATAAATACTAGACTAATCTTTTTAGGTTTTTTTATTCACAGAGGGAATGCAAATGTGGAAGCAAAAATATGTAAGGATCAACATTAGTCTTTGATCAAAAATGAAATTGGACATGTACAGCAAGAATTTTCTGTGAAATGTAATTCTAAGTTATAACCTGAGTTTGTACGAGATAACGCAGCCGATTTCAATGTAATAGGATATATTACAATTACAGCCCGGAGTTGAGCTAATGGTAGCTTTAAACAATACTTTGGATATAATAAATACACGTAGCCATGACTTAACTTTATTCAACTAGGAGTAGCGTTAACCAAGCAAATGTGATTTTTTGGTCCTTAGACTCAAATCTAATATACGAACAATAAAATAAATCAAACAATTAAAAGAGCTTTATTCATTGTTGGTTTTTAGAATTAAAAAATACTAATTCAATGGATTATTGCAGATCACAATTTTGATTGAATGAAACCAAAGATATGTAATACTTTTATTTATTAAAACTTGAAAAATCCGTACATCTTGAATTATATAACTCTGCCATTGACTTATTTTATTAAATAAGTTGCACAGTGCTTCAACTCTTTACGAGATATCCTCATAATAGATAAAAAAATCGAATCTTTTTTTTGTATCAATTGAAACTATAACTGTTTATTTATCCTCTTATAACAAAGTGATGAATACTATATTAATGTATTTTATTCGTGATTTTATTGGTTGAGTTATTGCCATACGTGATATACATACTATTATGTGGTGGCAAATAAGCGTCTACATATGATTTCGAGTTGAGATTTTAGTACTATAAATTCAATTTATCATAAATAATACGGATCATTTTGAAGATAACGAGAGTTACAAAAATAAGTTATAGTGTTATTGTTTTAGTATATGTTATGAAACTAGCAATGAGTGAATTGTTTCGTATAAACATGAGGTTATACTTTGGAATTGTTATTATTTTTTTATTATTGATCGATATTCCGATATGTGAATGTGTAAGATTAAAATCAATGTAAACGTTCAATAGTAATTAAACCTGTATAGTTGAAAAGAACTAAAAGATTGTTTATAGTAGTTTTTGGTAAAATAAATCATAAATTAGGAATACGCGGAACTATTTGCGTAATATACATTTTTCCGCAGTATGCTGTGAAAAAATTGAAAAATTCACCTTTGAAAAAAGTAACTTATGTTAAATACGTTGATCAATATGACAAGACATGAAAAAGAAGACAGCGCGCGAAACGTGTCTGACATGGCTAGTACCGTTAAAATTTCAGAGCGGAAACGCAAAGAGTAAATTTTATTTAGGTTTTTTAAAGAGGAAAGCTCAATGGAAATCGTGAGAAACTGAAAAGACATTGCAGTCATTTGGATCTCCCCCTTTGTCAACCTGTTAACGTTTGCCAGCCGTGTTTACAGGGGCCATAGGCTTTCTGTTAGTGAGAGCGAGCAAGAGTGTGTCTGTTCAGCTGGCAACTTCGGCTAGCAAACTAGCAAAAAGAGGAAAAAACATATTCAATTATTGTTAACTAGACGTCATAATGGTAAGAAAAAAAATTCAAAAATTCTAAAAAATAATTCTTTCAGAAAACTATATTAAATTTGAAGTCAGCGATTACAGAGATGTTACTCATAGTCAAGTACAAACTATAGTCCGATTTTTATCACAGTATTCCGTAATGTCTATAATGTGAAACTTATTTTAATTCCTTGATTTCGTGTTCATTTTGAACCATCTATACGAGTTTGTGAATCAAATATTAGTTACGTTATCTAGGGATATCATTCAATTAGTTCAAGTGTATTGGAATTTTATTTCTAATTGATTGTTATACATTTATAAAATATCTTAATTCTTCTCGAATTTAAGCCTAGAAGTATCCAAAACTGCAAGAGTATTCCAGAATTGTCGATAATATGAAAAAAGTACTTCTTAATTGCGGTTTTTTTAATTTTAGTTGAGATAGCATTTTTCTGTCCTCAAAAAAAATTGTATACAATACATAAGATACTTTATGACTTTTTAAAATAATATATTACTGATAGACAAATCAAAAAAATATAAATTACAATCGATGATGAGTTTTTACGTATCTCTAGTTCATCGAACAATTTACGTTTGTAATTAATGCTTTGAATTTATCGCGTTGTTTTCTTTTAAATTGCGAATTTTAAAGGGATGTTTTTAGTACGTCCTAGTTATGTTACTTTTATCACGAATAATTAGATTTAGCGACACATTCGTATTACTTTTTATCGATTCTCGTTTTTCGTTATTCGATTTGTTTATCATTATTCGATTGAGTGATTACTATTCTCGTTTAACTACATTCGATCGTGAAATAACTTGCCTATTGTCAATTATGTTCGTATGATAGGAATATAATATATTATTTCTGTTCAAATGCAAACTTACAAAATGCTGTTATACCAAAGACAACTTGCATTTTAATAAAAATTAAATTTCGTAAAAATTTCAATTATTGTATAATAATTATTTCAATTACCTCAGAATATTATTGTAACACGTTCTGGTGAACTCTCTTTACTAATAGAAATGAGTATCCAGAAGAATATTTATATACACGTTATAAAAGAACAGCTGATCAACTTCCTCACTGAATAAGCAACGAATATAGATGCCTAAGCGGATTAATAAATAAAATTTAACAAGCTCATTATCAATAGGTGTAATTATGAATTTAAAAGTGAATTACAGGATTAATCCTTTTTATTTCTAAATTCTTTACAGCGAGGTAATGCTATTAAATAAAAATGAAAATTCATATTGTTCATGTGAATAATTAACGGAAAGCATATTTCATTTGGTTATGAAGTGGTAACTGAAATATTATTTCATTGATATGGTTTCGATTTTTTCAAGTAAAAATTCAATTTCACTTAACTGCTATACTCTTTGGCTACAGTCACGCATGTACAATTACGGATGGATGCGTACGATAAAGTAAAATCCTCTAGTATTACTAGATTATTACTAAAAAAACATAATAATATTTGATATTGCCAATGTATGCAGTAAAATCACTCTATATCAAACTTTACCAAAATACAACCGAGCACACTCATTCAATATATCCTTCAAATTAATTTTAAATTGCCCGACAATGTAAAATAAAATTATACAAGGTACACCAAGAAAAATAATCTAAATGAACTGATTAGCATTCTGTATGGAAGAAGAACAAGTTATCGGGATACTCGCACACAAAGATTAGCTTATTGTCAAATTTTAAAAGCAATATCAAGGATTTCATTAATAGATAGCTCTATAATCAGTGACTTATAGCAGTAGACAAATTATGGTGTATTCAGGTCCACGTAAACCTTTCTGAAGTTATTTAATCTCAGTTGTTTATAGTCTTTAGTAGTTGTATGTTCGCGACTATTTGCTAGAACTTCTAAAACATAATGACTTTTTTGACAGTTTGATACGAAAAATATCACTAAAGCCTTCCTTAAAGTCGCGCGCTTCCGTCGGCAATCCGCACGTACACACGTGGCCGGGTCCTTAGACGTTTATAAAACAACGTTGTGATCTGCGACAATAGAATTAAGTTGATGGTCACGTGATCTGGGTGCTCACACAAGTAAGTCGTTCAACGTTCCAAGCATATAGGAATAGTGCATTACGATTCAAGTGCGGGAAAGCAGATTCTTGTCTCGTGTGGCGTTTACGCCCGAGCGAAGCGAATATGTGCCGTGCCGTATTGCTTGTTACGGCACGTGGAAAGTGCGATTTTCAACGCACGTTTTCTGCCGAGCGTGCGGGAAAGATGCACTTGGCGCACGGAGTATCGAAAAACTTATTTGTCTTTCGTTACTACTTTCTTTGTGGAGAACGTATTTTCAACGGAATATTTCTGACATTGAAGATTTTATTCGTGAATTGTAATTTTGAGTCGTTCAAACAAAATATCTATCTTTGCTTTTTTTCATAATCAATTAAGAATTTACAATTCTTTTGACATAAATTTTTAATATTTTCATAAATTATTTGAGCTTTATTACACATACATTTAAATGAATTTTGTCGAGATATTGTACATCAAATAAACGGTCAACTTATACTTGTGAAATCAAAATGCAATTGAATTTTAAATTAAGTGAAATAATAAAAATAAAAACTTTTTAAAATTCAAAAAGATCAAAACATCTTATACAAGTATCGATGAAACTCTACATTTCTTTTTGTATAATTTTATTCGGATAAAAATTTATTGATTCGTCTTTGATCCTCTACGGAAATTATTGTAAGTTACAGTATATGAAACGGTAAATTATTTAACAAAATTGATGAAGTTTTGTCAAATTTTATGATCGTCGTATATTTTTGTTGTTTTTTAGTGATACAAAAAAATAACGTAATATAAATCTATTCATAACTATCTTCTAAAGGCGTGAAACATAATTCAATTGTTTCATTATGCGGCCTCAATATAAAGTTGAGTACCATTTTTATTTCTGACGGCTTTAGTACGCTAGAAACATGCCATTTACGAAGAATAGCAGTTAAAGCGGTTTTCAGTTCTAACATTGCAAATTTTTGGCCGATGCAATTTCTCGGTCCAGCACTAAATGGAACATATGCGTACGGACTTTTTGTATGAATGTTTTCTGGTAAAAAGCGATCTGGATCAAATCTTTCTGGATCGTCCCAAACCTCGGGATTCCGATGTAACTGATAAATATGTATATTCAAAATTGTGTTTTTTGGAATCGAATAGCCATCTATAAAAATATACGAATTAATTTATTTGCGTGCAAAAATGAATTTTTGAATCTGTTTAAAATTAGACTATATCTGTGAAGTTATATATAATATAATATTAATCATTACCTATAACAGCATCTTTATCTAATTTTCGGCCGATGAGAGGTGCACTAGGATAAAGTCTGAGTACTTCTTTTATGACTCTGTCTAGATATTTTAATTGGTTTAACTGTTTCGTTGTCGCTGGTTCAGTTCCACTACCAAATACCTCTTTTAGTTCTTTGTGCACTTTCTTTTGAACATCTGGCGCATTTCCGAGAGCAAATAGTGCCCAACTGATACCAGCGGAAGTCGTATCGTGACCCTGGATTTATTAGATGCGTAGATTAATTGTATGAATCATTTGATTGAATTAGATAATTCATGAAAGATAGTATTCTTACGGCAAACATAAATGTGTCGACTTCTTCTCGAATTTCTTCTAATGTTAATGGATTCTCAGTTTTTTCACTTGCGTCAAGTAATAAATCTAGAAAAACTTTTCGTTTTCGCGTGCCTAAAATGGGATTGTTTCAAGTTAAATAAAATTCATTTTGTGCTTTTCTTAAAAAATTAGAGGGAAAACTCTTAAAACAAATCGTAAGATTTTTCCAATCTTAATATAACAGTAAATTTATATGTGGCAAAAAACTTATAACGTTTTTAGTTGAAAAATCTGTAATTTCATAGTACTTTTTTTACTTGTTGAATTCAACATGCCAAGATATAGTGTGAAAAATACATAGCATCCAGTAATTTTTACAAGACCATGCTGGAATTTTACTGGTTCTCCTTAATAAAATTTTTTTCACTCACCAAATTCATCAACATCATTTTCATTTATAGCGCTTGGTTGGATATTCTTTCTTTCAAAATGTTTTTGTAGAATAACCTAAAACCAAAAAATGAAAAGATTTTAAATCGAACTCGCAGTAATAAAATCGCGGAGTACTATGGTTACTTTTACTGATCGTTACTTTTTCAGTAAAAGCGTGCATGACTTTCATAGCTTGTAGATATTTTTTGCCATCTTGAGTACGATAATAAACGGCATTCCATTTAAGCCAAAATCTAAAATATCTTTCTGTAGACAATTTGGAGAAACTGGTATAACAAAAAGCGATGAAAGTTAAGTTATTCATAACATTAATAATCATTTGCAGTATCACATTCTCAATTTAATATATTTACTTGTGCAATGCTGTAACATATTCACCATTTGGTTCCAATTGTGAATTAATGTTCATACCCATAGCGGCTTCGCAAATTGTATCGAGAGTATATCTGGTAGCCAACTCAAAAATGTTGACTGGAAGACTTTTATTTTTTTGAAGGTGTGATTCTATGCAGTCTATTAGTATCGCGACTTTGTCTCTCATAACAACTGCATATTCCTCTAATATGTTGAAATGGAATGCTGGCGTTATTAACCGTCTTTGTTTGAACCATACATCACCTAAAAATATTGATTCAATTCAGTAATTATAATCTACGTATCTCGAAAAAATAATTATACACTGCAATAAATTTTTTATTGCATTATATGAAAGCTATTACCAGTCGATGTAAGTAGGCCATTGCCGAGCCATGGCTTCATAATATCATAAATTCTTGATTTTGTTATATGTGTATTACTTGACAGAACAATCTGTAAATAATCTTATTTATTTAAAGATATTTTTTTATGGAGCTTATATTAATTACCTCCATATACTTTGGTGTATTCAATATTATAACAGGCTCGATACCGATCCAAGTTAAAATCATTCCTTTTTTGAATTTTCGACACAAGCCTTGAACCCATTGTAATCGATCTAAATGCAAATATCAGTAACAAAATAAAAATTTAGTACTGTATTCAATTTTTCATGGAAAAATATTTCTGACGCAAAGTCTCCTATAATTATATGCTAAACATTCGAAAACAAGTAATCCCCGATTAAAGTTACGATTTTATAATGTACGCAATATTTTCATCAATAAAATATAAGCAGGCATCACTATATTCGATGTGCATATTGTTATCATTATAATATTTATGACTTGGTAATTCTTAAAAGCAATCTAGAGAAATTATGTACTAAAATTTATTCTTTGGAATGTCAAAAAAATATAAATAAAATAAATATTTTAAGAATTCATTAACGGTCTGCAAGTTTTAGCATCATTCACTAACTTTCAATTCAACAATAAATATTATACAATGAGTTCTAAAAACATAGATTGCATATATTTATAATACAGCAAGGAAATTAATTGAATAAGGAGATACACTTTATAATTTTACTAGAATTTGATTGTATAGAACTTCGTTAAAAAAATTTTTTTCAGCTGCAATAACTTGTTTATGTTTTACAACTAAGTTTTACATAATGTAAATAAGCTATTTATTACAATATAGTTGTATAATCAGTTATATATATATATATATATATATATATATATATATATATATATATATATAGTTATAGTTAGTTGCAATAATCAGCTTGTCATGGCTAATAGTTTTTTTATTTCATGAATAATTATTGTTCAAAATTATTGCTACATTAACAGTCAAAATACCGATAAAATAAATAATTAACCCTCTGAGTCAGCGCTGCTAAAACAAGGACATTCAACCGTATTAAAAATCCAATCTGCTTTGAATCTATTTTTGAATTCTACAAATGACAATTAAAATACTTTAAAGTAGAATAAATTTCAATCCACTTTAGTATTTTTTTATCCTGAAATGAATTTTACGTATTATAATAATTAATTTCAGGATAGAAAAATATTAAAGGGGTTTCAGATCGATTCCACTTTAATGAATTTAAATTATTATTTGTAGAATTCAAAAATAGACTCGAAGCGAATTAGATTTTCAATCCTACTGAACGTCCTTGTTTTAGCAGGGAGAGTACAATGCTATAAAACATCAGCAAAATTAAATAAAGGCTAGATTTGAAATTACAACTTACTTGAAATATATAAATTGATTGAATAATCTATATTCTGCAACTTTTAATGCTTGAGAAATTAAATGTCAAATTTGATGAAGTTATGTTCTATCTCCAATTTTTAATATTGAAATAAAGCTGTGAGTCTAAGGGATAGTGTGCCTCAATAACGTGCAATTTTCCTGGTCTAAAAAAATTCTCCGAAAAAAAAAATAGTATTTTATTTTAAATGTGTCAATATTTAAATTTTCTATAGCTACATATATGTAAATAGCAAAATCAAACACTCGAACTGGGTTATTTGAGTTCAATCTCTAGCTTTTTTCTTCTAATTAACGTGAAATTTAAGTAGACCTAAATTATACATGTGTAAATTGATATATTAGCATATTTTCATTTGCAAGATACATTTACTATTTTGAAATCAATTTGATATGACGTTGGTACGTAAGTAAACAAATTGAAGAATCAAGTTAGTTTTTTCTTACCTTCAGGAGGTGTATTTATAATATGCCAAGATAAACCCACAAATGGCAGTAATTTAGGTCCAGGTATGCAACTCAAGATCTTTCGAAGTGTGTAATATTCCCAAAGCCATTGTCCAAAATAAATGCTAATGATCAATATCCCGCATTGTATTATTAATGGTATCATTTTCGGAAAATAGTACGATGAGGCGTTTATACGCTCATTCAATGTTTTTCTATCGCGAATGGCGAATCCAGATTCCTTGAGAGTCAGGGAACAACTGCGGCAATTGATAAACTTGCGTTACAAGCTTCCCATTCCACTACATTTCTGTACCAGATTACGGCAAATCCCCTCTTCAACTATAGCGTTTCTCTGTGTCGCCTGTATTTACGAGTGCTGTTGTTTTTATATTATTTTCTGAATTTCGTTGTTTAATGATAGATAAGTCAATGTCGAATATTATGTATTATTGCAATATTATAATTAAAAAAAAGCTAGTAAAAAGAACAGTTTTTTCAACAATTGAAAAATTCCATTTCACGCACAAAGTAAATAATTATAAAGTTACACAATAGTATTCGCTAGATTAATATACGTGCTATAATACTTTTTATGTTATGCAACAAACATTCTAAGTTCAGTAAACTAGATAATAAAATTCTGCATGTCATGCGTGACTCAGCAAATTATCCTTCGATGGAGTGGGAAGTTCAAAATTGTATGCTGAAAGCAACGCATGAACTACGAAAATTATATATTTAATACTGACTGATATTTTGGATTATAAAAAATTGTTAAAGAATTTAAAAAATGATGTCGTTTTCAATTACATATTCGATAGTCAGATAGAGAAAATTCTCTGTTTTGTTATCTGTCTTGGTTCATTCTATATATATACTTGATACGGACTATACTAAAACTCTTGAATTAATCAATTTTATTTACAAATGAAATAATTGAAAATAGTTTAAAAATTTTTTAGCGTAAAACATCTAAATGGCTGTGGTTTATATACATTACATTCTCTTTCTCATCTAACCATAACTTCAATATATTCATTTTAATATTACAGACAGAAATTTTATTACTGAATTCAAGTAATAAAATGAATTCAAGTAATAAACACCATAATTCCAAAACCTAACTTCTAATTCAACGGAAATTACTTGTTCATTTTATTTCTTTGTTAGTCTTACAGATTATTAGACGTATCATATTTTTATAAGTGAAATTCATCGCCACCTTATCTGCAAAAATGTGTTATTAATCAAAGTGAAATATGTCTGTGTGAAAATAAAATTGAGGGTCCCATTTTTGCAACTGAAATTCATCCTAAAAAGACTTAAATTTTTTAATTTTTATTTTATAAGAAGCCACGCATATTCTTAGCTAGAATTTTTTATCTCGATCGTCAAGCTACGACGTGTAACAGGCTTATTTTCCCCGTTTTTAGAATCATGAGAAAATTGTTTAGCGAGTTATCTGGATAGTAGCTTTTTTCTTCTCTCAAATAATATGTACACGTTATGAAAGAGTTCATTTTTATCGACATTGAAGTGAAAGACTCATAGTTAATTATACTTATGAAAGTTATCGATGAAGCAAATTCAATAAGCAGTAAGAAATTTATGATCGGTATAAATCGATTTTAGATCGAATCCAAAGGGTTCTTCGTTCATATTGGCTCTTTCAGTTTTTGTATATTTTATTTTTTGAACTTTTCTAAATATCTCATTTTCTTTCTATATCTTATATATATTCAAGTACTTTACTGTGATTAAAATAATTTCGAATATGTATACTTTTGTCTCGTGACTACTAGGATCATTCGCTCATAAAAGTACACACATTCCTGTACGAAAGAAATAACAAAAATGTTCAAAGAAATTATGTAAATTAAGTTTTTATTTTGAGTTTTCAATAACGTGACTTTTAGTTGAGTTTTTGGGCATTACATTAGATTTGATTCTTTTCACATTGTTAATCAACCATCGCAAAAAAATATTAATTTATCATACCGTAATGTGATTTGATAAATTTTTAATTTACAATCGCTTGTCTGAGCGTCACTTATCGAAAAATATTGCAATTCATGATGCTGTGAATAGTCATCTTGACGTTTTTTTATCACGCACAGTTTGGACTATATTAGTGCGATAAAAGACGAATAAAAATATGTTTTTATTCATTTAATAAAAGATTATCGATCATTTAATATTTACTTAACTTATATTATTGAAACATTTAACTATTATTTTATCAACAACACAAATTTAAAATTAAGAATAAGAAGTACATATTATGATTTTACTACTATCATTACCTTGGTTATTACATTCATGTAAAAATATATGGACCTTTGAAGAACAATAAAATTAAGTACAAAAATGAATTATTTAATTTTTATATTCACGATTACAAATATATTCCACACATTACATTGATATTTAATTATCATTCAAATTTAAGTATCATTCTTGAGAAATATGATACAAAAATAATAGATCAGTTTTTCATATTTCAAAGGAACTGTTATTTTGTAGAGTTCACTTCGTTATTAAAATATATCTCTAGTTATCGAGATTTTACGTAACTTTGAGCAAGTTTTTTCATCTTGCAGTTTATAATATATTAGAAATATTATTGTTAGAAATATGTAACAAAGAAATAGCATTGCCCTTTATTATTAAATACAGCATAGAAAATAAAAATGTTAACATTTTTCGAGACATTAAAACAAGCAAACCACTGTAAGACCATTAAGATTAGTTGGACGAATAGAAAATGATGTCGCTTATACTGGAACTTATTCTGATGGGCATAGCATTTAGAAGAATGTTGTGATAAGAATAAAATAATAATATATGGATATATTGCCAGTATAAACCTTAACAACGGCAAAATATATATTTGCGCTCTGCAACGTGATATGCGTTGTTACTACTAAATATAAAAGATTCCATATATAAAATAAAAGACGCTGCTCTAGACACATATAAAATATATAAAAACACATAAAATATAGAAAAACACTATATAAAAAGATTTGCAATATTTCTTTTTTTCATGTGAATTGTTCATATGAATTTTTTTGCTTTTTTGTTAAACAAAATTTATGAAATATACTAGTTTAGTCGAAAAATGGAAATATCAAGAAAGTTCAGATATTTCGGGGTTGTAACCGACGGCGCATCGTATTGTTGGTTTCAACTTTTATTCCATTTTTAAAACAATAAGAGAAGATTGAATATTTGTGTTTGGAAACGGAAATTCTCCAAGCCTGCAAGCAAAGACTAGAAGGGCATACTTTGGATGGTTGTAACTCAAACTACATAAAATTTGCGTATAATGTTAGTATAGGACATATTGAATGGAATTTCACAACATAATTTAAATCATACAATCATGCATTTTAAATAATAACAAAAAAAGTAATAATGAATATAAATAGAGCTCATCGTTTTAAGAAAAACTTAGAATTATTAGCAGTTGGAAAATTATTTACTGCTTTATCGATAAAATAATGTTATCAAACGCATTTTGAATGGCTTACAGAACTTGACTAATCCATTCTAAGTTTCTTTCACAAAACATACCACTACGATAAAAGATTGAGAAGAAATTTCAAATATTGGAAGTACGTGCTCTACTAATTTTATTTTAGGTAGTAACGGTGATGGTTGACTGTTTTGTACTGAATGAATAATCTTTTATACGCAACGGGATAATCGTGAAAACGGGAATAAAATGACTAACGAATATCAGATATAGAATATATTTATTATTGTTCCGAAAACGTAGAGAGAGTTTGTACTGCCTATTGAAACAATAGTCACTGGCTCATACTCGCGTTGTATGAAATAATTAAACGTGTATTTTTAATAATCGATAGATATTTTATTCAGTATAATTTACAAAGTTATTTTTAAACGTTGTAGTTGGGCGCGCCAAGTACCACATGCACCCGTGTTAGAAAGAGAAAGCATTATTCAGTCAGTTTGTTCTTTCTTTCTTTAACCAGGAGCGACGACACAGCAAACGGATTGATAATCTATACTTTATATATCTATGGAATACAGAAGACGAAGCGGTCTTCTACCCCTTATAATGTAGAAAAATTTAGGAGCTTCAAGTCCACTTAGCACTAATCAAGTTTGAAGTCCCAGTGCTCTTGGTGGTGGGTATGGGCGTATCCGTTATCAATAACTAATTGTTACACGGTGACGAATGATATGTGAAACTTTACTTTATATATATATATATATATATGCTATGGGTTGACGATATCACGATATGTAATGTATCATCACTTGATAACGTAGGTATCGTTTAATTGAAGGTGAGTTTAGTTTAGAACAGTGGCACGTACATACATCCGCGTTGAGTTTTAGATGTTCTCCTGCGTTTGGCAATCTATGGTATAGCACCCTGAACGCTTAGTTTATCTGTGAGCATATACATGGCTTTATATTTGTTTTAATAAATTATTATTATTTACATAGCAGATATTTCGCGCCATAATCATTCTTAAAAATGTCACGACAGCGTATAAGCTTAGATAACGTAAGTAATCTATAAGTTTATAATAAACTCGTCTATTGATTCTGTTTATATATATATGTTCAATCCGATACCGCATTTTCGATTCAAAAAGACTATCTTAAGGTGGGGTGCTTGCTTTCTAGCGCAGGGACGTATTGTTCTGGGGTCCATTAAAAATATTGTTAAAATCATCATTTTTTTTTTAAATCTCAAACGAGGTTATTTGCATGCATACAACAGTTTACAAAGTTTATGATGATGCATGGTATGATTTCAATTATAAATTACAACTTGTCAAGAACTAATCAATTATTATTTTACATATTAATGTTATGGTGTTAGAAAGCAGATGTAAGTACAAGTAAGGGGTACAAGGGTAGGCTAGCTTTGTATAATTTTTCAATACTAGCGACATCGGACGCGCTTCGCGCGCTTCCTTCTACTTTTTCATTTCTTATCATATCGATTAATGTATTTAACGTAATAAATTCCTTTTTTCAAAGGTGGATTTTTTATAGTGAAAAACTTGTATTGGTAAAATAGTTCCGCAGATTCTAAATTCATGAATTATCACATTGAAAACAGTCATAAACCATTTCTATAGTTCTTTCCAGCCATATGGTTCAAATTACTATTATACGTTTATCCTACTCTTTTGATATAGTTTACGATATTACAAAATTCTTTTCAATCTTACACTTTCAAATACCAGATTATCAGAATAATTCCAAAGTATAATAACCTCTCGCTTTTACCAAACGATTTACTCGCTGCTAGTTTTATAAAATGAGTGGAAAAATAATAACAATGTAGCATACTTTTTTATTTTCATTATTTTGAAAATTATCCGTATCAATTATGATAAAATAAATTTTTATTACTAATATCACAACTCGAAATCACATCGACATGCATATTTGCTGCCAATTAGATCACGAGTAAAATGCTTCAATATGGCATCTATCAATTTTTTATAAGGGGAAAATCTGAAATGTTATTTATCCCTGTTTATCAAAGATTGAGCGTTGGTATAAAATATATGGTTAAGATAAATTAAGAAAGTTAAGGAGTAATTGCAAGGAATCGTTTCGGAAATATTATAGAAAAATTGCGAGTGATAAGCAACGATAGGAAAATCCATTAACAAATCCACGCAATAAGGTTTTCATCAAGAAAAACAATTCCCAATATCAGATATCTCAAACTCGGTGTTCTTCAAACTGAATGAACGCTGTAACAGGTGGATGTGAAAAAAAATGTTTCCATTCGTTAGCAAAATTTTTCTTTTTTTTTGATAGAAATATAGATAACTACACATGAAAATTATTTTCTTTTTACGTTTTTTTGGCTGGCATAGTAAAATAAGCGCGTGGTTACGTGCATGTGTCATTACACTCCTACTCCACAATTATGTTATTCGATTGTAAAAAATTTTTACTAATTATGTTTTTCTCAAGGACAACTTGACCTTTGCGTTTTTAAGATATAATTAAAATATTACCAAATACTTGATCGAATTTTACGAAAAATCAACACAGTTTGTTAGAAATATGTAACAACGAAATAGCATTGCCCTTTATTATTAAATACAGCATAGAAAATAAAAATGTTAACATTTTTCGAGACATTAAAACAAGCAAACCACTGTAAGACCATTAAGATTAGTTGGACGAATAGAAAATGATGTCGCTTATACTGGAGTCACTTATTCTGATGGGCATAGCACTTAGAAGAATGTTGTGATAAGAAGTAATAAAATAACAATATATGAATTGAGAACAAATCATTTATGAGCGAATGCACATAAATTCTAATCATTGAATAATTATAATTTTTACTGGTACTGGGATAGACAGAGCATATAAGTATGATTGTGTGTACGTGAATGCACGCGCGCACGTGTGTATGTGTAACTATTTTTATTGTTTTAAATAAGAAGAATCTATACTTTAGATATAGTGATATGAAAATCGGAAATATATTTATGTTTTGCAAAAATATATTGCGTATAATGCAAATTTACAAAATAATATTTTCAAAGATTTTAATTAAACTGTATATAAAAAAATTAATAAAAAACGAATGAGTTGTACTTCAGGATAATGAAGTCACAACTAATCTACGGATCGCAAAGAAGACAAGTATAAATGAAGTGTAAGATTTAAATTTTATATTATAGAAAATATATTTAAGATATAATTTTAATTTTCATATTGCTATACTAAAATTGAATACACAATTTTTTTAGTAAATATAAGGAATAATTGGAATAAATTTTTTATAAATAAACATAGTAAATTATTGCTAATCTTTTGAATGTGCATATCTCTGATTCAATTTATTAAAATTTTTTTATGTAGTTGAAGATTTTGAAGTCTCAACATGTACACATGAAAAATCATCTCGAAGTACTACAAAAAATAAATAGAATCATTTTCGATGGATCTGAGAAATTACAGGTATGGGAGATTCTTTCTATAGTTCATACTTAGTTATTTATATTTCTATCATTAATAATTATTTTGGTTAATAGTTAATAGTAGATTTTGATTTTACTTTGACGAAACAACACCAGGACGGTGCAGTAGCATTGAGCAGTATGAGTAAGGATTGATTTTTGAATGTTCCAATCTCATTTTAAATTAATTATAATTGGTTATTTACAATTTATGCATGTATTATATACATGAGGTGCTTTAAACGTTAATATTATTTATGAACACTAAGATATTAAAATTTTTTTTTATAAAGATATCTTTGAAAAAAGTTTGCCTCAAGCTCGTACAGATGAACTAGAAGAGGTGAGAAAAAAATATCAGCCAATCGAAGTCGATCCAAAAATTCCAATTGAAGACAGAATTACAGCAATGAAAGAGTGGTTTGAAATCGAACACAAACTATTATCAGGACTCGAGTATAATCAAAAAAAAATCGAAGCAATCACTCGCAAATATGGACATTCACTTCGAGATAGAACAAAAGAACTTTTCTCAAAATTAAAAATTCATAATATACCTATCTTAGTATTTAGTGCTGGTTTGGGTGATGTTGTTGAACTTTTATTAAGACAGCATGACGTTCCTTTAGATAACGTAAAAATTATATCAAATTTTTTACAATTTGAAGGGAACAAGTTGATGGGATTAAAGAATCATGAAAATGTTATTCACACATTCAATAAAAACGTACATTCCAATGATCATGAGTATTTCAAGTTTGTCCAAGCTCGTAAAAATATCATTTTGCTGGGTGATAGTATTGCTGATACTACAATGGCAGACGGCATAGAGAATATTGAAAATTTACTAAAAATTGGGTTTCTTTATAACAACGTCAGCTTTTACATTCAGAATAATGACGATAAATTTTGTAATTATTATTAACTGTATTAAAATTTCTTTACAGATAGAGGAAAAATTACCATTCTATATAGAAGCCTTTGATATCGTGTTGGTTGACGATCAAACAATGAATGTGATTCTAGACATTCTTCATTTTATGTTCTAATATATGCTAATTGTATTCCCAACTAATATATACGCTTAACTTTTAGAGGCACTATAGACTCTATCGATTAATAAAAATAAATATAAATATACATCCATTGGTATCATTTTATAAACTTGCATACAATTTAAATTTATTTAGAAATGTTGTATGTTTTACTCTCAATATTAAATAGATAAACAATTTTATTTGCCATTAATGTTTTGTTGGTGAAATCTCCAGCCTTATCTATAAATGAAAAAACTACTAAAACTATAAATTAATAATTTATATATTTACAGCAATTTCATTAAAAACGTCTTAATACCTTAGTACAGGCTAGTAAATCTCTTAATATAAATCAAACTATTCTTGAAAATTGCAGACAGTTTATGAGATTAAAGAAATTCAAAGTCGAAATATTTTTGAAAAATTGAGAAAACATTGAACAAAATATTTGATAAGTTAATTTAATAACTAAATTTAAGGACTAGTTCATCTTACAATAACAAGAAAAAATGGACTAAAAATCTTTCAGACATTCACATCGTCACAAAACATCTGTGTTGATCAGAAAATGAAACAAAAATATATTATAAAATTATTTTTCAGATATGTGGTAGAGCCAGAGGAAAGCTGTAACAGAATGAAAATGTTTTTGTGTAAAATATTTACCTCTTTTGAGTGTATTATTTAAAACATATAAGGTAAATTTAATGTTCTTGTAGGCAAACTTAATTGTGAAGTCATTAATTATGAATAATAATTTCAAAATTGTTTAAACTCATTGAAAATGTTTATTTTTTTGCAGAAACGTCTAACAAAATAAAATACTTTAAAAATTGAATTTGTTCAAAGGTATTTTGGATTTATTATTTATTTGTGATTATTTAAAACTGGATTATTGTTTAAACAATGCATTGGGTTATTCATCATAGCTCGCCTAAATATTAATGAAGCAAAGAATCATTCCAGCAATTTCTTTCTATTGAAAATAAATGTAAAATAAGATGTTGATAAAGACAGACCGATAAGGTAATTAGTTATTAACAAAATACATTGTTTTTATATGTTTTTTATTGATATTAAACAAGCTGAAAATAAAATAATGACAACTGATGCGCTTACATTGAAAAAATATATGCATTTTTTTCGAATCAAAATGAAAAATGACATCGTTTACACGAAGGAAACTTTATTATAAAAAACAATAATTTGTCAATGAAACATTGTGCAACGATCCACATTATATATGTCATTCGATTCGTTTTGAATTGTAATTATTTTTTTGGTATCCCGAACGAAAATTCGTCATTTATATTAATTGTTTAAAATAAAAATGATGTTTATTATACGATTATTAAATATACATGACTAAATATTATACAGTAATTGGGTATTGATGAATTATTTCGTAATGATATCCAATTAGTGTATTTACTTTGTAAACGAAAACTCGTCACAAGCAGCTTCATAACTACATTCGAATGTTATGATCATTTATATTACAGTTACATTTTGTTTTGATCGCATTATCTAGATTATGATTATCGATGAAATTTTTGATTTATCATTTATTGCAGAGCACGTGTGCATTTTTACGTAATTCAATAGCAATTTCTACCCTCTACTGACCAATTAAAATTTATATTATACAAAAGCAACTCCATCAGCCGATATTTCTAAAATAAAGATTTCAATAAAATATACATTATTTTTAAATGTGTCTTGTTAATTAAATTTTTAATATCAGAAAAAGAAGTTTACATAATTCCAATAAATGTTTGAAGCGTTTGTCGGCTGGTTGGAAACGCGGAACGGAGGCGTGTAAATTGTTATTCGATCAAGATTGAATATTTCGCGCTTATGAAAGTTATTGCAATCAAATTGCTTAAAATTATAGTTGTTCGAAAAGAGTATAAGCACATTAATTGCAGTGCGCGTGTGTTCCTATAAAGATTATAGCGCCGCCATCTTGGCAATGCCGGGGAGAATTTTGTGTACGTTTTTCAGAGCTCCGACCGATCTCGTTGACATTCCTTCTCAGTTTTCATTCCGTGACAGTTCGTTTCCACGTCGACAAGTGAATATGTTCAAAAAAAGAATCGATAAGTAAATTATGTTAATGTTGAGAACTTTTAATCGAGTAACTGAATTCATTTTTATTTATACGATACAAATTTTTTTCATGTGTTTTCATTATTATAAAATACATGTCTACTGTTGATTAGGACATCATATCATAAATAAAATCGGTATCGATACATTATTATCTTCAACTGAAACAGGTAAGAAACTAGTTCGTTCTATTTGATAGATAGAAAATGAGAACATTTATAATAAATAAAATGAAAAATTATAATCATTTTCAATCTTAAAAAATCTAATTTAGAGTAGTGTTGATTCAGCTAAATAGAGTTTTGGTACTTCATAGTTATTCTGTTTATTATAAGCTACTTAATTTCACTTATGTTGAGTTAAATTTTGCATAGAACATGGCCTAGCCGCATTAAAAAATAATATAATTTCTTCCAGTTTATATTCATATAATTTTTAACAGAATTTCTAATAATTTTAATTGTTGCTAGCGGATTTCAAAATCAAGTCTTTCAACCATTTGATTCATTATTTAATTAACTGTAATTCATCATTAAGAGATTGTAATTATTTTCATTGACTACAATTATTTACACGTAGTAATTTTCCAGAGTTGTTTATTTAATTAGAACATTTCTCGTCTGTAGAAGCGTCATCGCAGAGCTAAACGCTCAAGTTTTCAACCATGTGGATAAGTTTAAAAAGTGTTGCTATGCTGGGCGCATTCATTGAATTCATATGGGAAGAAAAATATACCGAAGATTCATTAGACGACGACGTACAAGCTAGAAGCTGGTTACTGATGGAAGGAACCAACGTCTATGGTAAATATTGGTTCTTCAGGGAGATACTAAAGGTGCCTTGCGTATCTAAATCTTTATTACACAAAAAGTGCAGCATGCAAACTAAAGTAATGAACGATCCCATGTACCACGAAGATCTTCAGATAACCGTGCAAATACGTCTGATTTACAAGCTTCGTTTGCACCTTCTGCCAATATTAACAAACTGCGACGGCAACGTTAACTTCATCGACAAAGAAGGTCAGACAGTTCTTCACGTATTTTTTCGTTACTACGTGCAAGATTCAATGTCAGCTAGTCAAATGTCAAAGTGCTTGAAACTTGTCCAGCGTCTGATTAAATTGGGTGTTTCGATCGATTCGATGGACAATCAAAAACACACTCCACTGCACATTGCCGTAAAATACAAAAATTACAAAGCTGATTTAGTTTGTCAACCGTGGCTTCTCATCTCAAATTTCACCAGAAAACCGGCTTATGAGTCTGACTGGCTAACGATACTCAATCTCCTGATACCTAAAAACTACGACTTGAATACCGAAGACTATGATGGTTATACGTTGCTACATCACGCAGTGGAAAATGGCGCTATTAGCGTTGTCTCAAAATTGATTCAGCTCGGTGCCAATGTGAACTGCCGTACAAAGAGAAAGCGACTGACGCCATTGCATCTAGTGCCCACAGAGAAGTTTTACAGACCTTACAAAAATGCCCATTCGTTCGGCAATTTTTACTCCAATGACATTGAACTGCTGCTTGCTGCAGGTGCTGATATTAACGCCGAAGCAGCAGACGGAGTCACTCCACTATTACGAATTGTCGTTTATGGTGACGTCAAAGATGTGCGATACATGATCAACCGCGGTGCTAATTTTCTGCATCCGGATCAAGTGTTTGGCTTCACTCCGTTCCATTTGGCCTCGCACGACAGCATGAAGCTCCAACTGATGCTCGAAAGAATATCCTCCGATGTGCATCAACCGACTAACCGCGGCATAACTCCATTACACGTAGCGTCGATTTTAGGTAATGTTGACGCGGTTGATTTGCTGATTAGACACGGCGCTGATGTCAACTGCTGCACTGAAAAGTACAAATTAACGCCTCTTCACTTGGCAGTGATGAACGACAGTGAAATTCCGAAACTAGAGTCTCTTGTGGGCGTGATCGGTAGACGCCAGGCAGAGACAAGTTCGCTCTACGAATTATGGAACTCTTTGACATTCAATCGAGATCGCGCGGATTTGATCGAGCTGTTGGTGAACAGAGGAGCTAACGAAAATGCCGTAGATGTGTTTGGTAGGACGCCGTTATTTTTAGCGTCACGATGTCCAACAAACTGTGCTTTGTCGATACTTTTGAAATTGGGAGCTGACTTAAATGTCGAAGATCATAAGGGTCGTTTACCTCTACACAATGTTATCCGCAATAAAAATGCCAAAGGGTTCAAGCATTTACTAAAATATGGTGCGAACATCAACGACCCTGATGTGTATCACAATGTTGTGAATGCTCACGGTGAAATCAAACATATTGCACTTAAGTTTGCCATCAAGCTGCAAGCAGCCGACTTACCCATCGCTAAAGATTATGAAGTTCACCTCAACAAGCAAATATACCGATATCACTTTAGTAAGTGTTTGGACGAAGTGGAAGAACTAAAAATTTACAAGATCAACGACGTTCTTTCAGTCTATGACTTACTTCACGCAAGTTTAAAAAGTCAATTTATTTTTACCAAAAGAAAGCGTATACCTGACGATTTTTCGGTAAAATTCCCAATGTATTGTGGTATTATTAGGACTATCTATAATGAATCTAAGAAAAAGTTATCGCTCATGGTACGAGCAAAGTTTGCGTGGTATCAGACTACACAGCTTTATTTACCAGACTTATGCGTAGAGAATATTCTGTCTTATCTTAATAGTAAACACCTGAACATATTAATTACAGGCAAACGAATGTAACTTATAATAAAAGATCTTTTATTATAATTAATTGTTTGTTTAACATCTGGACGGTACGTAATTGTGTAGGATGCGAGCAATGATAAAGCATATATATCTGCTGTATTATTATCATTTGTACAACAATAAGTAATATAATTATGTTTTCTTACTATGTACAACGTCTAGTATCTCCTTGTGTAGAAAGCCTTCTATGGTCTGCTCACGAAAATTTTAATCAAAAAATGTTGGCTTTGTGGTATGATAAAAACACAAGCCCTTAAATAAATTTGTTATTTAGTAAAAAAAATACACATTTTACAGTATTTAAACAAATACAATTCAGTAGAATATAATTCAAAGCAGGCTTTTACTAATAATTTCAAAATATAACTTCTTAAAATCTTAAAACGATTAATTAACAGCATATTATTCATATTAATTACTCATAAATTTGTTGTTAAAATATAAATCTGACACTCCTAGATATGTAATACGAATATTTCAAATTATACGAAAACCAGTCACATTCACAATGCTGGTTGTCGGCGAATCATCATTTTTTTTAAATAGAAAATGGGAATAGGATAGGATTTTCAAAATTAATTTTCTATATATATTCATATGTATGTAAAGCAATTGAAAGCAATTGCAGCATATCCACAAGGATTGATATAGTTTCTAGTCAGCTTTTTTAAGTATCTATCTTTTTTCCCGTTTTCCGTTGTGTGCACGATCAACTATCGATTCGATTTCAATAAGGAAGTGATCACTGTTTATGGCCTTCTCAGGAATTCTTTATTAAACAATATATAAATGTGCTAGAATAGACAATGGTTACTAGTTCCAACACATATTGACATCTATCCAAATCATAAATTTTATTAAGATAATATTATTATCCTTATATAGAGAGTAGAATTATAACAAAAATTATTTCAGAAATGATTTATATTAACAATTTTAATAACACGATTAATAGTAGCGAAGATATAAAATTTAGTAAATAATACTCACGAATTAAGAACATTTTAAAAAAATTATACAATCAATAGCTTATATATTCTATACTTCAATTTTAGTACGTTCAAAAACTTCAGCAGTCTCTGTTACCATTCGGGCCGCTTTGTATATAATAGCAAAAATATTGACTGATTTTATTCTTGATTTGTAAATCTATTATAAGTATAATGCACTTACATATTTATGTTTGATAACCATTGTCTACTTTAACATATTTATATATTGTTGAATAAAGGATTCCTGAGGAGGCCATAAACAAATGGCGAAACGTCGAAATTAATAAGTTGGTTATTTATACCATCTTCGGGGATTTTCCTACAAGATTGTACTTTTACAATTTTTATTTGAGACATGGAAATAACAACATAATACAAGACTTTTACTTTTAATGGAAAGGTAATCATCAACATTTATAAAGTTTGTATATATTTCTCATATCTGCGTGTGAAATATTGTCTGTACTATAAAATTAAGCATTATTTAATGACTCGTAATAAATTTTATATTAAAAATTTTACTTTACAAAAAAAATTATTATAATTGTTCAATAAAAATGTTTCATATTAGCGACATTTTAAAATTGTAAATGAAGTAGAAATCTTCAGCAAACAATATTTTCGCATAAATTTGGATGTCGAGGATTATTAAGATGTTTTGTATTTTTCGATACTCCGTGCGCAAAGTGCGTCTTTCCCGCACATTCGGCGAGGACTGAGGGTGGTCCGATAAGTACTTAGCCTCACCACCCGATGGCGCCACTTTCGCAAAAGAAATATTCTATCACGTAGTACAACCTTCTCGATGGTTACTGTCAATATTTCAGCCGGATCGGAGTTGTAGTTTATTTTTGAGAGCGTGTGAAAGCAAGTGTGTCCGTTGATTTTTGAAAAATGGAAAAAGAGCAGTATCGGTCGGTGATTCGATTCTTGTTTTTGGAAGGGAAATCGCGCAGCGAAATCAAAAAGCGCTTGGATGCTGTGTACGGTGACTCTTCTCCTTCGATGGCGACCGTCAAAAATTGGTTTAACGAGTTTCAACGTGGTCGTACGTCGATTTTTGAAGAGCCACGTCCAGGTGTCTGAAAACGGCTACCACGGAGGATAACGTGACAAAAATTCACGATCTCGTATTGGCAGATCGACAATCGAAGGTGCGCGAGATAGCTAGGCATCTCAAAAGACCGCGTGGGTCATGTCCTGCATGAAATTTTGGGCATGAAAAAGCTGTCGGGGCGATGGGTGCCGCGTTTGCTCACTCCGGACAACAAGCGCAACCGTGAGAACACTTCAGAGCAATGTCTGACGCTGTTTAAGCGCAATCCGAAGGAGTTTCTGCGTCGTTTCGTGACAGTCGACGAAACATGGATCCACTGGTATACACCAGAGACCAAGAAACAGTCGAAACAGTGGACTTTACCCGGCGAAAGTGCTCCGAAGAAGGCGAAGACTGCCCCATCGGCCGGAAAGGTGATGGCCACCGTTTTCTGGGATTCACAAGGTATGATCTACATCGACTACCTGGAGAAGGGCAAAACGGTCACAGGGCTGTACTATGCCGAATTATTGGGCCGATTCGACGTCGAATTGCAGAAAAAACGGCCCCATTTGGCGAAGAAAAAAGTGCTCTTCCACCATGACAACGCACCGGCTCACACCTTCGCCGTCGCCATAGCCAAATTGGTCGAATTAGGCTACGAACTGCTGCCTCGTCCACCGTATTCTCCAGATTTAGCCCCGTGCGACTTCTTTTTGTTTCCAAACTTGAAAAAGTCACTCGCCGGGCAGAAATTTGAGCCGAATGAGGAGGTAATCGCTGCCACGGAAGCTTACTTTTCAGACCTCGAGGAAACGTATTTTTTAGACGGGTTAAAGAAGTTGGAGCATCGCTAGGCCAAGTGTATCGAATTAAAAGGAGACTATGTTGAAAAATAAAACGCCACTTTCCCAAAATTTTCGTTTTACTTTTGTAGGTTAAGTACTTATCGGACCACCCTCGTAGTACTTTTGTGGTAAACGTCGGCACTAGTGAAAAAAATCAAACATTCCCATTCCTAGTTTCCTACGACTCGTACGTGAAGAAGAAGCGTATGCGCTTATATGTAGCGTTGTCATAGGTAGGATAAACTTTCTTACGCAAAGCCGCAAAGGGGAAGTGAAAACGTGAGAATACAACAACCGTTAAATGATGGCTCCTAATAACACACATTTTTACTGAAATATAAAAATGATTGATATATTAGAAGATTTAAAAAATACTTTGAATTTTATTAAATGGAGCCGGCACCGCGTATATCAGCACAGTCAGCGATGCCGGCGACTTCAGTATCAGTACCTATATGTAATGTAGTCTAGCGTTATTAACGCGAAGCAACACATCACTCGTGGCTTATACGAGTTGTATCTGATCATTGTTCTTGTACTGCCGTGAGTGAATTGTTCCTGCCTTTCTTTGATAAGAAGTACGGAAATTTAAAATGTTTTTCTTTATAAACAAATAGTTATGCAATAATGTATCAATCACATTTTAGTTTCAAAAAACGTCAGAAAATACGTAACACTTTCTTTCATCATTTTCTAATTGCAAAACAAAAACCTAACCTATAAATTAGATTTAATCTATTATTTGATTTATTTATTGTATTTACTTGTCTATCAAAAGTAGTTACATTTTTGTTATAGTAAATATAATATTCTTTATAATAAATCACAATACTTCAAATAATATGAAAATTAATTACTCTTTCTGTTCTGTATAGTGGAACTTATTAAAGAATAATATATTTTATTTCACAGACAAGATGGATTTAAAAGATTGTATCAAATTGTGTACAAAACTTAATTATAATAAAGATATGCATAATATCAAATGGTCTAAAGTACCAAAAAACAATAAACCTGATCAATATCACAAAAAACCATTGCCATACCATATGGTGAGAAGCTTTGTTTAAATTTTGAGTAATTGCTATATGTCAATAGATAAATCTTGTTATAAAAAATGAGAGATAAATTCAATTATCGTTACAGGAAATGACAAGAAGTTTATATGAGCCAATTAAAAAACTTAATAAAAGTAGAAAGGTAAATTAAATAAATTTCATTGAACATATACCATATATTCATTTAAAAAAATGTAATGAAAATTTATGCTGATGACTATAAATAAATGTTTAGCATGAAAAGATAGAAGGTAAAAAGAATGAAAAGTTCCAAGTATCAGAAATTAGACAAAAAATTCGAGAGGTATTCCCCAACATATGGTTATAACATTAACAAATTTTTATAACAAAAATTTTTTTCAGGTTGGAATAGGATGGAATGCAATAAATGCTTTTGAAAAGCGCTATAGGGAATCTCAAAAAAAATATGCAACAGAAACCATAAACATAAATAGTAGTGAGTCCAATGATTCTTTTGTTACAGTACGAACTTCTAATACTGATACAGATGACTCATTTTTGTCAACTACACAAGATTTTGAGTATTTAAAAATATCTGAATCTGATGAATATATTCAAAATGATATTTTACATGGTGGTAGTAAAGAAATAGATCGTTACAAAAGAAATGCTCTCATGAAAGGAATTATACTAAATAAAGAGAACATTTGTCCCTTGAATTCTCTAAAACCCAAATCGAATAGTAAGGAAACTCTTGATTCATCGAACGGAATCCTAAGCGACGAGGAAAATTTGAATAAAAATAAAAATAAACATTATCAAACTTCAATAGAACCAGCCAAAAAAAAGTCTGAGCAAAAAGATCATCCAATGTTAAAGGAAACCCAAGTTTAAAACTTTTAGAAATCATTTTATAAATACTTTAAATGATTTTTTTTGTGAATTTGTTACTAACAAAAGTAGAAGAATTGAAGCAAATGCAAACAAAGACCAATATGAATTAAAAGTGTTATCATGGTTTAGGTTTGTTGTAATAGTATGTATCAATTGCATTTTATTCTAAGCTGTTTATAAAAATTGTATGTTGTATTTATTTCGATACTCCGTGCGCAAAGTGCGTCTTTCCCGCACGCTCGACAGAAAATATGCGTTGAAAATCGCACTTTCCACACATTGTATCAAAAACTACGGTACGGCACATGTTCGGGAAAGAGTTTCTCGTCTCGTGTACCTACCCACCCTCGCTTTGTTCGGGCGTAAACACCACACGACACAAGAACCTACTTTCCCACACTTGTATGGTAAAGTACTATTCCTGCAGGTATAACACATTTAACGACTTTATTGTAATAACTCTTCAAGCGTGTTATATACAAAAAGGTAGACTTAGACCGAGCAAAAATTGTTTACAGTTCATGCAATTTTGAGATTTTTAGATATGTATTCAATGTTATTCACAATCACAAAGTGAAATATAATATTTTGACTATCTTTAAATATAAAAGTAAAAAGATAGTTCTATATATTTGTTAGTAGAAACTATGTATAACTATAACTACTATAAACTATTTATAAAAGATACTCTTTAAAATTAATTGCATCTATTTTATTTATTTATTTAAACCAGAATAACATATATTAATATGAAATTATTAGATTATATATTAAACTCCTTCAATAGTCTTTACAAATCGAAAACAGTTAAATTGTTACAATATTATTCTAAAAAACATAATTAATTCTATATGTACTCGTGTATTTGAATCTAATAATGCATTGAACATTTTATCTTTTAAAATTCGTTGGATAGTGTTTCTAACAGGCTTGTGCATAAGCTCTTTAGTCAAGTCACATATAATTTTAGTTAACTAAAAATCAGTAAGCCTTGATCAAATCTGTTAAATTCACATATTTAGATCAATTGGAAAAAACACAATTTTATAGGTCTCATGCGCGAAGTATTTTGCGTATTTGATAAGCTTGGATGAGTTTGGAACTTCGAGTCAATTTCCGTCCGAACGATCCGAGCAATTGCGCAAGTCTAATTTTTAATTAATTATGCTGGTGTATGCTGTACGTGTATTAATACTTATTTCTTATTTATTATTGGAGTCACTGGTGAGAAATATAGCTGTAAAAAATAATTAGAAGTTATAACACATCACTAATTATGGTTATTTTTGTTTTAAAATTATGTAATTAAGTAGAAAAATGTGTTTTTAAATGTTTTAAATTTCATAGGTGGTAATGATAAATTTTGTAAAGAATCTTTGATGTAGCATTAGCATATTTGCAGAAAAAAGTGACTAAAACCTTCATTATCGTTTGAAAAGAATAAACTTACTATTTAGTGTTAAATTGCATATAAATTATACCTTAGAAAAATATTTATACATAGTGAAAACAAAGAAGAAAATAAGGGTATTAAAATTGATAAAATAAATATTTTTAAATTGGTATAAAATGTGTATTATTAGACGAAAAAAATGCAAGAGTTCGATATCTTTTTTATAACATAATACAGAACGTTCTTTTTAACAAATTCATTACACATATTCGAGCTATATAAAGTAAATTTATATATTAAATTAACCACACTACTATACGTACGCGTTAGAAAAACGTTTGATTCAACAAAATATCTCTTAATATTTACTCTCAATATCAATTGACAATAATAGCGATACGTAACTGTGACGTTACACAGAAGTATGACAGTGTTACAAAAACTATAATCAAATGAACGAAATCACAAAATGTAAAACAGAAAGACAGCTTTTTAAGAATTTAAAAAGTAATAAATAGCTCACAATAATAATATTAATAATAATAATAATAATAATAATAATAATAATAATAATAATAATACTATAAATGAGGAGATAATTTGCTACAATTAAATTCGTGGTAGATGTAATGTAGATTAAAAATTACAAATTGTTAAAAATTATTAAGCAAGCTTATTAGCAACGTAAGCATTTCGCGTTTTGCAATGCTGAAGAACACTTCGCCAATAGACATCTTGTTCTAACAGCTTGGGATTACCAATAATGACGAGTAAAGCTCGTGCACGTGTGATGGCCACGTTCAACCGTTCTCGAGCAGAGACGAATCCAAGAGCATGACGGATGTCCTCTTTGACTTTATTTTCTGCAGTTCTGACTGTTGATAAGATTATCACTTTTCTTTCTTGACCTTGGAATTCTTCAACGCTGCCGACTTTTGGAATCTCAAGATCGAAGTCTGCGAGCATATTCTTTATTATGTAGACCTGTTGGATATCAAGATATTGATAATATAATTTGAATCAATATTAAATTATTAAATTTCTTTTTCATGTACGGTATTTCATAAGGTATTCATTTCAAAATCGTTTCCAATCGAATCTAATCAACAAAAATAAATGTTTAGCTTCGTTGATTTAACTCTTTTACTTTGAAATATCAGAACATAAAAAAAGCATAATGTTAAAACTATCGTGCTGTGAATACACGATTTATTACCTGTTTAGAGTAAGGTGTAATAATTCCAACGTCACTGCACGAAAGACCGCAATTATAAAATTCCATTAAATAAAGGCAAACTTGAGTGGCTTCTGCATTGTTGTACCAACTAGGACTATCAGGATCTTGCATATTTTTCCCGTCGACTGCACGAAATACTATTGGCAATGGATCTCCTAATCTTTTGGGAAGCATATCTTCTAAACTTTTCAGCAGCTCAGCTTCTTCGCTATCACTTTCATGAATCTTAACCAATTTTAGATTTATATTAGTTTAGAAGAATTAGTAATTCAGTAATAGAAAAATAAACTTAATAATACTATTGAGATATACCTGAGGTATTAATTCATTCTCGTAAAAGAGTTTATTGGGTAATTCTAACAAGTCGGGTAAGCTCCTGTAGTTCATGAGCAATTTAGTGACTAGACGAGGATCATATCCAGTTTCAAAACCTACAGGATCTCTTTGATATGGAAACTGTTGTAGTAATCTAACAAGAAAACTGTCGTTCAAGCCAAAATAACCAGCGTATTTACTTTGATTGACGGGACCTAATTGTTTTGGATCACCAGCTAGTATGACCTGCGTCGAACTTGTATGTATCAGAACCAAAGGGATCATTAGCTCCGGTTCAGTAGCTTGACCAGCTTCGTCAATGACTACATGAGTGAAGTGTCCTGGTTTGCAACCCATGTTGTGCAAAATACCTACGGCTGAACATGTACCCACTATGATACGAGATCGGCAGAGAACGCTTAAAGTTACGTTTTTTTGGTAGCCACGAGCATCTCGAATATTTACGTCAGGTCGAGTGCCTTCTGCTGCAATGTCGGCGGTCGCACAGTATGGTATTAATATTTCAGGTATTAATTCGCTTTCCAGATAGTGATAAGCAACCAAACGAACCTACGAATATATTAATTCTAGTATTATTATTCTATTCCATTTAGCAAAGTTTATTTGCATTAGTGAAAAGTTAATTAATATATTGTTTATTAGATTGTTACACATCAATTGATTAAATAAATAACTGCTAATGTAAATAAATAGCACTCACCAAATCACCGGACTGAAGTCTTTTACTCTTCAGTAACCGTTCAGCAATGAGATTCGCTGAACTGTTTGAAGGGGTACACACTAATATTCGACTGTCACTCATAGTGAATACGATTTGTAAAATCGATTCACAGACTGTAATGGTTTTTCCAGTTCCTGGAGGTCCAAATATTACATAAGGTAGTGGACGACCAACGCCTTTTAAAATATTCTTCACAGCCTCTTTTTGGTAAACATTCAGTCTCTTATTAAACCAATTTATTCTTTTGTTACTCAATAAATTTGCTACTGCTTTAGATCGGTCTTCAAAAGTTAATGATGAATCTATACAAATTTTTTGAATTTTTTGCATATTTTGGTCATCGCTATTCTGGATGTCACTATCTTCATCATTTTGACCATTATCCTCTTCTAAGTCTATAAAATTAAACTGTGGTTCTTGTTGAATAACTCTTTTGGGAAATAGAAAACCTGGACCTAATCTATTAATTGCCAAATTTATGGCAGTGTGACATCTTTGAAGTACTGTAGTTGAGGCCTTGAAGCTGATTTGACAATCTTCTCCATGATAATTATCATGGAAAGACAGATTAAATTTTAAAAACACATCTGAGCTTTTAACTTTATGGATGTAGCCTTCATAACATTTTTGCCCTATGAAAATACACACATAAAAATTTACTGTAAAACTTAGTAAATAAATTACCAATACAATCATCATTTACATGAATTTTTTGTACTTACCGTTAGTTTCATCCCATTTGAAAGATACAAGAATTCTATCTCCAATGATTAATGAAGGTCTTTTTTCTGCAAGACCAGGTACATTCAAAGTGAGAAATTCTCCACTTCGATGCATTATAGCACTGGGCATATTAAATCGCCTTATGTTGAAGATTTGGGCTATTTCTTCTAGATACAGTAAATAATTAAATCGCTGCTTGTAATTCTCTGCAGTCAAGTGTTGCTGGAGACAAGGTATTCTATCTGCTAAAATAAATTCAGCTTCAGATTGATTCATTCTCTCTTCATGTATTTCATTCATAATTATCCAAAGAATATCTGGAATTTTCCAAGTCATTGGGCGTTCTTGTATAAATCTAGCTGTTGTGAATGGCTTAACACCTTTGACATACATTCCATCTTCATATACATGTGGCAATTCATATTTATGCTTATAATTGTTAGTATATGTATTACTCAATTCTTGTAACATTGGTGTTTTTGATTGTATGCTATCCACAGTTATTACAACAATGCGACCAATTTTAAATTTTTTGAACTTAAAAATAATTAACTCCTCTGAAACTCCAACAAAACGTGCTTTGCATTTGAATCTGAAAGTCACTGAATTTGAAGGCTTCAAGTCTTGAGGTTCTTGTATTTCTAATGGTGCATTGTCAACTGGATTTAATAAAGTTAACTGAGAATCAGATTTCTTAGACAAGAAAGCACATTTGTATAAAGTTTGTTTAAAATTTCCATTGTTTTTTACTGTAACTTCAATTATTTTGACTGATTTCACATCTAAATTTACTTTAATATTATTAGTTATTTCCATATTTTCCTTATCTCTGACCATCTCTTCAAGTTCCTCCACTGACATCTGAGGCTTAAACTTCACAGTTGAAGTTTCATATCTCTGAGATACCTGAAAAACATATAAAATGATTGTAGCAAATTGTTTATTTATTATAATTGACACATAACAAAAATAATCATTAGTGACTTACATCTTCCATTGGCACCACTTGTACAGCTCTCCAACGTTGGCCAATCCCTTGATCACTTTCAATGCAGTAAACCACAACTTTATCTCCAGCCCTTGGTACATAACCAGGTAAACAAACACTCTTCACAAAAACTATAGTTTTTTCAATCATTCCTGATTCTGATTCTTCATTATATTCTGTGACTTTTCCTATTTTTTGCAGTGATCTTAGTGGTTTCATTTCTTCAACTTCCAGTATTTCACCCTGCCAATTGATGATGTCTTCATTGACCTCACATAAACATTCTAATTTTACCCAATCTCCAATGAATGGCACAAATTCAGACTTTACATTATCTAAATTAACACAAATCATTTTACAAGCGCTATCTTGTATAAATATTTCTCTGCCCTTTCTTTCAATAATTTTACCAATAACTATATTTGTACTGATGTCTTTCTTTTCTATGACTTGTTTAATTTGAGGCACAGTAGGTACAGTTTTTTCTGAATTGATTTTGTCACGTACAATGACTACTTTGTGATTAAAATCTAACCTCTGTTGTGATGTATCTTCATGCTTTGCATTAAAGTTTTGTGGGAGTGAATAATTTATTGGTGTTTCTTCATCATCAATATCCCAAGTGGTTTCAATTTTATATAAAATTTTACGAATCTTTATGTCACTGTCTTTATTCTTTTTGTAAGCCATATAGTAAACTTCATCTCTTACTTTAAGATCAGTAGGAACTATATCTTTTGTCTCACAAAAATAATCTTCATCTATCATTACATGATCACCGCTTATATCTGTAATAAAACCAGACTTGTAAAAGCATCCTTTATCATACTCAATATCGTTGACTCGAAGTTCTGTAATATTTTCTTCAATATTTTCTTGAGCTTGATCAATTTTTGCTATCAAGTCTTCTTCATTGTCTGGAGCATGAAATTTATTAACATTATCTGAATCATTGCATTGATTCATGTATTTGTTTATAACTAGTTTAAATAGAGAAATCATTTTGTTGCTGTAATTGTAATATGGAGTTGTAAAGTTCAAATCTTGTTGCAATTCTTGTTAGATCCAAACCTTGATATTTCATCGAAACACATTCTTCATAAGAAATATTAGCCCATTGAAAATCTAAAATTTAAATTTATAAAGATTATTAAGCGTTAAATAATTTTGATAAAAGTTTTCACGAGTAAAATTATTTAAGTTTGATTAAATATCAAATTTAAATAATTTTGCTCATGAAATAGTATGGTTTAGAAAAGTAATTCTCAAGTTAATTGGTAAAAAAACTGAAAAATTAACTCACTACAGGCATTCATAATATCCCTATTGCAAAAGATAACATCATAAAATTACATTATAATATAGTGTTATGAAATAACTTTATTTTATAACGTCTTTGATTAGGTCAGGATGTGAAATATAAATAACATTAGTTTTCCTAAAATTTTGATCGATCTCAAAAGACATGACGTTTTTCAAAAATGAAATATTAAATTTATTGTATCCGGATACAAAACAAAAATTACTTTATTTCATTTCAAATTTTAGTTTTACCTGACATGAATTGATGTTTTTCCAACTGATAATGTTTTTTTATGAAATAAGATCATTTGGAAACACACTGGAATTTATTTGTCAATATAAATGTTTTTATATCTTATTTGGGATAAATAACAGTCAATTTAATCAGAAAATGGTAAGTAATTAATGAAAAAAAACTTGATTTGACAGATGGTTGAAACTGGAATCTTTGGATTATTAGACCTGTATTTTACCATTTTGCTACTGACCGCTGTTAAGATGAATACTATTTTTGTTCTATATTTTATAATTTAAAGATTGACTACCATTAGACATTTTTTAATTTATCTCGATTAATTATTAAAAATAGTCATAATATTTATATATTCTATTAGATGCATTACAATTTAGGATAACAAAAATATTAATAAAAATAAAATATTAACATTCACATTTAAATAATTTTCAAAAATTTTAATCTTCTTTAGCAACTATAATACAAGAACACTGATGTATTAATTTGAAAAATCTTTTGGTTCATTAAAATACAATTTGATAGTAACTACTGCGAGTGCACTTTGTCAGTAGCATCTCGAAAACTGAAACTAACATGATCCTCGATCTTCAAACTTATCTCGTCCGCGCTTTCCTTCATTTTCTCGACTGCTGGGGGTTGATTTATTGAACTATCCTCCCCCCTCAGTGACAATTTTTATGATAGGCTTAATGAGGCCTTTTTCCCTCAAACTTTTTAAAAATTTGTTGTCCCTCACTCATAAACAAATGTTAAATAGGAAATAAATTATACTACCGGAAATTCAAGGAAATTTTGTGAATATTGACACAGTTGCTAGTTTCATGCATAAAATCTAATTGTTCAAACTATGAACAAAATTTGAAATTCGATTGCGTTCATTTCACATACATATTATCAGTTCTATTATCAGTTCATTCAATATATGTTTTGAAGAAAATATTGATAGGCCATTCTAAAAAGTGTCTACATTGTTTTGTGATATAAGCCAATCAAATCGAATTCTAAAATGACCCTATCGTAACATAAAGCAAAGATAAATATTCAATTTGACACTCTGTCTTATCAAACGTAAGAATTGTAGCTTGAATGAAAACATTGGAGAAAACTAACCTCCATAAAAGTTTATGAATACTTATTATTATACAAAAACTACGATAGCTGTCTTTTGTTAGATATAAATTCATTTATACATATTTGAAATTATACCTTACCTCGGTCTAGCTTTCTTTTAATACGAATACCGTGTGTCATTGAGTTAAACCACGTGCGATTAAATAGATTAGCTGCCGGTCGCGCCTTCCACACGTCACACTGTCAAAATAAAAAGAGAGACGAAATAAGATTTCCACATAAATCACTTCGTATTCGATGAAAAAGGAGTTAGCGTTGTTTACTTGAGAGACCGAATCAAAAGAGGGAGCACAACAGAAAAACACGTGCAACCGGTGGTCGGCGGCGGCAACTGCGACGGCAGCTCATAGGGTAGGTAATATAGCACACACTACTTTATTCGCTACAATCGCTACGGGACTTCCACCGGGCAGCGTGCCTTATTCTCTCTCTTAAAGTACGGCTACTTATGCGCGTAAAAATCACTAGCAGTGCTTAGTTATATCTTATGTCACCTTATATCTCCATGCCTTATATAGAAAAGTCACTATGTCAGTTTTGTCTCGAATAATCAAAACGAATATACCGCTTTAATTTAATATAACCTGATACGACCCTCTAAAATTAATAAAATGACTACTAATTATATTGCAAAGCAGTTTTAAGATCAACTCCGATGTAAATAGTCATTTTATTCATTTGAGAAGGTCGTATTAGGTTATATTCAATCAAAGCAATATATTCGTTTTTATAATTTGACTCAAAACTAATATAGAGACTTTTTTTATATGAGTTGGCATTATAAAATATAACTAAGCACTTTTAGTGATTTTTACGCTGTTGTACGCGTTTGAACGCCTCTGAACACGCACATGTGGCTGTATCTTTATGCATTATGCCAAATTTAGTATTATATGAGGCCCTCGCCACATATGCGCATACGCGCGCGTACAAGGGCGTACAATTGCGTACAAATCGTTTCGTTTCGTTTCGTTTTAATGGCTGTGGGTACCTAAGGACTCCGATGCGCCACAATTCAAATGCGTACAAATCGCTAAAAATTTTGATAGTGCCAACAACAGAAAGTTACTATTATTCTTCGCATGCCCCAAACGAACACACTTGCTCCCGGAACAAACGAATCATAACCTTCAATAATATAGCGTGATGATACGTTTGTTCCAGGAGTAAGTGTGTTCGTTTGGGGCATGCGAGGAATAGTAGTAACTTTCTGTTGTTGGCACTATCAAAATTTTTAGCGATTTGTACGCGTTTGTACGCCCTCGTATGTACGAGCGCGTATGCGCATATGTGGCGAGGGCCTGAGCACTGGTATGAGATCGAGATCGACAGATCGTGGATACTATGCGCATGTGGCGTTGGCAGTCAGCGGAAAAAAGACCAAGATTAAGACTTAAAATGTTTAGTTTTGTTGTGAAAATGTCTGTTTGTTATGATTGAAAAATAAATCAACCTAATATTTGTTTTTCACAAACTATGGTATTTGTTTGTTTAAAATAAAAAATTGTGTTGTTCTCGTGAATTCAACATTTGCAATAGAAATTCAACTATCATTAAGAAGTCAAAAAAAATAAAAATTTGTAAAATTGAAATGCAAAAAATAAATATCTTAAATTAATTTTTATTTTCTTATGTCAACTTTCTTTGAACAAATATCTTTTTATTTATATTTTATTGTCAATGATAATAGAAATAGTTTCGTTCATAATGAAATAAATCTAAGAAACGTGAAGTTTCTCGACGTAATAAGGGCAGCAAAAAATGTAAAAGTTAGAAGCTACATTTTCTAACCTGTGTATTAACGAATGAAACAAAATATAATCCTATATACGTATATAAATAGCTTAGTTGGAAAATAAAGTTGATTTTTTTTGTTTCCAGCTAAACGGTTATTAGTTATATTTCAGGATGAAAAATTAACATGAAGTCAAAGATGTCCTAAGTATAAAAAAAGTAATTCAAATTGATAATTACGTGTACTATTTATATTTTGTTTACATGTTAGTATAGTTAAAAAAATGCTTAACTCTGATTGGCCTATATTGCGATATCTTTTATACAATTGGTACATATAAGATTAAAATAGAATAATTTATAAGTAAAAATTAAACGAGAAAGATCAAATCCGATCGTATATGGTTTGCGATTCTGAATCCATAATTTTCAAGAGAATGAAGAAAAACAAAGAAAAAAAGGAAGCGAATAATTTAAATTAGGGCTTGCATCTACATGTTTGTCTTATTCTTAATTAACTATTCTGTTCATAATGCTTCTTATGTAAAAAGTCCGTATTCACCTAAATCGCGTATATTATATATCACAAGCGCCATATTTACCTATGAGAAAAAAATCGACATATAGCTCTCGCAATTCTTCACAACGTTGTTATCACAATGTTGTTATCAACCTAAATAACACTATCTTGCATAATATTTTTTTTATCTTATGAAGGTTTTATTAATAAACATAATTTACCTTGTGATAAAAAAGTATACGATTCACGATAATTGTATCAATCAAATCAACCAAAAGTTATTTATAGGGAATATTCTTTGAGTTAATTTTTGAAATTAAACGGTTGCGATCAATCGCTATGCAATAAAACGGATGCAATCGTATGACTTCCGTGAACATCAAAGAAATTTAAACAATATTACTATTTTCATGCATGTACAAAATTTATCTAAATAAACTGTATATCTTTGCATTTTAGAAACTCGAAAGAAAATATAATCATGGAATAAATATTCTCTATAAAATAATTAAATTATAATTAGATTCTTGAATATGTTTTAGTTTGCGTCTATATTTATTAAAAAATAGACGTCTTATTTTATTTGTAAAAATAACAATACTTAATAATTATTTGAATAAATATTCTTTATTTGAGTATAATCATCTTTCCATATAAAAAAATAAATAAAGTTCAACAAGCATAAAGGTACAAGGAAATATTCCTCTTAATAAACTAAATAAATGTTTTATAAATAATGTTTTCATGCTAATAATACTTTAAATAAAAATGTGAATTTCATTTTCTATGTGCCCGTTTATAAGGAACATAAATTGTACTCCTAAATAATATTTGGTTAACGTAAACTTAAAAAGTTATGTTTTGGTTAAGTATTTTGTAAAATTTTTTTCGAACGATTACTGTCATGCGTCATATCAAGTAAATATGTATAAATCGTTTAATTGCATATTAAAATTAACTAAATCAATAATGTTATCAGCTCAATGAAAAAAATCTATAGAGCCTAGTAAAAAATATAATAAACAAAAAGATAACGTAATAAAAAAATCTAATAATCAATAAAAAGATAACGTGATTCATAAAAAATTAAAATTAAAACCAAAAGTACGATTTTGAATAAAGTACAAAAACAATTTGCTCAACTGAAATTAATGATATTAATAATAATAAAAATATCAATTTGTAATACTAATCTCTGTGCACATTATTGAGATCACGAAAAGTAAAGATTTACTAAGTTATTTAGCAATCTTATTAGTAACATACGCATTCCGTGATTTACAGTATTCCAAGACACTTCGCCAGTAGACGTCTTGCTGTAATAAGTTTGGATTACCAACAATAATGAGTAAAGAACGTGCACGTGTGATAGCAACATTTAAACGTTCTCGAGCTGCAACAAATCCGAGAGCGTGTCGGATATCATCTCGGATTTTATCTTCTGCGGTCCTAACGGTTGATAAGATTATCACTTTTCTTTCTTGGCCCTGGAATTCTTCAACGCTCCCAACTTTTGGAATCTCAAGATCCAGTTCTGCGAGTAGACTTTTGATTCTGAAGACCTATAAATATTAAAGTATTGGTAACATATATCGTCAATTATTTACAATCGAATTTTTTTAGATATTATATTTACATGAAAACACTTTTTCTTTTATAAATTATATTTATAATATAAGTATATCTAAATCTATAATATAAATATCATTTATTCAAAGATCAAGAACTTAAAACTCCAAAAAATATTTGAACTAAAATTATTTTCTATACCAAAATTTAATTTTTTCAAATCAATACGTTATTATCACCATAACATAAAAGATAAATTTAAACATTTTTAGTATAAAATGAACGTGGTATTTTTTAAAGTATACAGTCTAAGATTATATGTACCTGTTTTGAGTAGGGTGTGATAATTCCAATGTCATTGGGCGAAAGGCCACGATTGTACAAATCTAATAAATAGATGTAGACTTGAGTAGCTTCTTCAGGATTGTACCAGCTGGGACTGTCTTGGTCTTGCATATTTTTTCCATCAACTGCATGGAATACTATTGGCAATGGAGTTCCTAATCTTTTAGGTAGCATGTCTGATAAAGTTTCCAACAGTTCAGCTTCTGCGCTTTCAGTTTCATGGACCTTTTATAAAACAGAAGAATGATCAGCTTAGAATGACATAAAGTTATAGACACACGAATTATTAATTTAAGGGTAAAGGATTTGAATGTAAAATGTTCGGCTTAAAAATCAAAATGAATACCTGAGGTATTAATTCAGCCTCGTAAAAAAGTTTGTTAGGTAGATCTAGCAATTCAGGCAAGCTTCTATAATTCATGAGCAGCTTGGTAATTAGTCGCGGATCGTATCCAGTTTCAAAACCTACAGGATCTCTCTGATAAGGAAACTGTTGCAGCAATCTAACAAGGAAGCTATCATTTAAGCCAAAGTAACCAGCCAATCGACTTTGATTAACTGGACCCAATTGTTTGGGATCACCAGCTAATATGATTTGCGTCGTACTTGTATGTGCAAGAATCAACGGAATCATGATCTCGGGCTCCGTGGCTTGACCAGCTTCGTCTATGATCACATGAGTGAAGTGTCCTGGTTTACATCCCATGTTGTAAAGAATACCTATGGCTGAACATGTGCCTACTATGATACGAGATCGACAGAGAACGCTCAAAGTTACGTTCTTTTGGTAACCGCGATAATCACGTAGATTGACGTCCGCTCTGCTGCCTTCTGCTGCAATATCAGCGGTCGCACAGTATGGTATCAAATTTTCGGGTATTTGGTCACTTTCAAGATAATGATGAGCAACTAGACGAACCTACAAAAATACAAAATGAATTTTTTTGTTTTGACTAGTAAAAATATTAATATTAATATTATTTTATTTTTATAAAACTGCTTTTAATTGTATTTTTGTTTCTAACACTCTTGCTCAAGGTTTAATAAGAAAAATCATTATAGTTTTTTTCATATAGATTCATAATAATTCATTTTCGTTAAATGAAATTCACTAACCAAATCACCAGGCTGAAGCCTTTTACTCTTCAGTAATCGCTCAGCAATAAGATTAGCTGAGCTGTTTGAAGGAGTAGCAACTAAGATTCTACTATCATTCATAGTAAATAGAATTTGCAAAATTGATTCACAAACAGTAATAGTTTTCCCAGTTCCTGGAGGTCCAAATATCACATAAGGTAGTGGACGAGCAACACCTTTTAGAATATTTTTCACAGCCAATTTTTGATAAACATTTAAATTTTCCGTGAACCAGTCTATTCTTTTACGACTAAGAATTGCTTCCACTGCTTTGACCCGCTCATCATTATCCAGTGAGGTATCTGCATGGATTTCTTGAATTTTCTGCATGTTTTGAGCTTCATTATTCTCAATATCAGTGGTATCTTCTTCTGCTTCAACAAAATTGAATTGTGGTTCTTTTTGAACGACTTTTTTTGGAAACAGAAAATCTGGACCTAATCTATTCATTGCCATACCAATAGCAGTATGACATCTTTGAAGTACTGTTGTTGAGCCTTTGAAGCTTACTTGACAATCTTCTCCGTGATAACTTTCATGGAAAGTTTGATTGAATTTTAAAAATACATCTGAACTTTTAATCTTGTGAATGTAACCTTCATAACATTTTTGACCTATAAAAATTTATTATAGGTGTAAAAATCGATTTACTCATTATTCATGAACAAATCATTTATGTGAATTTTTTGTACTAACCGTTAGTTTCATCCCATTTGAAAGATACAATAACTCTATCTCCAATAATCAATGAAGGTCGCTTTTCTGCAAGTCCAGGTACGTTCAAGACGAGAAATTCTCCACTTCTATGCATGACAGCAGTAGCCATATCAAACCTCCTCATGTCAAGAATTTGTGCTATTTCTTCCAGATAAAGTAAATAGTCAAAGCGTTGCTTATAATTGTCTATATTTAAATGCTGATAAAGGCATGGTACTCTGTCTGCCAAGATGAATTCTGCCTCTGAATGTGTTTTCCTTTCTTGAATTATTTTATTTATAGCTGTCCAAAGGATTTCAGGTATTTTCCAAGTTGTGGGTCGCATTGTTATAAACTTGGCTGTCCTGTATGGTTTCATGCCTCTAATATACATGCCATCTTCAAATACTCGAGGTATTACTGATCTTTGATTGTTGTTGTTAGCATAAGCACTACTTGATTCTGGTGAGATGACTTTGTTTGGATTTATGCTGTTAACAGTGATAGAAAAAATACGACCGATTTTGAAGTTTTTGAATTTAAAAATAACCAGCTCTTCAGAAACTCCTACAAATCGCGCTTTACACTTGAATCTGTAAGTTGTTGAATCCGAAGGTTTCAATTCTTGAATTTCATTGTCACTAGGAAACAATAAGGTCAATTGAGATTCTGATTTCTTACACAGGAAAGAACACCTGTTTATTATTTGTTTAAAATTTCCATTGTTTTTTACAGTAACAGTAACTTCTTGTTCTGTTTTAGCATCCAAAGTAATTTTAATATTGTTAGTTATTTCTATACTTTCTTTATCTCTGATTAATTCATCAAGCTCATCTGCTGGTAATTGTGGTTTATGTTTTACAGTTGAAGTTTCATATCTAGTTGATACCTACAAATGGCATAAAATTATTATATAAAATATTTTTTTACCAAAATCACTATCAAATTTAAAGATAATAAATTTATTACTTACATCTTCCATAGGAACTACTTCCAAAGCTCTCCAATGTTTGCCTATTCTTTGATCACTTTCAATACAATGGACTACAACTTTATCTCCTATACATGGTATGTAACCAGCTAAACAAACAGTTTTTACAAAAACAATAGTATTTTCAATCAATCCAGATGATGTTTCTTCATCATATTCTGTCACTTTCCCCAATTTTTGCAGTGATCTTAATGGTTTCATCTCTTCAATTTCTAATATTTCCCCTTGGAAATTAGGAACATCTTCATTGACTTCAACTAAACATTCTAATTTTACCCAATCACCAATTACAGGTACAAACTCAGCACTGACATTGTCCAAATTAATACAAGTATTATCTTCTAAGGAAATTTCTCTGCCTTTTCTTTCATTAACTTTGCCAACAATTATCCTTTTATTCATTCCCTTCTTTTCTAAAATTTGATTATTTTTAGTTATAGTGTAAGGTGGTACTTCAAAATCAATCTCATCACCTGTATTGTTTAATTCGTGGTTCAAATCTGACTTAGGAATATTATGCACTGGCTTTTCCTCATCTTCCCAGACTGATTCAATTTTGTAAATAATTTTACGTACTTTCAAGTCATCATTTTTGTCCTTTTTGTAAGCCATATAATAAACTTGATCTCCTTCTTTAAGATCAGTAGGAATCACATATTTTGTTTCACAGATATGATCATCATCTATAAGTACATAATCTTGTTTCAATACAGTTACAGTACCAGTCTTGTAGAAACATCCTTCTTCATCTTCAATATTATTTAGTTGAGGCTCATCAATTTCTTCATTAATCTGCTTAGCATCATCTATTTTTGCTAACAATTCTTCTAGCTTATCTGGTACTACAATGTTATCACAGGAATTTTCGTTGTTGAATAATTTATTCGAGACATACTCGATAAGAGAAATCATTTTTATTCTATGACTTTGTAACTGATTTACAATATACTTTTCTAAGTATTATTTCATAATACACTTAGATTATAAACTGCAATCAATAGTGTTTTATCAAAATATACATTTTTTTAAAATGTATAATCAGAATTATCAGAATCAGAACCTGAAAATTATGGTAATTAATATTGTTGTATGAAATATTAAAATTTTTAATGAAAAATATAACAATATTTATGCTATCGCTACAAATTTCAATAATAATCACTAATATTTAATTTCCATATCATTTTTAATTTTTTAGTTAGAAACTTTTGTAATTTAACACTTATCACTGACCTCTTTTTGTTTCTTTCAAAGAATTCGTTTATTCAGTTAGTTCAGGATATATTTGAAGACTATAAATGTATAAATTTTATAGTTAAATAAAAGTTAAATAAAAATTTTAATAATATTGACTTTAGCCTTTAGGAGCAATTTGAAAATGTAAAACTAGCTAACCTTAAAAGTGATAAAAAAGAAATAACCTACAAAGAAGTATGAAGAATAAACATTAAATTAAGCTAAAATAAAATTCGGTAAATAATATTCTTTAAAAAGAATGATTTTTATGAAATGACATTACCTTGGAGTTTATTTATGCTGATATTATATGACTTTTAATTCTGCTAATTAATAGAATATTAATCAGTTGCAACCACGTGTTAATGGCTCCGTTACGTCCGACCACCGTATATTACTCCAAAAATAGAAAGAAAACGTACTGAATCATATTATATATACATATTATTATAATTGAATCAAACAAAGGAAAGGCCGCAAGGTATGTATACACATATACATATATGTGTATACCTTCCAGTGTGTGCGTGAAAAAAGGTTTTTTTGCCGGCCGGCACTCTTAAGCATGCTGCTATAAGTTTTTACTATTCACCGCTGCTAGCGCTGCATATTGTCGTCCATTGTTCAGCGGATGTTACCAGGGTTGGGCGCATAGAAAGTATGGAGACTATGTAGTCTCCATGGTTCAATGGTTGAGCAATATTGTCAAAAAGTTTTTAGCAGTTGACTTCAGACCTCATAATTTTCGTTCTCGCTTTACGAAAATTCTGAATTCTGAAGAGAGAGAGCAAAAAGAAAAAGTCTAGCGAATGGTGGTGGCTAAGTTCATAGAATACTTGGCGCGATGGACAATAATGGGCATTGTTAGGATTCCAAAATACGAGTAACGATCAGGGTCCCCAAGTCGATCAACGAAAGAAAAAGAGCGCTCGATCATAAACCACAGAATAGAGCCTTTCGGTCGTCTAATTTCGCTCCCGCTCCGCACATCCGCTGTTCATCACATCCGCTCTAGTTATATCAGTACATACAACGAAAGTTAATTATTTATGACTGTAAAACGAATTCGCATGGTACAAGAATAAGCTAATTTAATTATATAAGACTGAATGAAATAACAAATACCTAGTTTAGATCGGAAAAAAGCTTCAAATTTGCGCAACACGCAAAAATCACCGTAAAAAGCAATTTTTTAATTTTTCTTAATTTTTTCAACTTTAAAATATTTTTTTTTTTTAATATCAATAATAAGTAAATTCTATACTTAAAGACAAAAACTACCGGGAAAAAAGTATACGTAAAAAATGTTTCAGAAAAAAAAATTTTTTTTTTCATGTATGTAATACTTTATTACCATAATTTTTACTGTTTTCACCTGTAGTAAAAAATGCAAAAACAATGTTTCCAAAAAAATTATATATTCGAAATTAAATTTTCGGTTGGATTGTCGATCAAAATCGCAATGGATTTTTTTGCTTTGATCGACCATAACTCTAAACCAAACCATCATACGGAGCTCTTTAGAGAAGCATATCAAAGCTGATTCAATTACCTAAAAAAATTTCAAAGTGGCACGATAGAAAAAATTTTTTTGAAGTTCACAGACCATTTTAAAGATAAAAAAAGTTAAAAAAAATTTTTTTCGTTGGTTTTTCGATGACTACTGGAAAACCGACTATGCTAAAAAATTTTACAGCATAGAGTTAACTAGAAATTTGAAACTATAATTTCCTTTTTTTATATACGATCATTTCTCTCCGAATTATCCCTTATTAAAAATGATCCCAAATGTAAAGTAAAGTAATTGCAATGCATAATCATTGATATTATTACAAAATGTTTTAAAGTTTAATGGCTTAATGCAAAAAATAATCTCATTTATGCATGTGTTGTTGGCTCTAGCTATTTTGATCTATGTAACTTGTGCATTAAAGAATATATCTAACATAATCGATTTTTCATCGATCACACTTATAGCTTATAGCTGTAAATATTTTTTTGTAGATTCAAAGAGACGTGAATTTTTACTCGGAACAAAAGTCACTATTAGAAACTTAAAGAACTTTTGTTTGATATTTCATACTGATGGTACATATTGCCAGCTTACATGGACCGGATTAGTGGACAGTCAAATTTACTTATCTTACCATAATCCCCGACCGTTTAATCCCAACATTATGTCTCTAGGGTGATTTGGTAAGAATATCAATAAACAGTGATATTATAAGATGACAAATATATTTTAGTAATGTCAAACTTAATGACTAAATTTACAAAATTAGTTTAAAAATTACTTTTTTGTGTTATCAAGCATTAGTTAACTTATTGAAGAAGAGAACCTTAGAGAAGGGACTAAATTGACTTTTTTCGTAGTATAACGACATAATTATAAACACATTTTGCATAAACGAGATAAAAAATGCATGTGTTACTGAAATAGAACTTCCGTAATAATTAATGCTTTTACCGCAAAACTGATGAAAAAAAATTATGAATAAATCTATTTATAAGGACGTTTTATCGTATGAATTAATAAATATCTAATTTATTAATTTATTCAAATTAATTAATTTATTTGATAAATATCAACTTTGATTTTTATGATTAATTTATTTAATTGATTTGGTAGAATGGATTTGGAATGTAGCTATTATAAAGTTATTTAAAAGATTAAGATAATTTGAAATTTTTTAAATACTTATTACCAACTAAAAGAATGTTGATTCTCTAAAACAAACTTGGTAACGGAACTCTATATGTTCCAGAACCTTTGATAATACAAATACAAAAATATATGGTACACTTTGAACTACTACCATCGATTCAAAAAACTACTTGTTTCAAAAAATGATAATAACAGTAAACAAGAATCTGAATCAACAACTATAAATACTATCCGGAGCGAATAATTCCAAAGAAAATTCCGATTTAATAATTCTGAACAAAAAAAAGAATACAATAAACTTATGAACCTTTTACACTTAGGAAAACGAAGGTTATATGCGAGGTCTCGTAGATTGTAAGATTTTTTATTACTTCCTCTAATACAATAGTGGTTCATAGAAAATTTATTCAATTATCTAGTTCTATTTGTTTTTGATACTTTGAGTAAAACAATATTATTGAGATATAAATTAAAAGAAAAGTCACAAATAATGTAAGAAATGTTATTGTATTAATCTTATTTGAATTCGACATTTTGAAAATAAATATTATAATTATTCAATTTTTAAAAGTAATTTATTTTTTTCATCTGTATACACAGTATAATAAATAATTAAAAATATGTATTGTATTGTTTAAATAAGCTAAAGTGTGAATTTTAAGTAGACTTTGCTTGAATTCTTTTATTTATTTTTTCATCTTTCAACTTATAATAATATGAAACCAATGATTAAAAATGTTTATACTAGTGTTAGATTTACAAATTGATAAAGGTAGTTTAAACATGAGATTTTGCAAAATATTTTGGATATTAAAAACGTTTTTATTGTAAAGCGATAAAACTTAATCGAAAATTTCTTACATAAAATATAAATATGAATATTGGATCAGGTTTTCACGTACATTTACACAATACTGTATAGAAAAGAATTTGGTCCTACGACTTTTTACCTAAATATATACTTATTGTACACATTTAGAGTGGATAAATGCGTGAGAATAACAGCACCTGACATGTGAGCTTAATGATAATAATTTATTAAGTTATATTCGTTCTTTGCGCGTAACATTTATACTAGGATTTTACAGTATTGAATTTTTTTCCCCCGTTAACAGCTTCGATAATTACAATTTGTTCAATTTAACAAGTATATGTAAATGCCGTTCGTCTACCAGGACTTTCTCCAATTCACGTTAATCGACGAATGCTCGAGTAAGAGCTTCAAAACTTCATAACAATACGACATGATGTACCTTGCAATCAACGAGATCAAATTTATAACCACTTTTTCTACTGTAATACTTTTCGCTTTTACATTCTCGAGTAACGCTATGAACAATGCTTTCGAATAATGGAATTGCTCAAATATAAAAGCACTTGTTCCTTTCTTCTTCTTCTTCCAATTTAACCAATTGACGAGCGATTGTTTCACGTAACTACGTGATACAGCAGCGCATCTGAGTCATCGCGAATGCTTTGGCAAGGTGTTTGTCAAGATCCAGCGTCCATTGGTGCATCAACTTGATCAAATGTGATATGATTCAGTTATTGACGACTAACGTGTGATTCAAGAGAAGTTTCTCATATTTTCACCTTCCCTTGTGTCACACATGGGGATCTTTCTGACGTAAGGAGGCAACACTATGCTAAAAATACAGAACACAGATTATTCTACCTATGTATTTCTCAGTTGTGCGCACACATGATAAAATAGTAATACAATTGGTATTTTTTGTCCTAAATTTTATTAAAATTAATGAAGTGTACATAAAAATTAAATAAGATTATAAAGAAAGTTGATACATAAACAAATCTAAACTTGAAATCACTCTTATTCATAAATATAAACATGGATTATATTTTATTATTCATATTTATTTTCTTCAGATCCGAACGTCGAAACGGTCGCGAGTCACTCGCCCCAAATCCTCGAGATCAGACTCATTTAAATAATTGGTGACTGTTCTCGCAGCGATGTAAGATTCGTTGTAATTTTTCTGAAAAATATCGCTGAGCACTCCAATGGCTCTGTTTTCTAGTTGGACTAGACGAGAGGCTTTGGCAATGCGTTTCATTAGTATAGTATAGTAGTACGAGTACAATTTACTCATATTATGTTTTGAACAAGCCTCTTCCACCTCGATAACGAACTGCTCGTTGCGCGCATACATTCCCATCTTGTAATCGCTGACGTTTAGCAAGTCGAACAGCGTCGAAGACCGAAAAATGCGGATCTTGAGCATCTCCTGGCACAGATGATAATATTGTTGAACATCGGCGAATATCTGGGGACCGACTTCATCGCCGATGTGCTCTAGTGACTTGGCCACAGGCATACCGAGCATGTCGATCAGTGCCAAGTGAGCGACCACCATTCTCTTCCGATTGTCGCTGCGACTGTCAGAAGTCAAATCAAACGGTTTAACGTGATTATACCCCACTTCCCCACGTTCTGGAACGCCACCGTGCTGGAGGAGAAGGATAGTACACTCGTCCAATTGATCTTCTTCCCGTATCTTTTCTGCTTCCCAGCCCACGGTATAAAAAACTGCGCGCAGTGGTATGAAATTCTCGCTCAAACCGTTCGCGCAGGTACTTTCAGCACCGTGCTCCAGTAAATACCTTACCATGTCAGTGTTCCTATTCCACGTGGCTTCGAACAATGCATTACAACCAACTTCATTAGAAGTATTAACGTCGGCACCATTGTCGACGAGCCACTTTACCAAAGTCAAATCGTTCAGTTTAGCAGCAACCTGTAATGCTGTCTGCTGACTATGTCCTCGAGAATCGATATCGATTCCGCGTTTCAACATACAATTCAACACTCGAACGTCCCCCGAATATGTGGCTTGGACCAAAGTACACCTAACTTTGAGTAATCTATCAACCAGCTGCTCCGTCGAAGTGACGTTCTTCCGGATTTGACGAAAAAAGGCTGCTATAATATCGCCGTGTTCATCTGTATCAAAACACATCTCCAAAGCACTCCTATTATCGATATTGACAACGTCAATGTTGGCATTGGCTTCCAACAAAACATTAACTACTGCTGCATTGCCTTTTCGAACGGCCATCATGAGAGGAGTATCACCCGTATCCTTCTCCGAGGGATCGACTGCGCAGCCTAGCGCCAACAAATGTCGAACTATTGCTTCGTTGTCATGAATACTTTCAACCGCATAATGTAGCAAAGTTCTCGAACTGTCGGATGCTTTGGCCAGATCTTCATTGATTATTGCTTTGGCCTTGTCAGTTCGACCGCATTGAATGTGATCGAGTAGTTTAGCGTCGAATATCACTGACTGTACTTGGACCATTGTTGACTGAAAGTAAATATGTAGCTGTTTACATCGTCTGCAATATCTGTCTTCCTCGTAGCTTTTTACAAAAATTAATTTGCATCGATACAATGTACACTCTGGCTATCATCAATTCTATCACTTTAAAGTATTGCAAAGCCCGTTATAAAAAAGTATTTCAATTAAATATTCTCAACTTACGATGTTGTATTGACGGTATTGTTGCGACGTACCACAAATTCACGGTTGCTGCTCGGAAATACTAACGACGACTTACAAGTTAAAGTTCTAAAGGCGAACTGAATGGTGTTGTGCTGCTACCAGCTGTGTACGTATACAGCCGAATAATAGGAGAGAATAAGAGAAAGTGTTTACGATATCAACTCTACTCGGAGCAGATCGTTCAAGTTATTCCCCAAATATCCCCAAAAATCGATTCCGTGTCTCTTAATTAATAAACAGTTCATCGGGTGATTTTTTTGTGCGTCGCCGTGGAGAAAAATGCTAATTTTAATTCTGGGGCTAAGCCTTAGCTCAAAACATGACTGTAGAATGTATATAAAGTAAATGAAGGCAATTAATAGTTCGACAAGTGTTCGTATTAGTCTAGTTGGCATGAATTTATTATAAATTGATTAATCAGTAAAGCTGAATATAAGTTGATAATTTTTATGCGGGATTACGAGAAGAACAATGCTGATATTTAGATATAAATATTAATTGAAAATTATTATTTTGCACGGAAGCGTAGCTAATTCGAATAAACGAAATCGACAATGACGAAGAAAATATAATTCCATAGGTTATTTTGATAAAATGTTATGAAGTAATTTCAGCTTATTCGGGAGCGGAACGTAAACAAAATCCGAAAGTTATTACGACGAAACAGTCCGTGCTTTTTGAAATTATTTCATAATTTTTCAACAGATATTTATTTTATTTACCGATAATCTATTTGATCAGCTAAAGCGTATTTCAGAGATCCAGGGTATATATATATATAATGTAGAATTCTGCATTTTGCGAATAAAAATTTAGAATTAGTTATCCATTAAACTGAATATATTAAAAGAATAACGAAACGAAAGTAATGAGGGAATGAAGTGCACTAGACTTTAAAAAAAATTAAATGTCACCGACATCGAGCATTGTAATTAGTTTGATGCGTTAAAAAGACGTGTTTCGTTTTTAAATTGGTCCAATGAATTTAAAAATATTTAAGAATATTTTTGGTATTGTAATTCAGTTTTGTAGAATCTTTCAATAGATGTAAAAAATAATAAAATAGATTATTCTTATTACATATTAGATGTATACCATAATATTGGAATGAAGATGTATATTAGAATATTGTCATTATTAAGGACAATCAAAATATGCAATAAACTGAAAGTGCCAATGAATTGCTACTAAAAAATAAACATCTTCCATCTGAGAATTATTAAACAATCATTTCATTTTTAAAGCATTTTCCAGATCAATGATGGACATATTTTAGCAGAGTTGCATTAAAGAAATTCATATAGGATTACTCTTAGCATAATGGTTTGTGAAGGGATTAAGAAATAGGATGCTTATTTATTATTGCACTATGAATAATAATTCAGATATGTAATTTAATATAAAAACTGGAGCACAAAAAGAGAAGATATAAAAAAATTTTTTTTTTCAATTAAACGGACAAAATACCAGATCCAGTTGAAGGAAATCATAATTCTTTCGCCATCAACTATTCGCAAAAGAAAATCGATTAAAAAACATCAAGCTTATATTTTTCTGTTGATATTGTTGATCACATTAACAAACAATCGTGAGAAACAAAAACTATACAGTTTTTTACGCGGTTCGTTTGATTAAAAAGTACAAACAGATTCGTCTAAAATACACCAAATTGTCTTTTTCATACAGCGACAATATAAATCGAAGTAACAAACGAATTTATCTAGCTATATATTTTGTCTGTTAGTTAATAACTGTAGTTCTTTATTATTTCCAAATTCGTAAGTACTATACGAAAAAAAAACATGTATAATGTACGAACATTATATCGCAGATATATCGAGTCTCAAACTTGACATAGTTGCTTGAGATCGCGTTCAGACAAATTCCCAATGATTTCTCTTACCAAATCGTAGTATAAATTGTAATTAGCATTGACAAGTTTGGAAAAAACGGGGATCGCTGCGTCCTCGAGTTTCACCACATCGACTGCTTTCAATAAACGCTTCTTCAGAAATCTGGAGTAATAAGGACAAACCTCGTCAATCACTGGATATAGGGTATCTATTTTCGAGAGTATTTGTTTGTTACGCGCGTAAGTCCTCATTTTGCTCTCGTTGTGAGTCAGCAAATTAAATAGCGACAAGTGGCCATACACGATAAACCCGAGTAAATTTCTGCAAGATTCGTAAAATTCTATTAATTCAAGAAGTATCGAGCTATGTTCCTTGAACCTAAAGACCATAACGGATTTAGCGCTGCATTTGCCAAGTTTGTCTAGAACCGCTAGTTGACACACCATGGACTTGGTTTTCTTATTCAAAGCACAGTTTAGCAATGCATAATCGAAAAGTGTATTGTGATCGACGTTGTTATTGTCGGGAATGGCACCGTGCTGAAGAAGAAGTTCAGCACATTCGTCGTAACTGTCTTGATTGGGTACGTGCAGCGATGATAAAAATACAGCGAATAGAGGGGTATATCCGGTATAGGCGTTTCTGGTATTGGGATTTGCACCATGCTCCAGCAACAGGCGCACCAAATCCACTTTCCCATCAGTCGCGGCGTCGTATAATGCGACTTTACTGTACTCATTGGCAGCCTCGACGTCCCCTCCTTTGTCGAGAATCCACTCGAGTATATTTAGATCATTCATCTCGACAGCGGCATGCAATGCTGTATCTTTGAAATAACCTTTCGAATTGATGTCGATGCCGCGGTCCATCAGCATCTGCATTATTTCAATATTCCTCAAGAAAGTGACATGGTACATCGAACATCCCGAGCCAATCAATCTATCCAGCAGTTCATTGATACTAAAACAATCGAGTATTAATCGTTGAAGAATCACTTTGAGGATCTTAGTACTGAAGTATTCTGAATGAAAGATCATCCGCAAAACACTTTCACCAGCGGCATTGGTAATGTGAATGTCAGCGTTGGCTTCCAATAGAACCTCGACAACTGTCGCATTGCACATTTGTACGGCAACCATCAGGGGGGTTTTGCTGTCGGAGTCCAATCCATTAACGTCGAGTCCCATGTCGATCAGATACCGAGCGATCACGTGATTGTCGCAGAGTGCAGCGTGATGTAACAATGTTTTCCAATGAACCGAATTCCTGATCAGGACTTTACTTAGCGTTTTGAATTGCTCGTTCTGAGCCGTTCGTATGAATCTTAACAGCAGATCGTCGAAGTGCAGCTTCACTTTTCCGGCCATTTTTAAAGTATAACTTTCAATAGCTGTCTAAAAACGTCAATTTCGATGTCTATTTAATTAGTAATTGCTACTAAACTGTCAGTGAGAACACACCGATTCAAGTCAGATACAGTTGCTGTATCGAGAAAACAAGATTTTGATGTTAGTCATGAATAAACTTGTCACTGGCCTATTGACATTTTGAAGCTTTGGAAGATACTCAACGCTCAACACTCAACGCTCATTCAAGTATTACTGATTGCCTCATCAGGCCATCCTCTATAACTCGATATATAGACTATGCAGCTTCCAACTTCACCAATGGGATTGTTGCTAATCTGTTTGCATAACACTAATCTACCGTATCCTCATCGGCTCTACCAGCTATCCCTTGCACAACTATTAACCTCATTTGAATCGATTAAGTTACTTACGGTTCTACCTTGCTTGCTCTTCAGTCATTTCATTACACGAAAGATTGATATATTTTTCCGGAAAAAGCGCATTTTATTTTTAATTCAACTCACTTGATATCAGGTTATTTTTGCCGAGGCAGCGTATTTTTTTCAACTTTAACTATTTATCAAATTTTTACACGCTACTTAACGTATGTTTCTATTTAATAAATTCTACCGCTTAATGCAGTCCTTACGTGATTAATCGACATCATTTTTTAATTAAAAATGAGAAAGAAATTTTGTAGGCAAACAACATCTCACCAAAAATAAAGACGTCAACAATGGTATTTATTTTGTAGGTCTTAAAATTCAAATGGCAATGATTATTTCAAAAGAATGTAATGGTATATACGAATTGAGCCGACAAATACAAAAATGACATATAAATTATTTCTATATTAAAAATTTTATTGAATATATCAATAATTAAACGTCACATCGAAAAAGAGCAAATTGTGTATATATAAAAATAATATTACACCCGACACAATTGTTCGAGATCCTTCTCGTTCAAATGCTCAACAACGTCCCGCGCGAAGTAGTAGCACTGATTATAATTACAATTGAAAAGTTTGCTCAGAACAGGGATCGCCGCATCTTCCAGTTCCACTACACGTCTGGCTTTTGAAATGCGGCTATTCAGCGTACTGTAGAAATACGGATAAGCCTTGTTCTTATCACCGTCAGAAAGAAGTTTCTGCAGTGTTAACATCAAGCCATTATTACGCACGTGAATTTTCATCTTGTGCACACTATCTGTGAGTAAGTTGAACATCGTCAGATTTCTAAAAACTACGCTCTTGAGGAATTCGTGGCTGGAATCTACCAATGCTAGAATAGCCACGTGTTCTTGAACGTAATATAAATCCGAATCATCTATTGGTCTGTCAAGTTCCCGGAGCATCGCCAAGTAATTAACCAGCATATGGATTTTCTTGTAGTCTTTATTTAGCACGCCGATACGAAACAGTTAGTCGATACGTTGAGGAATAGTACCATAATGAAAAAGAACGCCGAGGCATTCGTCCGCCATTGCAATCGGTAAACTATTCAAGTGGCTGAAAATCATTGCCATCGCAGTCAAGTTGAAGTCATCTATGACATTGGGATTGGCGCCGGCTTCCAGCAAAAATATCATTGTGTTCTTCTTTCTGTGACACGCGGCAACCCATAAAGGTCCATGTCCACATCGGTCCAAAGTATTTACATCGGCTCCGTGGTCTATTAGTAACTTCACAAATTCTGCTTCTTCGTATGTACATGCAATTTGTAATGCTGACTTTCCAAAACAATCTTTCGAGTTGACATCGAATCCTCGTTGCAACATGCATCGAATTACGATGACATTCCTCAAATACTTGGCACAAAGCATTATGTCAAAGCCCACGATCACCAATTCATCGACCAACAATTCAGTATCAAGTATCTTAGTCTGTAGTCTGCGAAGGAGATGTTCAAATATTTTGGTACTCAAATTTTTCAATTCAAAGGCCTCCCGTATACTTTCTAGACTGAAATCGATGTCATTTTCGTTCAGTAATTCTATAAACGGTTTTTTGATTCGGTCAACAGCTAGCTTGAAAGGTGTATTGCCATTTTTCCCCAATGAATTAACTTCAGCTCCGAGCTCTATTAAATATTGCACGATCTCATCGCTCTTTCCTAAAACCGCATAATGTAACAATGTATTCATCGATTCATCGAACGATTTGGCAAGATATTCATTCAGCATCTCTTTTGCCTTGTTCACATGGCAAAGTTGATATAATACAGTAATTCTCCGTCAAATTGGGATACTTTTCCCGACATCTTGGAAAATAATCAAACTCAATGCGCCTTTCAACCAGCTGTACATTAACGGTTTTAAGCATTAAATTATTATTATTTTTAAGCAAGCTTATTGAAAAATTACCTACGTCATTTGTCACAGTAACAATAACTGTAATAACAATAACAAGTAAGTAATAACAACAATACCATAGTCGTCCTTTATGCAGCTATGGTACAAAAGTTAATGAGAACGTCTTAGTGACTTCTTTTTATGCAGTCTGCTGAGCATCAGGAGCCATTTAATTAACTCCCACTTGTCTTATGGATGGCACAGTTTGTCAAACAACTTCTCGACGCTCGGTACTCTGTTTTTCGCATGAGGAACTATCTTTACGATGACACTTATCGACGCATATTCTTTCACAAATTATGTAATAGATGAATAAGATTATACTCAACCCTACCAGTACCGTCAATATTATTTCATGTCCGTTAAGAAACAGATCGAAATATAATCACATTAAGATTTATGTTCAGACAAAATTATAAAATATTTTCGTAATTAATCTACTGAATCCAAAGAGATCCAATGATCAGGATCCAAAGAGAGAATAATTTATCTTATTTCAATTCTTTTTATTAAACCCTGCGGAATAAAAATGCAGTACGAGCTTGAAGAGGTATGCTACCATTATTTAATTATAATTTACGACAAATTGGATGAAAATGTTTCTTTTAAATTGAGACATTTTTATCTTATTTTTATATTATATATAAATAAAATATTTTGTTTCGTAATTTTTTTCAAGTCGAGATGACATCAGTTTTCTTACAGTGACACTAATTTATTTTGGTTTTAATGTAAAAATTTTCTAGAATATTAGGTGCAAGATCCCATAGGTTCTAATGTGAGATCTATATAGGACAGAGTCTTTCGAAGATTTTCTATTTCAATACAAGTGAAAGTGACTAACATTTACTGATCTTGGTTAAAATATCGTTTTGATGACACTTTTCGACAAGTATCCTTTCACAAATCTCTTTCCTTGGTCGACGATGTGGTTATCAGCATTGGCTTTCGGTAGAGTATCGACAGTTCTCGAAGAGTTGTCTATATTTGCAGCTATCATACGTGGCGCTCGGGACTTGAAGTTGAGCGAATCAACATTACTGCCAAATTCGATCAGTTCACGAGCGATCGCCTCATTGCTGGCGGGCATCAGTGTACCAAAATCCTAGAGTTTTCCTTGGCCAGCACCGGTGTCAGGATAAATATCACTCACAATTACCTCGTCTCGTGTTGACAAGATAAAATAGCTGATTGACGAAGTGATTTTCATACTCTTTAGGCGTGTCGTTGATTAACAGTCCCCGCAACAACGTAAAACACCAAACTCTAAGCCATAATGTCTGCGTATATCGGAGTCTATTCACAGTCTGTAACGTTGTTTTCTTTTCAGCTTACAGTAACGAGTAGACTGCTTCTAACGTAACTCAACAAACACGTAATGTTTCCAAGCGAGGCTGCTGAAAATGATTGTCGCTATACTTGGCGCTGCGTAAATAATATTGTTAAATGTCCATGTGACAGAATACAGGTCTCAATCGTCGTGCAGCCTGATTTCAATTGAAACGATCGCAACTAACGACGGAAAACTAATGCTTATGCACCGATATCGATATTATAATCGACTTATAATGCCACAGATACTCGCAATCGTACACCTTGGCATTCCCTACGCAATGTATCCCTACTTCGCAAACAACAGATGACGTCGTTATTTCCAGTAATTGTGATATTCCAAAAATTGATGTAGTGTTTGGCACTAACAAATAATTATAATCCAAAATCTTTAAGACTCCAAGTCTTGAGTTTATCAGTAAATCCAAGAAATCGATGATTTCGATGTTTTCCGAATGATCGATACTTTGATAAATAAAAAAGTGGAAAGGATGGATAATAGAAAGGAAAAATTCAATGACTCAAATTTCGTCATTACCTTGTTAATTGTTATTGTTTCAATATTGGCTAAAAAGCCAATATCGAAACAAACTTTAAATGAATAATTTAACGTATTTTTACATTACAAGGTCAAAAATAGCACAGAAACAAATGTATGTACTTTGAAAATTATTTTTTGTTGATAAATATTAAAAATCACCAATTACTATAAAATTTCATACAATTGATGTAAAATACTATAGTAAAGTTGATAGCTGTTTGTAATTTTATGCATTATAGCGACATGTTATTTACACTTGTGCTTTGCTCAATCAATGTTCCCAAGTATAATGCTGATGAAAAAGCAGAATGAGAGGGCTAAAGAGAGAGAGAGAGAGAAAACGTAAGTCAGATATTATCGGAAGTACTAGTACGCATTGTATTTGTCTATGAAAAAGTCAGGAGCCTCGAACGCATCTCTGAGCGCCAGCTTGGAAAAGCATGCCGTTCCAGCTATGTTGCCCAGACATTCTCTCGTAACTAATGGCGAGCAAAGCCACGCAGATGCGTTATCGATTTATTGGTCTTAGCTGCAGTTCTAAGTAGATTAAACTCTCCTTCGATTCAGACTACATGAGACACCAAAAATGGCGCATACAGAACAGTTTAGCTCGTGGCTTTGAGAAACAAGTTTAGTAAGTCCAATTAAAAATAGCACCTTCGCTAATTGACGACAACCACATTCGGCGTAGCGTAAGTTCGCGAATTGCTATTATGAAAGGTCCTCGGAAGCAATAAGTGCTTTATACGTTGCTATTGTTACAGCCGCTTAAATCGATGTCTGTCCTCTGCGAGTATTAGCGGCATCAGTGCGTAAACGCGACGTCTCAATATGACCGAACCCGACAAAAAGATTCGCTTTGATAACAAGCTATTGGATCACATACAGTCCCGTCGACACGACGAAGCTAAAGCGAGGCTCAGCAAAGACTTGATCAACGCATGCGACGATGAGGGCAGTCTGCTGCATTACGCAGCCGAAGGGGGTAACGAGGTGATTGTTGGACATTTGATCAAATTGGGTGCGGATATCGACTGCCTGGATCGATATGGCAGAACTGCTCTCGTGATTGCTGTGAAGTACGAGCAAGTAGCTGTAGCGAGGGAACTATTGGAAGCTAATGCCGATATTCACATCGCCAGCGCCGGATGTCAAAGTGCTCTGCAGATGGTACTCCATTGGCGATACGACAATACCAAGATACTTCAATTGTTTCTGGGCAAGATGAAAGATGAAGCGGCTGACACCGAGCATTTGGTCGATAGACTGCTAGATGCTGATTGCAGTCTGATTCGCGCCGCCTATCTAAATGATACCCGGGTCATTCAGTGCATGCTGCGACGCGGACTCGACGTGAACTCGAGAGATCCTTGGAACAGGACAGCACTGCACGTCGCCTGCCAAATCAACGAGATAAAATTGGTGAAGTTTCTGGTAGAGCACGGTGCCGACGTAAACTCTTTGGACATGGAAGGCTACAGCCCAATTATGGAGGCCGGATTCGTCGCGGACAAAGAGACGATCAAATGTCTGCTGGACGCAGGCGCCGATCCCAATGCCAGTAGTATTCACTTCACGCTAACCACAGCTTTGTTCCTGGCGGCCCGCAATCGCAGAAGCGCGTCGTGCAAACAGGTATCCGCGTGCTTAGAGCTTCTTTTTCATCGCGACGTCATACCTGAGAATGCTGGCGTGCTGTTCGACATGGCCCACGACGACATCAAGTCCGAGCACTACGTCGTGCTGATCAATTACTTGGCGCTGCTCAAAGAGCTCGGGAACCCAACTGTCGACTCGCTCTTGCATTGCAATCGAAAAGACTTGCTCACCGTTCTTCAAGCGTCAGTTGAGTCCTGCCAGAAATTCCTTAGGATGGCGGTGTCTGGCGGCCTGTCGATGCTCAATCTCTTGACCAACAACGACGACAGAATGAAAGCTCGCATGCGCGATAGTTATTTAATGTCGAAACTAGATGAGCTGCTTTCGGATGACGAGAATAAGAAACTGTTTCCCTATTATTGCAACACACTCGCCATGCGACTTTCGAAAGCCAGGCGTTCGCTGGAATTGGAAAACAAAGCGATGTTCATCATCAGTGAAATGATGAATGGCAGTCTGAATCAGTTCTACATAGTTGTCCGCATAATTGTTAGCTATCTAAACGATGACGATTTACTTCGCTTGACTCGGATATTCTAATTGTATATTCGGTATACAAGATATACATCTAAGTTCGAAATTCTTTTGAAATATTATAATTCAGAGCTCTGTCTGAATCGTCTTTTTATACCTGCATATCTGCTATCGAAGTTGCGCAGTCAGAGCTTGATATATGCAATTAGAAAGCTTTATTGTTGTTTAAAGCGCAATCGAATGAAAATCAGTTTTAACTCAGATTCTTTAGTGTTATCCCTCGAAAACAAAAGTTTAACAATGATAACTTTTGACTTGGTATTATTTGCCCAATCATTTTATCTATTATCATTTTGAATAATTAAAAAATTGAAACGATGCAAAGATCATTTATCGATTACAACTTGTACTACAATCATAACTTTTTATTTTTAAATTCATGACATAAAGATTTTAGCTAAACACAGTTTTAATAATCAGTCCCAAAGTTGTAAATGGATTTCAATGTCAAAACTGAAATAACTTTGTACTAATTAAAAAAGAAAATCTCAACTGCCTTGAAGGTTTATTGTACTGCTAACAAATTAGTGTGTAATAATACGCTTGAAGAATTATAGTAATGATTGGTAATTTGAGACGATAAACATTGATATTTTGAAGTTTTCAATGGCTGTTTCTTTTACAATTTTATTCAAAGTTATTTGACGAGAAATATTAAAAGTTTAATTTTAAAAAGGTATAATTTATTTGAAATAAGTGTATTATATTATCACTTATTATTAGTTGTATTTAAAAAAAAGTAAAGAATTATTTGACTGTTATTATCACATCCACGTCTGGACCTCACATAATTAATATTGTACACTTTTACAATCCTTTAATTCAAGCCAATCTCAGCGGTACCGCAGCTGGTTATGGTCGGGTTACTTCGACTAGTTCTCTCCCTCTCTCTCTCTTGTTACAATGCGTTTCGCGTATATCCTCCCGCTACTGCTATCCGCATGTCCGACAGCAAAAAGTGCTATTTGCTTTATTGAAATATTTTGGAAATCGTTAATTTCGTTTCCTTGTACGAGGACGGTGAATTGTATAGGACACACCTACCAGTCTACTAAAAAATTCCACGACAAGATATTGAAAAGTGTATTGTTTAATAAATAATTGTTAGCCTTATTATTTTAAGATCTGTAATCGGCTTGCTATTCAATAAGTTTTACAATTAAAATATCAGTTTTGTAATTTTATCGTGTTCACGGGTTGCAACGGGTTTTTCAAAATAAATAGTGATATTGAATTTTATATGGTTATTCATTGATTATTTTGTACATTTCATCGGTAATAATATTTACGAAAAATATTTATGATCTACTTAGACCGTTGTCTCCTAATCCTACTTTTCATCAATTTACGCATTTAATTGACAGTGGTGACTAGTTGTAGCCCTAAGTAGTTTTGTCTCCTCAAAATCAGGTTATATACGATGTTAGTAGTGTTGCATCGAACAGTTTGTATTACAGCTTTGAGTAGGGTGAACAGTTTCGACTAATAATTAACACCTCCATTGATTACCCAAAGCCATCGATCTTCAGTCCTACCGTAAGTTGAAAAATTGGCATTCGAAGACACGAGTAGCTCTACTCATCACCTTAGTTACATTCGATCATTACAGACTGAGAGCGGTAGATCTTGAAGCTGCCGGTGATCGAGATACCATCGAGAACGCACTTTTCAATTCTCTTCTTTCAACATGACTGACAAAAATGAGATTCACTTTGACGTAGGCTTGCTGAATCACATTAGATTTCATTCTAATGACGAGGCGAAATTGATGCTGAATAACGATTTAGTCAACGCATGCGATGACAACGGCACATTGTTGCATTATGCAACTACCTGCAGTAATCGAGTAATTGTCAAGCACCTGATAGAGTGTGGGGCTGAGGTCGACTACTTAAATAAGGCTGGCGAAACTTGTCTCATGCTAGCGGTACGGAAAAACGTCAGGTCCTCAATCGTCAAAGTGTTGTTAGAAGCCAACGCCGATATCTACAAAACTGATCATCAAGGAAGAAGTGTGCTGCAGACGGTCTGTGATCCGAGTTATCCATATTTCGAAATTCTCGAATTGATTCTCAGAAAGCTACGAGGTGAGATTAAGAACACCGAGAAGTTCGTCGACGAATTGGTGACCGCAGGATGTAGTTTTTACCATGCCGTACACTTGGGAGATTTCCAGGTAATGCGATGCATGCTACAACGCGGATTCGACGTCAACTCGAAGGGTTATTGCGGACGGACAGCGCTACACGTTGTCGCAATGCGCAACGAAATGGAATTGGCTAAAATACTGATAGACCATGGTGCCGACGTAAATGTTAGCGATGACACCGAGCGTACGCCTTTCATAATTGCCGTTCAAAATAGACATAAGGATATATTGAGACTCGTATTGGAGGCAGGTGCCGATCCCAATGGCAAATATGACTTTTCACCTGTGTTTATACTCTTCATGGACGATGCAGATTTGCCAAATGAAGACTCGGATGAATGCCTAGAGCTTCTCTTTCAATACGGCGTCATTATCGAGAATAGCAGCGACTTATTTCGAATGGGCGTAGCTTTAAACCAGCCGAAAAAAATTAATATATTGGTTAATTACTTGACGATGCTCCAGGAAGTTGGCAAACCGATACCCGACTCGAAATTACAATGCCACAGTGAAAAATTCCGCTTAACCATTCTAGAGTTGGTTGACTCTTGTCGGAAATTTTTGAAGACCGCGGTTTTCAAAAACTCTTCAATTCTTAAATTGTTGATGAATGGCGACAGCAATATGAGAAGGCACGTGCGCAATCATAATTTTGTTTCGCACATTCAGCAGCTCCTTTCGAATGATGAAAATAAGAAACTATTTCCTTATTACTGCAGTACAATTGCAAAGCGAGTCTCTAAAGCCAAATATTTCGTGTCACTGGAAAACAAGGCGATTTCGATTGTCAGTATCATTATGAACAGCAATCAGAACCTATTTTACGCAGTCGCATGCAAAGTTATTGAGTATCTGAATGACAAGGACCTCAAGAAGTTAGTCCATGGATTTCACATTTTATAGGCACGTCTCCAGCTTGTACGTATAAACGTACATTAGTGGTGGACAAATATTTTTGAGTATAAATCAACGTAACGTGTATCCCAGATGTTGACGACGCCGATAAATTTTACAAGACAGTTTACGGAGAGGAATCTCCGTAACAAATACGTGTTCTATAGAATAATGACAATATTATAGGTAATCATTACCATCTGAATTACCTATATTCTATACATTAATAAAATACTGTTGTTCAATTGACAACATATTTTTTATAAGAAATTTTCTTTACTCTTTTGGTACATTTGCCCACAGTTGATTCACTAGTTTCTTAAGAGTAAAGTTCATTGAAGAACATTGAAGATAAATCTGCCGAGTGGAAACAATAATACGCATCCATAAGAGTTGACCACATATACACTCAAATTTGGTAAAAAATGTCAAATTTAAACTTTCGAAAATTTATATTTTTTGAAATATATAGTTTAGGGAAAAATTATAAAAAACTTTTTCATCTTAAAATAAGCCACATTAAAAAATATTTTCCAGTTCGAAAAAATCGCTTCATCATAATTTGTTTAAATGTTCGGCAATTTGAACAATTTTCTACATATTTCTTGAAAAATCTAATGGCGAATTTGAATTCAGATAAGCAAAGTACATAAGAATAAGAAATTACCATCTGGGGCATTTTCATTGCATACTAGATCATACCTAGTTTCCGGACTATAACGTACATAAATTATCGAATTAAAATTTCCGAAAAACTATGGAAATCAAGTAGTCTAACGCCTTTTGGAGCGATACGGCGTCACCACCCGTAGCTGAATGACTGGCAGCTTGTTGTATTAATTCTTGAATAAATTTATTATTTAATGCGAAAAGTTTCCTTTTCGATGTTAATCAATCTAAGCAACTCGTTCATCGCTCTCTGGTTTTAACTTTCAAATTGTTATCAATTTTCTCTTGAAAAAGTAGCAAATTAATATCGATTGTTAGATACAGTGCATAACATGTCTAATAAATAGTGAATTAATTCATCTCATAAAAAAGAGTCAACATTGTGGAAATCCTAATAGAATTAAAATTAGTGAATAAACTCTGTATCATAAATACTAGACATGTCTTATTGTCTTTTAACCGAAAAAAAATTGATAAACTTTTTATTGTAAAGATCACACGTAATAAACAATAATGAAAGCATATCTTATAGAGTGTAAAAAGCTATCTAAACAGTTATCACTATAAGTTTATTATAAAAGGTCACTAACATTCATCAAATTTATTTTCTTACACGGTTAATCCGCTTCTTATATTTTTACAAAAAAAAATATCTTTCAATTTTATTTATTCTTTATTTATCTTTTTAGTTTTTTATACACAATATTGTACATAATAAATATTATAATTAATCTAGTTATATAAATTATACATAGTTATTTGATGCTTCATTGAAGCTACAATAGTCTTTTGCAAGAAAATCTTATTGATTTTATTGAATATTATGAATGCCTGGTTGTCCATTGTAAATTATCGGATAATTATCTCCGTGAAGGTCACTGCATGTATAGATATTCAATTATTGCTACCTAGAAGATCTTGTGATATCCAATCATGTCAATTTGCTTTCCTCCAACGTGTAAACGTAACGGTAAGATAAGCTTCTCTTTCCTTAATTATTGTTTTATGCGATTAAAAATTCAGTAGTTTTTTTATTATCACATCACACCATAAAAGTAAAATCGAACTTACCATTCTTTTTAATTTTCAACTAAGGAAACTAGACAGAGAAAAGTCCAAATTTTTATTAGACTAGTCAATATGACCCCAATATGATTTTATTAAATCAGCCGCTTTTTCGGCAATTGCGATTGTCGGGATATTCAGATGACCAGTTGGTATCATTGGCATTATTGAAGCATCTACTACTCTCAAATTGTTTATTCCTTGAACCTGTAATATGACATTGATGAATATTGTATATCAGAACCTAAAAACATAACGAAGCTTACTTGTAATTTTGTATTAACAACCGCTGATGGATCATTTTCTGCACCCATTTTGCATGTTCCACAGTGATGCCAAAAAGTTATGGTAAATGTTCTGAATGCACATTCCCAATATGAATCTGAATTTGGTTCGTGAGTTTCACACCCAGGAACAATTACGTCGTTTATTCTTGATCCATATTTTTGTAGTGCTTTAACTTTTGCGATTTCAATCGTTTGTCTGATCATTTTTACTCCCACCCGTACATCATCAGCATCGGAAAGATAATTTGCTAATATTTTTGGATTATCTTTAGGATTTGAGCTTCGTAGAAATACTCTTCCACGACTTTTAGGCTGCATAAGTATCGGGAAAAGTATATATCCGTGGTGGAATATTGTCTTGGCAAAAAATTTATAAAAATAACTATCTTTGAATCCGAAAATGGTATGACCTAATAATTCAGATCCAAAATGTATATTTGCAAATATGATTTCTAAATTTGGGTCTTCATCGTCTGGACTCAAGTTATCAACATTCATAAATCCTAGAGCTTCAACACCAAAAGGCACCGTCAATGGGCCAGTTCTCTTTGTTAGATATTCGGAAAAAGCATGATTTGATGGTCTTAAAATATCTGTAATTAGAAAACTATCCGTTTCATTGGTCATAAAAGACAATCCTCCGTAACTAATGTGATCCATCAAATTTTCACCAACAGGCGCGTCTTTTAAAACAGAGATATTGAAACTACGTAAATGCTCCGCTGGGCCGATTCCAGAAAACATGAGGATTTTTGGCGAACCTATTGCTCCAGCGCATATAATTACTTCTTTTCTCGCTACCACTTCTATTTTCCGATATCCCTTTGTGAACTCTACACCATAAGCAGTTTTTGTTTCCGGATCGATTAGAACTTTGTTCACGTGACTATTCATACTAACAAATAAGTTTCTTCTATATTTGATGGGGTGCAGGTATGCTCGATTTGTACTCACTCTTTCTCCATTGATTTGATTTGTTTGCAGATAACCAAAACCCGTTTGTTGACCACTGTTGTAGTCAATCATAGTCGGCAATCCAAATTCTTTACCCGATTCAACAAAGGCACGTGCAAGCGGAGATTGATAAGGTGCATTTGCAATACGTACTGGTCCGCTATAGCCATGTGCTTCATTTTTTGTATTTGCTCGAGTGACGTCATATTTTTCCATTTTTTTAAAGTATTTAAGCATTCCGTCCCAAGACCAATCATTATCGCCAGTTAATTCAGCCCAAGTATCATAATTCCTTTTGTTGCCTAGAATTACGTATGTCTGTTTAAACGATTTTCTAATAACATTACCGCAAATGCTAAATCAATATCTCATCCGACAAAAAGAAAAAAAGTATTGCACTCTTACCTCGAACAGCCAGCATAGCATTAACAGAACTCGATCCTCCCATCACTTTACCAAACAGAACTTGGCATTGATTATTCAATGATCCCAGACAATATTGATCTGAAGCTTCTGTTGAATAACCCCATTTCTTGTCCTTGTGAAGTGTTGAATATAAGGCAAATAAAGGAACATCCATAAATAAATTTTCACGGCTACCTGCTTCGATTAGAAGTACTTTTGCGTCATTGATTTCAGTTAATCTGTTGGCGATGGTGGCTCCCGCACTCCCTGCTCCAACAACAATAAAGTCATATTCTTGCCTATTTGACGGCGTAATATCATCAAGGCCATTTCTTTTAAAGTCGATAGCATCAATTTTGAAATTTATACCACCAGTAGTAAATCGAATGAAATCGTGTATCCCTTTTGCGATATTGTTTATTATCCCAAAAGAATTCACCTGAACGCAGAGTACTAAGAAAATAGCGAGGCAAGGTGCTATTAACCGTACAGTCATCATGTTTTATTCATTAAAATTTTTTTGTAAGTGATTTTACGTTTTCTATTCAAAGTGAAAATTTCCTCACAGGAGTAAGTCCCATCTCATCAATTCTTCAGTCTTTTTCACCTTGTTTATAGATTGTTTGCCTCTTATAAGTATTACAAGCCAAAGTAATTAGTTTTACTTCGAAGGTAATAAAAAATATAAATGATTGTTGAAATTCTTTTGTCTAAGCAGTCTGCTGAAAAACAAGGAATTAATAATATAGTGACTGAAATTATGTTTCATCTTCATAGCAGAAAAATATGCAATACATAAAACTTTAAAATTTTATTTACAATTGTATAAGAAAACAAGGCAGAACAATAGTAACTCGAAAAGTATTACAATGTCTGAAGCATACATGCATGAAATCAAAATTGCACTGCTTAACATTACAATTACTTAATTAACATACCTTGATCTGTAACAAAATTTTTATGAAACGTTCCGTAGAATCATATCAATCATTATTTTCATAATTGTTTTTTTATTAATATCATAAACCTTTGCCGAATAAAACATCTAATACTGTAACACTTTCCTGCATATACTTTTTTATTGTAAATTTTCAATCAAGACCAAGGGTTTCATCTAAAAAAAGAAATAAAAATTTTAATTGAATTACCAATAACACTTCAATAAACTTTTATTTAAAAAATCATCTAGTAAAAAAGTTATTAACAAATTACTAACTAGTGAGTTTTATACTTTTTCGGTTGAATTGTACAAATTTATTATTCACGGTCGAACTAGGATTGTCTTTATACTTAAATTTTAGCTTTTTCACTAAAATTTAAGATTAAAGATTTAGAGACAAATGTTTCTACTTTTAAAAAGTATATATATCAATTTCAGTTTAATTAACTTTTACATCTGCTTGAATTAACCGGCGTAGGATATTATTTCATTTATCTAGTATATTAAGGATATCGTAAATTATTTTCAAAGATATGATGCATGTTTCCAATGGATTTTTAGCACAGAATTTAATGACGATTTATAGTAAAGCTTACTTTAGAAATGCCGGGAATGAAAAGCCACTAAGAAAACACACTAAAATACCGCTTATAAATCTGTTTTTTTTTCTTAGCGCTTCTAATGTAGACTTTATGATAAATTCAATAAGACCATTAAGAGTTACAAAACCAGTCAATGACGACTTTAATTATACGAAAACAGTCCAATTTCAAAATTTGTTGCAATTTGTCACAGTTACATACACGCGCGCGCGCAGTTACTGTGACTTCAAGAACTACGTCCAAACTCCGGATAAAATCAAGAATGAAGATTTGAAACACTGATAAACATGCACACTCGCAAAGCACAGATGCCCACTGTACCCACTCTTTAGCTGTCCGAAGAATCGATCGTATCTCTTTTATTTATCGTTTTATCTTTTCTTCTTTTTTAGTAGAAACTATACAGTAATTATACAGTACACATGAAGTTTTTCTCTTGCTCATTGATACATGAAATTCGCTAAGTTCCCAAATAAATCAATGATCTACTTAAACTGTAACATATATATATTCAGTTTATATAGATATACAATGCAAGTTTTGCTCTAAATCGTATTTGTGTTTATGTATTTAGACTGACTTAATAATCTTAAAAGAACTTGTAGAATAAAGTATGAAAGAACGCGAAGTTCCAATGCGGGTGAACTTAGTACTTTAGATCCAGGAACCCGAGGGGTTCGATGACCTACGAGTAACGGGAGTTCACATAAAATGATGAACAAAGAGCACGAGAGGAAAAGAAGTATAAATAGGAGAAGAAAAACGTCTTGCGCACTACGGTGACAAGCTCGAGGTACCTCAAAATTAGATGTTGGAGCAGCCCGAAGTTGGATCGTCGCTCGGCTTCTCGCGCGCGGACACTGGCAGTCGCGTAATTGCCCTCGCGGTCGATAATCGCGCAGAAAGATCACTGGATCTCGCACTTCTCCGTTCTAGCGTAGAGAGCGACCTCGCGAAGGCAGCGTCTGTGATCCTGCGATCGGGCTTCCCCCCTCTGGTGGCTCCAGCGCTCGCCTAATGCTCTACTCCTATCGCACTTTTTATATGAGCGGGCGACGTTCCAATTTGACCCTACTTTGCCTGCAATTTTTCAGTTAAACCTCTGTGAACATTTCTTCGATATTTCAAGGAATTTCCATTTGTTGCTGTATCCAAATGTAAATTTCTTACGATTTGCTGATTCACGTTATTGCGTGTCTTTCAAATTTTTAAGCGACGGTGATACATATGAGCTTTTTCCTTTTTTTAACAGAAAGTCTTGAAAGAGTGCGTATTAAATAATCTTTCTCTCTTAGCCATTATCTTATTTACCATTTAAATTGCATTAGATCGATTTTATTTCTATCGCATTATATAATAACCATCCTGCGTCTGGTTAGAAACATTATTATAAAGTACCGCTTTATAGGATTTCGTGAGAAGTCATCAAACCGGTTTGATTTTCTTTCTGAGTTGTCCGTTGTCTTTCTTATTTATGATCAGTTTTGGTGTCGATAGATCGCTATCGACCTAATACAGGAACATATGAAATATAATTACCATTTTTACCATAAAAGCAACATTTGGTTTTTATTAATCTTTTTTTTAATTGTTATTGATTATAATAAAAATAGTTAGTTTCGTTTGTCCTGGGTTTTACATCTATGAGATGGTTTCACATCTACATACGGCTATCTTTTGTCATAATAATTATATTACTTGTGCTTTGGCTGTTAATCGGTTAGCTTTATGAAAATCGTTATAATTCATAATTACCATGGCGATGAACGATATCATCAACATGCACGTGCTGTAACGCTTGTAAATATCTACGTCTTATTTTGTTGTTTGTTTGTTTACTTAGAAAAGCATCCAATCTACGGAACGATTTGCCGTCGTCGCGTGATCCTCCCCTGCGTTTCGCAACCCACCGTCATACGGCACAACTGATTTATAGCATTTATTGCTCGATTTTGAATCTTGAAGCAACTCGTGGAAAACATCTGAGCTTGCTGTTCAACTTCATCGACTTGTTATATAAAATTTTTTAAACAAAATACAAATCACGTAGATCGTTAGATGACAAGTATACAAGTATAAGTCGACGTTCTTTGCACGAATAAAAATAAAAACGGTATACCGGCGAATTTCCATAATAGCTTACGGGTTCAAGGATAGACGTCTCGATGCTTATCGTCTACCGATCTCTTTTGGATCAACGTGTGCGCGCTCACGTATACACGGGTCATCGACGCCGTCAAGTATTACGAGCGCACAGCAAACTAGTCGATTATGCGAGCTAAGCGCTCGTTGTTTCCGTATCTGTTTGTTTTTTTGTTTGCTTTATATTATGTATCGAGGTCGCCCGCGTTGACGCGAGACAACAAGATTGGGAACGATGACGGCACGCGATCCGGACTCTGGTCCAGATCTGTCTTGAAAATTCACGAGTAACATATTCAAGAACAAAAGACTAATTAAAAGATACGTCGCTGCAAGAGAAGACGTGTGCGAGTCGACGCTGTTATCTGCGTGGGCGATTCAGATTCGTTTCAGCTGCGATTTTTCGTTTCGCCCCTGAGAACGCGGGGCAGCGCTGTGCCTGCGTCTGAGATCCATAGGGCGCTGTCATGTTATCCGGCCGGGATAGCTTGGCGACCTTTACGATGCTGTCGCGCGATCTTCGCGACTCATTCGCTGCTATCAACGTGGCCTAATTTCCGGCGGATTCGAATATCACTTCGCCACGTCTCTCTCTCTCTCTCTCTCTCTCTCTTTCTCTCTCTATTCGTCTCTTACACTTGTAAGCGTACGTGAGATACTCGCGCTGACTTGAATATTGATACGTTGATATTTTGTGATGGCGAAGTCACGTGTCTGCGGAGACGAGAAAAAGAAAGAGAGGAAACGACAATTACAGAGCAACTGCGATTAAACCTCGTGAGATAACGCAGAGGATTCAGCGTGGATGAAAATATCACACCTAATACACGAGCGTAGGCATTGAGATAATTTGCGTAATATTCCATGAAACAAATTTCTTTTTGCAATATATGTATAAAATGTGCGTGCATATAGCACGTGAAATACAGGAGTGAATATCTAGCGTGTCTTCGTCAAAATTTATTGTAAATGCAAAAAGGTGCTGTTGGAAAATCGTTGGAAAAGATAAGTATTTTCATTATTGCTCGCAATCTTTGCATCACTCAATACACACGTGCGTACGTCCCGTAACACTTGCGCGTACGCACACATTTTATTCGTGTATGTGTCGCGCGACGGAGGTTAGTCGTATTGACTTACTCTTATACTCTTTCCGTTTTTATCTATATAATTTAAGAAATTTTACAGTGGCATAAAGCGCAAATATTTTAATACAGCATACCATAATGCACCATAGTACGCGTTCAATCGACAGAACAACCTCAGTTCCAAGCTTTCAATGCAAATTTCAATATATGAAATTTGCGGTGACATAAGACTTCAACGTGTAACAGACTGAGCGCATACGACTTTGTGTTAATCTCGCGATCTTTGCTTATATTGCGTAGAAGACGCGTTGGATAATTTTATCAATAAACAAAAGTTTCCGGAGTCAAGACGAGTAAATGTTAGCAACGTAGTTGACAAAAAAGTTGAAAAGGTATTAGCTTCACTAGCTAGGGATGATAGTTATTATTCGAATCTCATTGTCGCGATATCTGTCCAACATTATTCAATTCCGAAAGAAACAAAGTATTCGTTATAAGGTGCATTTCCGAATTTCGACATATTTTTCATTCGAATCATAGTTTAAACTTTTTAGTCACGTAAGCAATATGATTTTCAAGCCTAATTTTCAATTTAAGATACTACTTTAAAGTTTTTAGGATCGCTGATTACGAATATCAAGTTAAGATCTTACAAATTCAAAATGGTAAATTCAATATCGCAGACAAAATTTTTTTTAATTTGGTCAAATGTGAACTAAATATTCTTTTTTTGGATTCGCTGATTACGAATATGAAGACAGATATTTCTAAATACCCTTCACTTTCGATACACGGGAACTGGTTATGGTAATTTTATTTCTTGTATCGTTTTTTTCTGGTAATATTTTTTAGTGTAGCTTTTTTTTTAAATTTATGGTTTTGAACAAAATGTCATTTTTCATAGTTATTTCCGTTTATTGGATTCACTATATTGAATTTCATCTGTCAAATAAAATTTTTACATTAAATATCATACACACTAACTGAAATTCAGAGATATATTTTTGTAAATCAAATAGCAGTAATATTATATTGGATAATAAGCCAAAAAGTTACAAGTATTTTTAATATGTTTATAATGAAAATTTACTAGTAACGAATAAAATTCACGGAAACATCCTTTTCTCTGTAAACATTTATTTATAACAGTAATTAGTTTGCATAAATTCATAAAGCATATTGATTATAATGATATTGAAGTATTTCAATAACTAAAAATGAAAATAATTTTAAATTTATACGTGATTTCAAAAATTAATGATAGAAAAAGGAAATAAAATAGGTAGTCGCTATATCGGTTCCTGTGACTGGAAGGTTTAAAAAAATAATGAATTGAATAAAGGTGTTGACCTTAAGACACATGGCGATACAAATGACGTTAACAATTTAAGACTAACAATTCTGATGTTTAATCTTCAAGTAATATTCAATATTCGACAATATATGTCTCACTAGTCCACGTTGTATGAGCATTCGCGTGACAGCCACTGCTTGGCAAACCACGCCTCGCGAGACGCAAACACCTCCCCAGCCGAAGCTGGAAATAGTTTTCACGAGCGCGTACGTATGGCGTCTCTCGCCGAGACGTGCTTGGAACCTCGCTGCTAGCACGACGAAAGTGGCAAATGATCCGAGGGAACGAGGGCAGAGCAAAACTATCGAACACTGGATCGAGGGTCGAATAGAACTAGGTAAACTCAAGGAAGGCGTTTTCAAGGCTAACAAGTATTTCACGTGAATATTTACTGACACGGAAAAGAACTTGACGTACGTATATATCCGGCATATTCAGGCAACTCCTTGAAACACGTCATTTTGCCGTTCTCAGAGATTACTAAAAGATCTTAGTAATTTTCCTTAATAACACATTCTGTTTTTATAATTTGAATGAATAAATTGTTAGCAGAAATAATGATTGTACTTGCTATTTGTCACTAAAATAATTCATCGATTTAATGCACATACCTTCTATATTAAGCATTGACATACAACAGTATACATTTCTAAATTTCTTCTTGCGTGTCCGACCAATTTGAAAGGAATAACTGCATGCAGTAAGGAATTATTATAATTTATATTGTCGACCATGGTCCAGTCAATACGAGTATTACCTGTTCAGGCGTATACAGTTTCTGTCAGGCTTTACCCACAGCATACAGTATCATGTGTGTTATCGCTAATGCCTCGGAAATCAATACAGCTTCGGCAACAATGATCATGCAAAATAAAAGTGATAGTGCATCATATGTGAATTATGATACTAAGAATTAGCTGGAAAGTATAATAGTTATGATTCGTTTACCAAATGTTTAAACAATTAATGGAAAAATTAGAACAAACTCTTTATTGCCGACGTAGAGTTAAGTACACCTAGCTGAATTTACATTCTTCTGAAGATAAAGTGAAACAATAATGAAATGTCAATTAAAGATATTCGTTCGTAATGAAAAAGATAACAAAAAACACGTACTAATCTGCGATGCAGAACCGATGAAATAGTTCAGCCGGACTTTGTCATTGTCTGGAGCGCTGAAATTCCCCAAGTCATCACAACAAAGTTGGACCCTATAAACGATACCAGTAATCAGCGCCGCTTTCCACACGATGTCCCGGCCGCGCTGCGACTCTAACAGAAGTAAAAGTCATGAATACGATGTGATTCATAGACCGGGAGGAAAAGCGCAACGCGGTGCAGATAAAATGAGAAAAATGCTGGTCATCGTGAGCGTTTAAATTGAACAAGCCCAGCGGCAGATGCCGTCAGTCTAGCGTAATGTACCGACGCGTCGAATTCGTCGCTTTTAGCGTTGCGCTGCTGGTGTTATTCACTGGTCGCAGTGCGAACGCCAAATACAAAAATTATGCTCCGGTTCTGGAGAATCCGGACTACGGATCTACGTGGAGCTTACTTGCCCCGGATAGGATGTTAACAAATAACGGCGACAGCTTCCCTATTTATGCAGATAGTAGTGAAGACTGGGAAAAATCTACCTGCCGTCGCGATTTACTCACCTTGGCAGAGGCGGTCGCACGTCGTGAAGTTTGGGCGCTTACGAGTAAGTGGATATAATCGTGGAAGTTGAAGTCTTCTTACTTCTTTCATCGGTAGGTTCATGTTTCACATCGTTGCCGATTTTTTTTTAATATTCTAACTCAACGTTATGATTTTAACATCACGCACTGTAGTTAGTCCTATTTCCTATTTTGTGTCAATCTTCCGTTTGCCTGTGAAAATGTAAACTCGACTCTAAAATTCCGACACAAATAATTAAAGCGAAATCGTGTTTTTTATTATTTTCTTGTTTATGGTTTTCTTTTGAAATTGGTTGAAAACCCACAGAAAAGCCTGTTATTAATAATGATTTAATCAGTAATCCGTTCAAATATTTCTTCTCAATCGAAAGATCTAACGTTAACATGAATGAAAAATCGAGCTCTACGGGTGGAAGCGATTATTATTAATTTATTTTAAGATACTATTAATAATTATTTTATTATTATTAATTTATTATTATTAATTTATTTTAAGCAAGTATTAATTTACCTGTTCTTCCAACTTATTTTCCCTTGCAGACCTTCCGTAACACTAATTTTGCGTAAATGTGTCAATTTTGCAGTTTCATTGTAGTGGTAAATGTTTTCATGTAACTGCTACAGTGAAATTTCGAGCAAACAATAAATAATATGGTTGTCGACGTACTTTGACTCAATTTTAAAATTTTGCAAAACCACGTCGAATTCAAGCGTTTTGGAGGGGAATTCGCCATGGTGTTGATGAACGTTTGATTTCCATTTTAAAACGAATTGAATTTTTATTGTAAACAAAGGCTTTTCTAACTGATCTAATTAAGCGAATTGAACAGTGTTGGATGCTTCGTCGAAGCTGCAATCGGGTCTGCTGCAAGGCAATCTCGTCGATCTTGGCCAATACGACGAGTGCTCGGCTGTCCACTCATCGAATAACGGCATCCGTGGACGTCACTGCATGTATTCGATTAGCGCGACTCAGGGCAACTCTACGATACCAATAAACCCAACGCTGTCGATCTGCCTTCCTGCAACGTGCTCAGCCGACAACATAATTGCGTTCTTCAACACGACCATCTCGTGGATCAACGAGATAACGGATCTCAAGCGCGAGATCGCCTCGGCCACGTGCTCGGCTGTCGACACGGTTGTGTGGGACCCAGAATTCAACGTCTGCCTGTAAGCCCAATTTCGCGCAAGCGGCTTTCATCTGTCATTTTTCCAGTACGCATACGTTATCTGCAGGGCTATTCTGGTGGGATTCCTAACTTTTCTGACCGCTTGTACGGCAATAGAGCTGACCCAGAAGAACTTGGTCGCTGGCGAGCGAAGGCATCCCTTGATCGGTGCTCTAGCCGCGTTTTCATTGAAAAAGAGCGCTGCGTCAATTCTCGATATGGACGTAAAGAATGGAACGCTACCTGCTCTACACGGGATACGCGTTCTCAGTATGGCTTGGATCGTTCTCGGCCACGAATATGTGCTCTCGATTGGGGCCGCCAATGTTAATGCACTCGATATATTGAAAGTAAGCGTATTTGTCTTAATTAGTTTGAGTAATCATCGCTAGAAGTAATGTCATTTTTAGATCAATAACTTTTTCAAACTAGATTTTATTGGCCATGTAACTAAGTTAATCGTTATCATTCGATATTCGGTGATAATTAATTTGCAAAATAAAAAAGAATATTGATGTTTGTTAATCTATTACTGCACTGCGAGTGACAGAGAGAGAGAGAGAGAGAGAGAGAGAGAGAGAGAATGATAACTGAGCCGATACGACTTTTATATTTCAAAATGAACTTTATTATCTCTAAGTATGTACGTGAATTTTATTTTAAGCATACTGATGAATGTTTTTTTCTCAGTGGGTTCAATCCTGGAATTCCTTATACATTTTCATCGCTCCGTTCGCCGTCGATACCTTTTTCGCAATGAGCGGTTTCTTGATGACTTATTTATTCTTCAAGGAAATGCCAAAGAAAAAGAGATTTAACGTTCCAATGTACTATTTGCATCGATACGTTAGGTAATTCCTATATTTACCTATATGTATGCGTGCGTGCGTGCGCGCGCGCGCGCGCGCGTGTGTGTGTGTGTGTGTGTGTGTGTGTGTGTGTGTGTGTGTGTGTGTGTGTGTGTGTGTGTGTGTGTGTGTGTGTGACATTTTCCCGTTATTTCTTAACGACTGACGATATAAATATTACTCGCTACAGGTTGACTCCCCCTGTGATAGCTTTGGTAGTTTTTGCAATAGTATTTGTGCCAAAACTTGGGTCGGGAGCTCAATGGGACGCAACGCTGAACTTCATTTTGGGCAGTTGTCGAACTAAATGGTGGCCTCAGCTGGTGTATTTGCAGAATTTCGTAGAGAAGGATAAAATGGTATGAGTTTCGAATGTTCGACCGAACGATCAAGGTTTACAAAATTATTCTTTGAAATGCAGTGCTTGGCACACTTGTGGTACTTGGCCGTGGACATGCAACTCTTTTGGGTATCGCCGCTGATATTATATCCTCTCTACAGAGCACCAAAGTTCGGTTTGATATTACTTTCTGCGCTGTTTTTTGCTTCTCTGGTGATTCCGGCGACGGTTATTGGTATCAAGAAGCTACCCATCGTTTCATTTACCCACTCTCTTAAGTAAGTGTCATTCTTTTCTTGCCAATTATGCTTCCTGGCCCCTTACAGTAATAATTAAATTTCAGTACGACTATCGTGATGGAAATTTTTCATGATATTTATGAAATCCCTTACCATCGAGCAACAGCATGGTTAGTTGGCATTTTCTGGGGTTATGAAGTAGCAATACACGACCGCCAACTTAATAGAGTGAGTAACTTAATAGAGCGTTCATTCTTTTTTACCATTACAATCATTACATAAATTAAACTACTTAAATGAATATGTACATCGCGATAACATAACTGATGATGGTATTTTCACTAAGTAGTGGAACGTCGTTGCCGGCTGGTTGACGGCGATTGTATCGTTTGCTTTCTGCGCGTTTGGCACGAGATCTTTTATGGATCCTCATTACGAATACAACGCAGCATGGGAAACTTTCTTCTCAGTAGTAAGTCGGCCACTCTGGGCCTTTGGAGTTTGCTGGATTATTTATGCCAGTACAAAAAATTGCGCAGGTGATTTAAAAGCGAAATATCGCCAACTAACAGCCATTTTTATCCAAATAGGTTTAATAATTCCATATTATTTTTAGGGCCTCTGTCAAGTCTTCTGTCATTCAGAATATTCCTACCTCTTAGCAGGCTTTCATATTGTATTTATTTAGTTCATTTTGTATTACAAACAGTGCACGTTGCTTCGCTGAGGACGTCTTTGTATTTTTCAGCTTATTATATAGTGAGTATATAAATAACTCCTTGAAAAAATGCTTCGATTTCAGAAAGATTTTCTGATCGTTCAAGTAACGTTTTCACGAAATATCACCACGCGTACCTTCAACGCTCTCTTTTACCCATAACAGTCCTGACATTAATAAAAACAAAAATGTGATTTTGTATGCTTCTTTGTAGTTTTTCCAAATTTAATAAGATAAACTGTAGAGAATAGTCGTAATCTTAATAAAAATTGTGACTTTGCAACAGTCAAATGCTCTTTCACAATTTTGACTCTTACAAAGTCTATAAAAACGTAGCAATGCATAAAGTATTGAAAGCTAATAAAAATGTATATGTGAAACGTTTAAGTGAAATTGATGTTTCAATTAACCAGTAAATAGTTTATGCTATATTTATAACCAGTAAAATTAAAATTTGAAGCAAAACTTACGTTATCAATTTTTGTTTTTTTATTAAATCAAAAAGAAATTATAAAAATTGACGTTTCTATTTTTAGTGATCTTAAGACTTTCATGACCAAAAATGGTTATCATAAGCATACGCGGCAATATGTCAAATTCTTTGATCGATCGCACTTCAAGATGTGATAACACCGAAAAATGAAGTGCGCACGAAAAATCGTAAAAACTTTCTCGAATTAATGCATTTTTTTATGGCTTATTTAAATAATAGATAATCATTCTTACAAAATTTGAACACGAGTCATTCTTAAATTTGACATTTTTTTCTTTGCAGTGGCGCTCTTTTTTCAGTACGCTAGTGATTTCTATTGTGATTGCTTTTTTGTTCAGTCTGTTATTCGAATCGCCAATAATAGTTTTGGAAAAAATGCTAAAACAAAGATACCGGAAATCTCGATTTGAGTCACAAAGAGAACTGATACCTAACGATGAGGAAGATTTAAAAGCTGAAAAATAAAGACTGAACTTTCGAACCTCGATATGACTGTTTTTAAACTTCATCTTAATATTAAGTTATTTTACGTTGAACTAAAAACCTAGAAAAATCTAGATAATACTGTAATTAAGAAATTAAAAAATGAAAATTATTTTTAAAATGTTATATGGATAATTGATTAATATCTGCAATTTGAATTGCAATTTCGTACTTCTATGTCTGATAGACAAACGTGTGTTAAATATATTTTATTAGTGTAATTTTTATGTTGAAACTACTATTTCAAATTTTGAGACTTGATATTTAAAATCATGCCATAGCACAACATTGAGTCTAAATAATATTATTATTTTTCTTTATCAAATTGCTGTATCATTCACGTAAATATATTACACTCGTAGAAATAAAATGCGGTTATCATTCATTGTCAAGCTTACAGAAAATTAATGTTGATAAATACAATTTAATAATTCAGATTATCTACAGCTTACATGTATTTTTAAAAGTACAGATATATACAGGTGAAAGTATTATACATGGTACCTTGTGCAGTAGATACGTCAGAAACACCTGCATACCTGCACCGATTTTGCTGTAATTTCGATAGAAAACTGCTCTGAGGAGTGATTTTCGAGGGTGGCTTTCACCCCTTAGAAAGCCTTTTCCGCCGATAAAAAAAACATGTATCTTTTATTTTTCAATAAGCTATACCATATCTAAATTACAGCGAAATCGGAGGCGGAGGGTTGGGAACGTTCCCTTGTAAGAGCTTATACATTGAGGCGACAGTTAGCGGCATGTAGTATGCTTTTATTTATACTTTAGCGATAAGGTGGCAACAGGCTATAGGGTTGTAGCCAAAACATATAGGCTGGGGTTAAATGTTACGAGGAGAATGCTCATGGGCCAGTCGATGTCGAGGCATAGCTAAATGAACATACGCTTACTAAAAACTATTGTGTTGATTATTTCAAATTTCTGACTTACAATAAAAATTTTGAATAATTTTTATTTGTGAAAATACAGAAGAAATACAATCTTCTTAGAATGAAGTACACTATTTTTCAAGTTTTGTACTTTTCAAACAGTACCGTAATACAAAAAAATAACCTTTGCTGGAACAATAAAAAAAAAGTTAGCACGAGTTATAAGATTTAAAAAATCTTTATTACATCGTTTTAATTAAAAATGGAAAGATCAGGTTGATTGCGATATATTATCAATATATACATGCGTCGCTCTGACCGAGAGATTAGCGCCTCTCGTCGCAATGTAAATAAACCACCACGTTCCGCGGATTCCTTAGAGAGAGAGAGAGAAATCAAAGAGAATTAATATTTTTCTATCCTGAAATTAATTATTATAATATGTAAAATTAATTTCGGGATAAAAAAATATTAAAGTGAATTAAGATTCGTTCTACTTTAATAAATTTCAATTGTCATTTGTAGGATTCAGAAAAATAGACTCAAAGCGGATTGGATTTTTAATTTGGTTGAATGCCTTGTTTTAGCAGGGTATATACGTGTATACGCGCGGGCGCGGGCGTGTATATGTGTATACACTGCTCAAACGTTATTTTATGATCCATCAAATTCAAAATCCAAATTATTTTTGACTATTAAGCATCGATGGTATTAAATGATTTTTTTCTTTCTGGCAAGTTATAGAGGCATAATTTACCAAAGAATGCCCTTGACTTAACCTTGTTTGATGTTATCGATACCTAATCGTCAATACTAATGTAAATTTTGAATCGCGGATCTCGAATTCATTTCTCGACATATTATTTTTACTATTTTTTATTATTAAAATTATTAAAATTTAATGTAGAATAACACAACATGGAAAGTAAGCAACTGTAGATAAAGTAAATTACACATCTATTCTGACAGTGGAGACGCGCATATAACATAAGCACGCGCTGCAATGTTACATATGTACACTACACAGTGTCGCCACTCGCCAGCTCGGCATTCGCTACTCATCAGTTCTCTTTATAGTATTTGTAATTTTCCTGCGTCACAAGCACAACTCAACGCGCAAGTGTTTTTTTCTCAATTGCTCTCGGAAGTTTTTTATACAATACAGCTACGGCAACAAATAATATCTTAAGAACAATACCGCGACAATAATAATTAACAATGGCTGAAGATGTTCTAATAACTTTTATGCCCAACGAGGTTATTGAATTGATCATGGAAAATGACGAATTAAGCATACAAGATACTGTCAATTTTTCTCTCAGTTGCAAACATTTACACAGGATTGTTTTTGGTAGTAACAAATTGTGGAGGACAAAGTTCTTTATGAGGTAAATTTGTACATTTTACATCCTAGTTATTGTTTTTACTATAAATGTTTCATCAAATACCCAGAGACTTACTATGTAGCTATGTAATAGCATGATGAGTAATGGAATTTTATCAAGGAAAATACACCTTATCTTACTTATCACTTTCCTTATCATTTTATAATAAATATTACATCTCGCAGTTACAATTAACTTATGTAGACAAGTATCACTTGCTTTAAAATCCTAGATTAAGTATATTTTTATTTTAGATGGCCTCTTCTTAAAGAAACATATTGTGAATATGAGAAACACAACAAAATAAAAAATTGGTTGCTTGAGGTTCAAGCTAGCTATGAGAGTAGAAAAAAACTCATGCAAAAATTAACCAAAATGTCAGCAAAATATTATAAAAAGCAAGAGCTTTCACATTCTGAATTTGAGGACTTTGACCCATTGTTCCGTCCAGATAAGGGGTCTCATCCATTAGCATATCATTTTCTTGTAGATGAACTAATTACTTTGATTGAGCATCCAACAATGTAAGTACTTAATTTTCTTTATAATTTATTGTGAATTTTTGTAAAATGTATATATTTGTAATATTTTCATAGAAAATAGCTAATAACTAAAAAAGATGACATAGTCGAAGAAGACTATATGAAATATGTAGAAATACATAGAATTGTATGATTATTGACATTTTTATATATTTCATCATCTCTTTTAATTTTGACTTTCTTGTAAATATCTGACTCAGCCACCTCTTCATTAAATAATTTTAAATAGTCACTGGATCAGATATTTACCAAAAGTTTAAACGTAAATAAGAGTAAACAAATCTAAATAGTGATGTGCTTCAAGATCCTCATAAAATTGATTTTATTTACTGTTTACAATATTTCAATTTATACATGTTAGCTTTTTAAAATATGTAACATTTTAATTTTTTTTGCAGGCAAAATCTTACTGATAAGTATTATGCTTATAAAATAGTGAGACATTTGAAACAAAGTTATTTGACAGACGAATGGCATAGATTTATTACATTACCATCCGAGAAACAACTTTTAGAGCAAGGAGCTACTCTGGTAGCACAATGGAGTCAACCAGAAAAACATGTAAGATATAGCTATATAAGGGGTATGCTAGATGATATCGTAGAACAAGCTAAAGAAGTGCTTAAAGAACGATACTCTTCACATCCTATATTTGCAACACCACCAGAGACATTAGAATACTGGAAAAATAATAATATCGACGACAATCAGTGGGCACCTGCTGAGACAAAACAAATAATGGCTGCTTTATGTGAAGTGATGTTTAATAAATTAGATTTTCACGGAAATAGCGAGATGTATTATTCAGCTGAAAACTCATTTATCGATAGAGTAAGTTCATAATAAATATGTTCATTTGAACTTTACTTATAATCAAAATTATTATTTTAGGTACTTGAGCTTAAACGTGGTATTCCTATTACATTGGCTATTGTGTTTGAAAGTATTTGTCGGCGAGTCGGGGTAAAGTGTGAGCCGATTAGTTTTCCAGCACACTTTTTGCTGCGATGGAAAGAGAAATAGTATGTGAAACTTTATATATATTATCTTGATTCGACATCGATATAAAGCTAATGGTTATTATTAAATTATAGTACGGGAAATAGTGACACAGATAGCATTGAAAATTTTTATATCGATGTATTTAACGGCGGTCAATTTTTAACTCGACAAAATTGTCCACGTCTTGGTGGAGTATCAAAGTGTCCAATAGAACGATACAATATTCATCGTCCAGCAACTGCAATAGAAGTATAATTCATATGAATATTTAATTATAAAGTATTCTTCATTATATTATTTAATAAATCTGTGTTAAAGGTTGTAGAAAGAATGGCGAACAATTTAGAGGTAGCAGGCAGGCAGCGTACCCATTTAAATGGTAGAGCAGCGAGATTACGTTCAGCACTCGAACTGTTATATATGGTCCGACCACATGACACTGGAGTGATTCTGCACTTGGCGCGATTCTACATGTTGTATCAAATGGATTTGACTCAACTGGTAGATGTACTGACTTACTTGAAAAGGGTATTCATAAGTGTTATTAATATCCCTTTCTATTTACATAAAATATTTCATCAACTCATATATACGTCTGTCAAAACTTAGGATGCTGAGCTAACATCGAGGGGACCAGCAAATCATATACTACAAATGCTCCAGGATTACGAGAAACGTGTGGTGAATGACGTATGTAATAACGCGTATAAAATGAAAATCGTTTGGTGATATAGAATGAATAATTATACCATTTTTTCTACAGGAAATAATTGAAGTCAAAAAACGAACCGCTAATGTAAAATTTGCTATAGGTATGATAATGGAGCACCAGAAGTACGATTACTTATGTGTTATAACTGGCTGGGATTTAAAATGCGAAGCATCGCCAGAATGGATAACCGAAATGGGTGTCGACGAATTGAGTCATGGTGCTAACCAACCGTTTTATAATGTTTTTGCACATGATGGATCATCACGATATGCGGCACAAGGTATGTGAATTATTTTCAATGGCAATACCGAATCGATAAAAAATTTTAGGTTTCATTTCCTTGTTATTTTAGAAAATTTAGTTATGGCTGTAAATCCCGTGTGGATTGATCATTATGAAACTGGAAGGTACTTTTGTCAATTCAAAGGAACGCACTATGTCCCTAACGATGAAAAAGCAAAAGAATATCCGGAGGATGTCAATGTTAGAGACGAACTTATAACAAGATACTTTTAAAGATTACTGAAGTTTTTTTTTTAATACAAAAACTATTTATACATAATTGCGTTAATTGTACGAAGCGATAACGCCATTATTGATTTCTGTAAAGTTTGTATTTCTACTAATTTAATTGAACATATTAAAAATAGAGGTTTTTTCATTATTGTAATATAGAATGCTAAAATTCTATATTCATCTTAAAAAGAGTATTATAGTCTTATGAAAATTGATATTTAACAGAACTACGTTATTCGTGGATTACATAATGAGTATTTTCTATGAAAATAAGAATCACCATGTAAAATACTCTTCGATAATTTGTTTTTAAGTCAATGTCAGATTATTGACATGTGTTTGAAACGATTGCTAATATTCCAGTTCTTAGAGTTCACAGTTTATAATTAAACTTAGAAAAAATGATTAAATTGACAATTTTTATATGTAATAACCGAATAGACACAAAAAAAAACTTTAGTACTGATACTTTTTACGAGATGGATCTAATTATATTATTTGTTACAAAAGAATTTCATTTAGATGCTAACGTGAAAAGATTGTTGATCATGAATAGTCTAATTTTACTATTGTTCGTTTAGCAACTAAATGAGTTACAGTTAAAAGTATACTCCATACAAGCAGCCTCCTAGTCTACAAAAGTTCTTTTCACCTGCAAATATGTTCGAACCTTACGTTATTATTAATGTACACTTTATATATATTCTACTAAATTATCAATTGTATATTTATTATTCACCTCTACACGCGTTAATTGCATCATCGAAAGTCGTTGTAAATTTCTTGTTTGGGTCTGCTCGAAAAACAGGCTCCGCGAGAGTTCCTTCCGGTGTTATCTGAATTGTAAAACACAATAATATTAAAATTGCAATAAAAAAGTGTAATTTATATCAAATTGTTCCGATGTATTTCATGCTTACAATTCCTTTTTTTTTATAAACGCAAGCTACAAAACAATTTCGAATGTCCTTGGCTATATCTTTAAGATTTTCGAATGATTTTTCATTGAGATCCTCGATTTTATCGATGCCTGTAAAGATTTTAACAGTTTAGCTTTAGAATAGATAATTATAAATTTAGTTTTCCTGTAGTGATTTAAAATTTTGTTTTCTGATAATACTTTTTCTTACCCAAAATGCTTATGTTGAGTCCGTTGTCAGCAAGACAATCTTCTACATGTTCACGAATATTGTTATCTGGGTCATGTATTTTCTTAATGGCCTATTTTACCATCAACAAATTTCAACTCATTGAATCTTCAGTAAATGGATTATGATAGTAAATTACAGTTAATACAATGAAAACATTATAATTATTAACTTACTAGAAAAACTAAACAAATTGATACACTTCACCTGTCGAATACTTTAATTTTAAGAAATTAATATTTATACTTTATAATTAATATTTTTAAAATGAAAAATTTGAAAACTATTGATTAACGATTTCATGATTTCTGCTTTTTCTTATTTTTATAATTGTATATAAATAATAAATTAATGAAATACCTGTAAGACTCCAATAGACAGGAAAAAATTCAAAATTCCAAAGTACGACCACTGCATAATGGCACTGAAAAATTTCATAGTTGCCGATTGGAGCAATTATTACGGTCAAGCTTGAACTGAACTACTAAACTTTGACTTTATCCCTCTCAATTTATCGTAGTGATACACAGCAGATTAGCTGCTGCGGATTGTTTGCAATGAATGTTTCACTATAAAACAGTTTCGTAATTCAGAAGCTCAGATAGGCATCGTTTATCTGACTCAGAGCAATTTGATGATTCCAAGTATAAAATTATTATTTGCCGCTTTGAAATTTACCTTAGAAGCTCTTGATTGCTTTTTATTTACAATTTTCAGTATCCATTGCATGTTATATAATCAATAGTTCGTACTGATTTTGTACACCTTTTATTATAGTAATTAAATAGATCTATTATTTACAGCATAATAATACTATACCAATATTAATTATATAATTGATAAGGTTCTATAAAATAAATAAAGAATATATCACCTGGAATATACAAAAATTTTAGTGATATACGTTTGCAAAGACTTCTGTTGAAAGAAACTAGTTTCAGAACTAAAATTAAAGTTATATATATACTTAAAAAAATAACAGTGTGGATTCCTATAATTTTTTGTACGAACATTTTGATTTACTTTCTCATTTATAATTAAATGAAAATTCAAGACTAATGTATAGACTCATATAAGTATTTGATGACTCCAATATATATATATCATATGTAATTTATTTTGTATATTATATTGTTTGAACGTATGACGACGTTTACAGAAAATCCGAGTAACAACGTTATGATGATTAATAAAAAATGTGTACCGTATTTCATTGCCCATGTCTGCCTTCGGTTCTCAGACAAAAAGACTACGATACAAAAATATAATGGCAGTATTAGTATAAATAATGAAGCAGGGATAATTTTAGTGAAATGAAGGGAATTGAGATAGAAGAAAAAGAATTGCAAGAGTCTTTTCATCTTTTAAAGTTTAGTCTTCTAACTTGGAGCTTACCGAATTGGTCAGTTAAGTAATCGCCTCACTTCAAATAACGCTAAATTGCATCGATTAACTTGTGCTCAACTAAATCAAGGGACCGAAAGAATGATATTAGCTTTTTATCGGGTGCTTCATTTTTTAACAGGATAATTGTTTTCTTGATAACAAAAATGTTCATCCTAAATTATCAAGTTGACTGCTTTGAAGATACGAGGGAATAACAACCTATTATAGTAGCGTCTTTTTATTATCATTACTTAAAATAGGTGGAGGCTCAAGGTTACAGTCGAAGTTGTACGTGCAGAAACACCTTGGCGGCCGTTCGGAATAAACAAGCATACTAATTTTCATGATCGTGCACGAAGCATATTTATTTATAAGTACTCATGTTACTATAATTGTTTTCGAACAAGTATTTTTAATGTATAAACAAGAATAATTAGTGAAGAAGATTGACGGCTTTGGTTTTCGCAAGGCAGGCCAAGACTTTACCACCGGTTTCGCAGTTGTCCTTTCCAACTATAGAAAAACAATTATGGTTTACGTATCATTACATACTATGTATAAATTAAAAAAAAAAATAAATAAAATGCTACGAAATACTCAAGCAATTTACGCTCAATCAAAATAATAGGAATCATCACAGACTCAATTAATTTGTATGCGAGTCACACTAAACCATCCTTTAAAGGAAAACAATGAAAATCTACATGGCACGTACCTTGAACTTTACACGAGTTGATCACTTGGTCAACTTTGTCTTGAGGCAAATCCTTGGGTATCTTGGCACGAGCAACTTGTTCGTCAATGCTGCCATCAGGTTTCATCTGAAACATTAAAATGGAAAATACGTTAGGATATCGTGAAGCTTATCGTTGTTTGTTCTTAAAACTGGAAATTCATTTTTTTATATTAAAATTACAGTAATATAAGCTTAAAATTTTACTCACGATTCCAACTCTCTTCAACATGCAAGCAGAGAAGCAATTAACTTTGTCGTCGAAAACTACAGGCTCTCCTTCCTTAAGCTTATTGACCACATCTGGAAATCGATGATCAAATGTAAAATCTTACGTTCGCTTAATACTTTTATTTTATTTTTTTTCATATCTTTAATGGAATATATTACCTTCAGAAACTCCAGTTTCAGAAATACAAGCGACTTTGTGTTGTACGAGCTTAGCTTTTTGTTCATCAGTGATTCCCTAGGAATAAAACGTACGTGTAACACAAAAGCAATGATCTTTCGGGAAACAAAGATTTTGAGTATACTTTTAGATATTCATTAATTTCAATAGTAACCAGACAGACTGCAGTGATTTTAGGCATAGTTATGAACAAAGAAGAAAGTGAACAAACGTCGTGTTTAAGAGGAATTGAATCATGGAAAAAATTAATCTGCTAAAATAAAAATAAAAATAAATCTACCAAAGGAATAGCTTACAGCAAGAGCGCCGGTAATACAGATGGCGAAAACTACAACGAAGGATTTCATTTCGGTGAGTTTGTTTATAAGAGAACTGAGTCCGATATTCACAAAAGCTGTGGAAGATTGAATGCATCTTAATGAAACGGTGAACCTTTTTATATGAATGTCTGGTCCAAGCCCCACGCGAGCGCTGGTCACTATTTTTTTTTTCTTTTTTGTTGAACTACTCGAGCAAGGAGATGAATCCTGAATGAAAGAAGATGGGATTTGTCGGAATGACGAAAAAAATGATTGCCGTGTCAGTTTTATGATAAGTGATCGTTCTTGATTTTATTAATCCGCGCGTAAATAATTTATAATTTATTTTTGAAAGAACTTCTTCACACTAAAAGTGTTAAATCCACACACACACACACACACACACACACACACACACACACACACACACACACACACACACACACACACGAGTTTAACTGTTTTTTAAATAAACTGTGAGATTTTTCTTATCCTCATATATGAATTCACTGTAAATCCAAGAAATTATTAAATATTAATTGACATGTGTGGACGATATATGAATTGTTTTCCTTGAAATTTAATTGTTATTTTATCAGTTTCAGAATTTTGTTTAGCGATCTTGTGCGAATAATAGAAAACAAGATATCAATTCTTACGATGTTCTTTAAAGGCTCGGGATTAAGAAATTCTCTACATTTGCAAACGCTTCGAGGTCATCATTTACTTCTTGTAATAACTCATGCGATCAGTAAGCAATAAAATACAAAGTAAATAACTAAATCCTCTTATTAAAACCTAAAATCATTATTGTATTTATCATTTTGTCAAGCAAATTGCTAACGAAGAACTTTTAAAAATTGTAATGGAAAATCACATTGAAATGAAAGTTTACCCAACACAGCAACGTTTAAATGACAAACAATCTATTTTTCATGCTTGAGAGCTGGCCTTCGATGTCGTCATTCTGTCCTGCCTACCCACAATTCTGTATACGCGTTTCGACTTTGTTGAACCAAAAGTTGAAACGTTTCTCGAATGCGTCGTGTCAAAACATCCATAAAAAGGTGATAATTATTACCCATCAGTACGTATTTGATCATTAAATTCATATGGTTTCCCGAAGAATATTATTGTAATAATTTTTTTGAGATGCAATAATTTAAACAATAGACGATAATCATGTAGTTTGACATTAAATTTCTAAAAGTTTCTTTAGATAATTATTACTATCTTTTATGTTATTAGGTTATTGAATTATTGGTTGGTACTTTAAGAATATATAAATGTTCTTTTTACCCTTTTTAGGAATCAAAACCTGCGTTAATTTTATTTTTAATTCTACCTTTTGTTCAATTATATTACAAAATTATTCAAATAATAAAAAAGGTAGAATCATGTAAATTTTGAATAAGAGTGCAAAATTAAAAGTAAAGTCAAATTGTATTTTCAAGAATAGAAAAATATGAAGAAAAAATTGAAAATTCACTCAATTTTACTACGTTTTTCAAACAATAATTGTAATTGAGTTTACATTTTCTTTGTGATAATATATACAAACGTACATAAATCATAAAAAAATGGTATATCGAGAAGTTTTTAATGAAGACTATTATGATTATTAAGACATAATTATTCGGCAAAAATAAGGCAAAAGTAAAACATTTATCATTTCAAAAAAATCCATTTCAATTTGCAATTCCAATTCACGATCACGCAATATTATCATTTAATATGGTTTGTATTATTCATTTATAAAATAAATTTTAACATTTTTGTTGTATTCATTGAAGTAGATAAATGTCAGTTATGTTTTTAAATATATAAGATATCTGCTATAAAAAAAGCAATAAAAATTTCAATTATTTTCAGAATAATTATTTTACGAATAGATGATCTTTTCAACTGTCTTCTATAAAAACACTTATATGACTGTAGTAATAAACGGTATATGAATGGTATAAAAGCACTTGACTAATTGAAAAATATTGTAGTTATACTTATTCAGAAGATACTGTCTCTTTTTGAATGAAGCCTTTGTGTATTAATACACATGATCTATATATTTCATTCGATATCCTAATTTTTCTGAAATATTTATCATGACTTATTGGTGTCATTTGTAACCGAATGTCAATACGTTAATACTTTGTAAAACTCTTTATCTTTCCTGAATATACAACCGTCTTATTTTAATTTGTAAATCGAAAGCCTGAATGTTATATAATAAAAAACCACTCCACGCTACTGTAAAAAGAAGTCTTGTTTGCTGGCAAAACTTCATCCTCGCGGAAGTGAATTTTACGTTTGATATTTACGACGTTCTTAATATCAGTAATTGACATGCTGGTCGCCGACGATCTAGCCCCACCACTGTAATTTTTTTCTATTGACGTGATGTTGATCTTCTGGTCGGACAAAGAAAGGTGACCCACACGATGTTAAGCATAAGCTAATCTTCCATATAAAAAGGCAGGCGATCTTGAAGAGATGTATCCAGTCTTTGAAAGCTCTCGCAAGTGTTGACTCTGCTCTTTTTTTCTATAAATATATATAATTATATACACTTCTCAAGATGAAATCCTTCATTGTTGTTTTTGCTATCTGTATCGCCGGCGCTCTCGCTGTAAGCTATCCTATCAGTATCTCTACTTATTATTCCATTTTTTTTAAATATTCTTTTGTTCATTGCCATCTTACGAAAATTCAAAACTTAAATCGTATAAAAACTAATCCTGTATGTGTATTTTTTTCACGATGCAATGAGTTTAAGATTTTTTATGTAAGCTACGTTTGACGAAAATCATGAACGTGTTCTATTCGCAGGGAATTACCGACGAGCAAAAAGCTAAACTCAGAGAGCACAAAGTTGCCTGCGTAGCTGAAACTGGAGTAACCGAAGGTAATATGGCTAGATATATAGATGATATTTTCGAGTAAACTTCTTACGTCTCTACTTTGAAATGTAATTTACTTGATTTCAGAGGTGATTGCTAAGCTCAAGGGAGGAGAGCCTGTGGTATTTGATGACAAACTTAACTGCTTCTCCGCTTGCATGTTGAAGAGAATTGGAATCGTGAGTAACATTTGCTTACCAGTGTCACTTTTCATTGCATTTTGCTGAAGATTTCATTGAACTTTACGAACACGTATCTGCAAGCATTTCGACATATTATTTATTTCAACGTTCCAGATGAGACCTGACGGTAGCATCGACGAACAAGTCGCTCGTGCTAAGATCCCCAAAGATTTGCCGCAAGATAAAGTTGACCAAGTGATCGACGCTTGTAAAGTTCAAGGTATTGTATAACAGTTTCCATGTCGAAATTTGAAACTAAAAACAATACGATTATTGTTTCACAGTTGGAAAGGACACTTGTGAGACCGGCGGAAAAGTTTTAAGCTGCCTTTCAAAGACCAAGGCCGTCGCTCTTGTTCAGTAAATTCATTCATAGTTGACAATAGTCAAAAGAAAACAATTATTGTGATATTTGTACTATTAATGTTTATTTGTTAATAAACCTGTCTTATAAAAATTATACCTATTTATACCTATTATTTGACTCATTCTGAAAAAAATAAATGTTCAGTCGGGGACAAAGTTTTTGACTCAAGCTAGTCAGTATAAAAATTATTATTTAACAATTTTCCAATTGATATTTGAAAAAATCCGTTGGTCTTTATAAATCTTTTAGAATACCTGATGTTGCACTTTTTCGTGAATTCGAAATAAGTTACACTGTCTTGCAAGACAGTGCAAACTTCAATGAACACATTCGTCGCTTATCATCTTGTACATCGGCACGTACGCATCAATAAAATCAGAATTATTATCAGCCATAATCATTGAATCGATTATTTCAATATGTTAATGTTTCAAAATGAAAACAAAATGTCAGTAATTATGGAGCTGATAAAATTAAATATGCAAACATTTGTTCAGGATAAATCTTGATGCAGGATTAATGTTAAATATGCGTTCATCGATGTTCTATTTGTTAGACTCGCTGTATAGTAATAAATCAATGAATTGTATAATTTAATGTATTACGAATATCTAATAAAGGATTTTCAATTTGTGAATAACATAATTCAGTCATTACTAGAATTTTTTGCAAAATCAGTCATTTAATTATTTGGAAGTATACCTGATTTACCATTTTTTTAGAACGATCAATTTAAAGTCACAATTGATACATTCACATTAAACTTTCAGTTTTCATTTCTTTTAGTGGCTAGTATAGAAAGATTCCAATATTGATTGTAATTCTTCGAGTTGACCCGACATCTTTCTGAATATTAAATGATAATGACAATCAGCCTCTATTTTTGGGCACCGTGTACACAGCTGTACAGTGTGTGTAATTTTGATTTAGTCAATTACCAAAAATCGACTTTGATAATTTCAAAATAAATTTAACAAAATATTCTTTTTTTTGTTTATTATAAAATATAACAAATTATACTCGTCTACGGATGATGGTCGAAGAATGGCGTTAAATGTTTTTAATTTCTGTTACCATTATATTTGTTGTCGTGAAAGCGTAGAAACAAATATATAATTGAAAAATTAATAAAACATTTGTTTCTTTAGTAATAGCTGGCTTTTCAGAATATTTTTAATAACTTAAAGCTGTGCACAAATTTTTTCGTTTTCATTTTTTGAAAAATGTCTGTTTTAATATAAAAAAACACTATTCTTTTCTTAAACGAACTTGAATCAACAGAGTTGGTTTCTACAATGACAGATTTGATTTATATACCTATTGATAGTGTATGCTATTTTCATACATGCTCATAAATTTACGTGAGTAGTCGTTGATGCGACTGGCAGAGTGTAATAAATTTTTATAGCTGCCTTTCGTTATATAAATAATCTCAGGAAAAATGACACCTCTTACGATTAGTGGGTACACGTTCTATTTAATGTGACATTTTACTAATGTTTCCTTCGACCAAATTATTGTTTTCGGCTCGAAAATTATCGAGGAAAACGTAATGCTTTTAGTTAATTTTAGTTTAGTTAATTGAATGGATACGCCTGATAATTACGTGCACAAACTAAATTTATTTACAAATACATCTTAAAAATACAAATGCGATCACAATCGTTTAGATTTGAGTTTCATCGGGGACGAATGAGCTTACTGGAGAAGGGTGACGGCCTTGGACTTTGCGAGGCAGTCCAAAACCTTTCCGCCGGTCTCGCAGCTATCCTTTCCAACTGCAAAACGTTTGAATGGTTAGTCACCCGATTGTTCACCAATTAATCCAAAAGCTTCGTTTAGTTTTCTCAGTATAAACAACAATTATGCCATACCTTGAGTCTTGCAAGAGTTTATAACTTGGTCAACTTTGTCTTGAGGCAAATCCTGGGGGACTTTAGCACGAGCGACTTGTTCATCAATGCTGTTGTCAGCTTTCATCTGGAACACCGAAGTAACAAATAAATCGCGTATGTAGAACTCATCTTTGCTCAGTTGTAAATGATAAAATTAAATTTTTAATGAATAACATTTTAATGCCAAATTTTACTCACGATTCCAATTTTTTTCAGCATACAAGCGGAGAAGCAGTTGAGTTTGTCATCGAACACCACAGGCTCTCCTCCCTTAAGCTTAGCGACCATGTCTGAAATTAAAAAAAAATTAAAATTTATAGTGGATAGGTAATGAATCGATGTGTCTAGCCATATTACCTTCGGATACTCCAGTTTCAGCCACGCAGGCAACTTTGTGCTCTACGAGTTTAGCTCTTTGCTCATCGGTGATTCCCTGCAAATCAAACACATAATTTTAATAGATTCCAAACAAAAAAATAACTTCTATCTAACAGAAATTTCAAGTTAAAATTCAACGTGAACACTTCATAATGTATTGAATGATAATTTCAGATAACTGCATTTAATTAGATTTTTTCATACAATACATACTTACAAATCTGACGTCATCAATGAATAAAATAATTGGAATAAAATTAATTAAATTGAGCACAACACAAAACGACGTTTGAAATTATAAAGAAGTAGTTTTATGAGAACCTGCCACGAAAGATTTAACGAAAAACGAATTAAAAAGTTCGCTCAGCCGAAAGTACAACTTACAGCGAGAGCGCTGGGGATGCAGATAGCGAAGACGACAACGAAGTATTTCATATCGAAGAGTGCGCGTATAGGCAGAATAGAGTCGAGCACTCGCAACAGCTTTACGGAAGACTGAATACACGGTAACTAAATTGCGATCCTTTTTATGCAGCAGATTCGCTGATGCCCCCGCGCGAGCGGTGGTCGCCGTTTTTTTTTCTTTTCTCTTCGATCAGCAGACCAGCATTACGCCTATAGGAAAAACAACGGCGGTGGGGCTTTGCCGGCCACGACCAGCATGTCAATTAGCATTATTAAGGACGTTGTGACCGCACCGTAAAATTAGCTTCCGCCAAGGTGACCAAAGTTTGGACAGAGAACAAGGTTTCTGATAGTCATTTGTGATTGCTGTCTAATGCATAATAATTGCGCTCATACTTGAGCGCTGGATGGATTTTTATGTTTGATAAGGTTGAAAACTTAAACTCTGTATTTTATCGTAAAATAATAATAAATTAGCGATGTTTAATGTTTTGTTTTTATTACATTTTTATACGGCATTTTATAAAGGCCTATGTTAGAAAAATGTTGCACGGTTGTGATTATTGGAGAATTAAATCTTCATTTGAAAATAGGCACTGTCGCTGATTAAACAAAACGTTGTATTATTTTTCCAGTCGTTTCGCCCTCAGCTAAAACGTGAGGCACACTTTAGTCACGTGCGCTGAACGAACAGCGATTTCGTTAAATAGCACATCGGCATTCGTCTAATAAGAAGACGCAATGAATTATACTTTTCCGTAAGAATAGACTAAACTTAGCTATATTTTTTGGATAGAAAAAGTGTCATTGATCGATCTTTCTATGAAGAATGGCTATTTACTTAACATTATCGGATTTCATTCGTCTGTCATTTCCAAACGTACCAAACATCGCTTTAAAAATAATAATGAAAAATGTGAAAATTACTATACACAAAACAGTGATATATGTTAACATTTTAACATCGCCAATTGGAAATGCAAATTTAATGTATTATTTATTTTACTCGAGGAATCACGGCTTTATAATTCTGCTCCAGCAATCAGCCGGCGCTAAAAATTTCCTCTACTGCCGTATTTTTGTGGTTTTTTACGTTTACAACGTATTGTCATCGGGACCATTGCAAGTTTTAGAGACAAAAAGATGTTACGTGCAATTCCAATATTTCTGAAAAGATAAACCGTGTAGCATTTCTATTTTTGGTTAAAATATTCATCTTCATTTTTTACTTTGTGTATGATGACTGAAGTTGTACCAAAGAGTTACTGACGTTTATTTATTTAAGAGGTAATTTATACTTGATATAATAACTTTCAAAACGTATGTATTATGCAGAAGTGTCTATTAATCAACATTGACATTCAAACTGAAATTTACCTTCATCGATCTCGTTTTCACATTTACACGCGTTTCCCTAATTATTTTTCAGTTCTCCTTTCTTTCTTCTGCAGATTTCTCTTCAAGTAAAAATGTCTCGCGTTCGATGTTATTACTGAAAAACTAAATGCAATCAACAAACCGAATGATTCTCATCTAGTATATACCTTTATCTTAAGAATATAGGTTTAATGAATTGAAAAAAAAATTGCCATCAGCGTTAACGTAGATTACTGAACGAAAAGACATTTATATAAATCTTTCAAGGAAGAAAGAGATACGATCATACACATTGGGAGACAACTGTTGAAAATAAGATATAGTGATACTAAAAAAGAGAAGAATTGATTTATATGCAAAAATGAATAGCTTAACGTTTTGAATTTTTCAAAAACAATACAGTAATGTAAAATGCATTACGTTAGGCGAAATAATAATGGATAATTCAAAACGAGAACAAACATCAGTCAAAACCATCAGTCAAGCTATTATCGGCCACAGAAATTCAGTGTCAATTAATATTTTGATAATATAACTTCCGTAAATGTTTCATCTAATGGCTTTCCTTAATGCTCCGTTTTATTACTAATTTAAAACTCAAAAAATACATACACGATCAATTAAAATATATTTTATAGATCTCTGCATTTAAAAATAGCCGATCTCACGAGGAAATCGTGCAGCTAATTTGTTTACATTCACGCTTGATTAAAATAATTTAGTTAATCACGTGTGTAAAATAAAACTGAAAACAATGCACGGCGTGCAATATAGTAGAAAATAATTCAACTTCTAGAAGTTTTCGTGCGAAATCTCATTATCCATTACCCGAGTCTTGAAAAAAGAAAACAAATGATCGAAACGATTTTAGCATAAAAATCGATCTGCAATAATAATAATACCATAGTATACTGCACTTTCTGTGAGTTAAGTTAAAAAAAAGCAACGACTGTTATTAAAAGCTGACGCAGATGATTTGCTCGAATAAAGATATTCGTATATTGGATGAATTTATTGTAGCATAACAAAATCTGAAGGATTTTACGAACTGCTTTTGTCCGCAAAAAAAAAAATGGAGTGAGCTTATGTAACCGGTGAGTGAGAATAGGCATCACCTGCTGGTAAATGATTTAATTTATTTTTTTTCTCTTCTTCTTTCCGTAGGCTTGGTTCACGCTCGCAGGATGTGACTCACGCGGCGAGGCCTCTGTTTGTCTATACGCTACGAATCACGCGCGCCAATGAAAGGTTTATCTATCGACCCGCATCGCGGCTTATTTTTTTTTCTTTGAACTCTCAAACGTGCAAGTTGTTTGGTAACTTTGCTCGTTTGTTCGGGCGTTGGTTGTTGTACTGGTGAGATCGTTGACTTTCGGATTATTTAGTGAATTAAAATATCGCTATCTTGTATAAATTTTGTAATGGTCGTAATTACGCTTATCCTTCAAACATTTATTCATAAAGTATAGTAACAAATTTTTCATGAATTTACGAATTTGCGAGAAAATTTTTACGTGTATTTTATGCACGATTGCGCTTATGAGTTGTAAAAGTGAAATATTTAGTTATGCATACAGAACATTTTTATAAAAAATATATAACATTTTAGCTGAATAGCATATATACGAGCTACATAACAGCTTTCGTTGCCCTTGCAAGGGTACTATCATTTTTCAATATCTATACGGTTATATATAACAAATTATCAACCCGTTTCCAATGAACAATAAAAACAGAATGTATCTTGAAATCTCTCGTAAAAAAGAACAAATTGCAGTGATCACATGCATCTATTGTCTCACAAAACAGTAATCTTCTACTTAAGACGAAGCTTTCAAAGCAGATAAATTGGATAACTCTGCCTGTACGCCGGGCAAACGGGAGCGCGTGACATACAGGCAGTGAAACGCTTGGTCAAAAGCTTGAAATGCGGCTCTACGGTCATGTTTTCATCCTTGGCATCACTGCGATCGTCAGCGTAAGTTTTGTCAAATTGTAAACGACTCCATCCCGAGTCAACATTTTTCTCGTTCTAGGCCCTATCTAACGAGCAACGGTATGATAGTTACGTAGCAGTTTTGAAAAACTGCTTGAAAGAACACGGACTGACAGAAGAGATTTACGCGTACGCATCCGCAACCAACAACACGGACGGCGCATACGACAAAGCTAAATGTGCGGATTTGTGTATGTTCAAGTCACTGAAAATAGTAAGTCTCGATGGGAATGAACTGATTTTAAAAAATTATGTTTTCATTTATTTGGATTATCGGCATGTGCCGAACACGAAGAGAGAAAAGAAAACCTTTTACCGGTTGAAATCGTGAATAATTATCTAATATAATATAATATATTATATAATACTGGTCTCTGACCTTCCGAATGGATCCAATTAACGAACTAAAGCCATACAAATATGATTCGTTACGTTGTAGCCTTAATCTCCTCTTCCTTTCAATCGATTATGCTAATATTATGCGATGGCATACTATTAATCGCTTCGTTTCATTATTGCTGTAGATCAAATCTGATGGATACATTGATCTTGAAAAGGCTTTAGAACATTTATTGTCTGGAGAACCAGGGGTCCAACGAGATATTATGCGAACCAATATCGAAAAGTGTAGTAAGAAGAGTAAGTAAAAATAACGCTTTTGATTTTTGCACATAGATTATCTGTTTTTGCAAGTATCCGAAATTTGCATGAATGAGCTTTTTTCTCCATTGGCAGTTAGTTCAAAAACAATTTTTTTTCTTGTAAATCCATCTAAATTATTACATTTTTATTCAAAAATTTATGCGCTAAAGTTTGTTATGGCACAATGTTTAGAGGTAATCTCCTTGACCGAACGTAATTTCCATAATGTATCGTTAAAAAATGCACATTATTAAATTTTGAAATGTAAAATAGAAGTTTGGTTTGACAAAGACATTCGATATCGAATTAATGTACAGTTGAAAGTATCGTTTTCTTAACTTTATGATAGCACTCAAGCTGATATCGATCCACGTGTTCACGTAAAAAAAAAAACGATAACTGTGTATTTTATAGATGAGCTGATTCTCCTGGCATATAAACCCCTCGTTTTGACTTAACTTTTGGCCAGTGTCACTTAAATATTTGATTGAATAATCGAAAAGTCTTTTTCACTTTAAGGCATTAAATAAAAGATATTTGCTGGATATTAGTGTTAATGATTATCAGTTGTGTTGTTTGTCCATCCATAACTAATTTCTAAGAAATCACAAACTCTTTAAAATTCTAATCTTCGGTTTTTAATGCTATATTTCTTTTTTCATTTTCATAAATACCTTTGATTACTATAAAACTCAATTTCCATGAATGTTTCATATGATTCTTAATTCGTGGTAGTATTATTGTCAGCTTTTACAGAAACAATCTCATTTGTAAATCACAGGAATAAAACAAACTTGAATCTGTGAAAAATATTTATCTTACCAAACTTTTGAATTTACTGCTGTATGATTCGTCTATTTCGAAATTTTTCACAAAGTATTATAATTAGGTAAACAATTTTTATCTCTAGTTTGAACTCTTGATATATTATTAGCTGTTTTTGCTTTGACTACTGTTTATACGTTTGTCCTTTTTCATTATCTCAAATAAAAACTCAAATATCGCACATTTGCTTAATTTGCTGATAATTATCTTAATTTTGTAGAAGTTGACTTTTCAGTGAAACGCAATTATCCAGTAAAAGCTTTCTCACTCATGTAATTGGCTCAACTGACTGATTCAAAAAGTCGACCTATTTAATTCCGCATGATACGTATCGTCAGTCTGTATTGACGCGGTGAAAATACGAATGAAGACTGCGTCGTCACGTATTCCGAATCTCTTCCCTCAGCTTATTTATGACATTCAACTATTTGGTTTGTTTGTCTCAAAAATAGTAAGTTTTTAATTTGAGAAATTTGCCTTTGTCGCTTGGATCCCACTGAAAAAAATACCAACCCTGTAATCCATTGATATACTTTTATTTTATTTCATTGTCGAGCATGTTATTATCGAAAATAGCACGAACCGAAAATCGTGAGAATTCAAATCCATATACGGCGCAAATAATACGTTCACTATCGATATTTTTTAGCAAACGATTAACATTTTTTTTATCTTGAAATTCGGCGCCTAAAAGAGATTCAACTCTATTTACCAATCACGTGAATATCAGATGTACGGTGGTTAATTAAGAGTTAATAATCCAATGCGTACAAATTAGAGAGAACACAGAGGTACTAAAATTTCGTAACTCTTATCAGAGCAAATATATATGCTGTGACGTACATGTTATTTCGCACACAATTACGTAGCTAAATGACTTACTGATTTATAGAAATCTGCAGGGGTTCGTAAAGTCATTTATCATTTAATGTGCGTTACGAAGATACCTTCGCAAATAGCCCATTGCTATAGTAGATAGACCATTTCTATTTAGATAATAATTCATTCAAAAATATGTGGACGAAAGCAAAAGTTAACGTTCAATATAATTTCACTCAATTGATCTCATCTTCTTGAATTGAACGTGTGTGTTCGGGTCATGTAAGACACAGAGATAGTTAAGTTGGCTTTGGAAAAGCCGTTAGACATCAGCGTTTTTTCACGCGCAACGCGGCACATGACACATTATAACACTACGTCGTCAAGTAAAAACTATGAAATGGTTTTATTTGCAATGTCACATGAAAAACCGACGGTGCGAAATTTCGAGATGACAGAGTCCAGCTTGATTAGAAGGCTGAGTTATTTGCCTTCGATTTAGCTAATAAAGATAAAGGGGAAGTCATATTGCTAAGAAGAATTTATGAAACGTCAGACGGACGGCTGTTTGTTGGGCAAACAACGATATTGTACCGTTGAGGAGAAGAGGGTCTAATTGAAAGCGGATTAGCGCACCTAGTTGGTCGTTTGTCGAGACGTCTAACCACGCGATCGGCGTATCTGCGGCTGCAATCAGCGTGAAATGTCGCTGTTTGCGCTGGAGCGCCACGACAAACAAGCGCGCGACGCGCGCTCTCTGTCTCTGGCCAAACGGAGGTGTTCTTTCACGCTGATAATGCGCTACGGAAAATTAATTTATGCCCGCGCGGCGTCTCGTCGGTCGCCTGTATAAAATCCGCCTCGGGGCCCTACCGCCGAGCAATACCGATCGCTTTTCCCGGCTCTACGGGGCTCAGTAGCCACCGTGTGCAAGCACACACTCGATTTGCCGGTGCCTTTACGGATTGGCAGCGCGCTCTAGTCTTCTCTTTTCCTTTCGTTTTCTAAAAGAAATGATACGAGCGGCTTGACAGGGGGAAAGTTTTCTTTGTTCGCCCTATCTGCCATCTGCAGATTTGGTACTTTGCGAAATCGTCGGTGTTGCGGCAAGTTAAGTTTCAGACTGCAGGTGTAAAAATGCTGATAGTATGCAAGAGTTACTGTAAGTATTTTCTTTCTTAAAGCTTATGCCATTTTTTTTAAATGTTACTATTCAAAAACGATGAAATTAAACCTTTTTTAGTTTATCACGTATCGTTTCTATTTATAGTTACAGGAATTTCACAAAGATGCATCTTCACCATAATGGCCTTCTTCGGCATTTGGATAACGCACGCCATCCGTGTGATTTTATCGATCTTAATAACAGAAATGGTGCCGCCACCGACAGAATCTTCAGATTATGCAGCTGACAGTTGCGTTGAGGTCGAGGAGAAATTGGTTAGAAATGTTACATCGTCAAATAGCAAAGTCTACAATTGGGACGAGTACACGCAGGTGAGGTTTCTTCAATTTCATAAAACGTGGTTGAAATTAAGATCAAAGCAACGCGGTACGCATGATATGTCTTTTACAAAAACGTTCGTTTGTCGTGGAACAGACGTTATTACGTAAGCGAAATGAAAGTTTGAACTGAAATAATAATTGTGTAGCCTTGGCTAACAAATTAAAAATCAATAAAGGCAACGAACCATATACGAACTTCTTATCTCAATCAAATAAAGTCTTATGACGCTTGACAATCACGAGCACACAATTTATTATCCCTATTGACACAAAGCGACATGGGGGGTTGTATTATCCGTTTAATTTTCTTCGGTCCTACCCAGCCGATTCATCGCCCAACTAAAAACTACGAATCAAGAACCGAAAATCCGTAGACGTGCCTGAGCAAACAATATGTTTCAACTTTTCTCTTTTTGTCTGTCTTGCAATTATTAATCGCTTTCGAATGAGGATGACGAATCCGATAAAATTCAGTTTTATTCATTGGCAATTATAGAACAATTAGCTCGACGATTGCACGTTTAATAACACGTAACATTTATTCTTCTCGTTTTTTTACAGGGTTTGATCTTGTCATCGTACTTCTGGGGTTACGCAGCGACGCACTTTCCCTTCGGCTCCCTGTCCGAGCGCTTTGGCGGCAAGCACCTTCTAGCCTTCGGTAACCTACTACCGAGTATCTTGACAATCTTAATACCATCGGCTATAGAACTGGGTGACTCATCGGCATTGATAACCTTGAGAGTAGCTATGGGAGTAATCAGTAGCTCAATGTACCCGGCTATGAGTACAATGATAGCGCAATGGGCAACGCCAGCTGAGAGAACGAAAATCGGTTGCATAGTATTCGCTGGATCAGTCGTTGGTACAATCTTCGGTCTCACTCTGCCTGCAGTGATAATACATTACACGAGTGTCGGCTGGCAAGGCGTATTTTACATTTTCGGTGCGATTGGTATCATTTGGTTTCCACTTTGGATGTTGCTGTGCTACGAGAGTCCAGACGTACATCCATTCATCTCCGAGCCTGAGTTAGAATACTTTCAGAATAGTACGCTTAACAGGAAACAGAAGAAGATACCTCCAGCTCCTTGGTCATACATACTTACCTCGAAACAGGTGTGGGCGTTCGTTCTGGCGATGTTTGGCCTCGACTGGGCATACTACACGATGGCCAGTGATTTGCCAAAGTACATGAATAGCATTATGAAATTGTCGATCGAAGAGAACGGCTACTTGTCGTCCTTGCCGTACCTGTGTATGTGGATAAATTCTATCGTCAGCTCGTGGCTAATAAACAAGATCACCGAGAAGCAGTGGATGTCGTTGACCAATGTCAGAAAGCTATTCACGACTATTTCGATGACTGGACCAGCATTCTTCATCATGGCAGCATCGTATTCCGACTGCCATCGACTTTGGGTCATCGCGATGATTATGATTGGAATGATGCTGATGGGGTGCTCGTATCCAAGTGTCGTGTTAAATAACATCGATCTCAGTCCAAATTATTCGGGTACACTGAGTGCTTTCGGCAATGGGGTGGCTGCTATTGGTGGTGTTCTCACTCCTTATATCGTTGGAATATTGACACCTAATCAAACCATCATGGAATGGCGCTTGGTCTTTTGGATTGTGTTCATTGTCGCGGCGATTAGTAATCTGAATTACTTGATCTTTGGGAGTGCCAAAGTTCAAGAATGGAACGATCCCGAATTCCTTAAGAGACAGAAGACAACTGCTGCAAGTGAAAAGGCTGCAATTCAACAAAAAGTTTGAGTGATGATGAAAACAACTGATTTATAGACCAATTACTTAATTTTTTTCGGAATAGTGACTAAAATAACTATTTTCTGCAATTGTACAAATATTAATTTAAAAGTTGATTTTAAATTAGACTTTAATATTTAATGCGCGACGACTGTATATAAATGTAGTTAGAAGTCTCGCGTTCGATAGGAGTATTAAGTCTTTCTTCTTGTGTATTATATATTCTCCAATTGAGCGCAGACATTTTAAAGTTTCCCATTTTTCTTTTCGAAACAGTATTTCATGGAATGCGTGTACCAATGTATGAATGATCAAATTGTATAAATGAAATGGAGTATTCAATTTTGTAATTGTCGTTAATAAACTATTAATTTTATTTATAATTTGACGAATTACTTCATTCGATCTCACCTTATACCTCAACCATGTAATAATGCAAATGTAAATAATATATCTAACTTATAATTTTTTTTCAACAAAGTATAAATACATTATCAATTTTTTTTAATAACGTCCAATTCTTTTTCGCATTCTGATTGACAAGCCAATTATAATTGTCCGTAACATCAAAATTAAATTTCGTTTGTTTTAGACTAGTAGTTTAAAAAATTTCTTTTGCAATTTGCACGATATATTTTTAGAAGAAGAAACAGAAACTTTCATAAATTAACCTGAATATTTTTTGCTCTCTTTTTAGAAGAAGACAACGATTGCGATACCGCTCATAATATGATGATGTGCGCAGTAGGGACGTACTAGCGTTTGTCCGAAACGAATGCAATGTGGATAACTAGTGCACACTAGTGCAGTCTGCACGCAGCTTGTAATTTATTTTAAAATCTTCACTTTATTAAAATATTTTATCAAATCATTCGTGTATTTATTTTTATTATTTTGTATAATCTATTTGAAATTCTCTGGATATTTTAAAGATCAAATACAGGAGTAAAAGGAACATTTTACTACGTGTGAGCTTGCGGTTAAACGCCGAGCTTATTATTCAATCAAATTCGTAAGTAAAATATCCGTTTCTCTATAACAATTTTCTACGATCAAATAAGTGAATAGTTGAAAGTAGGTTGTGTGGAACGTGAAGTCTGGCAATGCATTCCTTTACAGTAATATTGATCTTTTGCGCACTTTTCATCCGAAATGCGCTAGTAAGCGTGAAAAATATTTGTCAAAGTAATTTTTGTTAAGTCCATACACAACAATCATTTGATAATATTCCAGACAGACTCTTATAATGTTGAATTGACGGAAGAGGACAGAGAAATATTTAAAAAATGTATAAAAGACGGAGGACTTACGAAAGAAGAGGTTAACTCTGCCGTTCGAAATTTTGATAAGAATGCGGATAGAAAAGTGAAGTGTTTTAGAGGTTGTCTCCTCAAAACACATCAAGTCGTAAGTTTTATATAAACATTTTATTCGATGTACATAGCGTGATGCTTTAAAATTTTGCACTTATTTTTATGTTTAAAAGATAAAAGATGATAATAGAATTGACGGCGATGCAGCGGTCAAATATTATCACGTTGAAAATGTCGAACCTTTAAAAAAGCTCATTCTGAAATGTAGTGCAAGCACTAGTAAGAAGATATCACATCTATTACTTTTGCGTAGCTTTATACACTACGAAATTAATTATTTTATTGGCATTTCAGCTGGAAATGACTATTGTGACGTAGCTCAAGACGTGGAATCTTGCTTTCGTGCATCTGATATTGAAAATTAAAATGTTCATTATATATTATAAAAATGTAAGATTTGTATCTAATATATTATAATAGAACTATTGTATGGAATTTACCTCTCCTTTACTTTGAATTATAACTATGATTGCAAATCTAATAACATATATTTCATTTTGATGCATTCAAAAAGAAAACCTACTACATTAAAAGTCAATTGAAAAGAAATAATATTAAAGTTTAAGTAATTGTATGCATAATTAATTCTAGTTTTTTTATGTTTGAAAAATATAAATAATTGTCAATTGACTACTGTTCACTTTTGATGCCTCATTGTATATGTGGAAAGGTTCTATAGAACTTTCATGATTTTTAACTATTAAAATGTAACTATTATTCTCTTAGAATACTTTTCTAGAAAATTACTTTATATTGTATTCTTCAATGGAAAATAATAAGGGAACATTTTTGCACACACAATATCAAATTCAATTAAGTTGGAATAAGGTATATAAATCGTGCAGACGTATAAAAATCGAATCGAATATTGTTAAAAAAATACAAAATGAAGCTGGTTATACCAATAGTGCTTTTTAGCATAATAAGTGAAATCAATGTAAGTATTTTTGCGTGAAAAAAACGTATATTTACTTTGCTTAGAATGTACATACATCTTTACTCGTAGGCTGATGAAGCTCTTAGAGATCAAACAGAAAAGTGCTACAAAAAGTATGGAATTTCATTTGAGCCTACAGCTGAAAATCTCTCGAAGCTTACCGATGATAGAATTGAGGAGATGAAAAAGTGCACTCTCGCTTGTTATTACCAAAAGACTAAGACGGTGAGTATTCTAGATTAACTTTTTAGTAATTCGAAAAATTGTTAGTCCTTATATTGCCAAAAATTAGTGCACGGAATATTTATGAGTGTTTTATTTTTTATGAAATACAGAACTATTCACAACTATGTTAATTTTGTTTGAAAAGTATCAGTTAAACGGAAGAAAATCAGAGACTTTCTTATAAAAGTGCGCGTAAAAAATTTTTACGTGATATTACAGATGCGAGGTGACGGGAGTCTTGATAAAAATGAAATAATAAAGTTGATATCAATTAATCCGGAATACAAAAATGAAGATATAATGGAGATAGCAGAAAGATGCAGTAATACTTGTAAGTTTAGTTAACCCAAAGGAGTTATAACTTTTCAACTAATAATCTGTAACAATTTTTCAGTGGGAATAAATGATTGTGATACAGCGGAAATGCATCGAGAATGCATGGTAGAGGGAATGAAAAAAATGCAATTGACTATCTATTCAAATACTATGAATTGATCTTACAAGAATAATACAACTTTACCAAATAAGCTTTGCACGCGCACATTTTTCACTTGTCAGTGTTATATACAATTCACGTATTCTATGCACAGTACGAACGTGTACCTTATTCAAATTCATAAAAAGTGTAAATCCTCTCGGAATATTTATAAATTTTAATTATCTAAATATGCTTATTTCATTCTATTAATATAATTTTAACTGTTATATAACTGTTATATTTTGTTTCGCGCACATTACTAAAAATTTTTCTAAAGAATTAAATAACAAGAAAAATATAAGTTATCTATTGAAGTTGATGCCATGATCTACAATATCATTATATACACATTACTGTGGAGTAAACCAATGAGTCTACAAAGTAGCATACGTTTATTCAAGGCCGAGATAATATGCAGTCTAATTATTTATAAACAAACAAATGTGAGTTATAACAACAAATATAATATTTCCATTTAATATGAATTAATTTTACCATTGAATGCTAAATAATAATTGAAAATTGATAAAGATTTTATTCTGGATTTTCTACCCCGGATTCAGAATACATCGTAATTTAAAATTAACATCAATATGAACGTTTGAAAATTTGAAAAGGATATTTTTCGAAGTCAATGAATTATATCGAAAATTCAAAATCTCCGGTTGCAATAAATTTTAAAAAGATGAAAACTTTGTAGGTCGATGGTCAGAGCCCTCATTGTATCAAGGTTTTCAATCGCATCAATGGGATCTTATTCAATGACAATTCGTACATTTGTTCCTGTGGGTTTTCAGTAAAGACAACAGTATTTCCGCTGTGTATTCAACAATGTTTTCAATGGAGATTATATTACGTGATATAGGTATTGAAATTGTTAGGCAATGTGAAACACATTATTAGAAATATTCAGTTTAAAATTACTTCAAATAATAACTTTTTTCACTTTTCACGTTGAACAAGTTTGATTAGTAAAACCACTTTATATTGATGCAAAATCTTTTAACTTTTATACTAAAAAGAAAGATTTTAAATCAATAGTAGTTATCTTATTCATAATTTATATTTTTTATACCATAAGAATTCAATGCTATATTATGATTGATAAAATCAATTATTCAGTACATACAATCAAACTTCTTGAAAAAATCTCAGACGCATTTATTATTACAATCAACGAATAATATCAAAATCTAAATTTTTATTACTTAATTTTACAATATTACAATAGTTACAGACTCAGCTGACATCTGTTATTGCAAATTTGCATTAAGAATCTCGGCGACCTTACGTGGTAATCGAGACGGTGGCTGTGTTACCGTTTAAGCGATTCTTCTTTATGGCACAGGATTCAGATTAAAGATTTTGAAACTACTGTACATAAAATTTATTCGTACTTTTTTTTAATCGTAGTTGTTTAAAAAGTCAACATTCACTTCGTATTATTAATAATATGAAATGAATATTGTATCGCAACTGGAAATGAGTACATTATATTAAATTACTTATTATTTATTACACTAATTGAAATATTTACTATGTATGCACATTGAATATATCTAAATTAATTAAACTGAAAGTGCTTCGTTTTGATTTTACAAAAAATTATATACTGCATAGGACTTCTGAATCAAAAGATTTTTTGGTAAAAAAAAATTATGAATCGGATAAATGTTTTTCTTCCATATCGTTCAATGTATTTGAAGCAATATTGTGCGAGGAGGTACTAAAACTTGTTATCCAATAAAACCACATTGGTCGAATTGCCGCTTTGCCAGAACAATTTCCTACTCTAGAATTTATGAATAACTGTCCAAGGCAGTTGGTAACTAAAAGGCTTGCGATGAACTTCTTACTATTATTTTCAATTTTTGGGGCGATTGTCGTAAAAAATGTGCAAGTAAGTTTTTAATATATATTTCAATATTTACGAAAGCCGTTAAAATTTTATGTACTATTTTAGACTGCATCTGGGGCTACTACGTCGGCTAAAGAAACAATTTTAGAAATTAAAGCTTCAGTGGATAATTGCGCAAAAGAAGCGGGATTTACTAAGGAACAGCTTAACACTGCGTTGACAAATTATGACAAAAATGCCGATGACAAAGTTAAATGTTTCAGAGGATGCCTTATGAAAGCTTACAAAGTTGTAAGTTTTTCTAATTAAAAATAAGGTTTTATATTAGATTCTCGTAATATTGAAAATGCAAATAGAAGAATAATTAAAAAGTAAATTTACTGAAAATGTACAAAAAGGTGTTGATTTTATAGATAACGGACAGTGAAAAAATCGATGAAAATGCAGCTATAAAATTCTATCATGGTGACAAACTTGATTCTTTAAAAGTGGCCGTTCAGAAATGTATTGCAAACGCTCGTAAGAAAGTTTTTTAATATTATATTTATTGAAACGAACTATTTTCAATTTATTACGTTGATTTCAGGTGATGGAAGTAATCATTGTGATATAGCTCACAAATTAGAATCATGCATGTGCTCTGTATTAAGTGCGTGCTGATAACAATACACATAATTTGATGATATTATGATATGCAATAATCATAACAATCATGCATCGGACATAATTTTTTTTAATTTTCAAAATCAACAGTGACGCTTTGATACGATATCATTCAATAGTAAAGTCACCATAAGCCTATGAAAATCTTTATAGAATTTATAAATCATAAAAATTATTCAGTCTTATAAGCGTATATCCTAAAAATGTATTCTTCTATCCACTTTCTTTATAAAATTATATTTCTCGATCAACAATTGTAAGTAATCTCGCCTTTGTAATAGTTTCAAAAATTTTGATGTTTAATTGGCGTTTTGTACGTATAATAAATTTTAATATCTATGTATATTTATTTCATCATACGTTTGTAAGTTTATGATATACATATCTGCGAATGGTCAGTCTTCACAGTGTCGATGGAATATTATTTCATCAGATCGATAACAACATTTCACATTTACAAATTCAACTTTGTTACTGACTGCCGAGAGCTTTGGCAAAGCCAGCTCCGGTTACCATCTGAGTTATCGGTTGCCAAATCTTTATTCGTGTCTTTAATCGACGAATGTTATTCAGTATCCTTTTCAATATTTAAAAAATGCAGATTTCTGCAAGTCGAAAATATTTATCTTGCCAAATAATTAAATAAATGATGAGTATTAAAGATATATTAGTTTTAATTTATTCACACACACACACACACACATACACATACTAGACAAATTCCTTCAGTTTTTATAAAATTAATTTTCTAACATGTGCACAACTCATACTCCAGAAACGCGGCACCGAAAGAATGATAAAACTCGAGAAAAACGTTTCGATAAGCATAAATTTTATATTTCCAAGGGACCCATCTGATAAAAATGGTAAAAATATTTAAACGCACATACTCAACTATACGATCGTGTATATGGTCAACATGCACGTGCATGCATCCTCACGGTGCATTCACTCTCTAGGATCCATATAGTTCAACAGTCAAAGCCGGTTTACCTTCGTCAAATGAATATAAAAGAAGCCCAAATTGCCGGCCACTGTCTCATTTATTGTTTTTACCCCATCTTAGGTGAGACAAAAATAACATATTTATTCATCCTACATTTAGAAGTCGGATGATTTTTTGTCTTTATTTTCCACCAGGTAGCTATTTGATTTTTATTTGCTTATGCAGCATACCGAAATGGTATTTCGCAGAAAAGTTTGCAAAAGTTACTTCCTAACTGACAATGGCTTTCTTTCTCACGTGCGATTTTTGCTAAGAAAACTTGTCCTTGCTGCGTCCATGCCTTTCCTGCTTTAAGAATGAGTAATACGAAAAAATAAAGTCGCACATATACAATAGTCTTTTTCTTCAAAATTTTAAGACTAGTTTCATAAAATTTAACATCCGAACTCATCCACGAGTAACGAGAAAATTGCATTGAAACTAAAAGCTTTTTGAATTAGTTGACGTCAAAGCGCTGAAAGATTTTATCGTGTAATTTCTTAACACATGTCTTGTACAAGGCAACGTCCTTTTTATCGTTGCAATAGCTACTCTTCGCCCTAAACTTTAGGTTTGATGTGATCATCCAAATGAAATTCCAAGATCTTGTGTAAGTATCGTTGTTTATGTTACTGTTTATGAGCGCACACGTGTCATTCGCATCCTTTCGCGACCTGATGACGTTCCCCGAATATTTTTTTTTTCTTGTCTTTTCTTTTAAATGATATACACTTTTCGTACCTGTCGTAACTAAAATTCGTATTGGTGATCGGAGGACCAACTTTGATATTCGTGACGTTGTAATCTGATATTGACTTCTTCAAAGTTTTATTGGAACAAAGAATGTTATAGTCTTTGACGTATAATTGAGAATAAATTTTGATTCGCGAAAGAAAATGTCAAACGAAGGAATTTTTTTCAAAATCAACCGATTGTAAATTATACAATCGGTCATTGGCTCAACATTGATTAACTTTAAAAGTTACTTGATAATATTATGCTAAATACACATTTTCCTACAGTAACTTGAATAATTACGCGTTACTGTATACTTTGGTAATTCAGTCGGTTTAGTTATAAAATCTTTTGTAATTTTTAATTAATTATGCGAAACGTTGATCCTAATCGCTAATCACAAAAATTAAAAATTGTAAATAGCGTATATTTTTCATTCCTGATATTAAATGTCTATATCTTTACTGGGAGGTTAAGTTTTTGAATTTATTTTCGTGTACAATTTCGTTCCTGTCACATTTATAGTTTCCGCACAAGTCGTCACCTACGCAAGTATCGTAAGATAAGAACGTTAATTGATAGATTTTTGTCGTCGAAAAATGTATTTAACACGTAAATGTCAAAGACATGGATCAAACATCATCTGTATTGAAGTGTCATTTTCATTGGTAAACCATTATTTCTATCTCTATTCACTGAGCGAATCAAGAATCCTTTAGTCTAGATTATCTAATTTTCGAACACATCATACAAACAATCCTAGCTCATCCATCAAAACCTAGTCGAAAAGCGATCGAGAGATGATATTTTTAGTATGTCGTTCCTCAGTATCGTTATGCATAAACTTATTTAAACAATTCGCGATATTTATGTATCGATTCGTCGAATGAATCTTCACTTTATAATTGTAAATACATACATACGTATATCGCTTCTTTTTCTTTTTTTTTAATTCTCGGAAATATGCTTACGTATACCACATATAAAATCCCCACCGAAACGCTCGAAGGCTTCTAGCCGGTATAAAACGCACCGAACCACGCGAGTGTGAGTCTTTGGTGATCAAGGTGCTCGACGCTCAACGCTGTATATCAATTCTTCTGACCATGGCAGTCAAGTATTTGGCCCTCACTGTTCTTTGCATTGCGTTCGTTAACAGTGAGTACTTCGCTTTCTCCCATTTTTTATTATTATTTATCGCAATTATTTTTGCTACAAATTTTCCTTGACTATCAAGGACGGATACGTAATAATTTCAGTGACCCTGGGATCGAACGAAATTTATTCGTGAAGTTTACAGTTACACTATTAACTAGATGGTCATTTGAATAAGTAGTGGGTTAGATTTAGTTTTGTGGTGAGACATTGAACAAGCATGTGGTTTATAATATATTCAATGAGTTGAACTTGAAAATCGAGACTTGTTATTGAGTTCGGCAAGCAGTGTCAGTAATTTTACATAAAATTGACATTGGATCCATTGTTGAATTTTACTTTTATTACATTCGTACAATTTGAAAAATGACTCGACATTTTAAATTAATAAAATATTCCATCGGGGAAAAATCACGCCACTTTTATGATACTTATACGATAAATCCAACTTTATGCAACATTATTACTAAATAGCTTTAAATAATAATTTGAAAATAGAACAATATCGACGTATTCAACGGATTTTCGCAGACGTAGTTCGTTAATGTTAGAATCGATGCTGATCTTGAAAACTACGATTTAATTTTTAATCGTATAATCTATCCTTCAGTGTTCGTCTACACACAATTTTTCATATCGCAAGATTTATCTGGTATCTATGTTGCATAAGATTGTTTACACCGGTTTCGCGTGGTTCTAAACGTTACCAAGCTTTTATTTCAAATCAATGCCTATGGATGATTACCAAGAATAATGTGTCGATAGTTCGATCCGTTTGTTTACTTTATTTCTGATTATCATAAAATTGATGGATTATAATTTATTTTTTGTGCTACTTAAAGCAACTGAAACTTAATGGGAATTTCAAAAGTTGACGATACTCATTTGAGACAGGATTGAGCATTTACGAGTATGTGGTCATCTATACGTCTTCTTAGTTATTTTTTATTAGATGTTATAAATAATCAATATTATTCTTAACATGGGTATGTCCGCTTACTTAAAAGTTGAAGTAAAGACCATTTTTATCTTTCTCTGCTATTCTGTTTCAAGGTGAAGAAACTCCAAAAAATAAACTAGAATTGTCTCAAGTATGCCTTGGCTGCATCTGTGAAGCCGCATCCGGATGTAATACCACAATAGGTTGCCAAGGTGACATCTGCGGACCTTTCCACATCACGTGGGGTTATTGGGCTGATGGCGGCAAGCCAACTCTGAATGGTCAACCTAACACTGACAATAATGGTATATTTACATTTTGTTTCAAAAAAGGATGTATAGATATGTTTTCCTTCTAAATGGTTATGTCGATATTGATTGTAAAAAGATTACAGCTTCTCGATTTTCCTTACAAAATTCTTTTAATTCTAACGACGGTATGAAAAATTATTACTCTTCATTATCAGATTCACTCTAATCGCATGAAATTTCCGAAGTTTTCGAATTGTCCGTGACTGATCGGTCATGCAAACTATTTGTAATGATTGCAAAATCCGTAGATATTGCGGAATCTCAATAGTTAATAGTGGACAATTAATTGATTATTAAATACTTTGCTTCAGCCTACGCTAATTGCGTTAACGATCCATTCTGCGCAGCCAAGGCAGTGACGGGCTACATGGAAAAATACTCCCAGGTGAATAATAAATATTGCATCACAATATCAGATACTCTCCAACGATAAAGTGTGAATAAATGAGCGATTTGTCTCTAATTATTGGATTTTTCTTCCTTTGTTTTATTAGGACTGCAATGCTGATGGTCAGATCAACTGCGACGATTATGCGCGCATTCATTATCTTGGTGGCTATGGATGTTCTGGACAACTGGAGAAGAAGTACGAAGCTGGTTACGTCAATTGTCGAAACAGCTTTCCATCTCAGTAATCGCATCTTCACCATTCCATCATCTTTTATGTTTTCCTCTCTCGCCCTATTAGATAGATCTTGCCGTTATTTATTTTCGCATATGTAATTTATTCAGACAGCATGATTTTTTATTGGACGATACAATAGAGATTCATTATATATATCTTCGTATTTTTTAGCGTTTTTATATTGTCTTATGATTATCAAGTACTTAATAAATCTTGAAAGTAAAAACAAATTCTTTCCATATATTCTTTTTATTTCCGTTTCGATTGCAAACAATAGTTGAATTTTTACTTTTCGTGTATTCGTAACGATTCATTTTGTATTGCGATTCACGTTCTCTGGTAAAAATATCCTAATTTCACTACATAAAAAATCCTATTTCCGTTGTATTGTAAAACATTGATGTTCTTGAATCACGTAACGAGTACACATTTCTTATTTCAAGACATTTCTCATTTTGAGTACAAATATTTCTTAAACTTATTAAGAACTGTTAACCTATTATATATATTTTTCAAATAAAAGAATATTTTTCTTGATTTGACAAAGTAAATTAACTAATTATTCCAAAAAAAATAATTATGAAAAACAAAAAAACTGTTGTTCTAAATGATTTACGATGTATTTAAATTTATTTTATTTTACTGTATAACATTACGAAAATTGGAGAGTGCTTATAAATATTCAGCTATTCAATACTGCACAATTGATTTATTCAAGTTCAAAATATGATAAGGGTAGTTAATTCAATAAAAAAAAATTTAGAGAAACAATTCTATGTGGAAATAAAACTTTTAATGATGAAAGTTTCCAGCATCAATTTGCTTGCTACTTTACCTTTTGCGGTTACTTTATTAGTTAGGTAAAGTTTCAGTTTCACGGTGACAGTATCAAAAGTTGTCGATAGATTCATCAATCCAAATGTGTTCCATTCAAACTTTATGAACGAAAGCTTCAAATACTTCGATATCGCCATTAAAACTAATTTAATTTTAAATGTATTCATCTTCAATTCGTTACAAAACTTTAAACGAAATGTGGTGTAAAAGATGTGAGGCCAAATTTCGCGATAGTTTTAACAATTATCAATATTTTTAAAAGTTCTGTTTAAAGTGACTAGTGAACATTTTTAGTATAAAATAATCCTAGATTAAAATTTATTGATACTATTAAAGGAGAATATTAAAATTTTTGTTTCATTTATTGGAAATTATATAAACTACAATATATAATAGAAAAAAATAATCATAAAACTATATTAAAAAGGAAACTATATTAAAAAGGAATACATTTGTATTCTATACCTACACATGAAACGTAAACATAAAAAAAAAATTTAAAAAAGTAAACAATATTTTCTAACACGCGAAACATTTGTATGTTTCGTAGCAGTCTAACGCTATAAATCTGGCCGGTGAATAAAGCCGATAAAACTGAAAAATCGAGCTACGAAGATTCGTTGGCTTACGCTACCTCCTCTACTTTTCATCGAGAGCCTTTACTTTTCGCTCTTCTCTCGATCGCGAAATATCTCCTCGACGCATCGAAGCGCCATCCCTCGGTCAATTTTTAAGTGGAAAATCTTATGCACAGCCGCACAGGCCTATATTCTATATATTCGTTGCTTTGACACACAGGTACGATGCACACAGTTACGCACGCGTAGGCGGGCGGCGTTCCGGTCGCGCGCGTTCTCTCGAAAAGCGAGCCTAGATCAGTAGGCTCTCTGGTAAGCAAAACGCCAGTTGTTGGTCTGCGCGCAGACGAGGATCAGGGCAGCACGTTTTTTTTATACTAGCATGTGCTGGTGCCACAGTGTCGCAGCCCTAACGTAGCATGGGAGAAAAAGGTACACGGCAAACACATCACCGCCTGTTTTGCTTTGTTTGTTCATTGTGCTTTTCGACAGTGGTTCGATGTTTTCATTCAGACGAGGGATTTTGTTTTGTGTTGGTAACGAAAGTGAGGTTAGGTTATAGTTTTTGCAACTGTCGTCTTTCACTCTTTTTACCTTCTTTCACCGACTCGCCTCTCAAAAAACAAAATTGCAACACGATGAGAATTCAAGTAATTTGACATCTCATTTATGTATGATAAAGTGTCGCAGCGCGAGATTATGAAGCAGCTGATGCATTCGCATTAGATGTATATAGATAGCGAAGCTTGCGGGAAATGCGACGAAAAAGAGGAGACAGAGAGGAGGAAAATTTGTATATTAGCTCGGTCGATTTCAGTCTGGTAAATCAGTCAGATAAAGTAAAGCGGTCAAATATGACAATTTTTTTTTTCTTAAAAAAATTCTTAAAGATTCTACTCATGGAGATTTATAGTGATTTTTGAAAAGAATAATTCCTTGAACGAGTTATACATTTCATAAGACTAGATAGAATAACATTTTTTTTCTCTTCTCTCTTTCTGTTTTAACATTAAAACTTCTAGTTTTGCGTGCTAATTTCGTATATTTCTATGCAAGTCAAGGTGAATAGATGGTATAATATTACGTTGGACGACAGTTTAACAAAGAACGAGGAATAAATAGGATCATTAGCGACATTTAAACTAGCACGTCCTATATTTCGCCCATTGTATGCGCGTGTCGCGTCGCGTTTTTGAGACGCCTTAAATCGCCACTTCCTTTTTAACTTACTTGTAATGTGCATATTTAGAAATATATTCCTTGGGAATTTGAGATATTGAATTATTTTCTTGAAAAGTTGGAAAACAAACGCGCCGGAGAGACTGTAAGTTTCAGGATTATTCGAAGTTGTGAAAAACTAGAAGTTTTACTTTTTAATATTTTACTACTCTAACGTTTGTATTTATTATTTTGTATTAAAGCTGCATGTAAAAAGGATTGCTGAGGTTTACGTTTCTACTAATTTTTTCGTACATCTTCTATTAGATATTTTTATGATTCTTTCTTTGTTAAAATGACAAAGTATATACTGCAGTTTTGAACACAGTAAAAAGTTATCAAATTTGTTGCATTTTTAAAGAAATGTTCTTAAATTTGCTAATGCATCTTAGAGTAACTAACTATTTTCTCAGATTGAAGACATTTTCTTTTTATAGGAATTCTTTTTTTGAGAAAATGTGTTAAAAAAGCAATAAATTTTAGAAATCTTTTTCGCATTGTTGGAGTTTTTACTTTCATATCAATGAAATTTTCAAGAAAAAAAATGAGAAAATATAATCAATTATTCTCATTTTAAATGAGATATTTCGTAAAAATAGTGGAAACCTTCTCAAATAAAAATATACGCCTCTTAATATAAATTTTTTAAAGTAAATTATGTATAAATGTTAAAAATCTTCAACTGAAAATAACATTTATTTTTTATTCCAAAAACCCTTGTGTCATTTTAAGAATTTGGATTTCCGCCATATTCTATCTCAAATTGTTCGGAACAATTTAATCCAATAAACAATGATCGTTGACGATATTTCTTAACGCATGTATAGACAATTATATTGAATTACTTTACATTACTTCCATTTAAAAGAAATTACCGATAGTTTTTACGTAAATAAATCACTTTAAAAAAATGTGTATCAACAGTGATTCCATTCCGATACAGAAATAAAAACAATAATTTCTTTAAATTTATTAGTTTCCAACTTTCCCACCGACACCGCTAGACAATAAATTTCCCAAAAGCTTTCAACTCGAACTCATCGATATAGCGCATCGTTATATCGTATTTGAGACAAGTTCATCGCGTTTCGTAAAGTTTTATGGACAATAAAGATAAAGCGAGAACCGTTGGTCACGAGTCTTTTACCAAATGGGTTAATACCGATCAGCAGTTGACTAACGTAAAATGCTTATCAAACGTAATTGCATTCTCTGTTGCGAAGGCCAGTATATTAGCGTTTGCCATGAAAGGTTCACGGGCAATTAAATGATTTTCATCCCGAAATTTTCCTATTGCGTCTGTTGCTGTATTTAATTGAATATAGACTGCTTTATTTGCCATCACATGATTCTATTTTACCTGTTTTTTAATCAAATTTATTTAAAAGTAGAACTGGTAATTTTGATTGTTATTTGAATTATTTTTAATATTTCGTCAGCTATATCATAGGTGCACGTTGTAAAAGTTAACTTGATCATGTCACGGAACTAACAATTCAGTTAATTCACAGACGGCTCGTAGTAAATCAAACATGTAACTTTCGATGTGTGGCTTTGATTTCCACGACGACAGAAATTTTTTGCGCTGAAGATAATCCGTGACATGGCAGAAAAACAATTAGAATGTAATTTTGATCCTAGAGGATTCCGACAAAAACTCCATAATCGAATTATCCGTTGTATATAAAGGATCGTGGCTACCGCTAACAAAGTGTGCTACGCACAACAGGCCAGGAGAGAGCGCAAAAGTTGCTGCGGACGGTAAACTCGCGTAACGCTATTAATTATATCTATACATGTACGCGAAGCGAATAACACCACAAGGGATATACGAAGAGATAGAGAAAGGGAGAGAGGCATTGAAGGCGTATAATTTTGCACGCTCGGCCTGCACACGACACTCTCTCGATGATGTTCGCTATGACTTCCTACTTTTGAATTTTCTCGCAAATAAAAGTAGAGAAGAAGAAAGGAAATTTATTGGATCGGTCGCGTTGATTATGGATTCGCTTCTGCGTACATTTCCCCGGTTGACATCGTCTGTACACGCGAACTTTTCGCTTTCTGCCTCCTCGATACACTTTTCCATGTACGACGAGCGATTTATCACTTGCGAGCTCGGAATTTACTACCTCGCCTTTACGATTTCATATATGCGAGATCTTGTAGCGGCAGAAGATTTGAGTTTTCACAGGTAGGCGGCGATCGACGGGATTCAAATGCACTTTTTGCGCCCGAGGAAAAATTATGAAGCCATTCCGAAATGAAATCGACGCAGCGATGCTTTCCATTTTTGTAACGAGGAATGGTCATTTGGCTGCACGACCTTCGGTTTTTATTTATTTTTCTGTCTGGTGTTTGTACGTCGCAGCCATTTGAAAGACATTCGTTCTTAAAATATGGTGCAACACAAATGAGTACAAGAGGTTGCTATAAATAAGAGACCAAAAAGTGTTCTTCAAGCTTTTAAATGTTTATGTCATTTCCTCTGTCAAATTAAGTAAAAGTTTTCTCATTGCGATGAGCACGATTAAAATTAATTTGGTTTTTGAAATGATATGGAAGATTATACCTTGATGAAATGATATGAAAGATTATTTTTATTTGTGTCTTTTTTTTCAAATAAAGAATTTTTTATTTGTATTTTCTCATATTAGTATCTAGATTGTAATTCATTTTTTTGTGAACATTTTCAAAACATCATAATTTTTTCATTCTTGCATTGTTCTGTAATAACGTATAGTACAAATAAACACCGAGAATACAAAGTCAAATTAAACGCGAAAGCAAGAAACTTTTTAAATGAGTGTTGTTAGCAATCCAATAAAGTGAACAGTTGGTCTCTCCCCGCGTATAACCCGGCAGTTTATCGGATATATGTCCCTCTGAATATCGGTTTACACGCGGCAGCGACAATTGAAGTGGACCGCAAGGGATGTGTGTGTGTATGTGAGCGCGCGTGTGTCTGTGCGTACGCATGTATGTATGTGTATATATATGCTACTGGGCTTTTCAGAACATTATGTCCACTTCAGTAGTGCGAGTGGCGCTGGATATAACAATATCGTCGTCCAGCCATTACGTCACGGACACTTGAACGTACATCTTGGCTTTTTGCAAATACATCATAGGTTAGACATTATTGTGTAACGAAAGATGTCGAATGTACTGATGCAATTCTGATGGATTTATTCCTTTTTGAGGTACCACGTGGAATTCACGGTGCCATGGAACGTATGTTTGGTGCATCCGGAAGGCAATCCAAAGGGGCCGGCTGTAATGGTCGGCGAGCCGAACCCCAACTGCCGCGTCTTCGACTTCTCTCTGGACAGAGATGATCTTAGGTATTTTGAAAACTTTGCTAACGATTTTCTTAGGCACGATGTCGTTCGAATGCTTCATGGCGCGATGTTAATGGAAACAATGAATTGTACGTGTTTTTTTGTTAAAAAAAAGAAATAGTTGTTTTTGAAAATTTAGAGACATATCGAAATGAAAAACGATGATTTCATTCGCAATGCAAAGCAATAAACATCAAAATTACAGAATGAAAGTCGAGCTGGCAGTACACAAGGAGCGTTTCCTCAAGGAGCCATTTCAGATAACGTGTTGCGATGAAGGTGCCCCACTGACAATCTACCTTAATGCCCGAGTGTTCGGCAAGGATCAGGGTACGCCAATATTGCGCAATGGCATACGTAGTATTGCGATCGAGGAAGAAGATGACGAGGCCGAAGATGAAAGTGACGATGCGGACGCAGCATCGGCTGACATTAATAAACCCGACTGACGTCCTCCGCCTCTCGAAACCTCGATGTAAAGTTCCCAAAGAGAAATGACAATTTCTTTTTGCCAACTTGCACACCCATCTTTACACTTATACATAGTAGGTTAGCAATGAAAGTGCCGTTAATCGTATATCACGCGGTATATTCGTTATAAAAACAATAAGCAAAAAAATGAAGGGGCATTCCTCGCGCGCGTTCCCTGTTGTGGCTGTATCATGTAAAAATGTTTCTTTAATACATAAAACAATATTTCATGATCGCCTATATAATAAATAAATAGTCAAGTAGTTAGACTCACATCTCGAGTTTGCGATGATTATAATAATCCAGTAAACATAATTAACAAAGTAGTGATGCCTAAATGCGTTTCGATAATATATAGATAAATAAATATATTAGATTGTACGATACATTTCGTATATAGTTCATTTTTGAGAGTTTATAAAAAAATACGACCGAAGCTTCAGTATTTGACGATATTGTATATTTTTTACATGATATAGTTTGTGTTGAAAATGAATGCCTTTTAAAATTAATCTCGAACCATCACTGCAAATGTTTGATAAAAAACATATATGATTGGTACGTAAACATCGCTTTTTCTAAAGAAAAATGCATTTTTTCCGCATTTATCTTGAAACTCTATTCGTCCCATTGTGATCCTTTTTGAATATATTGAGCTTTTTATCATTATTTTTATGGAAAAGGATATGTGAAGTTGATAAATTGTGTTCTGTTTGATGTTAACGTAGATAAACAATAAATTGTTTTACCTAAAAGAAAAACGTACTTTACGGGATCATTTTTGTTGGCCAGTAAATAAATATACTATAAGATAACCAGTAAAGACAGAAAACATACTGAATAATTGTATATCAATAATAGTTAAGAAAAATTTAGCCTATACTCTTCTATCTTCATACCTATTATAATAAAAAGAGTTTCTATACTGTTTCGCTAAAAAAATTTCTTCTTAAAATCGATTTCAATACTCTTTCTAATTGGTCGCCAAGGAATTTCAATCTTACATTTTCATAATACTTACCTTGAAAATATTTGTAATCGATTTAAAACAGTTAGCTACTGAAAAAAAAACATTGTTAGAAATTAATATGTTACGCAACGTTGTAATGTCTACCAAAGTCCGACAAAGCAATGGAAAACAATAGAATTCCCTTCCTTAGGTACAGTGAAGATATAGAAACCTAAATAACGAGTTAATTTTTCAATTATTATTAGTAATTTAACGTAGATAAAAGAACAATGTTCTAGTTATTTACGTACCTTGAGCGAATCAAGCGCCAGTATGGTATGGGAAGGATATTTGTAGCGCGATTGCAGAACCTTGTAAAAACATCCTTCCGTGCAAACGTGTCGATATCGTACTGGTGCTTGTCCTGGCCAAGGCATGTAAATGACTTACGAGCAGGACTATAATGTAATCGTCATGCTCTCCCTAGTACAAATATAAATACAGAGAGAAAAACGTAAATATTTTTTGAAAAAATGTAGAGTAAGGCTTGAATAAGATAATAAACATAAAGCAGCTGAAAATCGGAATCGAAATTAAAACTTTATTGATTCACAGTAACTTTTTTACAAATTAAAATGAGAAACAATTTTAGGTTTAATCGGTATGCTAATTACATCATTCATATTTCAACAATAAATCAAAGGGCCTTGGTCAAAGTAGCCTGAACAGTATATTAAACAGCAATTGTTTCGCGAAAGCCAAATTCTCATTTATTGCACTATCAAAAAACTCTAATTACGTCTGTGAAAATGTATTTGTCTTACCGATATTTTACATTGAATGGCAAAAAAATCGCTATTAAGAAAAACGTCTACGCACGATTGTACACGTGTATTCCGTTCCAAAATTGTATATGACACAGATAGTATCATTGAGCTTACGAGCAATAATCGAAAATTTCTTCATCCTCGCTAACACTACTGAAAAATAAGAATAAATGGTTCTTTCTTCATTGAACAAATCACGTTGATTGTTTTATTTTACCACTCTTCAGTCTTGTCTATTTTGTACCTACGAATATGGTTATATAAAGATCAGCGATTAACTAGATTCAGCAACTAATAAAATTTCCAAATAAATAAACGTTGAATTTCAAAGATAATCAGATTGTAGGATCGAATATCGATATATGGCAAACAGATTACATTAAATGGGCTGCAAAGAATATACTTTTTTGACATTTTACCAAAGGTCGGAACTCCATTCATCGACAGTACGTAAGGAAATCCCGACGTTTCGCGTCCTCTCAATTTCAGCTACAATAAATAAACAATAAAATTCCCATTAACACGTAGTCACGCACTCAGCATCGGAAATTCATCTTTTTTGTAGGAATGCCCGTAGGTCCGTCGACAAACTCACAGATATTAATACCAAGTTTGGCAAGAGGATGACAATTGCTCTTCTTATTGCCCCACTTGCCGGTAAACGTCATCCAAGTCGGCAGCGCGCTCTCATCGGATAGCATCTCGACTTTTCGCCAAGTTGGCCATGGCGTGCCGAAACCGCTCTCGTCGTACAGCCTTGGTAACCGTACGAATTTGTGTTTACCTGGTGCCGTCCATAGCCCGTGCGAGCCACGCGCGCTGAACAGCACGGGATGCGAACCTTCGGACGTGTGCACTCGCTCCGGGAAAATGGGCTTCTGAAAGATACCTTTACGCGTCTCTTGCGACTCGTAGACGAAGGTGTTGCTGCGTGACTCGTAGCGATAGAATGCGCCTGCATCGTGGGCTGATACGTACATCGCTGCCGGATGATCCTTGCCCTAGAATGTAAATCATTGTCATTTTTGCTTTTCTTTTTTTAATGTTCTAAAATCAATCGCTACGGTGTCGTAATGTGTATGTACACAAAACGTTTTGTCAATTTTATAATTATTTAATTCGATAACAAGTCTAGACTTTGAAGAATAAGAAAGGAATGAAATTTTTTTTTTTCTTTTTAATAGTATTTTTTCGAAAAAACATTCTAAATTAGAGATAAGCAGGATTTTTTTCACTTTGGCGTTCTCTGTTTTTCAAGGAATTTCAAGAATTATAAATCTCACTTCAACTTTTCTTGTTTCTGGTTATTCCGTAACATTAAAACAGGTCGGTTACGAAAAATAAATTTGTTAATTTGTGCGTGAATATATGTTTTTTTAAGATCAATAAAGAAATTTTGTAATCGCAAAAATTGAAAACTGAGTTTCTGTTACCGTATTGAATTTCATTCTCTCAACACTAGCGTATAAAACAGTTTTATAATCATCTAAAAAATATTTTAAGACTGCGTAGACCGATATTTCCTTGGAATGTTCTCGTTAAAATTGAACTCTTCTGTTGTGTTGAAAAAAAACAATGACCGTCTTTTGAACTTTACGGTATCTGCGCTCGTCGTTACAACACTAGAGAAAAAAAACTATTCTCCCGGGAAACGTCTGCTGCATCGCAGCATCTCAGGCGAGAAAAAAGCGATAGAAAGAAAGAAGTAATATCCGCCGTCGTCATCGTCCCGTCTTATTATTATGTATCTGCTTCTCGTTCCGCGGAACGAGCAGAAAAAGGGGGAGTCGCTCGACGCTGAAAAGCACAAAATTGAAGGCGAGCTTTTATCGAAAGTCGGGCACGCTCACACGACGTCAGAGAAACTTGGGAGAAGCACATCGTAAGTCAATACAGGTCAAATGGCTATTGGACGATTTGATTGCAAGTAGCGCGCAATTTTCATAAGAAGCGTGTGACATGTAATCAAAATTATCGTCGAGCATGGCGCTCTTTTGCGAGCGACAAAAGCTGAGCTCGTGACCAGAAGCATCGCGGGATCGATTTACGCTATAAGCAAATGTATCGGAAAGCCATCAAGTACACGACGATGATTTACGCAAGGAGGCTTTATTTTCTTATAGGGCATTTATTTTCGACTCATCAGTGTCAGGGCAGCGCCGATTTAAAATAAATGCGATCCTTATTGATTGCGCAAACGCGTGAAGAGGAGATTACGTATCCATTACTTATGCGACGCTCGGACAATTCATCCACCGAGAGGATTATTATTATATTGAGTCAATGTTAAGTTGAATCTGTATAGCGAGAGAAGGTTTGGATCCATTTTTTGAAAAAGCTGAGATACACTTACTTGTCACGGGAACGTAAAGCAAGCTTATTAAGAAATATAAAAAAAAGTTGTCATTCAATGTAGAATATTCATTGATATATTTCCTAAATAGAATAAAAGTTAATAAAATAGAATACCATACTTCTTATATTGATGAATTTTTGTATTCTATGGTACAGATTATTTGAGGAAATCGTAGAATGATCAGAAAATATTGCGATCGTTTTGTCAATATTAGCATTCGATTAAGTCGAGAACTTTTTAAAATGACTTAACTCAAGTCGCCTCGTTTATGGGAGATCTGTGATATGATAAAATAATATCTGTCGAGTTAATTTGATCCAAAAAATTTTCACGATACCTTAAAATACAAACTGACGTGTTCCCAATCACCAACGTGACTACCATATTCCTTTTGCTTGCCAAGACACATTCCGCCAATATTCGGTATAGGCCAACTACCTAAAAAGCCAAGATCCAAAACGCACACGGCTTTGCCTTCACTGAACGGATAGAACATCCAGTAGGTCACGTGGAAATGCAATGGTGGCTGTGCTCGCAACGCCTGCAACTTGAGCTTCTTCCGTTTATGTGCATCGAGTTTTAGCGAAGTTTGCATATTCACGTCTTGGCTGAAACGGTTGCGTGAGAATCCCCGTGCCATGGCTATTGGTGGTGGCAACGAGTCCAGGAACTCAGCACTGCTACCTATAATTACGGGTGTTTTCTTTATCCAAAAACATTCTCAAGATTTAACACATTTTTATTTTTAATAAAATACCGAATAGCTTGTAAAGTGAATTGAAGAATGCGGGAAATAACATTATAAATCAATTGATAACGTTTCAATTTGATCACTAATTGGAACATTTAAAATTTATATCGGAACATAAATCAGCACCTATGTAAAATTGTCGCAATCTATGGTGAAACGCTGTAACTCGAATTGGAAATATGAATGAATTTGAGTGATTTCATCATTCCAAATATTTTATTCAGATTGAATGTAAGTTGAAACAGAATTAGAACGTTAAAATAGAAAAGATGAAGAAAAATTTTGTATAAATAAGTAATAATTTGATGAAATAAAGTTTTTTTACTATGTAAAATGTAGATTCGAACTTTGAAATAAACAATATAACTCGATCTTTTGATTTTTCAATAATCAATAGGTTTTTCAATAAAATTCATTTAAGTTAGATTCATTAAGTATATACATATAATTGATTTCCTAATAATCCTATTGAATTGTTTTTCTTTAACACGATCGCATTTTCCCAAATTTTTTATATTTGGCTTAAAATTGCGTCTACTGAGTTTTACGGACACATTGCACGCTCTCTCAATTGAAAGTCAATCAAATTGAATATCATTTGTTCACTTATAGTGAGCAATTTATGACTATTCCTCTACAAGGAAACTCTATATATAATCTAAAGTGGAAAATCCTATATTAAAGTGAAAATATTTACAAAAATCTGATTTATTCTTTACATCAAAATATTATCTTAATTATTTTATTTAATATTATCCGGATTTCAAATATACATACGTACTTGCACGACTTTCACAATCTCTTTACATAAGTGGTTAGCAATAAGACTAAATTTTGTTTTTTCTGTTCGTTTTAAAATTGATACGTTGCTTCTTAATTATACAACCTACTAACATACTTATTTGTAAAATTTTGAAATTTTTTCTAATAAAATAATCATTATTTGATAATAAAATTAATTGTATTGGACAAAAGATTAAATAATAAAACGAAGGAAATGCAGCATAGAATATTTCACGAGATAATTTATAGAATATTTATATCATTCTAGCGAAATATAAAATACGCAGTAAATTTACTGTATTGAAAAAGTTGTTTGCAACATTCTTACGTTTAATTGCAAATTTTAATTCAATAATAGTATCATAAAAAATAAATAAACTTACCAGGCACATTATTAGTTTCAATGGGGTTAACAAAATCGTCGACAAGCACATTAGGGTTAGCCGCAGCACCAGTAGCAGGTCTATCAAAGTCGTCGTGCAGGCAATTCTTGACTAAGGCATAAATAGGTACATCGCCGGCCGGCTTACGTCCGTGTAAGAAGGACGAGCGATTCTGTAGCAGCAACTCTGGAAATAAGAAACACGCGTGTGATATGTGCTGGTTTTAAAGAAAGGAAAGTTAAAATGTATCATCGATGTTAAAGGGAAAAACGTATATGACCTGACTTCGATTGTATACTCAACGAAGAATTTTTTTTTCGTCTTTAAAATGGAGAAATTCGCGTGAATTTTTCAGTTGGAAATCGGATATATATTTTATAAAATAATTAGGATAAACGCAAAGATACTTACAACGAAAAAAAAAAAAATTTTGATTTGTGAAAAAAAAATATAAATTTTACATTTCTTTTAACAAAAGAAAACCGTGAAAAGTTTTCGTTCTATATTTTCTCGTCCTCGCGATCCCAACAGCAAATAAATTTCCCCACGTAAACAAGAGAATTCCCCAGCGGAATCGATCAGTGAAAAGGGTCATGTACGCGAGCTGGGCGACTTGCAGGTCAGTTAATGCAACAACCGCGAGAGTCTCTCACGTCAAAGTAGCACGCGCACGTGTGTGTCTGTGGTACATCCAGTGCCACTCTCTCAATTCGTCTCTCTCAATCTCGTCAATTATCTTCTAATTGATTGCTCGAGAGATAAGCTCTTCATTAAATAGCTTTTATAGATTAGTAGGAATGAATATAAAAACAGATTTTATCACTTACGCAAACTGAGACGTGTGCGAAGATAATTGTCATCGGATTCCACGTTGGCCAAGAATTCAGGTACACCAAGTGGTAGAAAGCGCTCGCCTGGTGCTAACCATACCATAGGTGCCCAATCGTGGATCAGTCGTTTCACTGGTGTTTAAAGACATGATTTTTCAGTATTTACGAGCATTTATGTTTCTTTTACCCGAATGCATTTTGATTTGACCGCGATCGGCACCAAGTTTCCGCAAACATGCGGCATTCTCGAGTAAACGTACATCCTGTAATTCACGCTCAACGTATACAGTTCCGACTTTATACCAATCGGCGGCTCACGCGACCGCAAACCTTTCCAATTAATCGGGTCGTGTAATTTGACTTTTCAATCGACGTATACGCAAATAATTTCAAGCGAGATGCGATATTGAGCTTCCAAACGTGATAATTAAAAAAGAAACAAAAAAACGAGGACAATGCCATTTTAGAATAATGTCGCTAAACGACACTGCCGAATAGCGTACAAAAGCCGGTTACAGTTGTTACACTTCTACTTTTTATCTTCTTTCGTTCCTCGCGCGCGTTACGGGACACAGGATTTGGGTTAGTACGACTGCTCTTATTCGGGTCAAGGTTTTGTCGCGCGTGCGCGCTCTGTAACTTGTGAAAAACTCGAATTTTTTTCAGCGCCCGGTTAGGAATCTGAATCGATAGAAAATTTAAAGCTTGATTATGAGAAGATGATCGTCCGTCTTAGTTTTCACCGATTTTTTTTCATGAAGTGATTATTAGTATACAGATTGAGGTACAGCTAATTAGTTCGAGATGTAGATTCGCACAAGCATGCAAAAAATTTATAAACTTTTAGGTTTGTCGTGTGTTTTTACACTACACTTCAGATACTACCAAAGGCTTTTGATAAGATAATCATACTTATTAAAGTGAGAAAAAAAACTCGATTTGTAACTATTATAAAAATGAATCTGAAATTAAAAGCAACGCTGACCTCGCAAGTCCTCCGGGTCGTTCGCAACAGAAGCACAAACAAAGCACAAGAGAATGAGAAAAACACCGACGACAGAGAACATTATCAGAGGGTGATGCATCCTCAAACGGCCACTTTTGTTGCATTTTGCTGGCCGTTTTCGCTTCTCACTCTTATCTTCTACTCATTGTGATCGCAGACGAAGTATTTCCAAATGGATTATTCGTGGTTACTGGCACTTCCGTCTTTCACGCCAAGCAGGTATGAGATCAATCATAGGCATGATTTATTCAGTGAGGTATGTCGTGCGCGCACTGACGTTTCGGAGCCGTTTTCCTCGACTTAAAGCAAAGAAATTACGCACGGAGATCGTTCATTCGAAATCACCCTGAGCCGTGCGTCTGTATGTTGGAATTAGACCGAAAACTGACTACTTCGCGCGTGCAGTGAAGCTCGACGAAAAGTCAATCGATGAAACAGTTAAGAGCGCAGCAGCACTCGGTTCAACGAACACGGAAGTAAACAATGTACAAGTTCGCCGTGCACGGGGCACCTGTTAACCGTTTGATGTCAAGTCGGCGACTGGATCGGGTCCCCCCTACTATGCAGTATATTCCACATCGGGCCCAGTTTTCCATCTCTCCCAAGACTTCGCGTGCGTGCGTGCTCCTCGTGCGCCGTGCGACGTATATGTAAGAAACAAACTCGGTAAGTAAGTAAGTGTGTAGCAGTCGTACGATTCTTCCATCTCTCTCTCTCTCTCTCTCTCTCTTTGTCCGCGAGTTAATAACGAGCGCCGCCCAAGACCTACAGCGAGCGCCGTGGTACACTTACGACGTTGCCGAGATATTGAGTTATTACGAGTGAACGAATTCGCGCTAATCGCAGATATGTTAAAAATTACAGGGCGCGTTTCGCAGCTCAAGACCGCGGAGCTGGACCAATGTATTAGCGAATAATGCGGAAACGATCGGCGCGCCGATACGTAACTTTGAAAAACTACGAGCTGCCTTTTCCGCGTGCGAGCGAACGTTCGATATACGCGCACCGGAACCAAGATCAAAGATCGACAGCACCGTGAGAAGTTCGGCTGTGATCACCTACGACGCGAAAAGTGTCTCGCGCGCGGCCGATGATCGGTACGCGAAAGCTACTTCCCGGCCCACGGTTTCATCCAAATATACGAGAACCCGTTTTGAGGCTGGTCCCGTGGAAAATCACGCGACATGGGAATCGCCGTCAATTGAGAAAAGTGCGATCGCAAAAATTAACGAGCTCTCTCGCGATAAGGAGGTGTACGCGGCGTTTTGTGGAACCAATGATATTCTACGATTGTCTTCCAGCAATTTTAGCACTCGTTGTAACAATGTATTTGAACAATTTATTGTAAATGAGGCACGGAAAAAGGACAAAAACGCGAATTTGAATTATTGACTGTCTAACGTGTTTTTTCAAATGTCCATCGCGTGACAAATCTTTTGCGCGCCTATGTCTATTGTTAAACTTACGTTTCTATAAAGATCCAGCTATTTTAATTTACGACGCGAGCACAATAAAGGAAGATTTGCCGAGACAAAGGCATGACGATAAATCGATTTCAATTGTACTTACTGTTTTTGGACAAGTGAAATTCGATTGCCATACAGTAAATAATGAAAACTCTTTCAAAATCACTTCCGTTTCGTCGATCGAATTAGAAAATCTAGATTGCTTCGCTTGCGATTCATTTTTGTAATGATTTATGTAAAATACTTTAAAGCTATTTTGTTCAATTTGAATCAAAATGTAAGCAAATTGATTGTTACTGCTTCCGATATAAAGGAACCGACAACAGGTAATTTAATCAATTCAATCGTGTGCTTTTGTTGATCACGCAACTTTTTTAAAAAAATTATTTATAGATAATTTAAGGAATCGTGCCACACATCGTATTATATTTTTGACGTTTAAAATTGGGCTACTTGAACAATACTAAATGATAAGTATTACTTAATAATAATAGTTGAATTCAATAATCTTTTGTAATGTAAAAAGCTAAAGCAACCGAAGCGTATACATTGATTCGCGACACAGTCATCGATTTGGCTTGTAAGCGATAAGCAATAATGAACAATTATCATCAATTCGGTGAAGCAAAGAATTAATGAAAAGCTACAGAGCCAAGGAGAAAGAAAAAAGCTCGCTGAAAGTTTCTCTTCCCGACAATGATGGCAATCATGTGTGCACGCGCCTCTCTTTCTTTTGGAGAGGGGGAGGGGGACTCTAATTGGGACGATTGCATAAAGGAAAACTCGCGACGATTGCATCGCAGTCACGATTTCCGAAAGGCTACACGGCGAAAAGGAAAGTCTGCATACGCGCACTTGGACTTGAATTTCGTGGACTTCCGCTTGTACACGTGTGCGCGCGGGTCGACCGCGCCGAGGTGTACGATATTTTTACTCGCTTTTACTTCAAAGCCGCGAGCTGCGATTGTCCACGTGTAAATTTCACTTCTCGCCGGCCGTGGGTTCGGGCGCGCGATGAATGTACTTTTTGGCAGCGCTAATGACGGAGCGCTAATCGAAATGGAATTGCGGTTGTAAATTCAATCGTAAAACTGCCGTACACGGGGGAAAAGTTCTGCGAGCCGCGATCAAAGTTTCGTAAAAATCTCACGTAATCGTACTCTGCAAAATGAAAGCATCAGAGCTTCTTTTTTAAACAAAAATGTCTCCTCTCACGACAGTCTCGTAACTAACTGCGTTTGCTCGCAATGGGATGCGACAATATTTTGTCATACCTGCGTAACGGCTCATTATACTTCCACTCCAAACAAGCCGAGAGGCAAACGTTTCGCGCATACGTACACATACGCTCCGAAATAATTACCTTGCGTGGGTATGATTACAAATGGTTTCCGACCCTGACATACCTTCCGTTAATGAAACGATACCTTATACACTTTTTATTCTTATTTGCTTTACTGAACTCATTAAACTGATATCGATATACCTTTTGGGAATATATCTGCGTATAAGAATTTCTCTCCTTATACTTCCACGTTTCAAGATGAAAAAATAAACAGATTTGCAACAAATGCGTAATGGTAAGTTTTACTTGAAGCACGTGTGCACTAGTTGTTTAGTCATATATAAATAACGGTCGCACTCCATGCGAGGTAATTAATAACGGTACGAATGTCAAAGACACGACGAACGGCCAATTGAAAAAAGAAAGGAAAAAAAAATATGTTCAACTAATAACCAGAGCTGAACTTCCTCGTGCATCGTCCACGTAAACGGGAAGGTGGCGAGAATTACAGAAACGAGCGCGCGCCGCGGCATAACGCGTCATTATCTCATTGTGTGCCGGCGCGCCGCGGTGATTTACGGCGTGGAGGAAAGAGAAGGACCTAGGAAGTCGTTGCACCGCGCGAGATTGTTTAACGAGCATGCGCGCGCGTTGCGTAACGACGCGCGAGCCCGCGAGAGAAAGAGATCGCGAGATCGTTACGGGGCAGCTCTCTCGCGTTGCTACTAAGATTCGCTCGGATGATGAGCGTCGGCGGTGCGCGATGAGGGATCTCTCGTTTCGTTTGGATCTTGTTTGTTTGTTTGTTTTTTTTTTTCTTTGTTCTTTTTCGAAAGGACGGTAGAAAGTGAAAGACGATGCTGTTCTGCTCGCGAGGAATTGAGGTTTACGCGTTTGGACACTGATACGGATCAACCGTTTGTTCGAGCTCTTATCGTTTCGTCATACGCTCGCTCAATTTTCGCGCGGGGCAGAATACCGAATGCAAGATCCGAAGTAATGTGAAATTAAAAAATGATGATCCGCGCTTGAAAAATAAACGTCTCTAACCCACGTCTAGACCGGAAGGAAGCGAGAGCCAAAGCATGACAATTTAATAGCCATGGTTCTCTCTCTCATATATATATATATGAGATCGCGCGAGCGAAAGTGAAACCCACAGCGTGATATTCACTATGACCCGCGAATGCCGGTGTGCAAGCTGCCGTGAAAGTTACATATCATCACGACCTTCGTGTGTTGCATATATACAGCATGATAAAATCATGGGCTTATGATGTACACGCACACACCGACGCGTCGTCGACGACGACTGTATGGTGCAACGATCTCTGCTCCTCATAGGTAGCTCATATGTAGCTGTCTTTCTTCTTTATTGCTCATTAGAGATTGAAAATTTGATAGGTCCTGTGGTTTTTATTATTATTAATTGTCTTTACACTTGCTTGTATCTTCACTTTTTTCCATTTTTTTGTAAACTACATATATTTTCCTGTTGCTGTTGAAGTTCAGATTTTTATGTTATTTGTGTAAAAGTAGTCTTGTAAGAGCTTCTTCTTAGTTAGCAAACTTGCAAAAAGATTACGTATAATCCAGTCAATGACGACACATTTAATGAATTTTTCATATTATTCTTATCAGGGTTAATGCTTAGATTAGACGCTACATTCGTTACAAAATTGTCATACGTTTTAGCAATTTGACAAAAACAGCATGTTCTTATGTAAATGGTACAGTTACACTCACTTATATATTTCTACGTATAAAGAGATTTCCCATTGATACAGGCATATCCGTGATCTAAAGATTTAATTCTTTTATTGGAAGTTGCAAAATGCCTTTGTTTAACAAATTCATTACAAAGAATTATTTCCAAAGACGAATCAACGCGGTGACATATCAATGTCAAGTACTTCACCCTTCACATTATTTTTCATTTGTGTACAAGAATCTACAAACAATCATCAGAAATTCGTAAAAAGACGTTATTACGGACAAAAGCTCAACTGACCTATTATCCCTAAAATCACCCTAATGGTTAGACTTGTATTATATCACGCAGACGTCCCTTCATTGATACACACTCACAAGTGGAAAAGTAAAAACAACTGTAGCAGTTGAAGATACATCATAGATAAATCTTGGTAAGCATCTATCTATAAGTTCGATAATGAAATATCAACCTTTAGTTATCAGGTGAATTTTTTTATACCATGGAACGACTCCTGGTATCAGCAAGACGACTATTTACCGCCAGTTCCTTTCAGAGAGCAGAATGCCTACTGTCGTATTGTAGAATTCATTCAAGGTAAAGATTATTTATTGAGGTATACAAATTATACAAATTATGAGGTATACAATTTAATGATCAATGTATGTTTAATTGTGTTGTGAATTATATATTAAAAATGGAACTGTACGTAAACAATGAAGATATTGTAAAAGAACAGCTTCTGATTTCATGCTGTGAATTTGAAACGCCACTGACACTTTCGTGAGAGCACAGATTGTCGGACAAAATGATGGAATACGTATACATTTTTAAATTAGAAAATCTTTCTTTTAAAGTTGTGTGTTAGTGTCGTTTTTTTCTATTAATGAGGGTTTTTAGGATAGTTAGAAAAAGCGTTGAACTATGCAGTATAAACAGTTTTTCATAAATGTTAGAAAATCTTAAAACTTAAAATTATTTTGAAAAAATATATGCCTAATATTATTTAATATTCATTTACTGTTATTAAAAGTAGAAAAATACTTCATGAAGAAACATCAAAATAAAATTAACCTAATTATACATGTTGTTAATTATGTAAAATGATAATGAATATAAAATAAAAATTTCTTCCGCTTTTCACATTTAAAAAAATTAATTCAATCGACGTAATGTTTTGAGAGCCAGCTCTCAGGATTTTCCCAACAAATCAAATAACTATGCTTTTCAAATAACGTTTTGCCGTCTTCATTTATAGGCCCTTTAGATTTACTAATAAAAATATTGTAACTAGTTTTTCCAACGTGATTATATTGTATACGAAAAATACTAGAAACTAACATTATCTGTGAGAAAATGTGTAATTATTCAAAATATTAGACACTCTCGACATTAAAAACTTCATATAGATAAATACAAAATGAAAATATTTCAAACTATATTTTTATTTGAATAACTTGAATCTGAGGAGGCTACAAACAGTTAAACGTTATTCGAATAATGATCGTTTAATTTATTGAAATAATCCTAAGGATTAACTGAAAATATTGCGTTAATTGAATTTTTGTAAATTCATAAAATAATAAATATAATTTATACTAGGATACAATAAATCAAACAGCCACATAGAACAATATGAATGTTTGATTTATGGAAAGAATACTAAGGGTTGACTCTCAAAATATTACATTCATTGAAGTTTTTTAATTAATATAATAATCAAATATCATATTCGGAAATTCTCCGATATATGACACTACTATTCAATCCTAGTATAAGTATATGTATATAGTAATGTCATATATCGGAGAATTTCAGAATATGATATTTGATAGATCACAAAATAAAGTAGATTGTTGAATCATTTAGGTAATATGGTATTGTATTTATATTTGATTGGTCTATATATTGAAGTACAAGGGGTGTTCAACAAGTAAGGTGACTTTATGGTTTTCTCAAAAAATATTTATTTATTGGTCAAGCTTTATGTTGTCTCCTTCAAAGTAGTCCCCGTTAAATAGAATACACTTGTGCCAGCGCTTTTTCCAATCATCAAAGCACTTTTGATAATCCTTTTGAGGTATAGCCTTGAGTTCTTTCATTGATTCAGTTTTTATTTCCTCAATCGTTGAAAATCGATGTCCTTTCATAGGTTTCTTAAGTTTTAGGAAAAGAAATATACCAATTTACCATTTACCAATTTGAGTATAAAAGATTTATTTTTTGGAAATAAATTTCGATTACAAACTCATTATATTTGCTACAATACTAACCAAGGGCTAATATTACTTTCGACTTATGTAAATTGATCCAAGTAATCAGTACATGTATTTTTTTATACAGATTGCAAAGTAGAGCGCATATCGATGACTTAAGCGCCTTAAAAATACGATGAATAAATTTGTTTTCTAAAATATCAAATAATTGAAGGCAGTTTATGTTCTTTCGACAAAGCTTACGTGATTTCTAACTGTGATAACTTTAAACTTATCAATAAAATCTAACACGATTAAAATAAGCTTCAAAGCCAAAAATTTCGTTGTTGCCTTACACGATTAAACATTGAAAAATTATCGCATAAGCAACCTCACTACTATTGTTTTTTATCTTTAAATCGCACTCATTATAAAATCTAATCACTACGAGGGTAATACACTTTCACAATTCAAATAATTAATAATAAATTATCGAGTATCGTGAAAGCCTACATTGTATACAATTTATTAAACTACAGTAGCTTAATAACGTCAACGTAAACTTATTGCTGTGCTAAGAAAATATCCTCTGTGATCACATTCTTTCATCTTTTTTAATTTATAAGTCACGTACTGTGATATTCGCAAACATCGTACACAGATATTATAACACAGGCCGACAAGAAAAAAATCCAGAAAGCAGACACTACGTTCCCGATGATTTTTGATGCACTGATTCTGAATCTGGCGTTAGAATTGATCCATTACCCTAGGATTCCGAGACATTCTTATCGAAAAGTATGAAAAACACGGTTTTTAACACTTTTCAAGGTTATATGATAAGAAACAAATTTTTATTCAGCATTTGAGGCTAACCTATCGTGGATCTACAGCTTCCAGAGTACTTGAGGTTTACGACTTAAGTTTGTCTTGTTGAAGTTTTAGCAGAATGTATTTTGTCATAATATGCTATAACTTTGAACTAAGGTTAACCTTCGGAAATTACAGTGCCTGTCGATTATAAGGTATAACGTTTCGTAAACTGAGTTGAAATGTAATTCGTACATCTTGAATTTTTGGGTTAGAAAATATTAAAAAAAGAGGCCATTGCTAAATATTAAGGTTATATTCGAATTTTTTATTCTTAAAAATGTAGATTTACGCTATAACTGCTACCAAATTTTTTCAATTTAACTATGATATACGAAATTACCTGAATTAGTAATTTTCAATTAACTTTATCTTGAAAAATGAATATTTTTTCAATTCAAAAGAAGGATTTTTAAAGATAAGATAAGGATTATACTTTTCAGTCATGTAATTGGTTTTTAAAAAAACAATTTATTCTGTTTTTCATGTAACCTTAAAGTGCTTAAAATTGTGTTTTTCACATTTTAGATTAAAATATTTTAGAAACCTAACGTAATAGATCTATTCTGAGGTCAGATTTGAAATTAGCGTATCAGAAACCTTCGGGAATATAGTATCTGCTTTCTGGGTTTTTTCAGTTTTGAAATTTTGTCGACCTGTGTAATTTTTTGAAGAATTCGCAAAATCGATATACACAGATTGTTTGACTTGCTCGTGACCTAGTTTACTTGCGTAACTCATATCAATAGACTAAACATTCAATTTTAATATATAATCTTTATTAATCGGGATTTCTTACATGTGTAGCAACTGAATTACGAATAGTTTAAATAAAATTATTTATTATGATCTTGCATGGAAAACACTACTTAAATTTTTTGAAATCGGTTTAACAATGGCACCAAGCAAATGTGGATAATTTTTGTTATATTCATATGCGAGATTCAATAGTATATCTTCTAAGTAGTCTACTGAAACTTGTTACTCACAAAAATTTATTTATACTTTAAATCTAAAATTTTTTCAGTAAAAATCTATTGAATAACAAAAAAACTTAACCTAAATAGCAAAAAACTATATCGTCGTTCGTTAATCGACCTATTATAACCATTATACACAAATTAAGAACAAATATTGTTGTTCAATGGACACGAGTAACTTAATCAATAGATAAGTTTAACGTAGCTTAATATTAAAAGAATACAAAAAAAAGTTATATGTCATATAAAATATGGTACAGACTTATCAGAATTCCTCCAGACCCTCAATTTTTTTCCTGCAGATTGGACATTGATTGCAAGCATTCTGAAAAAAGGTTTTTTCAATATTTATTCATAGAAATGTTTGAAAAAAATTAAATAATTAACTTACTCCTGATCCATCATTCTTCCATTTTTCAATGCAACTCTTGTGGAAAGCGTGCATACACTGAATCACTCGAACTGTATCCTTCACCACATCTTCAAAACAAATTGGACAACTTTGGTCTGGTCTTCTATTTCGCAAACTGAAAATGTATTTGTGAATTATATTTTAAATATTTAGAGATGTACAAAAAGGTTGATATTAGCAAGATATTTAATTTTGTAATGTTTTTCATTTGTTAAATGCCGCCTAAAGTATGACATAAAAATTATTGTATCGGAGATTTTGCAATTTTACAAGTACAAGTTATAGATATAAATATGCTTAATTATTGTTGTCATTGCGAATGTCACCCGGAATTAAAGTTTGTATGAGACAGAGATAACAAGAGTCGATAAAGATGATTTCTACTGATCAATTGTATCTTCTACCAATTCACGATTTCTTGAACAACTATAAATAGTTGCGTTCTATAATGATTATATACGTAAACTCTGACAAAAACATTTTAAACTATTGGCAAAAAATCTAAAAATACATCCAAATATGTTGTGATAAATGATTTCATGATTTAAAATTCAATAAACGTAAAAGTTTATATTTGACGGAAACAGCCAAAAAAGCTTTTAGATATTCTATGTAGTGATTTAATCTAATCGCATTCAACTTAAGTCATATCTAATCATAATTCTTTTATTATATTTATCGACTATTCTATTTTTCTCGTATATATTTCGTCTATTTTTTTACACAAAAATTACTATCACGTGAAGAGCGCAATTATAACTTTATTTACTCTAAGATTTTTCGAAAAGTCCCTAATCAGAACCGCATTTTTATTTGATTTGAAAAAATAACATTTTTTCAGTGTTTAAATATAATAGCTTATGTTTAGTATTAAAAAACGAGTAAATTTATATACGTAAGAATGTACGGAATATTTTTAAATTCCTTTCATAACAAAGAAATCTCTCATTTTGTATATATATTAATGTTGTTAAAATGTAACCACAACATTAACCACTAATGACTACTTTTTTTTCTTTTTATACAATCAACTTACTCGCTATTCGGCGGGTTCCAACAACTACTAGAACGATTATTGTTGTCAGGTCGGCAACGGGTCCGGCAATTACTCTGTCCCATTCTTTCATCGGTGCTGGCGAAAAAGTAATAAAGAACAGCACCAAGACCAACCCCAACCATCAGCATCACTGCTATTCCTGGATGTGTCATTCTACGGCTGATCCTCGAGAACAAATCCAAGATAACACCTCGGCGAGCCGCTCGTTGAGTCTGCTAAATGTTATACATATTTTCTTTTCATTTGATAATTCGCGAAAAAAGCAATTTTTCATTTCTTTAGATTCTCGCGAAACTTTCATGAGTCAGTCCAAGCATAATAATTTATCTAATTTATTTTCATCATAGTTCATGACCCCTGTATGCAATCCTTTTTAAAATAGAGTGGATCAGTCCAATATATACGTAAATATACTTGAACATCAATTTTACTATAAGAAAAATCACGACGCGAATCAATAAATTCCAATTAATGGAAATATAAGAATCATATCCAATCAGTTAATAAATAACCCTTTGGTACACATACATATACATACCTTACCGACTTATATGGGAGCTAATGTATTCAAAGCATAACGCAAGTCTACTGGCATGTAAGTATACGTGTATATTTATCCATTGCAAACAGAAATAAGTCGTACTCACTAATTTCTCTCTTTCTCTCTCTCTCTCTTCGACTCGGCCGGACGAAGATACACTTGCCTGCCGAGAAATTAACGCACACTTCTTCGCACTACTCGTAGATTTATGCTGTTGTTGGTGGCATTGCCCTGCTGCGCGACAGATGATTAACCTTCAGCAACGTCTGTATATGCGCCAAAAAACGGTGTATCAGCGAAAGAGACAAAGAAAAAGAGAGAGAGAGAGAGAGAGAGGGAGAGGGAGAGCGAGCGAGAGAGAGAGAGAGAGAGAGAGAGAGAGAAGATTCTGCGCTTGTCTGCGGTGGCTTGATATGGAAACACAAATAACAGCTGCACCGACGCGCAACGCCAGCTACACTCTTTCTTGCCTCGCCGCGGCAGGACCACCGCCAAGTCCGACATGTTTCTCTGTAGTTACTCTTGAATACCGTCACGATACTCGGTGACGCTAATCGTTGGGTGACATCAGCATTCTTTGGCGCTAAATTCAAACGCATTTTTCTTCACTTGCAATTTTCGAAAGATTAGCACATACATTGAATAAGAAAATCTGTTATAAATACGAATAATTTATTCATTAGACAACAATGCATATGTATTTACAGTAAATAAACAATGTAAATTTAACATTCGCGTGTGCTCGCTACTATAGCATACATTTGAATAATAATCATTTCTTACATCTTATAAATAACCAAACACAACATAAAATGACAATTATACCAATTAGGTTGTTATATATTGGTGCAAAAAGTAGCACATTGACACACAATCAACAGTTTTTATTAAATGTGTTAAGTAAATCATTAACTATCTGTTATATATGCGTATCATCACATCGAGGCACTCTGCGCAAAGTAATTCATCAATATCAACAATGGAAACTATGTAAACGAATCGTGATAACAAATAAGTATAAATAAATCACAGATCAATCGTAAGAACGCGGAATTAAGCAGCAGCCTTTGTTGTTATGCAATTAGAAAAAGAAACGCGCGAAGGTCTCAAAGTTGGCAAGCTGTGGCAATCGAGTTAGCCGACGCGGTTAACGTCATAACCGACGATGACACGGCGCTGGCGGTAGGTCCAGTGCTCAGCTGATCTAGCGACTGCATCACCGGCATCCGCTGCTTGATCAACAGCTGGCGTAGCGATTGACATTCCTCCCGCAGTGTCAGCACTTGTGCGCGCAGCAGCGCGTTCTCGTGCTCCAGTACTGTTGCCTTCAGCGCTATCTAAATCAAATGCCCTTTCGATAAGGATGGTATACTTATTCATGGATTGTTGTTGGTTTTTTAATGAATAAGTGATGGTCATATAAATAGAATGCTAACGAATTACCGTCTTGCATGCTTTCAAAAATTTTATTATCAATTCAAGCTCACTGATGACGTTTCTGCTCCAAAATTATTATTCATGCGTGTATTCGCATATTGTTTCAGAAAAAGCGATTAACACGCTATGTATAATGTTGATATATTTATTTATCGTGTTATGGAAATTAATTAATGAGACTACGATTGACCTCAGTTAATACTTAGAGATTTACTTTTAAATTATTCAAACTTTTCACATGCATAAATAAATAAACTGCTAGAAATAGCGTATTTCCGGCGTTCGACTTTGACTAGACAATTTTCAAACGCGTTATTAAGGATGGTTAATGCGAAAATAATTATTCCCAAACATTTCCTTACATGATCTTCTCTTATTTTCCGCGCATCTCGTGATTTCTTAGCAGCTTGATTGTTTCGCTTTCGCCTTTCGTAATACTTTTCGTCCTTTTGTTCATCAGGTATCGGCTTTTTCTCGCTTCGAGGCCTTCGGGAGTGATGCATATTCGATATTACAGCGCTTTCAAGAATATTTCGGCTCACGGCAGCCACTAAGAGAGCAGTTTCAAAAAATAATGGGTTAACTTGCGGTTTTTCTTTAATGGTCAGCATAAATCGCGAACGAAACGTCGAAAATATTAAGCTTAGCCTGTAAATAATTGCACAATGAGTAATTCATACTTTTATCGTTAACGTAACCAAAACAAAAGAATTGCCCCGGGTGAGGATCGAACTCACGACCTTAAGATTATAAGTAATTCATACTTTTATCGTTAACGTAACCAAAACAAAAGAATTGCCCCGGGTGAGGATCGAATGCACGACCTTAAAATTATAAGTAATTCATACTTTTATCGTTAACATAACCAAAACAAAAGAATTGCCCCGGGTGAGGATCGAACTCACGACCTTAAGATTATGAGACTTACGCGCTGCCTACTGCGCTACCGAGGCCAATGTGCTCGTGTTACTTTTAAGCCTATTTCATTGGTAGACGTCTATGTACAGATATCCCTTTTAGTACAGTTAAATTTAATACGTTTAAAAAAACTGTAGACAATATATATTTATTGAGAATTGATATCAGTGTCAGGAAAAAAGGTAGTTTAATTTAAATTTTGATCATATTGTACACAACAGTGCTTTAATAAGCCTCCATTACAGAACCTATTTATAATTTTTATATGAATTAAATTATTTAAATAATTTTATTTATGATGAATAATAATCAAAAAATAAAGCAGACTTCAAAATGTACTAAATGAGCAGTATTACAATAATGAATTATTAGAACCATTCGTTTTTTGACTATATACTCATTGAATTTTGAGGTCAGTTATCGTCTACTATAATATTGGTAACTACATTAGATGTATATTAAATGTTAATTAACCAACTTTGCTATAACTACATAGTAAAGTCCTGCAATTGTATAAGCGGATACTTATACACAAGTAAGTATGAGAGCAAATTTTCTCTTCACAAATTTTTTTGTTATTATCTACGATTTTCATATTTTTATATTATTAAGCTATCAAAATATTTTTTTCAATATATAGCTAGTCGTTATTCAACGCGTATCAAATCCATTTACTCATATTGCATGCAAATCTATAATAAGAGGTTTGATATATTTAAGCACTATACGAACCTACGAAGGATTGTCTACTGAATTTATTTGCGAATCCTTTAATTTATTCTTATATTATGACTTACATAAAAATCAGAATAACGAAATAAATGAATTTGTAAAAGCTTTTTATCTAAGTATGGCACAGGCGTCATAATTATACAAATTTTAATTCACAAGACCTGCTATAGTATATTATATTTATAAAAGCTAATTAATTAAGAATTAATAGGCATATACAGTTCATATTTGTTGCTGTCTTGAATAAAAATATTACCAAATATTACCACTTTACACAACACATAAAAAGGTTGAATGTTTTTATGTAAAATTTATTTCATAATAATTTTAAATTGTTTGTCATTATCGCATGTAATTAATAAATTCAACTATCTAGCATCAGAATAACTACCACAATATTGTAATATTTTATATAATCAAGAGCTTTTTGTAATTCTAATTCATATATAATATAGATACAAAATTGTTATTTATTATTTCGGTTGGTTTAATAACAAGAACTCTTTGTAATAACCCAATCGCATCGAGCACTACGTAAATTTCGTTTTATCCAAGTAATCTATTAACAGTATGCAGAACAGCAATAGCAAAAAATTAATATTTTCTTTTCACTGTTCCAAATATTACACGCGGAAACCATCTGTACATTTCAATTTTTTGTTATTAATAACACTGAAAAATATCAACTTCATCTTATAGATATATCGATTCCTTTCCCCTCGTAAAATAACACGCTCATGAAAAGAAAAAACACCCCAATTAGAAAAAAATCGAAACTGACCTGCGCTGCTGTTAGCAAAGGGATGGGAGATGCCGACGGGCGGGACAAGCGGCGGTACCGTGGCAGCGAGAAGTGGTGGTTGCAAAAGACCCGCAAGGGAGAACGGCGCTGCCGAGGGGGCTAATGGTGACAAAGGTCCCGTCAGCATGGCGCGCCCCGACTCTGATTCTTGTGACGGGTAGTCTGCTCGGCCAAAAGTGTCGTAGCGGCACACCTCTGAAACGATGAAAAATTGCATCCTAATGATTTATGTATAGGTATGCTACGTGTGTTTGTAATAAAAAAAAACTTAATTCAAAATTTTTCAAGATTTCGTAGACTTCGAGGAAAAAATAAAATTCTATCTCGATAGTTGTTCAATAATTACACCTTTGTAGACGTAATAACAAAGTCTTTTTTTATTTTATATTACCAGTGCTGCTTTTACATGAAAGTTTTTTCATGGTTTTTTTGGTTTTTCACAAAGAAAATATATTAAATATTTTCATTATTATAGTAAACGGCCACAACTAAAGCTAAATAATGTGAAATGATAACATTTAAAAATAGATATATGAAGATTATATTATATCATTAATACAATGTAATATCTTACAAGCAAAACTATAATTCATATGTCAAGATAGAAGTTGAAATAGCGAATAAACTATGAGCATGCCAAATCTTATATGTAATTCGATTTCAACGAATCAAGAAATCTTCATGTTTCTATAACAATTGGCGATTTCTCAGATTTTTTAGTTCTAAACGATAATACGAAATAAAAGTGGCGTATTGTTTAAAATTTTGTGAAAAATAAATGTCAAACATTTGTTTAATAACATTTACGTAGATGTGCTGCTTACAGAGTACGATACTAAACAGACAACAAGAAATCCGATATCAACAGACATCAAAACTTTGTAATCGCACCTTTACGGTGCTCCGTGACGAAAATAACGTAAGAACTGCCAAACAAACTTGGTAATGCAGAAAATAAAAAGTGCAGCGTGAAAAATTAAGCTCGTAAACTTCAAAGTAACGTGCACATCGACTAATGAAACTACGATAAAAGAAACGAAACACGCGAAAGAGAGAGAGAGAGAGAGAGAGAGAGAGAGAGAGAGAGAGAGAAGAGAACTAAATCATATGCAACAGCAAGTAAACTCGTGCAATTCTTACTTCGCGTGGGAACTTCACATAAGTTCGTCTATGAAAATGTAAGTTTTATCAGCCCCTTTAAAAAATGTTTCGTTGCGCGATTGATGTATTTTTTGACAACTATTTTCAAGGTAAGCATGAATAGGAGCCTTATTGCTACAGTTACGATCTACGTAAAATAGATGAGGTATTATTCGTTAGTAATCACATTTCATGTCACAAGAAATGTTATTCATAGCAAGTCTTTTTAGTATCCACGTACTCGTAAAATGTCATGTGCGACGCAAACGATCTTCAAATGTAAAAGCCATTAACAATTCCTGCAATTTTTGTTTCAGTTCACTCTTTTACAGAGCGCTATTGGATCCAATCGAAATCAACTACAACTAGAGTACTATAATCGTCGACTGAATATATTGCTCCAGCAAAAATAAAGTTTGTAATTACATAACTTTTGCGCAAATAAGTTGTATATGACGAATACTTCATGAATTACTATTACTAAAAATGTAAAAAAAACTTTAGTGTGACAATATACTCAGAATATGTTTTTTATCTTTCTTCGGAAGTCAAATTTCTATATATGTATGTCAATAACGCGAGTCTTATCGTGCTTAAAAAGAAGTTGTGTGAAACTGGAATTATCATATCTCCATTTAATTGACAAGGAATAAATTGATTCGTCAAATTATTGGTATAGTTGTCGAGGTGCGTATACCGCAAATCACATATCGAACAATTGAGTATCAAATAATTTGCAACTAATCAATGAACGAGGAGAAAATTGAAGATGTATGAAAATATTTGTTCGAAAATGACTCCGAACATCCGCGAAAATCAGCCACTTCCACCTGGAAAAGCATGTCAATGTCATTGAAAAACACCACTCTGTTCCGCGGAAGCAAGTAAAAAAAATTACCTCCACCGTGACAATGTCCCGGGATCGAGGGGACATTGCCGTGACCAGGATTCGAACCTGGGTTACTACGGCCACAACGTAGGGTCCTAACCACTAGACGATCACGGCTATCGGAGGTCTTGTGAACAATCACTTTCTTGGAGAACGTTGGAGAACGAGAGCGCCCGAGTTATCCGTTCGTGCGTGACCGGTATCGTGTTTCTTATTTTATTAGACTGCAGCGCTGCTGCAACCGACTTGTATTATCACTTTCTTTCTATCGTAGATTTTCGGTGGTGGTAAGGTAGACTTCGCAGTTGATTTACGCGGCTGATGATAATTTCGTAATATTTTATTCCTATGATATATTTGAAGATCCTCGTTTTGAACATATATGTAACTAAAACCCACGAGTGATCACGGAGAACAAGTTAGTGGTTAAATGATTTTGTTGATATTAGATATACGATCCAATGTATGACGGTAGATTAGCACAAGAAAACACTTATATAAAGAAATATAAACGTAAGTCAAAACTTATCCAAGTTTTAATAATTACCTAAACGTTTAAAAACAATAGTCTTCCTTTGAATATATTGTTGTCACGATATTTGTCGATGAATATTTTCAGAGCGAAAGGCGCAGCGTGCATTCGAAAACTAAAGTAAGTTGAAACAAAATATTATCTAGAAAATTTTTCAATGTGTAGATAATACAACAATTTTCGAACAATCAAGGGCAACAAAATCTTTAAGTATTAAATGAACGAAAAGAATGAAAAGAAAAACATTGACATTCAACAAGTACTCTAAAAAATAAAACTATCGTGAATTTCACGTGAATAAAAAATTATTGATGAACGCAATGTAAAAAAACGTTTTCAGCTACTTGACATACCTGAATTTGGTGATATAAGGCTATTATAACTTCTTAGCAGATGAAGAGCGGAGAACGCGTTCGAGATATTACCCTCCGAAATTGTTTCGCTGTTGGCGTGAGATCCCATAAGAACTACTTTTGCTTAAGAGTTCTTATGATCACTGGAAACTTATTACGCTTCCGTACATGGATTGATTTGATGCCAATACGCATTTACTAAAAATTAAATATGTTCACGAATATTCTTCTTATGAGATTCATTTCTTATTATGATTCACATTTACGAAATGACATATATATATTTTATAAATAATTAATATTAGTCGATGTAGTCTCATCACTTTTCAATTCAAGCAATTCTCGAATCATCTGTAGTCTTATGGTATCATAAATAATACTTCATCGTGATAATGTTTCCGAGAGAAACATTGTCGTGACCAGGATTCGAGCCTAGGTTACTACAGTTACAGCGGTTATTAATATGTATGAATGTATCGCGAAAACCAATTTTCTTAAACAAAATTTTTATCGCGTTAATTGAACGTTGAAACAAGTGTCAGCATTCGATACACCGCTGTAAAAGTTTTATTCGATGAAACGGCATTGTTTTGTGTACGTATCAGTAAATAGATTTTTCAAAACGTATAAATTTTTTTCAAGACAATTACAATTCGTAAAGAATTGGAAAATTGATTTTTATTATCATAAGTATAACGAAAATATGTTTGAGTGCAGAAACCGTTTAAAAGTGTCACGTTAGAAGTTGAATTGGCGCGCTGAACTATAAGAATGGAACAATTATTTTACCTTTACTTCGCACAAAACATGCCTTATAAAAAAGTTTCACGACGATGAATAGAAGTTTGACAAAAGCCGTAAACTTTATCTATTTGCTGTTATTCACTCAATTTTACCGCGAGAATGAGTTTTTCCACATTCAAAATAATCTCAAATGTTTTTCGGCAAATTCGCGCTATTACACTGAATAAGAAAAAAAAAACTCACCATTGACACCGACAACTCGAGAGTCCTTTGACAGACGAGCGAGTAGCACGTGCGTGCGAGTTGGAGCGACTAATTTCCATACACTCGCCCCCAACGTCCAGACACGATCCACCCCCGTGCATGCGCACTTTGAAAACGTAACGCCCCGCCCGTCACAGGCCACGACCCTTTTGACGATACACGTAAAGGTAAAGAGGAATTAACAAGTAATATTGTTTTTTTTCCTTATTTTTGCTAAAATAAAAATGAAAGAGATATTATATAATTGGTTATTGTTACTGATATGCATCTTCACTATATGCGTTAAAATTATTTCCGCTTACAGACGCAAATGAATATTAAAATAAAAATCAGAATTAGTAAATCATCATTGATTTGTATAAAGGCTCAAATAAAAGTTTTGCTCATTATCAAATTTGTCTTTGTGAGGAAGATAGTGTCTAAGCCACGAAAAGAATGAGAAAAACTAAAATTTAGTTTTTATATGTAATAGCCTAATAAATATCTTTTTAAAATATCTAAACAAAACACTTGTTATAATTATACACATTACTATCGTACAGTATATATGTAAAAACATATCTATTGGTTTAAAAGCAGTAAGAATGTGCGTAAATTTCAACAATACATTCAATACAGCGATCATCGGTATCAATCGAAGCTGGAAGTGAAGGTGCTGGTGGAAGTGCAACGAACGGAGCGCGGAATTTCGGACTTTCACCTGTACCGTCATCGAAATCAATTCATTCCTGACTGATAGACCAATTTTTATAAAAATTATTAGAAGTTATTTTTTTATGTTTCGATTGATTCAGCGGCACTCTGCACAAGTGATAGACGGCATAATGTACAATAATAAATGTATTATAAATTGACCTAGTTAAGTGCACTACTTTTGCGAGATATTTGTGAAAGTTTGTAATAACTTTCATCTGCTCCGATAGCCGTGATCGTCTAGTGGTTAGGACCCTACGTTGTGGCCGTAGTAACCCAGGTTCGAATCCTGGTCACGGCAATGTCTTCCTCGAGAACATTGTCACGGTGGAGCTTTTTTTATTTTCCTATCGGGTATGATAATTTTTTACAAGTAATTGTGAGATTTTGCCAAATGTATGCGGCTGAGTTTTGTGCAAATCGACATTATTTTTGTAAAAAAAATTTTCTTTTAACATAATCATTATGTTTGTCAATTGTTGACTTCTTATAAATTATTTGTTAAACGCGTGAATCACGAAGCTTAACTACGAATCATATGCAAAAACTAATGTTTCATTTTTTTCAGTAAAGATAGTTGTTTGTGAGAATTTGCAGTTTTTGAGTATGGTATGGTAATCTTATTATCCAGAAGTGTGCCAAAAAATTCAACTTTTGAAGAGGATAAAAAGCGGACACTCGACACAGCGCGCAGTAGACCTTATTTGGAATCTCTCAAATGATAATACAGGCAAAGTTTCGACAGTTAAAATTCCACATGTAAAAGCTTGGCTGAAATTGAAAGTTCTGCAACCGATAACATTATTGAATGATAGTTACGCTCCAAAAAAAAAGATGAATCTCGGTATCAACTTTTCGTATTTATAGAATTTTTATGCGAACGCAAATGATTCAATGAACAGTATAAAGTGTTTTGAAAACGTTTATTACTGATTAAATTCAGTCACTGATAATGTCACATGAAATAAGCAATTGAACTTCGATTATTGTAGCTATTAGGAAGTTGTAATAACCATTGCAAAACTTAGTAGAGTGAATAATTAATTACCTTCATACAAAATTTCAAACAGTTGCTGAATTTCTATAATTAATTGTAGATTAAAATTAATACATAATATTGATTTAGACGTTCGTAATAATCTCAAGTGGGCATATATCATAAGATTCACTACTAACATAAAAATAGAAGCATTCGCAAAAATAAAAAGAATCATAACATACCATTACATTCAGATAAGAATAAACAAGAGATGGACAAAGTCTTCGAAATTAACAAACGAGCATCTAGATAAGAAATTTTATTGTCGCACAAAGAAAAAACACAAAAAAGCGATTGAGAGTGATTTGGCGGTTGAATAATTAACGAGGTCCGACTCGTCATCGCGTATGTGATATGCCGCGGAGGGGGAAGGCAAGGGGCGTTGACGATCGTGATATAAACGAAAGCCTCGCGCAATGGATTGCGAGGGCGCGATGTCATCTTCATCGCTGACGGGTAATTCTGATTTTATTCTAGGTCATTTGTCATACACTATTTTTTTTATATTCTACTGCTTATCACGACTCCGCATTTCCACTTGATTGAAGTGTTCATTTATGCATCTTTTATTGGATTGTCGCGTGAACGAACTTTTTAGTTTGCATGTATAATGATCGAATCACAAGTATGCTTCAGAGACAGTTTCTATAGTAAAATGTAATTTTACTCTTTTCAGCTTGCAGGAATAACCAAGAGTATCATTGAATATAGTTTACTGGAAGTACTGATGAGTAAAATTTTTACGAATTCATTAAAATGAACTGAAGGCCACATTAACATAATATTATAGCCTGACTGTAATCTTCCTATTGATAGATAGAAATAATTAATGTTCGAAGATATCACTGTAAAATCATATACATCGATAGCGAGTTTCATTAAATTAAAAGATAACGAACTTATAATGTCTCTATAATAACTAATATTACAACGTTCATTATTGATAAACCGGTAAATAATTCAATAATTTTCAATTGTGTGGTTGCATTTTTGTAAGTCACCCAGAATGTTGATGTAGTACAATTCAACGATTCTTTTTTAGTGTGTTAAAAGAACCTTATAAATTATGCTAAAAACACGTAGTATATCAAAATTAAACACAGCTTCACAATTAAAAATAATTATTAGAATCTCTTCAAAACATTTCAGCGCAAAACACTTCGACAATTCTCTCGTATCTTGAGCAGATTAGTAAACATCGTCCAAATAACCGATCAAAAGGGTAAATCAACCGCCATAGCATAATCGACCTTTGTGTACCCGTTTACTGGTTCAAACATCGCAGTTACGTTCTCTCCCTTCTTAATTCTGCAAATAAATCATACGTGGTCTACAGGGTCGTATCACCCCCTCATAACTCCTCAAATATTAAAGCATTTCGGAAGGTTAAATAACAAGCTCCGTATACATGTATGTATGTATACCACCCCGGATGTGCACACCTGTCGGTTGGAAAAGACAACACTGACGTCGGATGTGCGCTCTGCTACAACAATACACGCGATAGATCCCCTAATTGTCACACTTACGCGCTTACACGTGCGCGACTGGTTGACTAATGATACGATGAGCAAGCGCCGTTCGGGTCTAAAACTAAATGTTTTTTTCACCGATATGCATTCTTTTTTGATGCATGAATAATGAATCGTTAACTGATTGACGAAATAAAGCAATGAGCGTGTGCTACAGTTTGGTTAAACAAAAAATAAAAAAAACAAATGACGGGGCTTCGGTAAACGAATAGACAAACATGAAGCATTACGAGTTCATAACGAATTCATGATCCGATGGTAGTCCTGCAAGCGCAGACTGATCACCATCAATTAGACAAAAAAATCCACTTTAAAAGCTCTGTTATCCTGTGCCATCACGGATAAGCGTCGATAAATATTATAACGGTAAAAAATAAGAATTATAATCCAACTGCGTAGTATGAGGCATCATAACTCATTCGGGCACGCAACTCGTGCCGCGTTGCTGTACGATAATTATTATGAGGTGAATTACTCGGTCGCGAACAATTAAGGGTCGAACGTATAAACCGACATAGAAACGTCGCGAAAGCATCATCCCTACGGCCAATTACACGAATACGATTGATGGCACATATATACCTTATATATACCCCTTTTGCGATCAGTTCCTTCGAACTTACCTACATAGAGCCTTGAGATCTACTAGCAGCTCTGACTTGCGCGATGCGAAATTAGATTGTTGCGTGATATGTGATTTGGCTGTAATTGCGCGCTTGAAGTTTGCGCTAAGTTTGATGTCGAATAGTAAAATCAACTGTGGTTGACGTAGATCGCGGATTGTTTAAAACGAAAGGTTTTTCACTTTCTTTACGAGCATATAAAAAAAATAACGTTGCATAGCTGTTGTGGCGAAATGCTTACTTAGAGACTAGGAGATGTTTTTCATCTGTTCGTAACTTTCAATCGCAAAATGATATGGAAAGAATGAAGATGTTCTTGACGATTGTTGAAGAAAATTTTCTTGACGATTTCTTAAAAAAATGGCTATGGATTTTTTTTCCTATTAATTATTATTCTTAAATATACGTTTATTCACACATCTCCGAGGACAGACATCAAATTAAGCACGTTAATTTAACGTCTTCGTACAACTTCTAATGAATAATATAGAGTAAAGCTGTTTATCAATTGTACGCAGTGTAAGATTCTATAGTGTCTAACGAAATAGCGAAAACAAAGCTTTCTATCCTACGAAGACACATCGCTTTAAAATTTACAATCAATTCAGCATCGAAAATAAAAAAAAAAACATTAATTCAAAACATTAAACAATAATGATCTTATCAGCATTCTCATTTCCGTTTTTCATCCGCAAGGCCCGCGCACAGACGAAACGAAATGCCAAATTAGCAACGAAGCTTGCAAACCGATTATAAGAAGGGGACGAGCTTTTGTTGATTGCGTGTGTAACCTGCCGACTCGTGAATTATTCCGATTGCGAAAACTACAGTGAAGGGTTAAACGAAACGGATGAGGTAAACGGACCACTTGCCACGACGCGTGAATGATTAATTCGGGCTAATGAGCTATTGCCGCGAAAATTCACGGCTGTTACTGGAAATCTCGAGACGCGAGATTTTCATAGTTTGAATGTTATCAATAATTTATTAATCTATTGGAAGAGTGTATACTAACGAATATATAACTAAACATTAATTATTCAATTGCATCGACGAGAATGACATGACGATATAGAACGATCAAGATTCTGAAGTAAGTTTTATTAATTCGAGCTAATTAATAACGTATAGAGAGAAGATAAGTGCATAACAAATGGCCCTTGATCGACTTGAAAGTAAAAAAAAATAAAATGTTGGCTAGCGTTGCATCGTCGGCGGAACTTTACGCGAAGTGAACTTTTCGCTGCGTCTGTGTACGCTATATTATGTCATATTCTGACGCCGCATTGAAATCCCCTCTCACGTCGGTCGACGGTTCTATCGTCGTTATATGAAGTTGCGTGTTTGGTGCGCTTGCAATTGACACATTTCGTATGAATGCAACGCGACGATAGTCTGCTACTTTTCGCTTTGTACTGGAGATCGTTTAAATGCGTAATAACTAAAATTATCTTGAAATTTTCCTTTCTCATCTTTTGATCCTGCTGAGGTTTGATATTCATACCTCGGTAGCTTTTTCATTGAAGAAAGCATGGAAGTTTTTGCCGTTGTGCAAAATTTTTCCATCGAATCTAATAATGTATAGTTAGATCAATTCGCAAACACAATGGGAATGTGCATCAGGCGAGATGAGAAAACAAAGCAATAATAAAACAGCAAAAAGTAAAGATTGCTCGTCGACCCCCATAGCGATGGTATCCCGTCAATCTTCGCTTGATTGGAAAATTGGCTCGTGAGTTTAATAAGCGCGAGTGCGAATCCCGCGCGTGTAAGCGAATATAATGGAAAGATTCGCGAGTAGACCGCGTGCGATATCCTCGCATATATTATGCAAATTAACCGGCGCATAGTTGGTAACGAACGCGTTATGTGTACGTTGAACCCCCTTAACTGTCGTGAGCGTCGACCTGTAATGCAATGTGATCGAATGCGGAAGGGACATGTGATTCCGTGGTTATGTTTTTGAGCGATGGATATGATGATCACTTATTCTTGACAGTCGCTTAAGTACATTTTTTGGTGAATAATTAACCGATTGCAGTAGAAAATAAGATTTTGTCCATTCTGATGATTTGAGTTCGAATGCAATTTCCATAAGTTCATAGCCTTGCGTATACATACTAACAAATACAGATTAAGGAAATGATATACGTATGTAGGAGTTATTTGGAGAATCGAAACAAGTGAGAAAAACAATGTATGCGATCTTATAATAAAAGCGGGTTTATTTTTGACACTCGATGACAATACATGAAAATAATCGACATAACTTAATCGACTATTTATTTTTCAAGGCGCAAGTGGGATAGACAGTCTTAAAAAGAAATAAAGAAAGACAGTTTGAATTGAGTACTTAGATTCCTCGGTTGGCCATAAGACAGGCAGCCAGCTTGCAACTGTCGTTTCCCTTAACTGCAGAACCAAAAACGAAAGATACGAGATTATTCACAGGCTCTGAAGAAAATGAACTGTGATGTATATAAATATATTTACCCTGGGATTTGCAAGTATTCATGGCCTTTTGGAGAGTCTCGAGGTTCATGTTGAATTTGGTCTTAAGATTGTCCTCCATGAGCATACCGTCGGGCCTCATCTATACATCACAAGTGAGAAAAGATATCAGAAAGGGTACTAGAAATTTATTTTAGTAAAAATTTTTACCAGATTCATCTTCTTCATCATACATGCGTAGTAGCAGTCTCTGTTCTTCTCTTGGTTGTCAGGGATCTTGACGTTTCTCAAGCCGTTGGAGTATTGGGCCTCGTCGAACCCATTCTCGATCAAGCAAGTTCTGATAAAGTCCTTAGGGATGTCTTTCAGTGGATCGTCCTGCAGTTAAAAGATATCACATGTACTTGGGAAAATGCATAATGTGTTATAATTTATCAAACAAATTATTCTGTAATTGTTTTCAAAGCGATAATTCATTATAGAATTTGTTATATATATATATATATATATATATATTGCGTTTTAAGATATTTATTATTGCAAAACTACTTTATTTAAAAAATCTAAGTTTTTCCTAACAGACATATTTTTCTAAAAATTAGTCCCGTATTTGAAACAAAATACAATTGTATTTGGAAAATATTTTAAAAATAATCAAAGTAAAATTATAGTTCAACGAAGAAAATTTGAGAAAAAAATAATTAAACTAAACTTACAGCATAGGCGACGGCAAGGCAGACGGCAAGCACAATGGCGATAGTCTTCATATTGACAGAAACGTTGCTTATGATCACTGAGCAAGAATTGTGTACTTCAGTATTGCAAGCACTGCAAGTAACTGAATGAAGTACGGTAGTACGCCCGACTCTTTATATATACTAGAGATAATCGTTGGCTTTAATATTTTTCAATTGATAAATTGTGGTGTTGACCTGAAAGTGAAGCTACGGCACGACTCCCCCACCGTTGTGACAACGACACACACAGATTGATAAACAGCAACTGACAAAGCCGCATCAGGGCGTGTAATCGCGTAAATAAAAAAAATAAAAGTTTCCGTACTCACTTTAGCCTAATACTAAGATTGAAGCTTGTTTGACCGTATGTCGAGCGCCAAGAAAGTTTTTTGACAGACCCTAATTGCTGCTGATTTATTTATCCGATGCTTGAAATTCGCAGTGATTACAATGTTGCTTTCTTGACAGGGAAGCTTTGAAACAGTGATTTTGCCTTTTTTACATTTTCTTTTGTAGCAACTTTTTTGATTTCACATTTTTTGCTAATCTCTTTCTTTATGCTCGTACATCTCGAAGTATTCTCTCTAATAATAATCATATTTTTGTTAAAGTTACTATTTTCAGAGTCTTTTAAAACTTGAAAAGTCCGGTGTCCATTTTTGTCTGTTTTGACGTTAGCACCTGACATTTCCCTAATTTTTCAGAAACGACCATTAAAGTGGGTCTAGGTAGTGGTTATATTAACACGGTAGTGGCTATAAAATACCGTAATTGTATGTGTTGCAGAAAAAATTATAATATCAAAATATTCGTTCGTATGACGTTGGCATCTGGCATTAAATTTTTTTTCTTAGCTAAACGATTGGAAACTGTTACTTGCATCAACTTGCATACGCATATCATTTTTGCTTTTCAAAGAAGCGTACTACCAATGCAATTGATAGCGTATTTTGATTATTTTGATACCAATTTTGATACCAATTAGAATTTTACGTAAAAGTTTATCGATTCCTCATTGTATGATATATATATCTATTGTTCAAGAATTGTTCATAATATTTCAGTTTTTCATTTGGAATAAATCCATTTCGTGATAATTTTTTGCTTACGTGTTTCTGTGAAAAAAACATTGTATGAATTATTGTATTAATCAGTTATCCACGAAAATTCGTTGATTCGTGACGTAGATTATAAATTACGATACTGTCAGTATTTCTAGAGAATTTTAATTTTCTTAAATTATATATTGAATATATTATATGTAAATCACTTATTATATAGAGTGAAAATACTTTTAATTCGATTCAGTAAGTGTTGGATAAGTCATCAAACTAACTTTTTATTTAATGAAACATTTTTTTATTTAAGAAAGTTTTTTGAAGAAATGCAAAGAAAAATTAATAATTATTTTTTATATTGGAAATGATTGCTTTTAAAGAATTTTAAAAATATTCTACGTGTTTGCTATCATCAAGGTTCTTTTGGAATTTCGATTTCGACATGAATATCAAATGAACAAGAACGAAAGATCGGCGATTTCAAAAATATTATGTAGATGTATGAAAGAACAACTTCATCAGTGCGAGTTGCAAAAAACTACATTACTGGCAGTATTTTCGTATTTCAAAACAAATTCACAATACGATAAAAATGTAATCTTATTTATATTCATAAAACAAATATGTTAAAAATACTAAAAGATGTTTGAGAAGCATTTGCACATTCTCGAAATGTGTAATTGCATATTCTTTGATAGTATATTCATTCAAACGTATAAGTGCCGGCTGAATTTATTCTGATAAAACTTTCCGCGATGAAAAACAGCATCAGGCGATTCGTTAAAGGATCGTATACATAGCTGAACGAGCTCAATGGACACTCACAAAAAAAGGGCACCGCGACTTCTCGATCAAAGTACTTTGTCACGGCAAATAAATTTGCAATCGAAAACACGCGTGTGTACAACAGGAGGTCGATGTAATTGAAACTCGTTGAAAAACTAGTTTTCATAAATTATAACTAAACCCGAAGCGGCTTGAGCTTGGTGGACCTATTTCATTGCACCCTTTTGTGATTTGGATCAAATTATTGGTATTGACACTTTCGCAATCTCTATGCAGCTTTCGACGGCAATCGTTCAGAATATCGATGAATTATGGAATGAGGGAAACATCGTGTCTTTTATATCGAATATTAGCGTAAACATCGTGTGTTCCAATTAACGAGTAATCTGAAACGATAGCAATAAAATAAGTTATGCAAAAATCCAAGCAATCGGGCTTCGAGATGTTCGTGAAGAAAGAGATTGTCGAGAGCATTTTTAAGCTGCAGAAAGAATAAGCCATTGACGAATGTAAGTTGCCGTAGGTAGAAAACACCGTCAGATGTGCAGTTAAGTAACAGCCACTCAACTTATTATTTCGCACTAAGCCCTGCTTGCTGTAGACGAATATCTCAGCTGCCATTATGCCGCTTGCTGCTCAGGAGCGCGCTCCGAATTAATTCGTTTCCGGATGAATTCTAAAGTACCGACATGAGCGTGGAATATTTTTGTTGTTGTTTTAGTTCTTGGATTCCATTGATCACACTCTCAACAATAATTGACATAAAAAATTCAAAAGTAACAAGAAAATCCCGTAAGTGAGTCGGTTTGAAATATTAAAGATGCATTATTATTTATATTTTCATTACGAAGCAACGCATGTTAATACATTAATAACAATAATCACAGTGTCTACACGTCACTTTAATGTGACGCACATTATAAGCAATCGCGGGCTTCGGGAAAAATCATCTGCAATTAAATTTATCCGTGGTGGCCGTGAAATCAACAGTGGAAATATTAAAGTCAATCAATTTTGTTATGGCTATATCGCAGATTTTTTGTGACGTTATTGACAAAGGAACATTCCATCGCGGTACTTTCAGCTTTTCCACTGAAAGTCTAATACGTCGCAAAGTATTTTCATGAATTTCGTTTGTTTTCAGATTTAGAGTTGTTGTTCTACTCTAAAGGCAAACGAAAAATGAAAAAAAAAGAGAGAAGTAACAGCGATAAGACCATAAAAAAAGGTATTTATAGCGCCCGCAACAGAGCAACATCAGAATGAGGTCGTTTGAACGCGGTAGGGGAGAAATATAATCACGAGAAGGGCAAACTTTGGCGTAGTCCTCGTGACGACTTGATGAGATAACTTCGGGGCCAAGTCTGCTTTTACGCACGCGACACTGTCGTGCATGTAAGTTAACTCGTCTTCGCTCCCCCCGAACACACAGGTATATATACATATACACAATAGCTGCTTTTGCATGCGAACGCAATTAGACCCCTCTACGAAATCTCGCACCTTTTCCAAGATTCTTATCGCTTGCGTTCATCTTATATTTCCTTTTTGTTTCGGCGAATTTTTAACCGGCTGTTACGTCGTTTAAGATGATTCGAACCAACATATGCGATTGTATCGTGGTTGCTGGATCTGCGTTCTAAAATATATTTGGAATTGTAATAATTGGAGAATAGAAAATGATAGCTCATTTTCGATTCCCAAAAAGTATTTCGCTCAAAAGTGTGCGGCAGTATTACTGAAATTTGGTTCTAATTTTAGAACATTATTGTTAAAATAAGAATTTTATTTTTAGATTGAATATTCTTGTTCTCGATTGAAGAAATCGTTTTTTCCTTAATTGTCTGAAGAATGCAGTTTTCGAGAATCCATCATTAACTAATTTTCATTAGATACGTAGGCGATAAAAATGGCGATCAATCGAGTGGATAAAATATGCAGCGCAGCCGTACATGACTAATTACCAAATGCCTTAACCCATACTCGTTGCCTATCAATCATAGATAGGCATTCATAGAGCGCGGACCGTTTAAATGTAGCTAACAAGGATGAAATGAAACTCGGCGTAGCTCTTTCTCAACGAATCTATCATTAGCGTCAATAATAACCGATCCCTCGGCGTGCAGAGCCACCACTTACAACTCGTTAAAAGGGGTTAAAGAACGAGTCGAAAGATCACCCACACTTTAATTAGCGCAGAAATTATTACTAGACATACGCGTAGTTTCTCGACATATTTTTCCAGGTATACACGCAGCTGAAATTTTAACGAAGCTTGTGCCGCGCGCGTAGCTTCTCTCTCTCTCTCTCTCTCTCTCTCGTTCTTCCAGCGGAACACTATAATCCGTATAAATATGTTTTGCGGCGCGCTCGCGAGGCGGAAATTGCAAATCGATGCGCGTCAAGCTCGTAACGCGCCGCGCAATTTGTAACGAGCCGACGGCCGTGCATCATGCGCCCTCTCTTTCTCTCTCTCTCTCTTTTTTTTACGGCCGGCAGCGGACCTTCCCCGAAGCTCGCGCGAAAATGGAACGATCGCCCGCGACGGCGATCTGATAAGGGAAAACTGCGCTCACGGATGATCGATGCTTCAGCGCGTCGCAAAAGCACGTACGTGTGTCGAGTGTGCAGCACCAAGGGCTTTTCATTCTGCTAGTTATTTGGTTTGAGCTCGAGCACGTTGAGTTCGATTTGCTTATGAAATTTTACTTTTTTGAAGTTAAATTCGAGGATTGCACTTTGAATGTCTCAAATGTATAATTCGATAAAAGAAGTCACCTGGAAAAATACAATAATTTTCTCTACATTTTTCGAATTCGCTTGAAATACGATTATGTAACTTTCATTATAGTCACTACACCACAGCAGTACTGCCATAGTAACTATACTTATGCGTAGGATCGAATAATATATGTATATATACCTATAACCTTGTGTACTAAAATACATCAATTCGTAAATTTAATATATGATCCAGTAATCATCATTTTTTGTATAAAACTAATTCGAGGATAATGTCGCAACTCAATATAAAACATCGATTGCCTAAGCACTGATCTACAGTCAATATATAGTGTCAGATTACCAATTTCATTAACTACCTCACTTCACGTTTATTTTGGCAGTAACAAAAACTAGGTTACAATACCAACAACAATTTTTTTCTCCTCTTCGACTGCATCAGCGAGTCAGGCGAAGCGATGAAATGGTCAAATTCATAGTGAATAAATAAGATGCAATGTCGTGATCAGGAGAGTACAACTTCTGAAGAAATCAACACGGCCATCGACAACATTCTCGAGGAAGATCGTCAAGAGAAACTAGCCAGAGAGAGGAAACGTAAACTGTACGATCGGCAACGCTACCAGGAACCTCAAGAACGTGACGTATTATCATGCAATTAAATTTCAAATTACTTCATTCTTGCTTTGTCGAAACTTTAATTCGAATAAATTGTGTGGTCACGATCAAATGAACAAACAAGTGGTTTTTTTTCTTTTTTCTTAAGCAGAGAGTGTACACCGGTAAAAATCAAGTGACTCGTGTGCTTAACGTTATTTCGATCCTCACAGCGTGATAATCGAAAACGAAACCGTCCGAACCCGTGCAACAGCAGCTCGCGGCACGTCGGAGTCAACCACTCGAAGCGATTCTCCATACGCGTGATGGAAGCGGTGCGCGCGGTCGGCCGACAAAACCAAACCAACTGCGCGACAGCCTGCGAGGTCGTCGATTACGTGAAAGACAATTTCGAGAGTGGCGGCGACGTCGAGGCGCAAGTTCGCACTGCTCTCAAGCGAACTTGTTGCCAAGGGTGAGCATTCCGAGTGCAAACTCCCGCACGGAGCCGATTGATTTGCCATGTTGCGTCGGCAGATTCGTGAAAAACGAGGGAAGAGACGTGTACAGCTTGGTCGGCCCGTTGGCCTGTCAGCTAAGGAAAACTCAAAAAGCTAACGCCAACAAATCGATGCCCAACGCGTCCCGTTGCGATGCCAAACGAGAGTGCAGCTCACGTCGTAGGTCGCCGGTTTGCCATTCCGAAAATCTCACCGACACGAAGGTTTCCACAATCTTACGCGCACTACGCGTCAACAATTGCACGGCAACCGTTCAACCAAGCTTGCATTTGTCGTTCGCGCGAGCCAGGACAGTTCCGAAACAGCGCTCTCGATACCGACCAGCGTCGAAGAGGCCATCGGTCGCGAGCGAACCCAGCGAGATACAGACGAGGCTCCAGCGAACGGAACTTTCGATATGAGTAGAGAGCAATGTGCACCAAGTCCTTGCATGAGAGACGATCTGAATTTCGATGGGGGCGCTGTCGCCGATCGGCAGCGAAAATGCGTTAAATCGGACCGGAGTACACCAAGGAAACAAAGGTTCAACTTGAATATTTATAAACAATAATTTATTAGATAAGCCGTATCATGTTCAGTACGATACTCTAGCGAATGCGCGAATTCTAATTTCAAATTTATTGAATCATCGACGCGAACAATAGGTCGTTATACATTCTCTCGACTAATTAATTCGAGCAAATTACTGTAGTTTAATTTACACTCATTGAATTAAATGAATCAATGCTTTACCCATTTTTTTTATCGAGGATTCGGAAGGCTCCAAATTCGGAAGGCCAATAAAAATAATATATTTTGACTCAATCCACCAAAATATTGTTTTTCAATGGGTTTCGACACGTGGAATTGAGATCCTGACCAACGCTACAATATTGAATTTTTCATGAAATTCTAGACAAACCATTAAGAATAGTGCTCTCGGCAATTATATGGAAAAATTAATGAATTAACTCGCAATAAAACTTTAATTGAAAACAAAGGAATACTGTTGCAAACGGAAAAGATTCTTCTTCCTCAATATGTGATCGACTTGATATATTTCCATTTCAATGCGTACCAATAACGATCTTCCAGACACCAGTCCATCAACTAAAATCGTATTTATTCGACCTAGTCCAGCAAGAGAAGAAGACCAGCTACTGGATGCGACGCGCAACCTCGATATCGACTTCGCAGACGACGACAGCGAATCGTACGAGGCACCCGACGAGCAGCAGCCGCAAAACGCCGATAGGGACGACGACGAGGACGATGCTGCATCGAACGATAGTGCGTTGCATGAGCTCAGGGGTCGTGGCGGAGATGTCGACCGAGATCGCGAATTGAAACGCTGGATTAGAAATTGCAGAAAGGAGTGCGCCAAGGAAAAATTTCAGGCGTAAGTTTAAGGTGATACCGGATTAGACGACCCGCTGAGTTCGAAATTGCATTTTTTGTTTTATCAAATGTGTACGCTTTTTGTGTATAGTTCGTAGATAAAACGTAGAAATACAAAAAATTTCATAGTGTACAATGCACTTGCGTTTTATTGACTTTGCGTTGGTAACAAAACAGATTTTCGCGCAAAGACATCAATTATACTTTCCTCCCAACTGATCGCGATTATTGAAATGTCGCCCTCGTGACAGTTTCTTCCTGTGCTCGTCTTTGAAAAGCGCAATGTCCGACGATACGCGGAAAGTCAATCCTTTTTTGTCAGCTGGTATCAGTAAACCCAGGACTGTTCCAAACGAGAGTACTTCGTATATACATTTCTCTATACTCTTTTGTCCTGCAATCGAAAGGGAAATTGCCGGTCAGTTCATAACCCTGTGTGAACGCTGTTTTGACACGTACCTTCATCCGAAGGCACCTTCGAATACGGAAAATTATATCCCTCCTTGGAAATTTTCAAAGTCTCGGCCTTAGGTTTGATCCTCTTCGGTACATCGCGATTAAGTCGTTTGCGTCGCTGAAGTTGACGAAATTGATTGGTTGCGTTGCTCTTCTGCCTCTTGGTAGTACCGCGATTTGACGCGCGCTCCAAAAATTGGTAAACTACTTCAGCTACTGTTGGCCGATGAGTTTTGCAATACCAGTGAGGTTGTTTTTGCGATCGTCGCAAGGCACTTCGCATTTTTCGCATTCTTCTGTTCTATATATGTATTACAAATTTGATCATTTAACTGAGTTTACTAATTTTGTCAACTTGTTCTTATATTAAATAGAATTCTTTAGAAGCTATATTTGCGTTGAATACAATCAATCAATACGGTTATGTAATAACCACAATCCTCAATTATAACCGATTTAAAAAAAAAAAACATAACAATTCAGTGGATAATTTACCGCGGAAGCTTTTCGAGAAGATAGCCGACTACTTCGTTGACCTCGTCTCTCGATAATTCTCTCCTGATGTCCGGATTGTATCCTTACGTTTTTTCTGTCTCGAGTGCGGAAACCCATTTCTCAAACTTTGATTATTTGTCTTGTTACATGCAAGTTTTAGATGAACTTTTCAATTTGGTCGCGTCATTTTTTTTTTTGAAACAACAAGATACAAAGAAAAAAAACAAACGTGAAGTTTGCTGTATATAGCAAAACAACTTTTCATAGAAAACTTTACATAATAGCTTTTTTGTTTTTCCTTTTTTACATAGCTTTACTCTGCAATATATGAATATTCGATGTACATGTATATTTGAATAATTTTATGAATATTTCGTCGTTATAAATACAATAATTAATAAATCATATAAAAATTAAATCAAACTCAAGTATAAGAGAAAACAAATTTTTTTCAAATTTTCTGGATATGTTGGAAGAAAAATGAAAAAAAGAAATTTGTTTTTAGAAATTTGTTTTTTTTCAAGTTAAGAAAAATATTTTTTACAAATAAAACAACATTCAATAATTGTTTTAGCGTGTAATTATCGCAATAACATTTGCAGCCACGGTAAAATATTGTACTGCGCAAATTAGAGAACAGCCAAAGAAAGAAAAAGCATTTATCGATCAATTGCGTACAGGTCAGCTAATTTACTGGTACTTATAACCAGAATCAATACAACAGTCGTTTAAATTGACATACCACCAGTGTATGGCGTTCCGTATAAAAATGTCAAGTGCGTCGCTGCAGTCGAGGCATCGCAACCTTCCCGTCGCTACCCCTGGTAACAATTGAGTATACAATGCTATATTCGCGAGGGTGGTGATGGTAGTGGTAAAAGTTGCGCGAGATCGCGCCACCAACGGTCGCCAATGAAAATACCGCTTTCAAGAAATTTTGACAGCGACATAAAAAATAAACCGTTAACTATTGAATAATAAAACTATCGAGTTTTGCTTAAAGAAAAGTGATTTTGATCGCGCTGGTTTCTATGTGTACATTTTATCCGTTGCTACCACCTGCCACATCGCCACGGACACCTGCGTATCCCTGTCAAGCGAAGGGACATGGCGCCCTCGCGACTGCCCAAACAAATAAATTAATGCAAGGATGTCAAGTGTAAAGGTACGTTATAACAATTTGGCATTTTATCCAATCTTCTTCCATTGTTCTTGTCCAATGTTACGAGCGAGGTTACACACGGAATATAAAAAGTGCCAGATAATGCAGCATGCGTAACCTAGTTTTACGCTCAATCAATGAAAGCAGCCTATGAATTTTTTAACTGCGACACACGACGTTTCAGGGTGCGATCAAGAAGACGGCCACCGATGCGAAAAGGGATGGAACTCCGTTAAAGGTAAAACCTCGGGTGGCGAGTAAAGATAATACCGATGAAAAAGTGGAGAAGAAAAAGAGAGAGCAGCTGCAAACCGCTGCGTCCGGCGATAAGAACATCAACAGAACAGCCACCAGCAGTTCGTTGAGCAACAAAAGTATTCTACCGGATAAGAATCCAATGAAACTAAGGCAACTGAAGCAAAATGGTTTGCTGTTATCGTCGAAATCAAGCTTGGATGAACCTTCAACGAAGACTGTTACTGGGCTTAAGAAACCAAAGAAACCTGCTGCAAGTGATGCCACAAAGACGAGTTCAGTTGAAAAAACGAAGATCACCGTGCGGAAAAGTACGAAGGACAAAGTTCAAGCGCAATACAGCGAGAAAAGAGGCGAGAGTACGCTTTACGTACCCAAGAGTACTGCGAGTAAATTGAATTCGAAACCGTCGACGGATAAAGATTCCACGAGGAAGAGTACTGAGAAAATTAAGAATTCAAAAACTGTCGAAATTGCAGTAAAGTCTAAAAGTTCTGATAAACCACTGCCAAGAAAAGCTTCGAGAGAACGAAGAAAATCAAGGACACTGAGTCCCAGTGAAGTCAAAGTTTTACATTCGACGAAACAAAGAGGTACAGTGAAATCACGAAAACGTGGCGAGGAAATTGTTGCGAATGAAGTTGTTGCAAAGCTTGAGGATGAAATGTCTGTAGAAGTTGAGGAGGAATTTCCTGCGGAAGTCGAAGATGAATCTACTGCTGATAGTGAGGATGAAGCTTCTGCTGCTGCTGCGATTGGAGTTGAAGATCAATCGAAGCTTGACGACGATGGCGAAATGTACATTTACGAAGAAGACTTCGAGGTGGGTACATGTAGTGCAAAAATTTTGATATAAAATCTGATAATATTCTCGATAGGAGTAAAATATTTTTCACGAGGATAATTTGTTAACGTTGATAAATTCTGTTTCAGGAATACGAGTCGGATTTTGAATCTTATAGCGGAACGCCAATCGGCGAAGTATCAGACAACAACAGTATTCTTAGTATCGATCTAGAATCCATTATACTACACAGTAGTGATCAGAAGGTTTCATTTATTATAACGTAACACTTTTTTTAATCCAAAGTATCCAATAAACTTGATCTCTCTATTCTCCAGCCAAAAACGGTGAACGGTGCCGAAGTACGAAGAACCGAAGAAGAAAATATGTTGGATTCGGGTCACTACGAATTAACTGAAGCGAGAAAACGAGCAGCTTTGGTTGAATCATTGATGTCTGTACAATTGCAATCACCGTCAATACAATCGAAACCCAGACAGGCGAAAAATCAACCTTACCGGTTCGTATGCATTCAACTAGACTATAAATATTTTTTTGTTTGTTTATTTGTTTACTTTTTTTATCGAAACCTTAAGTGATTTATGAGCGAAATAGTTTTTTTCGTAAATGGTAGGCAAGAGAAGCATTTAGAAACTAAATCTCTACCATCGTCAACGGATGAAGGTTTTGAAGATGCTGGATCAGGTGATTTTGTCAAATCCCCACCGCTGTCTCAAATTTCTTTGTCGAATCAGGAGAAACCAAAGCAGAAGGAAGTCAAGAAGGTAAGAATTTGAATTCTAAAGGTACTACGAATGTGAATAATGAATAATTGTACATTGTAATAGGAAACACCAAAGAAAGCTCTTACAAGAGGCCAAATTCTAATGAGTATGATCAAATTGGACAGTGTTGGATGGTCGCTGTACGAATCTCAGCCGATATCTTATGACGAATATATAAGAAGCTATGGAAAATTGAATGCTCAACAGGTGTGTTCGATAAAAATCTGAAACTTCAATAAGAATGAAATGACTGATTATTTTTGAAGGCATCGACACAAACGAACGAAGATAATGTCGACGTGGAAATTCAAACGGACACAAGCGAACTAGAGAACAAGTGGACGCAATTTCCCGTCAAGTGTAGGCGTAATTTGAAGTCAAACGAGGACGTGAAGCTCTTTAAAATTGAACACACAGGTGTTGGTGGCGACAACACCGAGAATATTCAAACAACCAATCCAATCTACGACGTGCTGAGACTCAATGAATTTTTTAACAGAGCTGGCAAGGTTATGCTAGCACTGTTGGAAGAGAAAGAGTACGGTGGAAATATTTTGCAAAATGAGACACGTGATTTTCCATTTAGCGAGGGTTTTATTAAACTTTCCGTCAATTCTCTATCATTTTTGGCTGACAGACAAGTCGTTATGTTACACTACTCCGAGGTAAACAATAAGATTCTTGTTAGCGTTCACGCCGCTTCTATGAAAGAGGTAAGTTTTTCATTATTAGTTGTCATTTTAATTGCTATGATAATCGTGCATGTGTGAAATATTGCAGGATACGGAAACTTTGAATAAGCAAGATTACATAATGGAATGTTGTATTGGTTGTGTGTGGAATGTCAATGAACCGTCAAGGCCAACAAAACTATTCTACTCGCAGAATTCCATAACAGCTTTTTGCTTCCACTGTACAAATAATAATATTATATTTGCTGGCCTTCAAGATGGGTACGTACATGGCTAACTTAAATACTAAAAAAACTAAATTTCTTTATTCACGAGGAAATATTTCTTCAAATAAGAAGTTTTTAAAAGCCGAGCAGAAGTACCTTTAAAATAAGAAAATATACTTCTCACTGCGCTCTTTTTAAATAAATCTATTTTTTTTATTTAAATATTCTTTTGCTCTTATCGGTTCTATAACGCTATTTTAAGAAAAAAAATTCTTTTTATTCTGAACACTCATATTCGTTGTAAATCAATGTCATTTCGAAAACTAAAATGTATTTTTGTGCGACTCGTTTAGCTCGATCTGCGTATGGGATTTGCGAGAAGACGAAACGCATCATCAAAAGATAATCGATAAAGTCAACGAAGTGGAATGTGTAGTACGAAGTCCAACATACACAACTGCGGGAAATTGGGAAATCGAATGTCACTTATGCCCAGTGATAGCAATTCGAATCTTGTCGAAAGTCGATCAGGAGGATACCGAAAGTCTAAATGACAAATTCGTATCGATTCAGATCTGCAGTTTGGACGATGAAGGACATTTAATTATTTGGAGTGTGCTGCGTAATTTGAGTGTAAATTTGGATGATCTTGGCTTGACACCGTGGGGTAAAGTGAAACTTGTCAAAAGTCAAGAAGTACCTTTGTTCTTCAAAGTGAATGAGGCGAAGAGAGAATTTGTCGATATGCAAGTCGACAGTGCTGACAGCAATAATTTGTATTTAGCTACAAATAACACCGAGATTTTACATGCGAATAGTATCGGGGGGAAAAGTAATAAGTCTTGTTATAGAATCAATCAAATGGGTGAGTGACTATGAGGATTCTTTCGAGATTGTTTTCATTTGTTATATTCGAATCTTCGTGTCGCAGATTCTTGCGGCAGTACCACGTGCATCGAAGTATGTCCATTCAAAGAATCATATTTTCTCGTAAGTAGTGATTTTCTTTTGCCTCGCGTTAATTACGGGAAAAAAATTTATCATTTTGTAAATAATGCACAGGCCGGTTGTAAGGATGGAAGCGTCAGATTGCATACGTCTAATATAGAAACAGCACTGCTTACATTAAAGAACGGAAGAGATTCTGTCGGAGTGAGAAATATTCAGTGGTCGAAGTCGAAGCCAATGCTAATTTATGTCCTCGACGAGTATTCTCGGTACATCTATTGGTTAGATTTGTCACGACGCGCAGATTATTAATTTCTAAATTTATTTTTTCAGTATCGTTGTGTGGAATTTAAGCAGCGACGATGTCGATCCAACTCACGCGGTTTCAACGAAAAGTTGGGACAACGTCAGGTGTATCAAACTGTCGCCTTGCAACACGAATCGCGATATGCAGAATCAGTACTTGGTATGCTAAATAAAGTGTTCGTGCAGAAGTAAGGTAATTAAATTGACTCCTTTCGACAGGCACTTGGAACCGATCGTGGAAACGTGGAGGTGCACAAATTGAAGAAAAACTTTCATTACTCGCAACAGGATGACTTCTTGCAGGATATAAACAAGTTCTTGGAATACGTATCAGTTTTATAATTATACTTTATCTTTCAGTTAATTAACGATCTCTCGTTTGAATTTCAAAGATCTCAAGACTGTGAACTGTATTTTCTTTTTAACGATCGAAATATTTAAACCACACGCAAGTTAATAACTTCTTTAGATTGTAAGTTTTCAGACCATCGAAAGTGAAAAAAGTGCAGTACCATCGATAACTCAATCGTAGACTATTTGGTTTTGTAGCAGGGCTAAAAGTCACACTGAAATGCCTTATTTTACTGAATAACTAGATTGTAGTACAACCTGTCCATCGCGACTACAAATTGTTCATAATGTATGTATTTTAAATATGTGTTTTATTATAATTACTACGCACCTATACTAATCAATAAAAGTAGCGCAGATAGTCAAATAATAACTAAGCTGGGCTTATGATTTGTGTAACGCTTAAAATATTGAACTAATGCTATTAATTATCAACAAATATTGGAAATTCAATTAACAGCAGATTTTCAGCAAAAGCCACATATGTGCAACGTTGAATGTTGTTGAGCTTTCAAATATCGCCGTAGATAAACGGCTTCCTAATCGTCCGGCCAAAATCTACCTTATCTACTGTTGCGAGATGCCTTTTATATTTAACATATACAGATTGAGACTAAATAGACTATATAGCGGAAAATTTAAATTATGACACGGTTGGTTAATTTATTAAACACATTTTACAAAAGTTTTGTTAATGGCAAAAACGTATGGTTAAAATTTGAATGTATTTATATTTTATTTCAAAGTTAGGGAAGTAAACCCAATTCTACAATAAATTTAATACACTCACATTTCTTAACAACAACGTTTCGCCGGTTTGGTTTCCGGCCTCTTCAGGTTTTTATTCAGTCTAGATAATATAAATATAAAATTTTAATTATCAAACATCAATCATAAATACAAATGTTGAAGTAACTACGCACCTTGATATTAGTCACATTATAATACGACACGTCATATTTTTTACAATAAAAGAGTTAGTAAAGTTATTGGTCGAAGTCTGAAATGTATAATTCAATCGTAACTATAATGTAACTATTATGCTCTGTGTTCATTGATTATGTTACATTATAATTTCGATTGAATTATACATTTCAGACTTCGACCAATAACTTTGCTAACTCTTTTATTGTAAGAAATATGACGTATCGTATTATAATGTGACTAATATCAAGGTGCGTAGTTACCTCAAAATTTGTATTTATGATTGATGTTTGATAATTAAAATTTTGTATTTATATTATCTAGACTGAATAAAAACCTGAAGAGGTCGGAAACCAAACCGACGAAATGTTGTTGGTAAGAAATGTTAGTGTATTAAATTTATTGTAGAATTAGGTTTACTTTTCTAACTTTCACATAAGATACTCTATTTGTTTTTTTTAACATGGGAAGTATAATGTTCTCTAGTAGTTATATTTTGTTCCTCTCACCAAAAAAGACATTCGAAAAGTTTATCACTCATTTCTGCAGATGACGATATTATATATTAGCAATTCTCGCGGTATTACAATGTCATTCAATTAAGGAATTGTTGTAATAATAATGGAGTTTACAATAAAATCAAAATTTACGAAACCATGCCTAATAAAAGAACGCATTACAGTTTTTTTTCTTTCTGTCTGAAATTTTAAATGCCTAATTGAGATATCTGACGCGTATTTATAATTAACTCATATTTTTAATTGTCAAATTTAATCAATTTCACAATAGCCAGGTGAAAAAATTAACGCGAATATAAGTCCAAGACTTAAGAATTTGTATAACAAACTACCAAAATTAACTCCAGCAATATCATTAAATTAATTACCAGACTCAACTCAACAGCATACAGAAGAAATCCATTAATGTCTTTAAATTAAACAAAGAAAACAAAGACTTCGCTCACAATAAACAGTAATTAAATAGCAATTACCATTCACTTTCCGAGTGAGATTCTCGGTCCCGGCAGTAAAATGGGATCGACATACCAACGAACCCCTGGTATTATTTCACGCGCAGGTATACGACGCGGCGCTGTTCGGCCTTTAAATCCCAAGCCAAAAGGAAAGACCAGCCCGGGATGACTGGAAAATCAAGATTTTTTCCTTTGAGAGTAATCTTCTTAGAGCCTACAAGTCTCCGAAGGACAGAAAAGATCTCAACCTGCTCGTTCCAACTCTCCCTTTGAACCGACGCGGCGTGACGGCTCCCTTTTCCAGACTTTTCTCACAGATAATGTGAAAGACGGATGGGGAATGTTCCCTGTAATTTCAAATAGCCTACTGCGTGATATTCTTTTACGCTGTTGCACTTGTCTCTTTCTTTCTCGTTTTTTTGGTATTTATCGTAATATCGGCCATAGCCGATTCGACATTTTTCCATGAAAAATAAAAAGAAAAAGTTTCGCCTTCGTATCGTACATTATTTAATCGTATACGATTTTAGAGGCTGCGTCTATTAATTATATCCCGAAAAATTAATTAATAAACTTTGATAGTAGCTTTTCAAATCTATTCTTGTCCAATTCTGTACAGCGCAATCGCACAAGCTTTCGACGTACGAGATATCGTTTCGAACGTGATAATCGCGGTTTTTCATTTGAGCGTTCATTCAAAACTGAGCATTCTCGTAGAGATGAATTTTGTTTTGCTTGCCGAATGAACAAATAGCAACCGACACAACGTTTTGTTCCCCAGCTGAAATTCTTGGCGCGAAACCAGAACTGAAAACGTCTTCACCCGTACGTCCACGTCCCGAGGATCAGTACACATCTTTAACACTTGACGATGTAAATATACCTGTTATATCCCCCTTGAAATACAGCTGCTTTAGGTTTATGGAAAACTCCTCAACGAATTTCTACCAGACAGGCTTGTACTTGTACGTTGCCTGTCTGTCTCTTTTGCCATTAGTTTTATTCAAAAAGTCATTCAGTCAGTGACATAAAGATTATCATCTGTTAATTGCTTATGCTTTAATTGTAGATTATTCATTGAGCATTTTCGTTGCAATGAAAAGGTTATTCGAAAAATTTACAAAATTTGTTGTTTGATTATAATTTTTTTAACGGTAGCTTCCAATAATAATTTTGTTGAAGTATTTTGCTATATTTTTATTGTAATTATCATAATTGATTTGATTGTAAGGATAATTGAATATACGCATGTTTTCCACGTAAATTTTGTAATAATCGTCAAAGATAAACGTTTTAATAATAATGTGCAGGGCGATATTCATAGATACAAAATTTTAATGCAAAGTAATCATAAATAAGGAAGTTCGCGTGTAAACACAATAGTCAAATCGACTTTTTGAAAGAGCCGTATTAAAAAGAAAAAACTTGTCCACTTTTTTACAAAACGCGCGAACACCTACCTCCCACGTAAGAGCGCGCGAAATGTTTTTCGGGCGCGCTGCTTTCCCGCCAGATCTCTAGCTGTATATGTACTTATACATTAATACTTTTATACGTGTGCGGTAGTATTAGATTACGGTTGGGGACATACTTTCGTTCATTTCACAGGAGTTTCGCAACTTTCTTGGCTACGTTGCCGTGCAAATGTACATATCTGGCCACGTGATTACTTTTTCTGTAATTTTCGCTCGCTTTTTTTAATAACGAACGAATGATGATTTTGCGCATGTTTAATAAAAAAATATATTATTGTACGCAAAAGACGCACAAGTTGACCATGTGATATTTAAATGTCAGACACGTATCCAACCACAGTTTTACAACTACATTTGTCATACCATCTTTGATTATCTTCAAGTTCTATAATGTTAAACATCATGACAACGTTCACGTTGATTAAAGTTTATTAATAAACAATAGCAACATTAATTTAATCTGCTGACTACGTAATTAATCAAAGGTCCAAATAAAAGGCAGCAGCTTAAGAATGCATACTGCATACGTTTATTGACGTATTTGTACAAAACCAAATGTAATTTCATCGCATACCTGATATATTTTCGATTAAAAAGGAAAACAAGAAATATTTGATGAAATTTGGAAATATCACCCCCCTCCCCCCAGTGAACAAATCAGGGTGCAATTGATTTTCAGCAAATACTAGCGCTCCGGACAATTCATCCCAAACAAATCCGAAGCAATTTGCATTAGGCCCCTCCAATAATACACCATTGAGATACGCTAACAAAGAATCGTTCGCGCGCAAACGGGGCCCCTCACGAATATATATATATATATATATATATATATATATATATATATATATATATATATATATATATATATACATACAAGGCTGCCTTCAAATAGTACCCCAGACTCAGGCCCGCGTACGACAAAAGGTCTCGGCTCCCCCGTCGACTATATCTATGTATATGATGAGTCCCCCTTACTACCAGCCGTTGGGGCTGGCGGGCGATTTACGCGCGTACGTTTCCCGCTTCGCTCTCCTCGTTCTCTTTCAACGATTGCCATACAACGACGCGCGCTACGTAGGCAGCAGCAGTGCGAGAGAGAGAATCAGCTGAGCGCCAGCTGTGTGTCGCCCTACCTCAGCCAATCGTCGCTTGCGTTTTGTACACACATACCTACAGCTAGTCGAGAACGTGAGGCGGCCCGGTGCAGAATGAAGGAGAGAGGCAAACCGCGCGCTCAGATCAAGCAGCAACAACTTCCTCTCTTATTGGACGAGCTAAGGCGTTTCGTTTTTGTCCCTGCAAGGATTTTCGAGTTGGATCTATAGTGTGTGCAGCTGTAGTCGCATTTTCCAAGCAGTGTGCATTTAACTTTCATCCGAAAGAGTTGATGCCAAATTAACAGCACTTGCTTGCGTGTGTGTGTTATATCCTCTCGTCTTGTGTGTTTAAAGTGTGTTTAGTGCGTTTTATTGCAATCTGGTTTTCCAAGTGCCCGTGGACGTTATTGAAGAACGCCGAGCTAAGTGGAAAATTAAGAAAAACAAAGTGTACAGGCCACGTGAGTTGTCAGCAAGGAAAAATTGTGGTTTGCTCGATTTTCCAATCCTCCGTTTGGCAGCAAGGAATTGGACGATCGAGTCGAAAATTGGCCAACAGGTTGATTAAATATTGAAGAATCGATCTTCACCGGAAAAACCGGAAAATTCCGTTGCAATAGAGAGGTTATGCAGGAAAAGTAGAGGGCGCCCAAGCACGCCGGACTAACACATACGTCCAGCAGCGGAGCGAGGGTAGCTTTTCGCGCGCTCTTCTCCCGCGCGCGCCATCCAGTGCGATTGCTCTCGCGCACCTTTTCTTCATTTGGACATTTGCCTTTTATCGTTAAGACTTATTGACCGCTGCGATCCTTGGACGATTGCACGATATCGTGGAAAATTGATTTTTCAATTTTTTAAAGATTACTCGGAAGTCGAGCGGCCAAATAAAAAATTTTAGGCGGCTAGTTTTCGCGCGCACGATAAGTGCATTATGGCGCTCTCGAATTACTGACTTGGACGAGAGCGCGACGAGACACACTTGCCAGCTCGTGTTCCGCATTTTTCGGCAGCCTGCTTCTCGGTCGTGTAACTTCCTGGAGGATCCCTCGGCCTTGACCACTTGTTCTTGGACTACGAGGAGACGATTTACAGATGAGAGAAGCCGCCAAAATGCCGCAGACAAGGTGAGTAACTAACTCGTGGGAATACGTGGCTTTTTTTCGCGATTTTCCATAGGGTTTCCGTAGAAATTTTTACAATGAACTTGATGGATAGGTTTATTAAGGTGTCCAGGAAGTTCGGGGGAATCGTGAACAAGTTTGGCGCTTGGATAATCTTATTAGGAAGTGAGAAGTAAGGTTGTGACATGACTGCATGGTTGGCAAAGACTATTTTTTATTTCTCAAATTCTAAAAGAGATTTTACTAAGATTTTTGGTTCAGAGGAAAGCTAGTTGATTTCGGAAATAGCATATTTTATTTCAGGAAATTCCAATAAGATTTTCAGGAAAATTTTCAGCTCCAGCTTGTGTAGCTCCGAGGTGGCCATTCGAACACATCTGGCAATAAAAGTTTACAGCTGTCTAATTATTATTAAAGTTGATTAAGCAATTTGTTGTTTAAATATGTTGTTAAATATATATTTCAGATGTAATATGGCAAGTTTTGGGTAGAGTGAATGTTTCCTTGTGCCACTTTCTAGGTCAAATTTAGAGATAGCTTAGTCGTCACTTTTCGAAAGTTGCTGGTGAGGTGACTTAAGTATTTTTTGCTGGAACTTCAGACTGCTGCATGCACAAATTACAATACATTCCAACTACTACCAGCTATTTTCTTTCACAAAAAATTATTTATCTGTATCCTTGAACATTTTTATTAATTTTATCTGTAATGATAAAATTCATCTCGTTAGATATCATTAAATTTCTGTTACATGAATCCATAGTAATTTATAACAATTTTCTTTCATTATATTCAAATATTTAATACTGTCAAATATTACAGTAATAGTTTTTTTTATTTTTTTCACATATTTTAACATTTTTTCTTTCCACAAACTAATAATTTGATGATGAACATGTGTGTTCTATGTATCTTTATAATCTAAAGTAGAACCAGCAGCTCTTTTTAGATAACAAAGTAATTTAATACGTTAATTATTTAACAATAATATAATAAAACTCAAATATTTCAAGGAATTTATATTGTTACAAATGCTTGTAAAATAAATACAAGAGAATACTTATTTAGATTACATGACAAGAAAATGTCACATTCATATTCTGTTATAATTAACTATTGATATTGCTCAAATTTCAATATTTTTTTCTCTAATTATTTTCTAAAGCACAATCTAATTAAGTTCACTAACAGTTAGTCATAAAATGACTAGAACATTGCTTGTGATAAAATGATATCTTAATATAATTAAGTAATAAAATTACTTTGAATTATTTAGTAGAACAATTTATGAAACTACTCTACTTGCTGGATAAACCTAACACTAACAATTTTATTTTGTAATGAAACTTCGCTTTGTGTAATAAATAAAATAATATTATAGCCCAAATGTTATTTATTAAAAATGTTGTTGCAATTCTTTCAATACACAGTAAAATAATAGGTTTATAATGATGGTAGAAATATTGTTATAAAAAGATTGAAATTTGTATTGGTAGTTAATTTAATAAATTAAGTTGAATATAATCAATAACAACTGATTGAACTAAACATGCTTATACATCTTAACGTACTTAACACATCTTTAGGAAAATTTAGATAATACTTGCATAAGCATTTCTTTTGCTACAATTGGTCTTACTTCAGTAGATTATAGATTACAAAGAAAAATACTAACTTCTGTTGCAGTGTGAAAGAGAACCAGTCTAAACTCCATGTACAGAATGGCAAAATTGGTCTCAAGCGCAAAAGGAAGTCTACAGAGATTTTAGAGGATTCTGAGAATATCTATCCACCCAATAAGGTTGCAGCACTACCAGAAAACGTATCATCCCCACCTAGTTGCAATGTGCTCAGTCCACCCGTAATACCATATACACCTCAGTCATCTACTTCACCTTTGAAAGAGCAGCAAGAGCCAACCACATGGTCTGAATTAAGGCCAACTTGTTTTCTCACACCTTCTGCTTCTCACAATGATAGCAATAAGAACACACCCTTACCATCTTTACCCTGGGCAGACGGTACAGAAGTTTGGGCACTTATGTGTTTGGGAGATCAGAGATCTGTCACTCAAAGGGATCCTCAGATGTTTCAAAGGCATCCTACTTTACAGCCTAGGATGAGAGCTATCCTGTTAGACTGGTTAATTGAAGTCTGTGAGGTGTACAAGCTTCATAGAGAAACTTATTACCTTGCAATGGACTACATTGATAGGTATCTTTCGACTCACCATAATGTTCCCAAGAATCAACTTCAGCTTATTGGTATTACATGTTTATTTGTTGCAGCTAAGGTATATTTCAATTTCTTAAATATTTAAAAAATACAGTAGTATATATGAAATATAATATTTTAATTTGTTGTAGGTTGAGGAAATTTATCCACCAAAGATAGCAGAGTTTGCATACGTGACTGATGGTGCATGTACCGAGGAGGAGATCTTAGGCAAAGAGTTAGTTGTATTAAAAGGTCTTGGATGGAATTTGTCATCTGTGACTATACCAGGATGGCTCAATGTCTACATGCAGGTGGATTCGGGTGACTGGTCCAGACCAAACACTTTCATATATCCACAGTATGGTGGACTTCAGTATTCTCAAGCTGCACAGCTTCTAGATTTAGCAACACTCGATGAAGGAAGTTTGAAGTTTTCATACGGCCACTTGTCAGCTGCTGCTGTTTATCATACTCAGGTAAAAACAAATATTCTTGATTAAAATTATTGTTTAATGGTAATATTAATTCGTTTAAATTTTAAAAAGATAGACTTACATTTTATTGTTATTGAAAATGAAACATTTATTGACTTATTTGTTTAATTTAGTTTCAATTATCTCATCCAGTTTTTACACTTTTCAAAAAGATTTCTTATAAGAGTAAATTTATGCATAAAGTAATAGTAACTTTCCAATTGTTTGAAATATTTTTCGATATATTAGAAAACGGACTTGATAATTACTTAATTAATCTCGAAAACTCTATTTTTAATCAAAATTAACATAAAATATCGAGGTATAAAAGAAATACTTGCACTCATGAGTCTTTCTTGAGTGCATAACGTGGCGCATGTATACTGTATATCTATAGCTATAGGTTGTCTGACCAAATCTTATGGTCTTCTACTGATTTTAAATAGTTATGATTTTATGCTTTTTTTTAACATTGAGGTGATTTTATTTTCTGTTTTTCAGTAATTCAAGTAATTTCGATCAATTAATTTTTCAAAAATGTTTATTGTCGCGCCTTTTTTGAAGAAATTTAAACATTCATATGTGAAGTTCTTTCATTTCCTCTAATAAGAAAACTACAAAAATAAGTTAATGGATCGATCTTGGAATTCCAGGTCCATAGAATGAATAAAAACATATTGTAGAATTCAATTAATATCATTTATTCAAATTATTTAAGTAAATTAATTACTAAAAATGATAATATGTATTCTCATAACTGAATTAAATACAATATAATTATTAATTCACTGATTTTCGTAAGTTTAATAATTTCTTAATTTGAATTACTTGTACATCTTGATAATCAAAATGTCTTACAAAATGGCGGATCGAGCGATGTAATCGCAGAAAATATTTTTATGAATTGTGAGACCACGATTACTATCCATAAGTTATTTGTTTAAACAAGAATATTTTGTTTCAATTAAAAAATCATATTTATTTGTAACTGTCGGTTAAAAATAATTAATTTGAATAAATATCTAGTAACTAGAATTATAAAATATATAGAAGAGCGATGAATCTCGAGGATTAAGAACAATAATTTATGACGATTAAGAATAAATTTGATTTATTTTTAAACTTACATCAATAACTAAAATGCTGAAGTGAGTCGACGCAATGGTATTTTATCTGTCCGGTTGTCCGGCTAAGTGGCGGTCAAAGTTTCTTTTTTGTACACCGTTAGATTTGCATGGCCTTGACAAATTTAGAAAGGGACTTGTTATAACAGCTTTATATATTTTTGACTCCGTCAAGCGCATACGAGTGTCATATTTGTTCGAGATTCTTAAAAAATAAAAAAATAAACTGATTTATGCGGTATCGTTTTTTATTATTTGAAATTGCTTAAATATGAATGTTTAATGAGCCTATTTGATCTCATTCATAATTTATATAAAATGTTGAAAATCTAATGCTATAAATGAATTATGTGTCAGTGAATAATAATATGATCCCTAATTGGAATTTTTTATTTTTATTCAAAATTTTCCTGTCGCAAAACTTGATAAGAGATTGGATATGTACGATTTTGTAAACCGATTGAAATGTTGAAGAAATGTCCTTGATTTTCTAGTAGAAAATAATGCAGTTTTATCAGTTTAATTCTAATTCAATGTACTCATCAGTAATTACAAGCTAAAAAACTAACTTAACATTATCATTATTTCAGGGTAGGGAAACAGCACTACGTGTATCGCGATTAACCTGGGAGCAATTGACGCCATGCGCCAAGTGGTTGAGCTCATTCGCGCTTACGGTGTCGGAAGAACGTGCCCAGCAGATGTTACGCTCAGCCGCGCCGACGGTGGATACTAATGCCGGTTCAGGTCTGCGTATTGCTGTACCAAACATCGTCGCCGACGAGTCTCATCGGATCCAGACTCACGTGATCGACCTGGAGATGCTGGAACTTGCTCAACAACGGCATTCCCATGATGCGCTATTGATCGACGACTGTATTGACTTGGACAGGATGTTAGATTCTGGAAGTAGTCCCGATCAAAGTGGAATTCTTACACCACCATCGAGTAGCCAGAAGAACTCACCAACGCCACCGAGGCTATCGCATCAACTCGAACCTTATACGTAGAGAGAGGGATTCACTTTAGTCAACAATTAGTCCAGTGAATTTGAGAATGCAATGAGAACCGTAGTGAAACTACCAATAGTGTTTTAATTGCATGACTCGTTGCAAATTTTTCTTTCTTTTCTTTATATCTGTCGATAACATCATGCTTTTTGGTAGCTTATTATCTCAGAAGGGATACTACTCCGTTCAACAAAAGGTGCAAAATGTCAAGGATTAGCTTCGTTCGATCGTACATTATACGTGGTGAGCGATTATTTTAGTCAGTCCAAGCGAATTTTTTAAAACCAAAGTTAAAACGCATGCTTTTTGATGATCTTCCACACGTGGTTGTTTTTACGTCAAGTGCACATGTGCAATGTAAATTTTGTCATCACGAAACAAACGTAACGGTTAAACGAAGCTCAATACGGCAAAAGGATTATCTCAGCTTGGTTTGTTTGTATATAGACGTAAAAAATCTTTCGTAAATCAAATTATATTGATAATATTGTCGTTTTTTCTTTCTCCGCTCTATTAAGGGAAATAGATTATAATTTCTAAAGAACACTAGCCAACAGATAGATATTTTAATATTTAAAAGAACTGATATACATATGACTATTTTTTACGTATAGTTTTTCCATGTTAATGGATCTAAATATGTAAGAAACAAATTTAAAGAAACAACGATAACAAAAAAAAGTAATATGCTATAAGTCAATCCTACGTCTATAAGTCTACGACGACATTCTTCCTATAAAAATTTAGCAGTAGAAACTTAAGGAATTACTAAATGTAAATATTTAAAAAGAGAAATAGGAATGTTGTCGCTTCTGTGAAGTACTAAACGCTTAACACTTAATTAATTTAACGTGCGAGACTATGTCGCATAGTTCTGTGATTGGACGAGTGTGACTCAGACTAGGAATTGAGAACGAGTGCCTTAGAAGAAACTTTTTTTATCTCCGTAAAGGTCTTGAATATTTAATCGTCCATCTCGAAGGACTGAAAAATAATGTACGGAAAATGTAAAAAAATATCATTGTAAAATGTACTGCTACGTTAACGCTGTAAAAGAAAGTGCCTATGACCGACGGTGCGCTTACTTATACACAATTTTATCCGATTGAATGAAACTTCATTGTGAATATTGCATTTTCTTTATTTCTTTTACGGATACGGCTTTACTTTTAACGCAGAACGCCGCGTCATTAGTTAATCGATAGGTAGCTAAAGAAAAACAATATAGTTGAGCACGTCGGCGTTCTTTTATGTAAATAGGTAAAAAAAACAATTAATGAAGAGGATTTTCATCGTTTAAACTTAGCAAAAAATAAAAAGAGAATGTGAGTTTAATGTGTGATTTTTCAATGAAATCAAAAACAAGTGTCGAATTCTGAGTGTTAGTTATACAGATTTTCATAGTCCCTTGCGCATTTATAAAACAAAAGATTGACCGCAAATTATAAAAAAAGTATGTATATATATTTTTATATACTCCCTTTTATAACGAAAAATTGTAAAAAAAAAACTTGAATTACCTTTGTACAATAATAAAGATTACAATGATTTGTAAAATATACGTTTGCTATTGTTATTAAAAAAAATCTACAAAACAACTTTTCTTAATTTGAAAATTTTCACAATCGTTTACAACGATCTGCATTACCGATGGTTTGGAATAGGTGGCGTTAATTTCGGAAAATTTTGAAAGCTGCTTCGCGATTGGTCGAATCAAAGGGATTTCAAAGTTGTCAAACGGTAGAGACTAGATGGCCGTTGAAATTCGCAACCGTGAGTCGTGAGCGTAATGCGTGTATGCAGGTTCAATCCCGTAAAAAGTGCAAAATAAATATCACTCCGGATGTCGATTTACTAGAAATAGTGCTAGATACGTTTGTGAAAATATCGGTAATTGTGTTATGTGAAGTTTTGAAGTTGTGTATCACAGCCTTTATACGTTTACAAAAAGAGGGTGTTGCACGGTGCGTTTGCCTGCTAGTAACACGTGTGTTGATGGATATTCAGTGGAAAAATTGGTGAATTATTTGATGTGTAAAACCTTTGTTATTACCGAGATATAGTGAGAGTGAATAAGAATGAAATAAATCAAGAATGAGGAGGTATTTTTGAGTAACCTGTTCCGTTCATTCTCTCCTCGTTTTCTCATCTTGCCATTGCCATCGTCGAGCAAGAAACATTTTTGAAAAAAATTCAATTGTCTACCAGCTATTGTTAGAAACGTTTGCATCTAACCAAAACTCATCATGACAACACTGCACGACCCGATATTAGGAAAGCATGTCGCACGCAAGGTAATGTTTATGTTTTTGTTCAACTCTCCCTGCGGCGAGAATGTTTTTTAATTATACCTGGGCGACCTCTAATCGTCATGTTTGTTTTGTTGACGTTTCCGTCAGATATCGCATTGGTATTGGATGCAGGCTTTCATACATTCATTGATTAAAGCACTTTGACTCATCGGTTTATAATTTTTTTTATTTATACTTGACGTAATTATTTTGGCTTTCTACACTACGCTTATCAAGTTTGGAATATATTTATTTATCTATTTATACTTATAGCCTCATTATTATACATACGTAGAGTGTAATTGATATTTCATTTATTTAATTCGCTTATCAATTTAAAATCCATTGAAAAAATTCTTGAAGTCTTTCAACTATGAATGAATTCAGGTTTTACTCATATTAGTGAAAGTTCAGATGATTAACTCTTGAAACCGTAAGCCAATATTTATCGTAAAATCAAATCTCACGATAAATAATGCATGGCGTCCAAAGAGAGGTGAAAAAACCATTGAGGTGTACGCGAGAAAAAAAAAGAGAGCCCGTTGAATAAGTGCATCGTTTCAGCTCCCACTTCTTCGTTGTAGTAAAGTGACGAGTCACTGGTACGTCTTATAACATGCTCTTCTCAATTCTGCTCGAAAACACAGTCTCCACTCTCTATGTCCAAGCACACACACGCGCGTTTGCGTGCACATAGTACAACGTCGCTTATTACTCGTACACCGGCCACGCAGAAGAAGCATAACTACCGTAGTTGGAGAGAGATCTCTCGCAAAAGAGCGTGGGCGAGATCCTTTTTGTCATCATTACGAGAGAAACAGAGAATACGACGTTTCTCAGTAGTAGTAGTTCTGTGTACACGTGAACAGCTGCTACATAACTTTTATGTCAGAAGGCAACTCGTTAATGATCATTAAAAGGCAAGTGTTCTTAAGTGTAATGTTGTGTGTCAAGAGAAGGAGGATGCGTTGACGCGGTTTGAGGTTAAAATACGTTAGTTGTAACTGTTGTTTTGGCGAGTGTTTTTTGTCCTTTGCCTGCGTCTACTAAGAGAATTATCGCATAATCGATCTGCGTATGTTATCGATTTCGTTGAATTGTACCTTTTTCGCGAATTCTGAGAAAGTAAAAAAAGATTGTTATTTTCTAATGTTGCTCTGTCGTGGTGTGCACATACGTCCTGATAATTGACTGCAATTAAGATTCATTGCGATTAACTGTTTGTCGTTAAGTGGGGAAGAGCGAATTTCACGTGTATTCACAATTGTCACTGAATTACTCAACTTTGTGATTCAGATTATGTCTGTTGTGACTTTGAGTCGTATATCTTCGCATCTGCTCTTCCATTTTTGGTATGTTTTTTGATATTATTTATCATCATGAAGCCTTGACGGATAATAAAAATAACTATATATAAATTGATTGTGAAATGAATCATTGTTTGAATCATAGTGAATAAAGCGAACGAAAAACGATTTTGGCGTTAAGATTACCTTGATACGCGAGTAAAGATATACGTATGGGAATATGGAAATATATAATCATAAGAATTCATTTTTTCAATTCCAAAAATAATCTACGGAAATACATAAGTTTCAAGAACGTTATTAACGGTTCAGAGAAGGCAACCTATAACCTTAAACCACGTAACTCTCCAAGTATATTGAGGATAAAGAAAAAGTAGGTCTGCCAAAAATTCGATCTTTCTTTTCTTTGCGGGTCCTAGCAATCCTTAATTTCGTTTCTTGTACGTTGATGAATAAAAAAAATGCAGCGGCCTCGACCCTTTTTTTCTGTCCACTACACGGGAGAGTAGAAACCTTCAATCCTTTTGTGTTGTTTTGGAATGAATCACACTGACTCTCCATCTCTTGGATTTCTCGCCCGCGCAAATCTACTTAGTTAACTCTGTGACAGATCAATTCACTGTTCACTTGCATGTTGGACGTTACCTTGAATTTGTCAGTTCATTCGTAGATAAGATTGGATTTATTTCATTGATAGTGATACATAGGTAGTTACTGTGCTGCAGGTGTGAAGGGAAGGGTCACTGTGCTTTCACGCGTGATTGAACGAAGTAATGTACTGGTATATTCATACGAAGAATTTTAATAACCTAACACCTGTGAGTTATTTTTTTCGCAACGTAATGACTAGAATAAATTGAGATTGCCTTGATCGGATTTAATTATTCTTGTGGTAGATAAATTTCTTTTAAGTATTTGAATTTCTACATAATAATTGTCCATAAAATCTCACATATTTCTAAATTATTTCTAAAATACGTCCTTTTTTGTTTCTAATTTTTCCGTTGCTATAATTTTCTTGTTAAAGGTGACTTGATACTAAATTCGACTTTAAAAGGGTGATTCTTAAAAAGCCGAAAATTCTAATTTAGTTTTTGAATTTCTGCAAACACAGTCGTGTATAATACAGATTATAATCATATATTTGTTTTATGTAATCGAATACTTTTTGCGAACAGTTTTATAATGCAAAATGTTTCATCAATACAAATTATAAAATTCTAACGTTACATAAAACCGACATTCACGCATTTTACAACTGATTTGCAATTCAAAACGATACCCTACACACGTAGTCAATTAAAAAACAAAAAAAAGTCGCCACAATGCACATACCACAACACGTATACCCACACTACCCATTCAACGCCAAAACTCATTATCAAGTGAACTCTGTTCGACGACAGATAACCACGCCTTTTGCTATTTATAAGAATAGAAAGACAAAAAGTTCTCCTGTGGGCGCAACTTTTGCCTGCTCTCCCTCTGTCTAAAAGCATATTTTTATTTCCGGTGCGGCGTAATGCTTGCTTCACGGAAGGGGGGGGGGGCAGCTTTCGAAAAATCCATCAGTTGATAGAAGCTCTCTTACGCGCTACGCCATTCGCTTGCTCGCGCGTGTGCGCGCGTACTGCACCGTTGGATATTTTCCGGCGCGGCGAATTTCGGGTGAAGCGCTCGTTAGCGTGTCTCCCAAGTTCCGAACGATGGTCGATTCGCACACCACACTCACCGTAGAAAACAATAATAGTGTCGTCGAATCGGGACAATCGCGCGTCACGTACTTTATGACGTGAGTGTGTGCGTGTGGCGTCGACGGCGGCGAGCAACAACGGTAAATGATGGAGAATCGTCACTCGGGCGATTTTAAGCTCGGATAACGTCTGACAGCTAAAATCGCTCATTATCTTCGCGTTTGTCGACTGCGATCATGGGCAACTTTGTGCGCAAGGTAATCGGTTCAATTTATATGGTTCTTTTTCTTCTCTTTCTCGGAGTTCTTTTTTCGGATGCTTCGCTTAGAAGATAAGTATGCTTTTAGACGATCTTTAAGACTTTGTGAAATAGTATTGTTCGAAAATGAAAATCCGTGATTGTTAAAAGATATAACGTGAGAAGGATGATGAAGCATTTTTTTAAAACATTGATTCATGATTATTATTTAAAACATATTCAAGTTTCTTTCTGAGATTTAAATATAATATTTTTACAGCTAATACGCTATTTTTTTTTGTATTTTACTTCTACGTCATATTCTCGGAAGATTAAAATAATCTTGGATTTTACTGATTAGTAATAAATGAGGAAAATATGAAATAATGAATTCCACTATTTCAAACTTCACTTACGCATTTTGATTTGAATAAATGTACTCTAAATCACTTTATTATTGTTAAATTTACTTTTTTTGATTAGGCTGTAGAAACACTGTTTCACTGGCAATATTTGTTTTAAAACATTTTTTTAACAGCCGAGATCAAATCATACCGTTTGAAGTTTTTTTATCTTCGTGAAATTTGTTCCGCCTTGGAATATCGGAATGCGGCTTAACTTTGTTTATCATTTTAAATATCTCAATTGTACTGCTCTACGTCTAAGTCGTATCACAATTTCATTTATCGAAGATTTATTTTGAAAATTAAAAACTTTTAACGAACAAAACTGAAGCTGATTTAAAAATGAGCACGGATTTTCGTTATTTTCCTTTCGGTCAAGCGAGTAAGTGGTAATTTTGAAAAGGAAAAAAAAATACAATTATGTTTCACATTTTTGGTGAATAGGCGGTACAATCAAGTCATTACATGACACACAATTTTCGACGTATACTATCAGTGACATACGAGTCAAACAAAAGCGACAAAAGTCGGACAATTCCTATTTTATGCGCTTTTTCAATTTTCGCTTTATTAATTTTACACCTTCAAAAGGAAATTTTGCTCTTGCGGTCGTCAACACACTTTTCTAACGAAGGTCATTTGCCAAGGTTATTCGTGAAAAATCCAATTAGCTCCTACGTTTTCAGTCACGCACACGAGCGCCACACCCCTACTTCTCTTGTGATTTTATAATTAACTCTTTCTCTTCGGGAGAAACATATATCTACTGCGTTAGCTGGTGCGCTGCTGATTTGTTGTGTCAAATTAGTAGCAAACTGAGCGTCGATCAAGGCGTCTCGTTTTTCTTTCTTTTTCTGTCCTTTTTCTTTTCTTTGGCAAACTTTTGATTAATAGTTGAATGTTTGCGGGAGATTCTAAGAAAAATTTTAATAAAATGGATTTTTTAAATCGATTATTGAACAGACCACAACAGAAACCAGCTATTTGTAATAGTCCACCACCTTCGCATGACGAGGTAAAAAGAAAAGTGGAAATGTTTTTCAGTTTAAGAAAAAGTATATTGAGAGTACTTTTATAGACAAACTTAGAACTATACGTGTGGGATATAAGTATAGCTGTTGCACAAAGTCAAGTGAGATTAAGTAATCGAATTGTGAATGTTTATATGGTGGAAATGTGCTGTAAGATTTTCAATTCGATTTTCTTCGTGCGATACGTGTGACTTTCAATTGGTCAACGTTTCGACAGTGCTTTGTGCCAAATTTCCGCCTGCCAATTGACAATTGAACGAAGTACATCGAAATTTAGGACTTTCAAGCGTACAACGACTATTATTGGAAAGTTCGTTCGACCATCCGCGCCAAAATGTTGATCAGAGTGTAGAAATAAGAGACGCATCACGTTTCGACTTTCACAATCGTTCAAAATGCAAAAAAAAATTACAGTATTGAGTTTCACCGTTGATGGTTGAACCTGCGTACACACGAGAACTTGACCGTGTTTTTCTACGCGTAACTTGCGATCCCACAGGCAGTAGCTTGTACATACGTTCTATCTGACATCGGAGCGCGCGCCGCAAAAACTTGGCACGCACCAACTAACGCCTCCGCGCTTACTGTGGCAACAATTCTTTTCCTTTTTGCCCGTTAACGGTATATTTTTTCTTTTTTTCGTTTTGCGCGCTGTATAATTTTTGTGGTCATTGTTTGTTTTATTTTTTTATTTTTGCATCTCTTTGTTCGCTTGAGAATTATCGCGATTAATTGACTTGCAAATTTTGGCAATTGAAAAGTACGAAATAAATTTTATAAATACGTTTGTTATAAAAAAAGATGCGTAGTATTTATAACTCGTTATGAAAGTTTTTTCGCGCGCAATGAAAAATATCAGAGTTCTAATCTTTTCAAGGCGTTCGTGTTACATATTACGATACATTTCAATAATCTAAAAATAATGTGAAATGAATTCGAAACGAACGTTTTCAGTTCACGTGAAAATTACGTGATAGAAAATTGTTTAAAAATATATGACACAGAATAAATGTACCGGATCGAATGTAAAATTGAATTTCGAATTTATCAATTGGAATCCATGATGTTTCATACATGCGATAAAACGCTTTTTTTTGTCTATGAAAATATAAATACAATCTAACAATAACGTATAACGATCAAATGTTGTGATTCCACAGAGCATCGGCGTCGAACATACAGCCGAACCGGCAAGTAGTAGCGGTCCAAGCAGTTTAGTTCCAGAGTCATTATCATCAGCCTCAAGCTTTCAAAGTCTCAGTTCGAAGAGCAGTAGTGGCATATGCGCCGATTCAGCACCTGAAAGTCCCGACAAAACCGCCCTCCTGAGCAGCAGCAACGCCGACACATTCGATCACTCGTACGTCAATCTTGACATACCCGATCTTGACGATCTCATCTCAGCTTGCGCCAATATCAATCTTGGTGGTTCACGAGCTCAATACCGCGACTCACCCGATTGCAGTGCTGCTGATTTGAGTCAGGATCAAACTTTCGCTTCGGCTGCAGATGACACTATCGGTGACGTTACTCAAATACTCGTCGAGGAGACTATTCAAACATTCAAGACTTGTCCTGGTTTAGAGGTGAGCGTGTGAATGTACAAATGAAAGAAAAAACGTAACAGGGAGATATTCACGATGACTTTTTTATTATTTGTAGACGCAACCTTCAGAAAATATATTTAAAGATCCACTTCCGATTGATACTGATTCGAAATCTGCGATTATTCCGTACGTGTCGTTCGAGCAGAGTGTGCTACGACAGAATCAAGAAGCCGAGGATCAACGAGTCGCATTATTGAAGGCTGATTCTCCGAGGAGGCGTAGTTACAGTCCAACTCCTTGTGTGGAAATCGACGTTGCTCAACTTACTACTACTACTACTACTACTACTACTACTGCAACAGGAAAGAATAATAATTCGTTCCTTAGTGCCGAAGACGGCTCTGGTCAGTTGTTGAAATATTATTTAATTGCATAGATGAATGGAATTTAAGTAATTTTTTTTTCCTTTACAGGACAAAAAGTAGAAACTTCTGATGGTTTCAGTACACCAGATGTCAGTTTCCAAGAAGTTGATACATTTAATTCCACGATTCCATTGAATACTGATGATAACAAGTCTGCAGCAAAGACTACAGAAAATTTGAACGTGACTCCCTTTGTTTCGGTATTCGAAACTGTTGGGCAAAATCAGAACGTGATAACTACCTCAGATAAAGTAGTTGTGAATAAACTTCTGAATAAGACACAAGACGTTATCGGAGATAACAATGTTGTTAATAAAACTGAAGAAATTTTAAAGGATATTGAAATTTGTTTTAATAAGACACAAGAGATTGCTAATGAAGAGAATCTTTTGAATACAGTTCAAACTATAGTTGGAGAAAACTATTCTCTCAACAGCACTCAAGAAATTGCAAAGGAAAACGTATCTTTGAATAAAACGCAAGAGATTGTTAAAGAAGATAATCGACTGAATAAAACACAAAATATTGTTGATGAAAACGATCTTAACAAAACTGAAGAGATCACAAAGGAAAATATATCTTTGAATAAGACGCAAGACATTGTTGAAGAAGATAATTGTCTGAATAGAACACAAAATATTGTTGATGAAAACGATCTTAGCAAAACTCAAGAGGTCACAAAGGAAAATATATCTTTGAATAAGACGCAAGACATTATCAAAGAAGAGAACCTTGTTAATAGGACTCAAGAAATTGGCAAAGAAGAAAATCTTCTTAATAAAACTCAAGAAATTATTAAAGAGGTTTCTTTTAATAAAACGCAAGAAATTGTAAAAGAAGAGAGTTTCCTTACCAAAACACAAGATACCATTAAAGATATTACTTCAGAAACGAATAAAGTTCAAAATACTTTACCAGTGACACGAAAAGAACCAACCGCACCATCAATCGTTGAATCGGCCTCTGAACATAAAAATAAACTTGAGAATTTCAAAGAACCATATATAACTGTAAAAACACCAAGCAAGTTATACGAAAAGAGAGAGTTGACTCCACCAAATTTAGAGACGTTTTGTCCCAACGAACTGCAAAATTCCAACGAAATTGTATCTTCAACTCCGTTGCATTGGAAAAAGGAAGAGAAGCAGAAAACACCTACACGAAAAAGTGGACTTTTCAATAAAGAATTAAAGTCTCCTCTTCAATTAACAAGTCCACCTTCGTTGAATAAGAATTTCAATTCTCCGAGTAAAGACAAAGCGACAAAGGAGCAAGAAAACAAAGTCAACTTTGATCAAACAGTCGCTGTAAATAGAAGTTTTGAAAAATCTTCATTTAGTGCTTTGGAGCTGTTATCAAAGAATAGTTCACTGGATTTATTACCTACCCAGGAACCTGATTACGAGGCTTTCAAACCACAACAACAAAGTACAACTTTACCTTTCGCTGTTCAGTGTCCTGACTTCGAAGCTCTTCAAGAAGCTGCCTTATCTGTTGCTAAAGATATCGACCAGTCTTTAGAAAAAATTGAAGAGGAACCATTTATTTCAGCCACTACTGAGTGTAAGTATTACAATCGTTATGTTATTTCATTTACACATATATGTTTATAAATATATGTATGTACGTGTATATATATGTACATGTCCCCCCTCCCCCTATAAATACATTATATATATTTCTATTTTCATTTACAGTATTTGGAGATCCGTCAGCGCTTGATTTCCTAACACAAGTAGGCTCTCAAACATCTCGTCGCGGTGAGAGATATGATTCATTGTATATGAGATTCGATCCTTTAGCCGAAAGACAAAGTATGCTGCCGCAAAAGAATCTCCCCGGAACTCCTACTCTGGAAGAAGAGGAGGAGCAAAGGGAAATTAAAGTCAACACTTCAATTGGTAACGCTGGTACGCCAAAGAAAAATCCAGCATTAGCTGCTATCGATAGATTACTTTTCTACAGCCCTTGTCCACCTGCTACTACAGATAGCGAGAAAGTAGAAGCTAAACAGAAACTAAAGGTAAAGCCAGCGAAAATATTTTAAAACTTATAAAAATATAATTATATTAAAATATAAATTGTTTCTTTTATCAGGAAGAAGCAGAGAAAAAAGAAGCACAAGCAGTACCTATTGTAAACGAAGAAATGGCTAAAGAATTGGAACTCGTGAGGTCTACGGTAGTTCAGCTCGAGACGGAGCTGGAAAAACGAAAACAAGAGCACGAGAAGCAACTAGAAAAACAAAGAGTAGCCTACGATGAAAGAGTTATGCAAATACAGGCGAAATTTGGCCAAATGCAATCACAATTATCACAGGAAACTAAATGTAAAGATCAAATGACGTAAGTAATTATTTTAATCACATTTGCTGATTAATCACGATCATTAAATTAAATAATAAATATGTCATAAATGATTTTTTTGGTAGGGTTGTAGTAGAAGAATATGAAAAATCAATCAGTAGGTTAATCGCAGAAAGGGAAAAGGAAAAGGTAGCTTTCACCCAAGAAAGAGACAGAATTAAAGCAGAGTTGGATATTTCTCAGCAACATCTTGCCAATTCTGAAGCGGCGTTCACCGATGTTCACGCGAAGTACGAACGACTCAAGAGTGTTGTTACAGCGTATAAAAGTAATGAAGAAGTTCTAAAAGAAAGTATTGCTGAAAATCAAGAAACAATTAAAACTCTTGAAAATAGATACGAGCAGCTCAAAAGTCATGCTATGGCACAACTTGAAAAGTACGTATTTTTAAATTATCTACTTATAACTTTGTATTTTGAGCTGAGTTCCACAATTTTTTTGTTTTATAGGGCAAATCTCGAGTTGAGTGCTATCAAAAAGCAACACGAGGCCGATGTGTTGAAACTGAAAGCAATGGTAAGGAAAACTGAGTTGAGGTGTAAGACATTAGAAGAGACTGTTGAACAAAAGACCAAGGAGAATAAAGAGCTGACGCAGATAATCGACGAAATGATAGCAAGGGTTGATTAGTCGATACTTAATTTTTTTTTTACTCAACATGATTTATTTTTAGGCATATAATAAGTATTGTATAATGATAATATTAAATATGTGTATAATTGTGTATTATTTTTAAAAAGAGCAAAAGAAATCTTGAATTGATCTGGAGTAAGCCCTTTACTAATTATTTATAAGTTGTAAAATATCAATATTTTATCGCAATAAAAAAAAAAAGACAAGGCTTGTTCAAACTAACAAATTTTAGTTATACCTAAATTGTTCTTTATTCTACACAATACATAACTATTATCATATTTTTTTTCTTCGCTTAGAATTGTAACAATATACACCTACAAATTACGTTAAAAAATATATGTTTATTTAGTCCCTTTTGAAAGTCGTATTTAATCGTTAATGTAATTTATTTTCAATAGATTACAGTCAGTAACTTGGTCTAAAGATGGCAGTAGATCGCAACAATCGATCGCTGTCAATTATATTATTTTTTTTTCAAAGAATTAATAGTAAAAATAAACATTTCATTTGAGGCGAGGTTTTTTGGAAACCACACACTTGTTTCTAGAATTCTAAAACACTTCCTCATTTTAACAAGCTTAAAAAGAAAGAAAAGATTTTCATATTAGAAAAAGAAAAGTTAATTGCAATCATCACATTGGTATAAAAGTACGTTCAGATTAGAAAACAATCGTCCAGAAGTCGAGTGAATAAGTTAAAATTAATAAATTCAGAGGTATATTTCATTCGATTGTTTTTGTCAAGTTGTCGTCTGTACAAATTTAAAGTTGCTAATGCGCAGTCTTAGACTCAACTATAACAATAACGTAACGTTTCGCGAGCTTCAGCATTCGATCGGTCGTGCTGCCAGGTTTTTTAGGAGCGTTCTTGTTCTCCAGATCGGGCATGTATTTCCGTACTGTACGACCTAAAGCAGTTGCATATTGTTTAAACTGCGGATGGCTCATACCGATGCCTTTACTACGTAACGCCTGGGATACGGCCCACAATAGTTTCTGAAAAACAACAGAAAATCACTTAGTCTATGATTATTTATATTAAGTATCAATAATCATCAAAACTTGATACGAACTTTTCTATGTGTTTCACTGAGCTCAGATTTTCCATAGTTTGGGGTTCCGTCTTTCGATAAAACGGTTCCCATTGGAAGCCTCGTTGAATTCCATTTGTTTGAACTACTCTCAAGATTTTGCGTGCAATCAAATGATAAACTCTTTGGCCACTTCAGCCGCGGGTTTTCCAACTCTTCGTCGCTTTTTCGCTTTCTCGAATCAGGATAACTCAGCGACTGCGAACTATCGGCTGCTGCAAAATAAAATATTCATATTATTAAACATATGTTAGATTTATAACGACAAAACATGTAAAGCTTAATACTTTTCAAATTTGCACTTTAATACTTATGTATTTATAATTAAACTGTACCTTCGTTTTTCTTTGGCGTTGGAAACAAGGCTTTCTTGATTTTAGATGGATTGTTACTGGTGACAGTTGTCGGAGTCGATAATCGACTAGGACCTGGTTTGTCAGTTGGTGGACTTTGAAATAACGCTCGCTTAGGAAATTCTACTCGTTTCCTAGGAGTTCCATTTCGAATTTGACGTTTCTTTGTAGAGCTACGTGGAGTCGTCTTACTACGTGGACTCTTTCCTCGAGGACTTTTACCTCGCGGACTCTTACCTTTACGCGTCATTATTCCTGTATATTTCCTGTAGAAAAATATAACTCATTATTGTATCAATCTCTTACAAAAATTTATCTGAATAGTTATATATTTACCTAACAGAAATAGTGACCAATTTCTTTTCAGCAACGCCAAGACCTTGTAAATTAGCACTGGAAAACGTTCTACGTCGCCGAGCAAGGTGACTCAGTCGTTTGCTAGGACTTTGTCCATTGTTGCGTTTATGCAGTAAACCTCGCTTTCTGACACTGTTTGGTGCTTGCTTGACGAACCAAACATTGCACGTCGATTGGGTCTCGTTACCAATATACCTATCACATAATTTTACTCGTAGATTCTCAAAATCTTCAACGAATCTATTTCTGTTGTAACTACAAATGAAAAATTGTGCATTGAATAAATAAGTAATTAAACTTAAATTAAGTGAAATAGTAAATTGTTCAACTTACTATATGTCGTGACATCTGTGTGCAAATGCATCTTTGAAAGGTAATTTAGTTACTTCGTTAACGTTCATCGACATGTAAGACATAGGAGGTTGTTCTTGTATACCGCTATCACCCAATTTGCTCTCCTCGTTTAAGGCCAGTGTCGACACCGATAAGAACGAGGAATTATTCAACAACGATGAAAATGAATTTCCGTTATCTGGAAAATTCATTAAGGATTCGTTGTTGTCGTGTCTGGAGTTACTCAACTGTTCGCATGCGTCGAAAGCTGTGCTAAGATTTCGCAGACTCCCTTTCGGTGGATGAAAGATTTTCTTTTCGTCCGTACTCATGTTTGTGCTGCTTTCCGCTTTACTGTACGTGGATGTCTGCGAGGAAAAACAATTAATTATTAAACTCTAAATTTGAATAAATATATAGCTAAGATAATGATAAAGAGTAGAATTTGAAGTATGAGAAGCTTTAATAAAACTAAACCGTTGATTCTTCATTCGGATCTGATCACTAGATCAATTAAAATTTTGATAAATTTGTAATCCAGATTCTTGACTGTTTTTATATACCACAGGAGATAAAATGAAGTGAAAAGCAATCAGAAATGTTCATTAAAAACCTACCTCCGATGAAGTCGAGACGTTAGCTTCCTTAGATATCTCGCCTTCGAAAGGATCGGCCCAAAAGTAACTCCTATTACGTTTGATTTCTGCGAGAAAATCATCGCAATCCCTTTGAGAGATAGTGTGATTCGGTGGCGGTGGTACACCACTAAGAAACTTATGAACTCTCCGTCTTATGTACCTATCAGCTTTGAGTATAAGCTCGGCAGGAGTAAGTTTTTTTGGACTCGGTTGTGTAGGTTGAGATGGTTCTTGCGAGATTGCAACAATCGGAAATGTCGAAGTTGTACTCTCGGCTTCATCGTCGGCGTCGCTCTCAAAGAGCTCAGGACTTTGTTCTTCAGGTAACTCGAAATGTTTCGATAAGTTCGATGACGATTCGTCGTAATTGCAATCCATCGCGTCTTCGCTCACGTATATTGGCGCCGGTGGCTTATCCACTGCTGCTGGGCTCTGACATGTTGTCTCATCGTGAGTTTTCTCCTCCGCCTCAGTTATTGTTCTCTCTACCAGAGAGTCTGTAAAATGTAAAAGTTTGTCATTGAAATATGTCACAATATACAGAAATGTATTTATAACGTCGACAAAAGTTGCGCGAAATTTTACGAAAACTTTCGGAAGCTGTATACAGAATTTAAGCGCGTTTACTGCTACTGGTTTATGATTACTGCACCTCTTGCAATACTTCTCTAATTATGAATAAAAGCCCAATTTTCACACTCCTGGTACATATTATGCATATTTCAAATTGAAACTATTCTACTTTGCATGAAAATTATTGTCTGTGGTTCTGCACAATTGAATTCACACAGGATTTACAAACTATGTAATATTTTATTTTGTATAAATTATAATTGTAAAAAAGATCTATGTTTTAAATAAATGAAGTGTTTTTGTTAAAAAATAATTAAGAACAGTTATTTACCGATCTATATTACACATTTTAAAGAAAAAAATTTGAGTTCATACAAAACTAAAGTCTAAAGTCATGATAAAATTCAATCTAAAAAAATTATAGAGTTCAGTTTATTGACAAATACAGTAGTCAACAATGATAAGGTTAATAAAATGAAAAATTTTCCATTTACTGTGATGATACTGAGTACTGATACTCCAGTGAATTTATACATTGCAGTTATCAAAATTATATGTAAAGGTCAATTTTCAAGGTTCTACATGCATAACACATTGATAATTTGTTAGAAAATTAAAAAATCAACATTATTCTATTTTCGTTTACCATGATACATTTGACATCTGTAAAATAAACAAAGCTATTGATAGAAAATAAACTAATCATTCAAAGGTGAATGTGTCGAATGACCTTCTGATAAAATTATTGTATTAATAATTTGAAATAAATTTGTAATGAAACAAATTTTGACATTTCATTTACAATTATTCATTATCTTATTTTACATAAACTTACCATGGGCAGAAGAACTGAGGGCAAGGTCTTCTTCGAGAAAAGAAATTTGTTGTTCAGAAGCTACTGTCATATTCAATTCGACCATTTCTTTACATGGAGTATTAGTATCCAAATGCATTATCCTCAAAATCCTTCAATTTTAACATTGTTTATGGGCAAGCTGTAAGAAAATATTTTGTGAGATAAATTGATGTACACACTAAGAGAGCGTATTACCTAACCAACAAGTTCAACATTTGCGTGCCAACGTTCTTCACTAAAACTTTCAATCAACATTAATCAAACGATGAAAAAAACATTCTCTTGATAATCATGAACTATAATAACACATGACTCTATAAACAAATAACTGAGGCACAGTGAAAAAGTGTAAATACATATGCAATAAATCTAAATCACTATACACACACACGCACATGTACACATAAGGTAAAATATATTTGAAAATTCAAATACTAACGCACACTTGCCGCATGCATAAGCTCAGCTTCTGCGTCGTCTTTTCCACATTTTTACAAACATATGCGCGGAACGCAGTAATAAGTTATAAACAATGTGGACAAAAAACAGAGTAAAGAAAGAAATAAGCGGACACAACGATGACGTACAGCGGAGCAAAGGCTATATTCAACTTGTGTAGCAGCTGCTCTCCTGCTGCTCTCCTCGCGCGAGTCGCGACGAGCGCCAACAATGATGGAGCTGCTGCTGCCGAAAGGAGGGAAGAATGAAACTAGTCTCGTGACTCGTGACGTTCACACATCACCGCTGTGCTGCTCGTATTGGCACCTGAATATACATTGTAACGTATGTTAAGTTCTTCGTGTTCAGCGTCCGTAGAATGCAGTACGATTTCTTTTTTTGAAATCGTTATATCTAAAATTTTACACTTTAATTTATTTTTAAAGAAACAGATTTTTTTGGTAAAACGTGATGCGCTGACAGAAATCTGCAGGCTGGCCATCGTGTGCTATAAAATATAAGTCCAAAAGTAAAAATGATGATTATTAGATGTTTTGATTATCTAAATCCGATCATGTCGGTCCTTTTTTAAGTAATTTGATATATTTTAACAAGAAAGGGTCTTTTGTCATTTTTTTGTAAAATGTCAATTTCATAAATTATAAACTTTTAAATGTCTTAAATTTGAAGATTTTCACTAACTTCGGATGATAATTGTTTTCTATTTATTGTATATTTTTTGAAAATTGAAAAAATTGAAAGATATACTTATTTGTCAAGAACAAACACGATAGCAGTGAATGTGAAATAGCCCCCTGGATGATTTCCGTTTCTTTCCTGATACCTTTCAAGATACGTATATCGAAATAGGAGCTCACTTTGAATGGCGCGTATAGAATTTGAAGGGTTCAAAGTAAACTTTGAAACTGCTCAGATTGTAGGGAAATATTTGAAGGATAAATAAGTGGTTCAATTTTCAAAAAATATGCAATAGTTATTAGTATCTAAAATTATTGAAAATCGTCCAATTGGACACCTTTCAAAATTCGCATTTTACAAAAAAAATGAAACTAAAACAGAAACTTTCATTTTAATGCATCAAATGCGTATATTTTAAATTATCTATAACAAAATTGTTGCAATAAAAAAAAACTATTTGCTGCTAATTTGTTTAAACGATTGCAATTTAAATAAAACGTATCATGTTTATCGAAAAGAGAACTGATAAGTTTGAATTTAACGGATAAAATACGTAGAATCGGATAAAATCGACCTTTTTTTCTTCTGGACATATAAATTGTTGAGCAGGGCAACATATCAAACTGTGGGAGTACCGACGGCGGGACACTTTTTACCTTCTTGCGCTTCGTGAAAATTAAATAACAATGTGAAAATTGGGCAGATATTTTAATTCGAAAAAGATTATACGGGATTCTATCGACACTGAACTCAGTGAATTTATAATAAAGAAAAACTAATCGGTAGAGGCGTGCGACGAATCGAAAATTTGATAAGATCGAAGCGATTTCAACCATAGTAGATTAGATTTTAATCGAATGTGTTTCGTTTTTAGTATAGAATCTTAGATTGTCTGGGCAAAAGCCTGAACGAAGATGTAAAATGAAGAATTTCGAAGATGATAATTGGCGAAAAAATAATAGATCATCAGTTATTGACAATTTATTTGTTTAAAAGATTATGCGCAATTTATTTGTGATCATGATTTGAAATTTACTATCATATAACGAATGCATGGCTTTTTGCAGATTCCAAAAATTTTGAACAAAATTTTTAGTCGAATCGTTAAACTGGCCTGTCTTTCGGCTGACACGCGGCTTCCCTCTGCTTGCGCATTTTGTTTGTTTTTTTCTTTAACTCGCAATGTTTCGATATTTATATATTCAATTCGTCTTTTATTACAAATATTTCATGCCATAAGAAATATTTGACATACTTTTCTTTTGAAGAACCGGAATGATTATATAGTATTCGGCATAGCATATTATATATATATATATATATATATATATATATATATATATATATATATATATATTATATTATTATATATATATATATATAATTTTATCCATTTAAAATAGAATAATATGTACCGGTTATACAAATTAAATAGAAGCTTCAATCTTTTACTAAGTATTAAAGCCCTTCGGCAGGCTGGGCCAGATCCCGCATGCAATAAATTATCTAAGGTTAAATCTAAAACATATAATACGGTAAATATATGTTCGATAGTATCAACACTACCGCAATTTAAATTATTTGAGTTTTTGATTCCTCACCAACCCCTGGGAAGAGAAGATAAAGTTCAACTCAAATTTTCTAACACACTATTCATCAGTCATATAGCTTGGTTGCGAAATGCTACGGGTGACCGTCGATGGTTTCAGCTAAATTCCTTTCGAGTGAACAGTAAGTACAAGCAGAACGCTGCTCGCTCAAAAACTCATCAAATAACAATTATCTTGAAATACAAATTTTAATTAATAATACAAATCAATCGATTTTGTAATTGCGAAGGTGGAAACATTCAAGAAATAAAATGTTAGCAAGCAACTTCTATTCGTAAATCACATAATAAATTATGACTTCTTTGAACAATTCCCTAACAATGGATTAGATAATTTTGGCATTCATCGATATTAGTAACACTACTTGGATTTATTTCTCTGCCATAAAAAAAACCCTAGCAAGCTACTCTTACACATGTTAAATAATAAGTGAACGCTTCCTTAAAAAGTGCGATGTCGACCGATTGAATGATTCTAGCATTAGGTTTATTTGCTCTTTCTATAGATTTTCGGTATTCCACTAGTACTGAACCTCTGGCAGCACCATCAGTCACAGCCTGTACATAAGTTTCGATGCTTGACTTAATAATCTGAGGCCACAACATCGTGGCAACTGTTAAAGAATCTGCACTGATGTAGAATTTGCGCGGAGAATTTAAGGCTACATGTTCAATTGCATTGATAAACTTCATATAAGGTGAAGTCATCTTACCAAGGATTTGGATTCTCCAAGCCTCATTGAAAAAAAAATAGAAAGTTTTTATTATTAATTTGTCCTACAGAGTAGTTCAAAAGTCGTTCGTGAAAGTGTAAAAATTTCACCTTAATAATTCTGGCGTTATATGCAGTTTCCCAAGGGAACAAAGTCAACTGTGAACTGTTGGTCGAACTCAGTAGTATGAAATTGCCCTCCGGATCGGCGGCAAAGTTGAATTCCACGTTAGCTTTGTAGTTGCCTCGACCGGCGATACTCGAGCCCATGACGTGAAATTTTTTCATGCGGCCGACCAAATTGCCGTCGAGAGAGGCAGCCAAAGCGACATTGGTCGTTGGACCAAGCATGACGATACTAACGTTTCCTATATATATTCAAGTCAATAAGCATTTGTTATTTTGTTTTGTTTCATTTTGATAAACTGCACCACTTACGTTCGTATTTCTTCGTCAATTCGATAATCGCTAAAGATGCGTGCATGGACTCGATTTTTTTTACATTCGATCTTAGTAGTGGTAAACTGTCACCAAATCCATCCTTGCCATAGGTATTGTCAGTGGCAAAATTAACGGTTAATAGCGGTCGCTTTGCTCCTCTGTACACGGGAATCTTCGATATGAAGAACAATCATAAATTTATTATTAATATGCATTTGTATGTGTGCATATGTAGAGTTTACACACTGACGTCTGTTCTGTTGGCGAAGCTCAGAATGCGAATCACATTGTTCTCGACATTTTCTTCCTTCGTATTGCCGTAGGTACAAGTGATAGCCACGATTTCGTATGGAGATTCATTCAAAGCTTCTGCTCTCAAGAGCATAAGAATCGCAACTCCATCGTCACCTCCGGCGTCTGTGTCGATTATTAACTTTTCCGCGGTGGTACTATATTGGATATTTTAATTTTTTATAAGATTGAAATAAATTATATTGATGTAGTAAGATTCTTACCTTAGAATAGAAGTCAATAGAAGTACGAAACTCTTTGAAATTAATGTCATCATTTTTAACAAACCAAATTACAATGAATGACGCTCGCTTGTCAATTATATAGCGAATCTTTCAACTTCAATTCGAGCTCAAAAGCGACCGTTTTTCTTATTGCTCAAACTCACAATTAAATAATAAAAGTTAAAGGACAAACCAACAAAACATTTTTGCACATGTTTAAGTTGGTAAAAATTCAAATTTTGTGCTATTACAATTGTGCTCAAATTGCCAAATTTAATCAGTTGAAATAACGTGCACTTATGATCCGTCGTACAGTTTAACACAAGGTTAACAATAATGTTTTCTTCGCGTTCGCGTTCACAGATGATACATAGTATACTTTGTAGTTGATCTGAAAGTTGTATAATTCGTGAGTTTTTTAATTGATTTTAATTTGTTTAAAGGATTAAAAGAGTGTTGGTATATATATAAAATTCTCTTAAGTAGAAAAAACAATTTTTATTATTCAAATTTGCATTAATACATGAAAAAGGTACAAGTTACAAAATTGTATATTAGTTTGTTATAAAAGTATAATAATAAACTATAGTGTATTAAACTTAGTGTTATTATTTTTTTCTATATATATTTATTTTTATACGTCCTGCTGGAGTATAGAAATATGGAAGTAGAGCATCATCCTCTTTATCTACTCATATACTTAGAAAAATCTTTGTAGCAATATGGTAACAATCACAGTCACATATTTAAAATAAATGTGTAATTATTCAATAATCATTCTTTAATAAAGAAGTACCTCTTTGTTCATATTCCTATTAAAATATAAAAAATGAAATATAAATACAATCTTTCACACATAATGTGTCAAACATGGAATTCAGTGTTGTAAAAAAATAAAAAATTGTCGCCTTTTTCTCTTTAAATGCTTTTGTCAGGCTTATATCAAGATAAAATTAATTCAGTTATGGTTGCTGTATTTGTTTGGCAATCTATTATCTCTCGACTGACTTTTGATTTTGCTTTTGCGATAATAGTTGTGATCAAGCAAAGCATTGGTTGGCAATGACGAACTTGTAAGTTTTTGCCATTGTCTACCGCACGTTTGCGAATGACGCTTTGCCATGATTCTGACTTTAAAAAGTTTTTTGCAGACGTCACATTGATATTTAATGGAAGTTTTGTTGCAATTCCAACATATTGTTTTAGTGACACAATCTTTTTGTTTCGACTTATTGCATGTGGCACAGAAGGTTTTGAAGTATTTGATCGAATCTGAAATGGTGAATGAATTACTAATTTTATTTACGATATTGACCTTTGGCGTAATAATCTAGCAAATCTTTCATAACGTTAAAATTATTTTTTTATTTTAAGAAAGGAATTATGCAATTATGTTAATGGGATTATGAATATTCTTTCTCTTTTAAGTCCTAATCGTTCGTTTTTTCTAATAATATACAAAGTCCTATTTTATAAATATTTTATTAATTGTATTTTGAACAAAACTTAATTCACTATCATGAAAATAAACTTGTGAGAATTTTTGTCAATATATGAATGACTATTTGCATAGCTGTTATTTGAAATTGAGAAAAGAATTTTTAAATGTAACTACATTGTTAAGTTAATGTTTTTTCAGTTTTTGTATAAAATTGCATCTGATAATATGGGAAATAAAAATACATATCTTTAAAATAATTTTAGTCGGACCTTAACTTGGGAATGCTAATAGATAATGTTAGTATTAGGTGTAACGATTGGAGATTTGTCATTGACGACGTGTTTGCTTGACAAGTGATCAGTATAACGTACCGGATTTGTTTTGCAAAGTATTTGAGCTCTTTTCTTGTCCTTGTTCCGTTTGATTATTTGTGATGAAAGTTGTATTGCTTATTTTCTTTTTACAATTTCGTTTAACATGCAGCAAAGCCGATGTGTATTTGAAATAAAATCGACTACACTTTCGACACTGGAAAGTATATTCCTCATGACATTGTTTACAATACGGCTCGGTTTTTCCTCGCACATATTGTGGATGTTTGTTGCATTCGAAGCAACATATGTTCAATAATTGTTTGATTTCTATAAATAATATCCATTTGGAAAATTGAAACGTGTAATTTCAATATATTCGATTTATTATGAACTCACCATTATAATTTATATAAATTTTCTTCTTTTTCGTTTGTGCTCCTATTTTTACAGTTTTTTTTGTTCCTCTGTGGCATGCTTGAACAAGAATTTTTTTTAAATGTAATTCACCCAGTAGGAACAACACAATACAAATTTAACAAGGATACAGATTTAATTAATTACCATTTTCTACTTGTTTAGACCGTTTGATTATTTCCATGATGTCATCTATATTTTCTTTATCCAACTCTGTACTGTGTACTACTTCAATGTGATTTTTCAATGTGCTGCTATACCATGAAGTACTTGAACAAAATATGCATGTGTAGAAATATTTTAAGCTACAAGATTCTAATTGATGCTTTTTCAGTAAGGACAAATTTTTAAATGGTCGATCACAGGTTTCACATTTTAAATTATAGTTTTCATTCAGTAGTCTAGAAGGTTGAGAAGAAACATAAAGTTCTTGATTGATAAAACCACATTTGTTGCCATAGTGAAAGTCATCTTCTTGCTTTTCAAAAGTATCTATAATTGGAGTTCTAGCATTTTTAATATAATTTTTCTGCTTAATTTCATCTTTCAAGACATTTGTTTGTGGATTCTCATAACAGTAACTGAAACCTAGATTTCCTTCTACACTATTCTCATCAGAGTAGTAATAATTAGTTCCATTTGTAAAAAGAATATCATCACCACACTCCAGCTCATCTGATCCCACTAATGTAGTCCCTGCATGTTCATCATAGTTAGAGCCATTTGTAAAAAGAATGTCATCTCCACACTCCATTTCAATTAGATTTGTTTTTGTCACCACTTTTTCATTATAATAACTATTACCATATGTATAAAGAATATCATCTCCACACTCCATGTTAACTGGATCTTCTTTGATAAACATTGCATTTTTATTGTTAACAAAATTATGATTATCTTCAGATTTAATTTTATTATATAGCTGGGACTTGCAACCATAACTGTCTAAATTTTGACTATTTGAATAGTTTTGGGAAGGATTTGTTTCAATAAATTGTTGTGTGATGTACTCATTGATATCGTGAAAAAAATTGTTATTTTGATTGAAAATCAATCCTTCCAAAACTATCTCCTTCTCTTTAACCAACATCCATTTATTAGATAACACATTTTTAACTGATAATTTATTTTTATCATGATCTCCACATTTTTCTAAAGTGACTAGAGTTTTATTTTCTCCAAAAATTATTTCATTACATTTTAAGGTAACATTTTTCTTTGTATTTCTTTTAGATTTAAAATATTGAGTAACAAAATTCTTGTCTAGAACGATCTTTGGTTCAGATAAACACATATTGTAATTAGTTAAATAAGTTGTACTCATTGATCTACCTGTAAATGATATAAAAAATGTATAACATATTTTGTAATTTAAAAATATTGATAATATCAATAATAATATCTTTGAGATATTTGAGAAATTCTTCGCTATTAATTTACCATTTGTAGCAAAGTGATTCTCAATATTGAGTTGGTTAATACAAAATTGTTTATATATTAGAAAATTTTATAAGCACAATATTATAATAACTTTTTAAACATAAAAATTCTTACTAGCCACTTGTTTTTGTTTCTTTGAGGGAAGCATTTTAATTACATATCCTTATAACTTATTTTAGTATAGCAAAATTCTATAGATTTGCTTATTCATTCTTTATAATCTCTTGATTTTGCAATCTAGCCTCAGTATTACAACAATCTAACAACTAATTGTTTAAAAGGCAAAACTAATTGCTACATACACAGAATATAATTATTCGAACTGGTTGGTAAGAATAAGCTACAATAATGAATAGCTATAATGTTATAAATAATTTTTTCAATCGCAAAAACTAGTGAATGTTTTTATTCACAGACTTAATCTATATATAAACTTGTGTCCTGACTAATTTAATACTGCTTATTTACGACTATACATTGTCCAATTTGAAGTATCCATAAATATTTGATAAACAGACAGTGCGCAGTGTCCATATACCGATGCTTATCATAGTATGATGGTGGCGAAACAGTACATATATATATATATAACTAGGTTAGGCTTGTTGCGCGCAAGCACGTGGTATGCAATTAGGAAATCTGCGGTGATCAGATCGTCATCTATTTATGAATATTTTTTAAGTCAAATATGAATAATAGTTGTTTATGATATATTTTTATTTTTTCTGTGCTCGAGTATTACCTAAAATTTAACCAAAAAACGAATGGCATACGAAGAGAAAATATTAAGCTAACTTGCATACATATATATAATGTTAAATTTTGATTTAATTACTATTAAAAATATATCTATAGCTGTATATAACAATGTGAACTTGGCAATAGGCTGAATGATGTAATTTAATAAATATATTATATTTTTTAGTAAAAAATATAATTATAAATATAAAAAATATATTACATAATTGCGTCATTAAGTAACACATTATAAATAATGAATAAATTCATTGCAATAGTAGTATCTATGTGGCTATACTTATTGAATAAACTTATCTAGGAATAGTTTATACTGCTTAACACAAGAGTCGAGAAAATAATGAGACTATAAAAGACGTGTATATTCAATCTAATATTGCAACGATGAATCTTTTTGAAAATGAAATGTGAATTTTATTGAAAAAGCCTTGATTTATTTAGAAAATGTGACTCTATAAGATTACATATACAATTTGACTATTTGACAAGTTGGCTTTATAAATTATATTGCTTATCTATGAAAGGTATCCAGTAATCGCTAATTTGAAAAAAACATATTGATTGATTAAAAATGATAAAAATTTATATTAATTATACAATGGTAACATACGAAATGTATGTTCCAATAGTTAAAACATACCTGCGATAGAATCACACTACTGTACTTGCCGGCTATTAGGACTATAGTTTTTAAGTTAAATGGTCTAGACAGTCCGAAGTCAACATTGTGATTTCACTCACACTGGTTGTTAACCGCACAGCGATATAGCCAGCAGGTAGGTTGATTTATTGAAGCCGATTAGGATCACCTTAAGGGCATTTCCCCCGTAAAACGTCCTAGATCCAGGTAGGCTGACCGTTCCCGAGTGTCTGTCGAAACAATAGTACGGCTGTTCTCGACTGTAATGGGTGGGTGAGATATATATATTGGTTCGTTGCATTCGTGCTTAAAATTGTAATTGCGGTTAGTTAGATAACCAAAGTTTAACACAAAAGTAACGTGCTCGTGCGAGAGAAGACATTGTCAAACTTAAGTAGCTCTTATACTTCTCAATGCTTCGAGCTCGATCCTCATAAATACCGTATACGTACACCACCGTCATAGGTCAGATTGCCAAATTTCATAAGGTGCGCGTTGCATTGGTTCAATGAGCTAAACAATAGTAGAAATATAGCTGTAGCTTTCAGTTTATTTTACAATGGTGATAAAGTGATCGATGTATAATTAGTCGTCTCTAATTTCCATTCTTATTCTAGATCGTTGGTATTGTTCATTCGTATAGTGCTACTAAAATTATTGAATAAACTATTTTTATACCTCTATCTGTTGTATTACTATTTTTTGCTATTACTCTGTATATTCAGCAAGTAATGATAAAATTGATTTTTATTCTTTTATTTATGCCATTTTCTATGAATAAGTATGACTTTTAAATAAGTAATTACTATTTAATTAATTTGATCTTTTCAACGATCATTCATCAAGTAAAATACATTTATTTTATTAAATTTAATGTTTAAATGACAAAATTATTTGAATACTTTCATCAAATAATTAATAATGTATAAGTGTGACAATTATTTTTGGATTATTCTATTTATCCTTAGCATCATCATTTTTCAAGTTATTTTCTGTGGCCAACTAATTGTTTTAATTGTAAATTGTAAATTTTGTGTATATGTGTGTGTGTGCTTGCGTGCGTATAAATTATATAACTGTAACAAAATTCGTATCACATTTTTACTGTAATTATTAACTGTCGCGATGAGAATGAATATCTATCTGATTGTATTATTGACCCGTTTAACATTAAAAATTTTAGATTATTGGTCAAATTATTATATTTGAAAATTTTTTAAAATAAATAAAACATCCGTAAGGAGGAAAACAGATTCTATTGTTCAACAGATTACACAAATATTGATTAGTTTCATTGGGAAAATAAGAAACTTAAAATGTAAACGCACATTATTTTACGTAACATAGTTTTAGATGACAATTAATTTGAAATTCCAGTTGAAATTATCATTTGTTTTTCTTGTTTATATGCTATAATAAAATCGGATTATATATAGTGCACAGAACGTACTATAATACTGAAAAAATGACTGTTGACGTATGTGTAACTAATAACCATTCATGGAATTTCATTTTAATCCCATTCGTTAAGCAGTCAACAAGCGAGGCGATTGCAAGTCAAGTAGTACACAAGTGAGTCCATAAACATTTTGGAGTCGATAGTTTTAATGATCTTTGCATTGGATGTCTCTGGTTTATATTTATTTCGGTTCCAATCAATTAAAACTGAGCCTCTTGCTGCACCATCATAAACTGCCTGTACGTTAGCATCTACCGTATCTTTGATCATCCCCGGCCAGAGCATCGCTGCGACTGTCATTGCGTCTAGTGGCGCGTAGTTTTGTTCATCTCTTTGCAGGCTGATCCTCTCAATTGCATTTAAAAACTTGATGTATGGCGACTTGTGAGTCCCTAATATTTTATTTCGCCATTTCTATAACCGAAACGGTTTCGAGATCACGTTAGAAAAATCTTACGGGGAAAGTAATTGATTAGAAATTACTCAAATACTGAGTACGTCATTTGATTGGATGTCCGATTAAGATATTTCATGAAAATATTAATATTCATTCGAATATCTCATATCGCATAGTTGCAAATTCTGAATTATTTTCAAACATATTATACCTTCGAAATGTTTGCATTCAAGCCAGTGTCATACGGAAAGAGAGTAGTCTGATCACTTGTCGTCGAATTTAATAAAATGAAGTTACTTTCGGGATCAGCGCCAAAGTTAAATTCGACGTTAGGCTTGATCACTCCTATTCCCGAAATAGTTGAGCCCATCACGTAAAATTTTTTTATTCTTTTAATAAAATTACTGTCTAGCGAAGCCGCCAGTGCCACGTTAGTTGTTGGTCCAAGTACGATGACGCTAATGTTTCCTAATTTATTAAAACTTTGATATATATCATAAGAAAAAAATGAAAAACATTAGTATACCTTCGTGTTCTTTTGATAAATCTACCAATGCATTTGACGCATGTTTCGACGTATTTATTTTGCCAGCAATTTCTGTAAAAAGGTCAGCATCGCCAAATCCATCTTTTCCAAAAAAGCCGTCGCTCGAAAAATTTCCAATTAATGGTTTCTTTGCTCCCGGAAAGACTAGAATCTAAAGGAATAAATTACACAGAGTTTATTGACAATATCGAAGATCAACTAACTTTTCACTTTTTTCCACTTAAAAGTTCTTATCGTTTCAATATATGTATATCAAATGATATTTGTTGCGAAACGTTCTCTTTCATTCGAATATAAAGAAAATGAATTTTCACTATCAATTTATAAATAATATAGCATCTAAAGTCGTTACAGCAAATAATTTGCATGTGATAAAAAGTGTTATAAGTTATGTCATTTCAGTTGATTGCTCGACATTGAAATTGATATAATTTGTATATTATGTTATTAAAAAGACATAAACAAAGTTATTTAGCTTTCGAAATACTGGATTGCAGATTTATATCTAAATAACTATTTTGTTTTAACTTCAGTATTATGTAATAGTTAATTTTTCTTAACTGTTCAAAGAATGGTAATTATAATATTCACCTTCGTATAATTTTATTACAAAAAAACTTGTCATATTATAATCTATTATTTATTATATCAAATGCGATAAAGTGATCAAATTAAATTCCTAAATATATTGCGTTTTTGAATTTATTTGTAAAATCGCTTAATTTGTCAGCAATATAATAGTGGTACAATATAAATTATAATCAAAGTTTATTTGAGCTAAGGAAATGGTAAGCTTGAATGATAGACATTTATCTTCTCAACAAATTTGAAACTATCAATTTTTCTAATTTTATAACAACAAATAACTCACATCAGTGCGATTAGCAATAGTCAATGTTTTTAGTACGTTAATTTCAACGTTCTCTTCCTCGGTGTTGCCATAAGTACAGGTGATTCCAATAAGTTCATAATGTGGTAAATACATTTCTCGCAATGATTCTGCTCTTAATAGCAACAGAATTGCAATGGCATCGTCCGATCCAGCGTCCGTATCAATAATCACTTTTTCAGCATTTCCGCTGCACGTATTTTATTAAAATTTATAGGTACTTGTATTCGAATTCAGACTCAATTTATCAACAGGTTCATATATGTATTCCAATCAAATTATATGTGTTATACTTCACGTTATTTTCTAATACTAATGGATAGATTACCTGACAAACAGAACCAAATGCAGTGTGCACCAAATAAATAAATTCACCATTTCGAAACAATATATTTTCCACTTGTAGGTTTAAAGAAATTTTTCTGTGACAAATAATCTGGAAGAGAGTTATAATAGTTCAATACCGCAACCATCATGTAGAGAAAATTAAATGTTTGCTAATAAGCCAACGATGGGGGATCATATTCAAGACTTGCTCATATGAGCGACTATTTATTAAACGTGTGCGGTTGGAAAACGAATTATACTTATTTTACATATCTTATCGGTAGGCCGACAATCGTGCACATAATTATTTCGTACACTTTAACCATTGTGCACGAAAATATTTCTAATGACGTCGGTAGATAATGCAGTATTTAATTTGTATTACTTCTTTAGACATAATGTGAACGTAGAAATATTTAACAATTTCAACGATTGAATTCTTGTACAATTAAATGTAAGTGTAGATACTCTTTTTTTACTATTGTTTTATTAAACACAATGATACTTTGGGGTGACATGATTCCTTTCTTTCGACAAAAAATACTATTTCGTATATGTTTGCGAGTTGTTACTCTATGTGTAAACGAATTTGTTTTCAAACTTATTTACGTAAATTTACGTAAATAACTCCACAAAAAGGTTTGAATGTATCGAGTACAACTAATGTTGGCATTAGTTGGTCTTAATGTTTCATTTCATCTTTAGTCGATGATATAGCATCTATATAATGAATTGTGGTAATTATAAAAGAAGTAAAACTTCAGTCCGTAGAATTTTACACTAGTAATCAGTTGTTTAAGGATTATTATTTAAAATATTTTATAAGATATATGTAAAAATTTTGAAATAGTCAAGAGTATGTTTAGCGTACTATTGTACGGACCTACAGAAACTTATCGAAGACTCTTCATCGACGTGGATAAGTCCTATTTGGAATGTTTGAAGAGTAGATCGCATGGTACAAGCTTCACATATTGCCGTTCAAATTTATTTCACTCGCAAAATGGGTGAAAAGACTTTCCTGCAAAAAACTAATATCAACTGGTAACATTTACAATACCGTGATTGGTCAATTAGACCCGCAGGGGTTTATAACGAGCGACTAGCATTTTGTATCAGAGCCGTTAAATTGCTCAAAGAAATCTCCGGGCATGATTTAACCAATGGAGACAATGTTGCGACGATTATTTCGTTGTATATGGCATCATGCCAATCGCCGCATCGCTTTATATAAAAGCTTACATCCGTGTTGTCCTCAGTTATCTGCTGAAACTTTGAACTCCAAGCGTTGTCAGAAAGTATTCCCTCTTAAAGTTGTCTAACAACATTGAAAATTGATAATGGCGTTTTCGATTTGTTGTATATTAATCTACGTGTTATATTTTAATACTGCAGAAAGTACAGGTGAGCGTAATAATTGTTTGAATTTTGCGATATTTTTAAGCTAAAGGCTCTTTCACGTGGGTAGTGTAAAAATGAATATTCTAACAGTGGATGAAGAAATTTTACAATAAATGTGGTGCAATCAACGATTAGATGTTTTCGTTCATTTTTATTATGCATATCACTTCCCTTTTAATCGTCATGTTCTGTATTTAGACTATTATACATTACAATTTTGGTAATTTTTAAAACTATAAATTTCTAATCAATTTAATAATTTATTAAGAAGGAATTTGTGCTACATTACTTCAACATATGATGGATAATTGAATCAATGTCCAAGTGGAAATATAAAAAATTCCTTTAAATCGAGTGAGTGAGCCATCTAAGAGAGCAAACTTATTGTTGAAAGTAAGAGAAAATGTATAAAGACAGACACGAGTATATTGACCTCGGCCATGTATTACCGCAAAAAATTTCTTATGATGTATCAATTTCACACAATAATGCTTGATAATGAGAATACATGATATTCTCGAAACGTCACGTACAATTTAATAAATTTAATGCGTCTGCTCTCGAAAAAATCAGTTAAGCAATTTTTTTGAACACTACCTTTCCATGAATTTAATTATTGCAAATGAGCAGCGATAAAATGCATGAACAAAAGGGAAAATAAAAAATTTCATTCATAGCTATAGGTTTATAAATAGACATAATTCGCGATTCTTTTTTTAAATTAGAAGAAATAAGTGGAAAATTACTTTTTTAAGATTTTTACAAACAAGATCTCAACTACGTTCCTCAACTAAAAGACAACAAATTCCATCAGATAAAAATCAAAGGAATGGACAGAGTACCTCATAAAATACAAATCGGCAAAGATTCACTGGCAATCGACTTTGTCAACGCTTGTTCTTACAAAAACGGAGGTTGTCAGCACGCATGCCTAATCAAATCCTCAACGAAATATGATACGTCCAGCTGCGCGTGCTACGTGGGCTACAAGTTGAAGTCTAATTTGAAGGATTGTGAGCTTATTGCGTACGATAGCAACAAAAATACTAGTGAATCTTTCAACGCACCAAGTGGACATCGCATTCGAAGACAAAGTATGGGACTTTTTGTCGTTAGGTCGGCTTTACGCAAAAGTACCCGTAAAACATCAACGGGTAAACGTCGTCTCCGAGAACATATCGCCAGGAGACTTTCTACTGATAACGTGAATAAAATGTTTTGAAATAAAAATGCGAGTAAACGTTATCTTTAAAGATATATCACGTATCAGACATTATCTAATGAGAAAGATGGTTTCACTGCTATATTGATTATGACGCTACAGAAAAAGAAATATTACATGTTTGTTTCGAAAAAAGATAACTTTTTTTGTACGACTGAAAAAGAATTTTTACTTTATAAAAGGATTTTTGTTTATTTTGATAAAAAGTAATTACTTTTTCATAAACAAATCTTGCCAAATATTTTATTACGCCTACAATTACATGAAGCTCAATAATTATTTGGCAACATTGGCTGAAGCAAGGAACTTCGAGAAAATGATAAAATAGGCAAGCTGTACAAAAATTCTATAAATACACGGTCGAAATATTCAGGTGGCCTGAGAAATCGACCTTACAATTTATTTTTTATAAAAAAAAAGTATGTAATTACAAAGAAAACTCTGTATGCCTAATTATACATCCATCAGACGTAATGATTTACGTTCAAAGCGTTAGCCTTATGAAGATGTAAATATATATTATTATATACATATGTAACAATAATTCAAATGCCTTTTGCAAACGTATCACTTATTACATTTCCATTTACAGTTTCGCCTTAGTTCATTAGTCAACAACATTCAAACATAATAGCGTTTCAAGCTCTTTCTCGTCTTATAAGATCAAGCTTTACAGCAAACGATTCCTTTCATAAATGTGTGATGAAATTTTTAAGACTCCACAGTATCTAAAGCATTTTTTAATTATGATGTATTATAAATGAAATTTATATATACCGAAGTAGAAACTGTGAACAATCGAAAAAAAGATTGACACGCGAATAAGAAAAAAAAACATTTGTCAAATTGGTAAACCGCTGCGTACACGTCTTTACTATATTTTGTCTATCACGCAGAACATAAGATGAACGGAATAGCATTCCGTTTCTCAACTTGATAGAAGAAAGAATAAAAAAATTTCACAGAAATTTTGTTGTTCCTTTCTTTTTAGACAAATTGTTCGCTACTGTTGGCGCCAATCTCAAGTAACCGCCACGCTGCCTTTGGATTGAGTTCCATAGGATCTCTACACAAGACCCAAACATAATTCACTCGCATAACTTTTTCTGGGTCACCTTCGACTACGTTTCCTTTGGCATCTCGCATGCACATTATCTGCTGCGAGGTGAAACTAATGGCAAGTACTGGGCCTTGCTCCATTACCTTTCCCATCAGTAAGTCGACGTTGTCAATGTCTGTAAAAGTAATATTTATGTTTACGTTATAAAATTTGTAATAAAATTGTTTTAACATCAATGATTCTGATTCTTTACCTAAAATTTTACTATCTAAACGATAACCTAATTTCATTGCCTGCTGTAGAGGTTGAGCAATGACATTGTAAGGAGCTTCATGACACCAATCTTTTAAAATTTCGAGGTCACCTCGAATCATGGCTTCGAGTACGTTAGGAATAATATCGGTTTCACAATCTCTGATGAATTTGACTTTATCAAAACTTGGATCAATTTTACAAATTTCCGTTAATGTCTCGGATAATTCAGTTTTCTGAAAGAGACCACCAACAATATCCGACACTTTATCTGTCAATAATCTCGAGGCACGTACTACGGGATTTTCGGACTCTTCATATTTAATTTTCCAGTCAAGTACTTTATTTACATAAGGATTTTTATCCTATACACAGAAGTTATTATTTATTTATTTGAACAAAACGTTTTAATCAAATAAAAAGGAATTAATTAATAATACCTTGAAATTTTGCCATGATTGATAAAATTTAGAATCTCTGTGCAATTCAACACCTGTAGCTTCAAAATTAGGATCAACAGGCTTATCTTCACTAGTATCAATAATTTCTTTTCTTTTTCTCAATTTTTTCGGAGCACTATACACCCGACCTACAATGATAAATATAATTAAATAGTTATGTTACTTAAAAATACTTAATTTGATATATATATTTGTTGAATAAAAACCTTGAATTCCATGATGATCAAGTTCTTGTCGTACTGCCTCAGCAGTTTGAGATATTGTTTGAAAAGCTCCAGTTTTGCCTAATGCTTGTCCTTTTTCTGAAATAGTGTCTGCTGCCTCTTTAGCTGATTTAGAAATTGTTTCTCCTAATTGGCCAGCTTTCTTTCCTATTTCAGTTTTACTTGCTTCTTCTACAACTTCTTGAACCTGAAGCCAAATTGATTAATGTGAGTTAAAGTTAATTATTGATAGTTATAAAATATTTTCATACCTTTTCTCTTAAACCTTCTAATTTTTCTTTCAAAATTTCTGAACTTTTACTAGCTTCTGACTCAACTGTCTGAAATTTCTGTCTGGCAGATTTTAAGGCATCCGATTGTTCCAGTTTTTCAGCTTCTTCTCTGAATTTTTTCAAGGACTCTTTCATTTCTTTGTTTTTCTGCATTTCTTGCTTGATATTGTCTATGAATTTTGTTATAAAACCTGCACGACTTGAATAAAATCGACATGGTTGATTTTGACTGTATGTAATATGATTTGGAATTACATAGGGTGATGTACATCTTGCTATTGATGTGTTTTGATGATAAATTTTCAATTTTGTTGTGTAAGTCAATTGCACTATTCGCCACAAATTTACCCTGCATGTTGTGAAATTCTGAAACTTTAAATACCAATCATTAAATTAAGGAAATCTATCTATAAATAATTGTACTCGATACTATAAATATACAACAATAATAAACACTTTTTCAAAAAAGAAACCACAATAATTAAGAATCCCTTCCTCATGAACTGTCCTTTAATATTAAATACTGAAATCATTTGCAATTATGTCATAGCATGACGTTTATAATATGTAACTGTTTTGTAAATGACTGATCATTTTATAAGTGACAATATGTCAATTTCTTGCAAAATTTACGAAGTTACGCAAATACTACTAGAAAACTCCAAAAGTATAATTTTATCTGTGAAAATAATCATTAAAATGAATCGTAAATATAGCCCCATGCACAATAGTAAAATACATTCTCATGAATTTTAACCTCTAATATTTCAATGGAAAACCGGCTCCGTCAATGAATTGTATGATGAAACAAAATTAATCGAGCAAATAGGCAAAAGCTCTATTCGACAGCTCAACCACCAAATAACAGTTGACAAGTTCTTAATTATTAGTTGTTCTAATATTTACCATATTATCAGCAATAATTGACGACGATCCTAGGAATAACGAATAGAAAAGTGAAAAGAGAAGACGAAAATTCGAGGATCAAAGTTTAATCGCTGCACGTTGCATAGGCTAGAGGCGCCACCGGTAAGGCCCCGCAATATTGAAATTCTTTCGTGATCTTGCGTTTAGTGCCCTGTACCACGTGTTTTCATTAATTAGCAATTATGATGAATTTGTAACATTACGAATTAAAGTTTTAACGTTTGGTAAAGCAATTATGAATTCGAAAATTTTCAACGGTGAATCTCATAATTATTATAATGTATATAATGAAATTCTTTCAATTGTATACTATTAAGAAAAGATAAAGCAATAAAAAATCAGCAATCGTAATTTTCATAATTGTTCACGAAGAAAATTGATGCAGCGTAATATTACATAATTATTTGCTGTTAAATTAATTCTAATTACACAGAAAAATTCACGTTTCCACAACTATTCTTAAGTCTATATATATCATTTGTATTCTCGAAAAAAAAATAAATTCCAACAAGATAATGTAACCAACATGAAAGATTAACTGCTGAATAAATAAATAAACAATCAAGCTAAGCCGGCGAATAATAAAAAAAAAGCTAGTCGGAGCTCCGCATGCGCGCGCAACCACGGTTACAATTTGCGGAATTGTAATGTAATATATAGGAGGTTAGGTAGGAAAAGCGCCGCGTAGTTGTAAGAAAGGCAAGAGAGAGACGAAAGAAGCCGTGTACACAAAATTTTATCTCTAACGCCGATCAGTCGCCACCGCTTAGAAGAAAAAGAATTTAAAAAAATTAGTCGTTGGTGGCTCGATGATGCACAAGTTGGAGAAGCTTAATTCGTCTATCGACATAATACCGTTGCAAAGCTCGACGAGTATGGATAATAACGCAGCTGCAAGGCGAAAGACTGCAACAACAATGGATAAGCCACTTAGCATGCAACAACCTCAACGCGTCGAAGAACCCAACGCGCGCATTTTTCGTGATCCCATGATCCTTTCCAGAGTTAAGACGGTAAGGAGATGTCTTTTTTACAGTTAAATACGTGATTTCACTACTCTTAGTTAGGATCTTTGAGAAATACAAAAATTTTCATTTACTACGCGATTATCTAGCTTATCGTGGGTTTCAATTCGACACGAGTTTTGTTCATTGGAGTATATACATTGTTGCTGCTCATTGTCATAGTTTGTTGAAGATCGTTCACCAAGTGAATGTTAAACTTTTTGTAACATGGAAATATATAACTTAGCAGTGAATACACTTCCTGTAGTTGATTCTGGTTGCCTGAAATATGATATCAGTGCAGCATTTCTTTTCAGAGTCTTGATAAATTTTTTCAAAAGAATTGAATAGTCTCATGAATTCTAATATAATTATGATTAATAAGTATTTACACTGATTAACATGCAAATATTCTTTCAATGTATAGTATTTGTATGAGAATGAAGACAAAGTATATATAGATGTAACAGAAATGGCAGATTGTTTGCAAAGAAAGTACAGAGATTATAGAAATAAAAAGCGTGGTCCATTCCGAACTATGGTACGCAAGGCATATGATGAGATCACAGAAAATCTTACAAGACAAGCAGATACACGTTGGCAAGATGATGACGATGAAATAGACATAGATGTAATTTATATATTTTTTCTATTTTAAACATTTCTTATTGAGAAGCACTACATTAAATATTAAGTTAATTTCAGTCTGATCCCCAGATGGATACAATGCCTTCCCAATACTTGCCAACATTCAAGTGCTCAGAAAGTGGCAGGCAAAATGGAAATTTCAGTGATAAGGAACTGATTGATATTAGTAGTGATGATGATCAAGTCAATACTACCACAGCAGCATCAGTCCATCAAGGACATAAAGATCAAGTGGAAGTTGAATTGACTCAAGTTACCAAAAGACCACATTTGGAACCTAACATCCAACGCGTGGAAACTATCAGGACAATTATTCAAGTAATTTTTCATTTCATATTACACCATGAAGAAAATCTAGTTCATTGAAATTTTATAATTCTAGCCAGAAGTAATCGATTCTCAATACAAAACGAATCAAAGCAAATCAAGAAAAAGGCCTCGAGACAAAGATGATATCCCGGTGGATCTGCCAGTTAGTAAGAAGAAACCCAAAGACCTGCCAGTTATGAAACCTACTTTGAAATTTGCTGATATTGGTGGTAATAACAATATTTTGGAAACAGTGGCTAATTTGTTACTACACTTAAAGCATCCAGAGGTTTACACAAAACTTGGAATCTCACCACCTAGGGGATTCTTACTTCATGGTCCACCTGGATGTGGAAAAACTCTTCTTGCTCATGCTATAGCAGGAGTAAGTAAAATTGAAAGACTTTGTACTGTCTAATGAACTTACTATTGTATTTAAGTTTACTATTCTTATTCTAAAGGAATTGAGCTTACCTTTGCTAAAAATAGCAGCTCCAGAGTTAGTTGCAGGAGTTTCAGGAGAAAGTGAGCAAAGGATAAGAGAACTTTTTGAACAAGCAGTCGCTATTGCACCTTGTATTTTATTCCTTGACGAAATCGATGCTATAGCACCACACAGAGCTACTGCTCAAAGAGAAATGGAAAGAAGAATTGTCGCACAACTTCTTTCTTGTTTGGATGGTTCGTACTAAAGCGTTTATTTTGTCCCTAATTAATCTGTTACGATTTTTTAAGTTCTAATTTTCACTTGCAGAACTGAGTTCAAAGGAAAATGGTAACAAAGTTCTGGTACTAGGGGCAACAAATAGACCAGACTCTTTAGATCCAGCTTTACGAAGAGCTGGTCGTTTCGATCGCGAAGTTTCCCTGGGTATCCCCGACAAAGAAGCGAGAGCGGCGATTCTCAAAGTTCACACAGCCAAAGTTATGTTATCACCGACAGTATGCTTAGATAAGATTGCTTCGTTAACTCCTGGCTTCGTTGGTGCTGACTTGGTGGCTCTTATCAGAGAAGCTGCGGTTGCAGCTGTGAATAGGTATGAAATTAATTTTGAATTTACATACCCTAACAAGTCCCATAACACTCATATTTTCATTTGCAGAACATTCAACGAGTTGAAAAGTAAGAATGAACCCGAAATTATCGAAGATGTCGCGATTGAGTTATTGCCTGCATCACCTCGTGTATCCAAAGTTGAAGAAGTTGTGGAGAAGCCCGTTGAGTTAGAAGTTGCAGATGTCGTTATAGAAGAGGAGTCTGTTAAGACTGACGTTGCAGAGATTGTAGAGGATAAATCCAGTGGTATGAGTTCCTTGCATCAGTTACAATATCTTTTAAAATCATGAGATCTAAATACATAATTTAATAATTACAGATGAAAAAACTATTACCAGTGAAGAAGAGAAAAAAGTTGAAGAAGAGAAACTCGAAGAAGAAAAGAAAACTGAAGAACAACCGGCTGAAGAAGCATCAGCTCAACCTATGGAAGAGTTAGTCGACGCTCCATTAGAAACTTTAAATTCAGAGACTGAAGAAATTCCACAACTGGAATTAGTAGCTATTGATCCTGTAACAGAAACCGCAGATGTGCCAATAGTTGATTTTGAGATTCCAGTCTCAACTACTCCCGCTGAATCTACAGCAATCCCAGAAGTCGACACAACAATGAGTATGCAAGTCGAAGAAGTAAAAAAAGTCGACGAAGAACCTAAAATCAAATCAGTTTTAAAATTAGAAGATCTTCTTGCATGGCTACACAATGAACCTCCATTCAGTCCTGAACAATTGGCAATGCTTTGCGTTGAAGAACGAGATTTTGATGTTGCACTTACTAATGTTCAACCATCCGCCAAGAGAGAAGGTTTTGCTACTGTTCCCGATGTCACATGGGACGACGTAGGTTCACTTCAAGACATTCGCCAAGAATTGCAAATGACTATTTTGGTAAGTATATTATTGAATAATAATTGATAATAGTTTAATAAATATTTGGTTGTTCGCAGGCACCTATCAGACATTCAGAGCATTTCGCTAGTCTTGGTTTGACTACGCCTACTGGTGTTTTACTTTGTGGTCCACCTGGTTGTGGAAAAACGCTTTTGGCTAAAGCCATTGCTAATGAGGCTGGAATAAACTTTATTTCTGTTAAAGGACCCGAGTTGTTAAATATGGTAAGAAAACAATTTTATTTACACTTATATCAATGATTATTAAATGAAAATTCATTTTATTAATATTTCTTACTAATTTCCAGTACGTTGGCGAGAGCGAAAAAGCAGTGCGCCAGTGTTTTATACGCGCAAGAAACTCAGCACCGTGTGTAATATTCTTTGATGAGCTTGATGCTTTGTGCCCAAAACGTTCCGAAGGCGACAGCACAGCAACATCGCGCGTCGTCAATCAAATGCTTACTGAGATGGATGGTGTTGAGGGTAGAAAAGGCGTATTTCTCATGGCAGCAAGTAATAGACCTGATATTATTGATCCAGCTGTACTCAGACCTGGCAGACTTGATAAGATTTTGTATGTTGGCTTACCGACTGCTACCGATCGTGCTGATATTTTATCAGCTCTTACCAAGGTAAGCTAAGGCTACGGAATTTTAAGCTTAGTCTGTTAATTTTACAATTTCAAAATTAATTTTGCCTGTAGAATGGAAGAAAACCAAGATTAGGCAGCGACGTAAGTCTCGAGGCGATTGCCAGCAGTGAGAGATGCGAAGGCTATACTGGCGCTGATTTAGCTGCACTTGTCAGAGAAGCTGGAGTTGAAGCTTTACGAGAAATAATGAATGGCATGCACGGTTCAGCTGAAATCTGTGCACGACATTTGCGAGCTGCTTTTGATAAAATACGACCTTCAGTGCAAGACAAAGTACATAGTCAATTTTTATTTATTTTTTTTAAGAAGATTTGATGATTACTAACGAATATAATTTTTGCAGGATATCAAACATTATGAAAAACTAAAAAAATTGTATTCAGTGAAGAAGTATCAAAATACAGATTTGCCGATGTCAGTGGAGCCGCTGGAACCGACGTTGGAGGCAATGGAAACTTGAGTTTCATAGGGTTCATTTGATTTTCCAAGTTTATAAGATGTATAGCCAAGAAAAGGACACGAATTTATTATATTTTTCATTCTACTTTAATACTTTAAACTAGTTTAAAATCTTAGCGAATTATCGTGAATATTTTTTTTTATCGATGCCAATTTTTCATGTTTATTTGTAGAGAAATTTGTTCGTAATATTTTTTGTCATTAAGATATAGTCTCAATATGATTTGTATAAGTTTTTGATTTTCTTTTTCTTTTCATCTTGAAGTCACTAAGAAATATTATTTATGATGAATACACTTTCACATTTACAAACGTACACCTAGATTTAACAAAAAACACAGACTTTAAAAATGAATAAAGTATACTTGTAATAAATTTTGATTTTTTCATTTATGCGATACATTTGTTCATAGCGAAAAATTCTTCGAATGTATCTTTTACGAATACATAGTGTAATTATGTCGATCAGCACAATGAATGGTATACTGTTGAGATCCAGATGCCTCGTGTGTCGAAATTTTAACTATACTAAATTAAATAATTTTTACCTATATAAGTATAAAGAAAGTGAATCTTACCTAAAAGTTTATCGGAAGAAACGTACGAGTATTCTGTATATATTTTGAGAAATCTCATAACATATTTTTCAAAGGACTTTGCGCGGACTGCTTCGGACTGTAAAGAAATGCCTTTACAGCTCAACACAGTATTGCCCAATCTATATTTTTGCTAAAGTCTGTTTTCATGCTTGAACTTACAATCATCAGGAATTAAACGAGATATAACAACGAAACTCAAAAGTTCAACATAGTCGTCTTCGCGTACAACTAAGTTCTTCAATACGTATATCGCTGAAATGGGTGTTGCCCATTACGTGAATACCAGCATTGAGGATGAATATCAAGATAATTGTGAATATATATTTGATAAAATTAATTTGAATACGACTGTCTAAGTATACATACCGGTTTGTCTGAATACTTTTTCACATCTACGCCTTTTATAACTATAGCTAGTTGTTATAAGTTTGAAGTAGTTTTTATGATCAACTAAACTCTATGAAATTGATTATATCTTCACAATGAGGGAAATTAAATTCCCTTTTTTTGGATGAAAATTCCCACTTCTGCTTGTGACTTTTGCTCTTCTTACATTGATTACCCGATGCTTTCTTGAAGAACCCGAGTAAATCTTGTGGTTGGTAGGAACCAAAAACCTTGATGTCATCGTACGTCTTTATGAATTCGTATTGTACTGAGGTCTCAAGTGTTAAAATATAAATTTTGTAACTGTAAATATCACATGTTAATTGATAATCAGAATTTGCATTTTCAATACATTCACTATTGTTTCGATTGATTTCTTTTTTTTTTTTTATTTTCCAAAAAATCGTTATTTTTTCGTAAAACTGGTATTTGCTTTGAAGACATATAAAAAAAATTATTTCTTATTCATTACCATTCAACGGAAGCAAGAAGATAGACCGACTTTCGACAGATCAATGGAAATAAAACTTTTGAAAACTTTTTTATCATATCACATCCGATTTCGAAACTTTTAAGTCGAACAAAGGATGAAAAATCTTCAGAAATCGGTAGTTTTATTTATAATAGCGAATCCACAAATATTTTCTTAAAAGTTTCATCAATTTTCCACAGTTTTATAAACTGTTTTGTGAATATTAATGAATCGGTACTTACACGATTATATTAAGACAATAAAAAATAAAAGTGAATCTATATTGAAACTGTAAATATCTTTTGTGAAAATCAGTGATGCCAGTGACGTCCGCAAAACTTCCGTGTTACGTTATATATACATGCGTGTTTAAAAAAGAGAGTATAATGAAATATTCCGGATGCTCGAATGCACTTGGCATATTTTCACCTGGTGGAAAATCCGCAATAGTCAACAATCAGTTGTGGTCAAATTTTTTCTTTTTAACGTGTATCATAAATCTACAGTCAATAAATAAATACATCCATCATCTTTATTTGTTACAAAAAAAAAAGTATTTTTTTCTAACAATATACGTATTTTTGCTCGTATGACAAGTCAACAGTATATACGGGACATTTCACGACAGTTAAATTTTATAAGTGTCTCGTTAAGTTCGCATATACGATGATCAAACGATGGACATTTCAAATATAATAGAGCCAACATTGTTTCCACAGATTGCGAACGAAGTTATGAGTCTTCATTAGCTATTATATTATAAAAACTTCCATTTTTTCAATAAAAAAAGAGTGAATAGACGATAACAACATAATACCAGATGTATAGTAGGAAAAGCAAGAAATCAAATGAATCAGTTCGACTTATCACATACCACTGCATCCTATTTTGAAATCGCTAACGACCAATTTTCCACGCTTATTCCGTCATATTTGCAGCCTTATCGTATAGTGAATTTGCCGAGCAAGAGATAAAAATGTAATGAGATTTTAAAACCAAGATCGAATTCACGGCATGGACTTGCAATAAAAAAAAATAATTAACAGTCGAGTAGCTTTATCCATCATCGGCCGATCAACGAGTACGTGTAGCACGTAAAAGGCCGACCTTCGCGTCATAGGAGAGCCGAAAAATAAGAGAACAAGCGCGGCAAAGTTCCTTTCACCTGGCGCGTACGTATGCTTGATCGAGGATGCGCTCGAGCAAACCAGTAAGTTTAATAATCCCGACTACGTAGTCGCGCTCTCTTACGGCGGTAACGGGCGCGCGTATACGTATGTGTATATATATATATATATATATATATATATATATATATATATATATATATATATATATATATATAGTGATAAGCCAAACGTCCGCGCTACGCCGTCGACGCTCTCGCATACGTATATATAAAAATCGTGGATGTAGCCGATCCCGCAGTTTCGCAACTCGCCGCGTGCAGATTTTAATACTCGCGCGCGCGCGCGTCCGCGCCCCTGGCCATGAGGTGTTGCGCGCTTTCGTTGCTGCTGCTCTTTCTCGCCGGCGACGTCGTGGACGCCAGCACGCAAGATGCTTTCGGGTAATTGTCGTTGTTGTTGTCGTTCTTTTCTCTATTACCTGTACTCTTTCCGTTTTTTGCGTGTGCCCGTGGATTGTATACAGTGTCGTCATCGCCACGGGGTTTTCCCCTCCGCGAAACGTGTTCATAGCCTGTTGGTTTTATAACGCTTGCAATTCCGTGATGAAATGTGCGAAAAAAAAATTAGCGATCTTTTCCAAAAGAGTTTTGTTTGTCGCTGAAATTTAGATAACAAAACGCGATGCAGGATGGCAATGATGACCGTACCATCGTATGCTTGCCCAGGTGCAAATGTTGACAAATAGCATCTTAATTTTTCCTTGTAAACAGTTATTCCAGTGCACATCAAAGCCGCTTCTTGATTCATGAATAATATTTAAAGATTACACGTATTTGTAGATGACGTGCGCGAGTACAAATAAAACAGCAGTGTTCGAAAGTCTACCGTGCACAGCACGGTGAAATCATTTTGACGTTTGATATAACCGCAAATTGCTTATATTATCTGTAAGTTGGCTTTTACTTTTTTCCATACAAACGGACGTCATGAGATTTAATAACGTGACTTATCAAGATGTGCAATATTTCTGTGTTTGCGTTTAAAACAAAAATCGCGCAATATGGTTGTTAATCGAGCCTCAATTCAGAAATTCATCAATTATTCAAGTACATCGCTCTAAAAGAGAAACTGGTGAATGTGGCATCATTTGCAACTTTCTATAGAATTGTAAAAATCTCTGAATGTCATGAGGTGAAGACAATTAAAATAAACGATCGAATAGTGATCTTGCTGATCGATGTAGCATCTAACCCGAGTACGTGTCTGATAATTAATGCAATCATTTTTTAATTATGTTCCGATGCCATTACTTAACTCACTACGGGACGCTTGAAATACCAGTGATAACGTATTTTAAATAACTTTCTTACTTTTTTTTACTGTAGCTCAAATCCATCGTTTATTATTAAATTATTAAATTAATACTCGGAATATCAGTATTTTTGTCCGCTGGTAATTGTGTCACTTTGTGTTGATCTCTATTCGTTGAATAAAATAAGTCATATTTCGATTAGTTGATTAAACGGCGAAAAATTATCGAAGGTCAATCTACCTTCCTTACTTTACATTTGGAAAATGTCGAAAAACGAGTGGCTTTCCGTTTCCTTTGGTCGACGTGCGTGTGGCCGATGCTTGCGTAACTTACAAATGATGGATATCAGATGAGCAATTTTTCATTCATTACCATACAGAGAATATATACTTCGACAAGGCATTCTAAAAATAGGTCAGATAATACGTGTCACGATAAAATTTTATTTTGGAATTAATTTATTTTTTGCGCGTATACGATTATTTCATTAACGACTTATTAATTACAATTATTAATACAATTATTAATTGATACAATTATTTTCTTCTTGTTTGAAATGAATCCTCCAAAACATTCAAGTGTTAGGCTTTGAAAAAATAAAAATATTTCCATACGTTTAAACTAATAATAGATAATAGATAATAGATTATTATAATTTTCGATTTATCAGTATTATTATTATAATTAAATGTTAAATCTTATTTTACAATTTTTTTCAAATATAATTTAAATTGAAATATAATTTTAATCATTTCTATTGCTATCGCAAGCTTCATATTTATTATCGTTGTGAAATAGAGTCACTCAGCTAGTCGTAATTTATTGTCATGTTTTCTAGTTCAGCAAAATATGTCAAGTAAAAAATGATCATTACATTCAATTATGAGTTTAGGTATTCTTAAAGGAAAAAAAAAATTTATTTCAACCAAAAAATTGCAATCTCGCTAACAATAATTATCTGCAACGCAAAAAGGGTACACAGACTATTGGTCTACTGTGACTCCAAACCCAAACTGGCATTGGTGTTAGCTCATGAAAATGACGAGGACTTTGATTTTCTGAGAATTCCGCGATCCTTCGACGAACCTGTGGACGTTTTAGTCACAGCAGATGGAGTGAACAGATTCAAGGATGAGTTGCGTTCGAACAATATCGGATTCGAAGTTCTCACCGAAGATGTTAGTCAAGTTCCGCAGGAAGAAACGAGGCATGACCGACGGAAACGCTACGCTAGTGATGACTATAATATCATCGATTTCAAATCGTATCCTCGTTATCAAGAGGTAAGATGAGGTATGATTACAGATTATTCTGTTTTTTAAAGATAAATACCATTAATCGATTTCTTACAAGATTACTCGCATTTTTGAGCCATCGATATGACTGCAGCTCAAGGAAATCTTATTTATGCATAAAAACATATGAACAGCTGTAACCATTCTTTTAAATATTCATCACATTTACGAATCAGTTGAATATCCGTCTATTTTGTAATAAAACTAACTTTCGCAATGAGTAATGTGGAGGTTTTGGAATATTACCATACTTTACAACAATATCTGATTTTCAAAATAATTGTAGTTCCTTATTTTTAAGAATTATATTATAGTTAGTAATACAAACATTCATAAATTTACACTTAATGTAGAATAGTTATTAAATTGAGAACACTGATGATTAAGGAGGCAACATGATTTAAAAAAATTATTTTGCGTGACGATGAAAAAAAAAATTAATTAAAAAATATATAGTGGGAACCGTTATATAAAGTAACGCGGCAATAAAACTTTATTAAATAACAAAAAATGTATTCTAATACAGCGTAACTTTTCAATTTGCATTGAGCGAAGACGTATATCGAATGTATTGACATAAAGCAAATAATGGAAGTAAACATCATGAATAATCATTTGAGAATGTAATACTTTTTAAAAATAGAATAAAAAAATGATCTAGCGATATAATTAGATTCACGTGTCTTGACTGAGAAAGAAACTAATTTCAGAATTATGGGTATACTTATGTTACGATATTTGTAATAGATATGGGTACGATTTTAGAACTTCATATGTTGTGTGATGTTTGACGGATTTTCATGAATCTTTTAGCAAGTAAAAATTCCAGCTCGTGACAAATCAGACTTAAATGATCTTCATTGCCACTGATAATAATTTCATTAGGAACAGTTTCCAAATATCATCTGTTTAAATAGTCGTCATGCCAAGTGTGATAAATCAAAGCAAAGATATTAAAAAAATTAATAACCAATTTTCAGATACAGGCATACTTAGAAATCATCGACCAGAAATATCGATTTGTCAAATACAAAGTTCTGGGTTTCACGTTCGAGAACAGGCAGATAATGGGCATCAAGTTTTCCAGTGGTGGCGAAGAACGAAAGCCAGCAGTTTTCATCGACGCTGGTATACACGCACGTGAATGGATTGCACCTACCACCGCGTTGTATGCCATCAAACAGTTAGCCGAGAATGCTAGCAATTATCACCTGTTTCAGAACGTTGATATCTACATTATACCTCTTGCTAATCCTGATGGTTACGAATACACGCACTACAACCAGACGGTAAGACCTTAATTAATAAAAAAAAGCCGAAAGAAGAAAAGTCAGCGAGCAGAAAAGTTAACGGTTATTTTTCCAGACCAAGTACTGGAGGAAAACGCGAACGGTGTATAATTTTACCGAATGCTTGGGAGCTGATGCTAATCGTAACTTTGAGTTGGAATGGATGAGTGAGTAGAAAATACTTCATTGGTTGTCCAAAAAAATCACGAACAATAATTATACTTTCATCCGGAATAGCCGTTGGAGCTTCGGATCGACCTTGCAGTGGTACTTACGCAGGTAGCCGACCATTTTCCGAGGCTGAGGCTCGCGCCATAAGAGATTTCATTCTGGCTCGGCGAGATCGGATAGTCGTGTATTTGACACTGCACTCGTTTGGTCAGGTAACTATCTACAAATTGATTTGCATTCTTATCCTGCTTTAGCTCATATAATTTATTTCTGAAAATAACAGAAGCAATCATTTGAAATTCTAGTTAGACATAACAATTTTTCATATGCTACTTGTGTATATCATACTATAGCGGATATATTTTGTTTTTTTAGTATTTCCTTCACCCTTGGGGATTTACAACAGCGTTACCTGCAAACGAGCCAACCTTGGTAAATATTTTATAGTGAATAATAATGAACCATAATAGATGTTATTTAAATTAAGTGATAAGAGTTATCTCAACGAAGTACTCATTACTCATCCAAATTTCCACCAAAAAATTTCTCCTTTTGAGTAGCTGATTAATCAAAAAAATTTAGCCTATTATGATTATAATTTGAGTAAAAGAAATACTTTATTTTACTCAAATTATACTTTACTTTGCTTAAAATAAATGAGAGTATACTGGAATTAAGTAATAGTACTGAAAAAAAATAAGAAGGAGAACAAGTAATGTCGCAAAAAAGTAACCACTCATTATTCTACATAATGGCAGCATGAATTCAAATGTAGCAGTATAATTAACTTAAAATTATCTTTTGTAGCGATGCACTGCAAATGCGGCATTAAATGAGCTAAGAAAAGTACGAGGAACAGAGTACAAAGTAGGCAGCTCCACCAATGTTTTATGTAAGTATAATAGTCAATTATACAAAAGATTAAAAGGATATGTTGTGATGTACGATGACGAATAGGTCCTACATATAAATACTGGAAGTAATTTATCAGTCAACAACCTATTTATTAGCCATTTTATTTAACAGGACGTCTTCCAATAAAATGCGTGTTCTCGTGAATCGAGTGTTTGATAATCGTTATATCTGAAAATCTGCACTTTCGCAGTGACTTCATTACTGATTACGAATATGTCATTACTTAGCAGATCTACGTAATTACAGATGCAGCATCGGGTGGCAGCGACGACTGGGCGATGGGAATCGCTGGAATCCCAATAGTGTTCACAATCGAATTACCTCCACTACCAGGCAACATTGAAAATTTCTTTCCACCCGTCAAAGAAATCGAACCCGTTGGTCGTGAGACCTTCGAGGCTATCAAAGTTTTCATTCGGTACGCCAATGGCGAAGTTTGCACTGCGTCTCAGCCATTACAAATAGCACCTAGTCAAGTAGACGATAGCGACAGACCATTCACGGTTACACCATGACCTTTCTCTTTCTTTCCACGTGGTGTCGCTGACTGTTCTTTGTTACTTCTCACTTTTTTTCTCTCTTTGTGCGCCAACTCAAACGTGTCATTTTTCTTCTACCGTGTGCTTGTGTGCAATCGAATGATTTGTAATAAAGTTATACAAAACTACATTTGCGTTTTTTATTACCGAGCAATCACGTTATATTGATTATATTATAAAGTTATGCGTATTAATAACTGAAAATGGATAATCGATAATATATAAGTCTGAGTATATGACATTACTTTATTGATGAATAAATTGAATATTCTGTAATTTCAAGATATTGTCTGCTAAAGAGAATATTCTGTTAACCATTGTGATTTTTATTTTCCATTTATCGGATATCCAATGCGTAGTTGATTTACGTTTGTTTCATCAGGAATCAATCATGTAATCAAATATTGACGTAACCTTTCTGTTTTCTGAAAATGATTTTAAGATAATTAAGATCTATTGTAAACAAACGAAAATTAGTTCACTGAAAATTAGTTGTGATATATGTTACGATATGTGATATTAATCTAATTAGTACCTCATTACGTACATATATGTTTTCTATTGTAAAACTGACGTCAAACGTTTATTTCAACATCCATCGGGTTGTTGTATATAATCTAGTTTAGCGGATTATTATTTTGAAACTTTAATGGATGTAGAAAAAAAGAGTGAATAAATAACTTTTCTTTTAAGGCGTAAATGAAATTAAAAAAAATAATTTAAAAATTTCTCGACGTGCTAATATTAATAATGATAGTGAAATTGATTTTACTAATTTTAACATGTGCGCCTGATTGAAAATGAAGCGTGATATATTCTAAACATTATATTACGGAATTATGTCGTTGATAAATAATCTAGTTTTTGAGTAAAATAATACAACAATTTGTAGGATTGTTCTACAAAAGGAATTAGCGCGAAAGATAACAAAACCTTAAGATATATTGTAATTTAATTCGGTGATTGTATATCAATCAACGACACACATGCGAATGTAAATCGACAGATTATTCCGAAAACAATGTCGCAGTTATTGATTATGACAATAATTTTAAACGTGCATTTAGATTTCCTCTCAACTCTTGTTTTCATTCAATATTGTGTACTTATTCATAAGCACGTGGCTAAAGTTTCGCAAGGTGTACTTTGTGTATTCACAGATGCTTTTATTTTTATTTACTTTAAATATTAAAAAATGGCGTTAACAAAGTAAAACTCTGACAGAATGTAAACAATTATTTGTATTGTAAATATTATTTTTTAAATATGTCGCAAGACGATTCAAAAACTAATAATAGACAAGAACAGAAATGAATGCTAAACCCGCGACGCCAACCACAATTTTCTTTGTAAATTAAATAAACGAAATTCGATTAATTCTTGTTATTTATCGTTTTATTAAATTTCTAGGTTGTAACGTGTCTCAACGAATCTGCTACTACCAATTATGTTAATCTCAAAGAATAACACTTATGCAAAGTGCAAGATATTGTATTAAACAAGGAGCCATTGTTGGATAATTGGTTTGACGAGAGCTTGCAGTTGGCGGTCAATTCAGACGCCAGGAAAACTATTGCTGGCTTTATTGGAGATGCTGGTTACGAAGTGTAATAATTTTTCTGCGACTGTCTTCACAATGGAAAAATCCAATCGAGGTAATGATTCGACAAAGAGAAAGCGCCAAAAGCAATTGCAAGGATTATTTTAGTTTCGATCAGACTTGTTGGGGATACTGCTGCAGCTGTTACCAAGCGTGCTCTGAGAGCAAGTGGGAGAATCTTTATAGCAGCTCTCAAATGATTATCGATTGCACCAGTTTTCGATAGCGCGAACGTCGGATACTCAGCATTTGCTTTTAATTTCAATGTATTGCTAGCTTATATTTTATTTCAATTATATATTTTTATTTCACGGTACTCAAACAATCATGTTCCTTGAAGGAGTGATTTTGATCCAAAGCTATTTCAAAAGCATTTTTTCAGAAAGGACTACGACTTTTATTCAAAGAATATACCTATGATATTAATTCGTGGAAGCTACTTAGAAGCCGAGGCAAAACAATTAAGAACTCTGGTGATAACCTTTTTCCTCCCGGATCATCTTTGACACTCATTTTAACAAAGTCCCAAGTGATAAGTATACAGAAGCAACTGAGATTAACCTTGTTTTGATCTTTTAAAAGACCCAGCTTGAACATTCCAAAATTGTTCGCGCAATTTTACTGGGACTTGATTGCAAAGAAAGTGAAATTGCCAAGAATATGCCAAAGCCTGAGGAATTCAGAAAAATTAAGAAGCGAGAGCGAGCATGCGCCGTTGCTCAAGATGCTGAGAAAGTCAGGATCGAAATGTCATTGTAGAAGAGCCTGCAACAGTACCGCTGCCTGTTCCTGCGCCACAATCACCAGAGTCCATTGAGCTTTCAGAAGGATTCATAGCTAATAGACTGAGTCTTGAGATTGCAACGGAATTGATCATCAATGGTATTGCATCGATACCTAACTCGGTTACTGTATCACCTACTTTCGCGAGAGAGTACCAGCCGATATACACAACTGATATTACAGTACAGCGGCGAGTTGTAGCTGAACTTCTAGAGAACAAATCGAGCGAATCAAAGCAGACATCCGAGTCAGATAAAAAAGATGATAGACTAGAGACTATGGTGGAAGATTTAATTAAAAATTTATCGATTGGCATCGCAGAAGTCAGGAAGAAACGCAAGAAAAACAGAGAAAAAGAAATGCAAGCTAAGGCTGTACTGGAAGCTCACGAGAATTCTCTAGTTAGAGCGAAGAATAGAGACAAGACACTTAAACTTTCAGAAGTTTTCAATGTCAGTAATCTATTATGTCGCAACTGTAGATCCGCGAGCGCGCCACACAACTAGCAGTCCAACTCTACGGGTGCCCTGAACTCAGCAGACCCATCAAAGAGTTCGTAAGATTCGACTTGGACTTTAGCTTCTTGACTATTCAGCTCGTGGATCGTGTTAGACCAAACGTCGAGGAACGTTGGACCGAGTCAATGACGCACACTTGCCTCGGACTTCATTTGCCATTGCTCGCCAAGAGCCACATATTTATCTACGAGCTTGCACGTTCCTACACTTTCATGACCCCTGAGGTCAAAAGAATCGTACTGAGGTTCGTTGAAGGTCCTGTGCGCGTTACTGGAATGGTTAATTTGGAATTAATCGAGCCTGCTGACAATTGCCCCGAGGTTGCCGAGACGCTAACTGTCAGAATTACAAATATGTTGACAGATAAGAGAGTGAGTTTTGAATTTCAAAGTTAAGTATTTTGCTTCTCAATTGTGATCGACGTTACGTTCGAGTGCATGAAAAAAATTATCTTTTATTATTTCGTTGCAGCTCCTACCAGTGAAGAACTCGTAGTCGAAGTCAGGGGGCTCGATCAAACGAGAGTTTTGTAACGCATCAATTTGAATTACTCAAATTTTGTGTAAGTAAGTAAGTGGGGAGTCGTTTCATGTACGCGCTCTATTATATAAGCCCCTCTCTAACGCTGCTCGCTCTCCTTTGCTCGGTTGCCACTCAGCGAGAAACACCACAGAAGGCGGGACCTTCTGACTTACAACTATTTGACGACATTCCAACGGCTATCTTCTGCGACAGAATCCGTTCTGGGATCAAGATAATTTCACTGCTTGTGTTGCAAGATATGCTAGTGCAGTTTAGTGATTACCTCCTATATTGGGAATTGTGACGAGGCAAGCCAAGTTTCGCTTTTCTTCTCAGTTTTGAGATTACTTGGCAGCTATAAATATTCAATATTCATGTGACGAGATGTGTGGCATAGAAGAACCGAGCATTGCGAGCGAAGAACCATGAGCATCTTAGTGTGAGCTAATCTTTTATTATGTATCCGAGTTGACGAACCGTAGTTTGAATGTTAAATATGGAAATGTTTTGATTTTAATCTATACATCTCAGGTCTCACCGGGAGAGTGTAAGCATGTTTCATTTATTGATTTTAACTAAATAAATAGTTTTATAAGTTCTGAGTTAAATTCTAATAAACTTCATTTCTTGTTATTTGGTTCAATCTGATTGCCCGAGTCTTGCTCTACCGACTTAATTATTTTAAGTTAACTAATTTATCTTTTATATCATTTTCTCTTTTATATATATTTATATCAAATAAAATAATTTTACAGTTTCGGTACTCAACGGTTTGACCAAGAAAGACTTCATAGCTGCACTCCCCAAACTGATCAAGTTGAATTCAACGAACTTCTGAGAACCCATAATAGCGTAGACGGAGCAACTTACACTTCACTCGTCACACCTGCCGAGCTTATGATCGCTTTGCACATTATTGAGCCGAGCAAAGTTGAATTGTAAAGGGTTATTAAAGGCAAGTTAAACCGCCTAAAAATATCGCCTTCCGTTCTGTCAATTATTTATTAGAGTTGTTTAAGGAATTTGCTTTTTTTTTTAATTGTGGCAATGTCACTACATTTCACCAATAAAACAATATTCACTTGAGAAACATTCGCATTGGCAATGCGGCAACTCGTCTATATGACATCACTGCCAAAGCTTCTAATGCGTACAGTTATTCAAAGTTTGTCACTGTATCCGCGGTTAAGCAGTCACGTGATGAATATTCTACAACGTTTGATATCGAGGCAGGTGTGGAAACAACCGAAAGTTTGGGAAGGTTTCGTCAAATACTGCGAGAGGACTTAACCGCAAAGCTTTTCAGTGACACTGCAGTTGCCAGTGGCATGGCTAGTCGAAGCTTCTAAAGCTGCACTCAAACTGTACTAACTGTTGATCGATCAAGTTGAATTTTTCGCTGATAATCAAGTATGTATTGTTATTTTTCATGGTCTATTTTAAACATTGTTGAAAAGTTCTTAATGCTTGTATCTCGTATACTTGCAGAAAACACATATATCACCATTTATCATGGATGTAATTAAAAGAAAACCGTCTACAATGATGTAGAATGATTTATATATTGTAAGTTACATTTAAGTTTCTGTACCGAGATTATATCTTTATTTAAAAAAATAATATATATAAATGCCTAGTGAATTTTTTTGATTATAAACTACTCTTGAAGATTTTCCCTTACGATAAGATACTGGTGATCTTGGTCATTTGGAGCCTGCACCTCCTGGATTAAACTAATAAATTAATAATTAAATTATATTTTATGCTGAAACTCATTTAGAAAATATTAATGTAGATGTGTAGTCGTACGGTTTTAAGTAATTTTTTGTAATCGAGCAAAATACGTATGCAAAATTAACTATGCAACTGAATTTCATTGAATGTTATAAAGTATTTCAGTTAACTCTATGTATTCTTGAGTATAGCGTACTACAAAAGTATTTCTATCTTGTGTAAATAATATAAAGGCATATTTTGAAAATTTTAATAAAATCAAATTCGTTTTCAACATTAATTTTTAATTTAAATTGCATTGATAGTTTCAATAAAAATAAAAATAGTATAAAATTTTTAATTTTATTTCATGTAAATGTATCCTATTTTATTTAATTAGACAATAATTATTGCGAACTCAAATTGTTATAATTTCATGAAATAGTAAGATTAAATTGTTTTTTTTTCTTTCAAAAGTTTTCTCTTCATGCCACAATACAGAGTGAAAAGAACAATGTATTATTTCCTTCGTTGAGTTTACTTTGATTCTATTTGGATAAATGTTCTACTTGAATGATTATCGCTGCTGTGTACATATACTATTCAACTTTATCAAGAGATTGTCTGCGCGTGTAATGTTGCGTATGGATTTTTTTCTTCAATCACTCCTCGCATACTTGTTCGATTTCATCTACAGATAAGGTTGGATTCTCGTTACAACGTTTACGAATTATTTATTGAAATCAGTAACTTTGTTTGGGCGGAATATTTTAGTACAGTATACCAACAAAAGAATACAGTATGGCAGTATGTCAAGTGTCATACGCTTGAAATTATTGCTATGCAATCAGAATTGATATACTTTTTCATAATTACTTTCTGCACACTTTTTTTATTAATGACATCAAACTTTCCAGTTGGAAGGTAATTTATGACTTACAGCGATTTCTTTGTTTTAGTCTAAGTTTGAGATACATGTGGAATTTTTATACCGAATTGAAGGTTGACGCCCTTGTAGGGCTCTTACATTATAGGGTAGATATCGTCAAATTTCCGTACAACGACTTATGATAACCATGGATGATAGCGTTAACGCGAGAAAAGATCTTAACCATGGACGATAGCGTTAACCGGTCTTATACGCATGATGTGGAAAATTGAAATGTTCTCATTCAAATTACCAGCCCAATTCTTAATCATCATTGCTAATAAGCTCGTTCGAAATTGTCTTTCTACGCCATATAATCTTATTTATGCGTAAAACTAAAAACATTACTAAATAATCTGATACCGAAACAATGCGGGCCTCGAAACACGACTACGTGGTTTGATAAGTATCAATTGAAAAAGAAAATGTCAAATTCATTAAGGAAAGTGAAGCTCGTTACCGATATGGGTACAGGATAATAGAATTTGATTTAATTCTAATGATAGTGTAAGTATCACATCGCGATGGTAAAATTGTAAATAGAACTAGACCATTTTATATTATTGAATTTCATTTGGATTATTTATGAGAATTCGAGGTAGAAAACGATCTGAAAAAAGGATGTTTCAGTGAAAAAAATGTGCAAAAGCCAACATCTCCGTTTATCGATGAAAGCATGAAAAACAGTTGACATCGCTCTAAATAAAATGAAACAAAACCGAAAAGATTTAATGAACAATACTTCCGTAAAAAGTCTGACTTTGAACTATTCGAAGACAGATGTGCAAAAATAACATTGCAAGTTGTGAGTCTAAAACATTCTCGGATAAAAAACCAAAAGCCAGTGATTAATACGTAAAGCAGACTGAGGTACAGCGCTCGCGTTTGAGCAGTTTGATCGGCGCGATAATGGATCGATATAAATTGACAGGAGCGCGATTGCACCGCGTCATTAGTCGAGTAGTCATGAGAGTGCTCGCAGTCGTATTCGCCGCTCTCGCGGCAGCCGTCGCCGCCTCCGAGGAGGAATTGCCTTCCATCTATGGGTGAGTCCGATGCTTGTTTTTTCCCGCTTTATCTAATACCTTTTGTCATGAGATTCGACAGACCTTCAAGTGAATTTGACCGCATTTGGGAAAAAGAAAACTTGAAAATCAGTGTCTCGACAATTCACGTAAATGAAATTAAGATGGACTTTTGAAATTATAACATATTATTTCCTTCCTCGATGTATAAAAAGACATTTTTCTTAAAAATATTTTCAATAGTTATTTGAATTTTAATAATTCAACAATTCTCACGATGGCATTCTGAAAATATATCGTTGATAATCATAAATGATAATCGTAAACGTTGAATTGCCACTTTATAGATTGTTACACAATAGTAAATACGAAGAGATAGCGACACTTGTAGTAATTGAAATGGATAAAAGAAATAATCGGCGCGTTTGCGAAATCGAGATTTCTATCTCTGTAGACACTGAGGTTTCGTTAATAGCACACGTAAAGGTTCTTGAACTAAATGAAAAAAAAAAAAAAAAAATGAATCGTCTACTCGACAGCATGCAGGCCCTGAAGATCACCTGCGACAGCAAGTCGAAGTTCGATTTCGTGGTGCAGCACCACGGCGAGCGCGGCTACGATTTCCTGCGCGTGCCGCGCGCGCTCAACTCTGACATCGAGGTGCTCGTCGCCGCCGAGCAAATCGCTGATTTCAAAGCCGAGCTGGCCGCGCGCGCCATCAACTTCGAGGTGCTCGTCGCCGACGCCAGCAAGGTGATCGAGCGCGAGCTTGGCCTTAACCGACGTGCCCGTATGATGCGCGCCCGCAGCGCCGGCATCTCGCTCAAGGCCTTTCCACGTTACGATGAGGTTGGTGGCTTCGTTGCTTCATCTGCGGATTCTCGTCGCTCGTTGGCTTTCGTACCGAATGTTTCAGCTATCTTGCTCTCTCTCTCTCTCTCTCTCTCTCTCTCTCTCTCTCTCTCTCTCTCTTCGTCGGGTCGTAATTCTCATCTGAAAAAGTATGAAATGCATCCGCAATTATCGTCAAGGTGATTTACAAATGCTTAATGGAATATCATCGTATTGAAAAATGACGTCACATGATTCGAAACTAACGCGTAATATCCATCAACTACAGTGTAATAGTTTCGTGTTGACTAATTTTTCTTATTATCCCAGGGTTTTGATAGACTTGCCATTGATGAAACAGAAATCGTTTGAGAATTTACATTATAAGCTCTTCAAAAGCAATTTCATTGCACTGTGTTTTTCATTATATAGTTTTTGTTCTTTGTATATTTATATTGAGATAAATCAAAGTTCCATTTCCAGTTTTCAGCAAATAAAATAACTAGTGGAATAAATTTCACCCTTAATGAACTTTAAAGTCAAATGGCGATTCTGTTTTTTTATCGAAAGTATTAATTGTGATTCCATTAACAACGCATTAGATTCAATTTCAACGTAAAAACTGGAAAGGTCGGTCGTAGGCACGTTAAAATGCCGCTGAAAGTGAATGAGAATACACGATATAATAATAATCAAAGCCAATGTTTCATCGTGAATTGATCTATTAATATCAATCTAACACTATCACTAATTACTATAAACAACGAAAAAATCATTATCAACGATCGATAATCACAACATTTGAGCTGCACTTGTTAAATATTGTATTATTATCAAATTCAATCAACTGAATATTATCACACACAGTTGCCCGTAGCAAGTTTTAAGCTAATGGTATATAATAATTATTACTTGATATTGATCGATCACATCAACAATTTCGGCGTTAGTTAGATTTATTGGAAAACCATTGACGCATTCTGCTTCACAATTTTATGACTTGCTTTATAATTAAATTGACTCTTCGCATATATATTTAGTAACTAAATTTGTATCTCTGATGCCGAGTTGTCATGATCCATATTTTCTAATTTGGATAACAAATACGATAATATTTCATTCCCTGATAGCTATATATATATAATAAATACTTTAGCGAGTCAGAGTAAATTCGTCAAGCTAAACTTAGTTTGTCAATTCAAGTCCCATTCAGTATTTCACAGTGAACGACTGTTTATGCAGTTTCCACTCACTCTAGACGATACTCGTTGTATAAATATTTTATTGGGCTTTATAAATGATTTCGTAATATCGATTGTTTTCTATTGGTCTTGATACGACAGCAGCCGGTGACAGGAACAATAAACCGTCAAATTTTCGAGTATCGATATTATCTGTGAAGTAACCATTAATTATAATATGAGCGAAATCGCAGCGGAAAACCAGCTTCCTGTTTCACAATCAAGTCGACGGCGCAGACTAGTGTGCGACTTGAAATACTGGCAATGAATTGACCTTCCACAGATAAAAGCCTACGTCGAGAATTTGACCCATGAGTACGGTGACTTCGTGTCGATGTTCACGATCGGCCAGAGCTACGAAGGTCGTGACATCGTCGGCGCGAAATTCAGCGCCGGTCCAGGTGACAAGCCAGCGCTCCTGATCGACGCCGGTATTCACGCGCGTGAATGGATCGCACCTACCACCGCGCTCTACGCCATCAAACAGCTCGCTGAGAATTCCAGCACCCACTACCTTTTCGACAACATTGACATCTACATCATTCCTGTGCTGAACCCCGATGGTTACGAATACACTCAACAGAGCCCCTCGGTAAGTTTCTCGTATTTTTCTTCTGTGCGCGCAGCCTGTTAAAGAAGATTTTTTTCTTCGTAGACTCGCATGTGGAGGAAAACCCGTTCGAAGACCACCAGATCGTGTACCGGTGTCGACGCCAACCGTAACTTCGGTCTCGAATGGATGAGTAAGTGTTAAATCCGTTTTCTTCGTAAAACTATATTTTACATTCGCAAAAAGGAATATATTTATACATAAACCAAACCCTTTTGCACTCTAATAGCCGTTGGAGCTTCGTCCAACCCATGCAGCGACATTTACGCTGGGACTGAGGCCTTCTCTGAGCCCGAGACTGCTGCCCTAAGAGATTTTGTGTTGGGACTCAAGAGCGTCAAAACTTACCTTACTTTCCATTCTTACGGACAAGTGAGTATTGCGTGATTTATAATAACTTTTCTTCTGTGAACTCGATTGTTGTATTTAACAGCACTTGTACATTTTGTATGCAAAAAACGCTTCGAGAAAAGCACGGTATCGAAGAATAATTTCCTTGTTCTTTAATTTTCAGTACTTACTCCATCCATGGGGATTCACCTCTAAGCTTCCAAGTAATGAACCAATTCTCGTAAGTATCTATAATCTGTACATCACTAATAGGTATCTATTATTTGATTTTTATGAATTTATGGTTGACTCTATTTCTTAACAGAGATGTGTCGCTGAAAAAGCCGAATCTGAGCTTAGCAAGTTGAGAGGCACTCATTACGAGATCGGTAGCTCTACCAACGTTTTATGTGAGTACATAGATGAATGATTTTCAATTCACTTATCATTGAAAGAATATTCATTATTACGGTACACACTAGTTTTCTTATTCTCAGACATCAAATATTAAGTTCAATGACTACCAATTAAAAAAATTCAATTGTCAAATGACGAACAACACTTGATAATAGAATATTTTTAATATAAATTGGCTACTTGTAAAATATAACATTTTGAACAACTCGCTTATTACAAGTTTTTAATATAAAGTCGAAATTCTATAGAAATTTTAATTTTAGGACCTTTTTTAGAACTTTTATAAATAACGATCCCGTTTTAGTGAACCAAATTAACCGGTACACAAGTATACACAATGAATTATTTATTTTTGCAAAATTGATCACTATCTGTGTTGATGTGTTTCAAATTTTAAAATGATCTAAATTTTTCTATTTGTTATTAAATCAATTATACCTAAGTTCTTATTAATATAACAAGAACCATTAAGTGACAGCTTAACTTATAATGTTACGTATTTACTTAAAAAAAAAAACTAGAGTATACTCTACCAGTTGGTTGTACATAAAATTTCTCTTCACTCTAAGTCAATTTAAAAACTCTGTTGTACAGGACGTAATCAATGTCATTTTTTACATTTACATAGACGCAGCATCCGGTGGCAGTGACGACTGGGTAATGGGGGTAGGTGGCGCCGATTTGTCATATACTGTCGAGCTTCCAGGTGGTTATTTTGGATTCGCACCACCACCGCGTGAGATTATTCCCGTCGGTCGTGAAACTTTCGAGGCTATCAAGGTCTTCGCTAAGTACACCGAGGGCAACCTCGCCGAATGCTAATCGAGATCTGGCACGACTGACTTTTTATTCGATTGTTATTTATAATTTTCGCGTTGAAAGATAAGATGTTTTACAATAAATTGTTTTTCTTTTCGCTAATTTTACGATCAAAGCAAGTACTGACTTTAAATTTTGCAAAAGATTACACTTCGGATACCGAAAAAATACAAAGACCATTTTTTTTAAATTACAAAATAATATTTCATCGCACGCCGAACACGCTACTTTTTTTCACAATATATATTAAAAAGCAACAGCTCTGCGTCTCTTTTCATAAATTCATGAGCTCGTGAAAATCCCAATCAAATAGCACATAAAGAACTTGTAGTACCTATTCATGAGAGCTTCATTTAAAACATATTTAAAGCACCTTGTAAAAAAGCGTCGTGCTAATAAAGAAGCATAAAGCATTTTCCCTTTTCCAGCCCTATGCTAAAATATTTTTTTTTTCTCTCGATGAGAAATGAAATTAAAATGGCTCTCGGGCAGAGGCCTTTCGCGTGGCTGACTGGCGCGTATCATGAATTCGAAAAGCATGTTGGGTGCATTTTCGCACGGCGCCTTGGATTATTTTCACTTTTCTCCATTTTAGTTTATTCTTTTTTCCTTCCGCCCTCCAAGTTTTTTTTTTTTTTTTTTTTTTTTTTTCGCAAGCTGACTCTCTCGTGCGCGCTCTCACGTCTGCCTAATTGTGAAACAAGAGACTCATTAGTCGCTGGCTCTCTCGTGAAAGCCGAGGGCTATACGCGAGAAAACAGTGTCCTCGGAAGAGAGGCCTCCAAGTTTTGTTTTGATTCTGCCGCCAAGGAAATTGCGCTTTGCTGGAGCTAGCTCTTGCTGCATTTCATGCATGTGTCAGTTTTTTTGACATATAGTTGCACCATTTTTTATGTAAGTTGTTTTTCAATATTTTCATAAAGTAAGTAATCGAGTGAATAATTGTCGATTTGATAAGCTATTACGTGCTCATCTCAACTAATAATCGCAGATACAAAAGGAAAGCTAAAGGACTTATTGTTTACAATTTTTTGGAGTTTCAGAATATGCTGTATAATGTTTTATTAATCATTGTTGGACTTTATCATATATAAAAATATAGGATTTTTAATTCGATGATTTAAATAAGCAATCCATCGGAAGGACAGAAATAATTCCCCACGTTTTTAAGATAACTAAAACATGAATATATCTCTAATCTCGAAATGTCTTGGCGACACTAATAGAATTTTCATTTATCTGTGAAGCAAAATTCTATATTCGATAACGAACCCCAGCAGATGTCCACGGTATTTGCTAAATCAAATCTAAATGCATACATAGAATTAATTTAGACAGAACAGAGTGCATATCTCTTTATTTTATTTTATCTCTAATTTCGATCAGATGATTCATTGATTTGTGTGCAATGTCTCCGTTAACTTTAACCTAATTGGAACTCTACGCTCAAAGCAAGAACGACACGTCCGTGCTCCCTTTGCAGATCAAACATCCCTCAAGATAGAAAAAAAAAATACAAAAGTAGAGAAAAAGTGAAAGCTGATTACGAAAAAAATACAGACACACACACAGAGAAAGAAACCAGAACATCGTGACAACAAAGGTACAGCCTCCTGAAAAAAGAAGTATAAGAGATATTAGACGGGGGTAAAAGCTCATTTGTCCTAAAGGGAGAGATAGCTGCTGGGTTAGGTATATGTCGCTCTTGCAAGGCGCCCTCGCTGAATAATGAACCGCTTAAAGCGACGCCACTGTACGTATGTACTATGGCCAAAACCGAGGGAGATTGTTTGCCCGGGAGTTAAAAGACGGGAGGATGACTAACTAACGTCTCGCGGTGAGGATTAGGTGTATGATGGACAATTCTGAATTTGATTGTGCGAACTCGTACGTATTTTACTGGACGATGCACTTGCAGGATGATTGCATTCGCTTGTTACTTTTGTAATTTGTTTTAACTTCGCTCTCTTCACTTAAGATTGTATTACCGTGATTTTTCCGTATTCTTATGGAAATAACGACCTTCCCGGGACTTCCCACGTGTCTGCTATTATGACAATGACGTTCCGTAAAATAACGATGGACCACGTTTTGTCGTTCTTGCCAGTTAAGTAGCTTACTGCAATTTACTTGTCTTACTCGAGTAGATTGTTATACGCAGTATCAAAGTTGGAATGGAAGGCTTCGCGTTTAAGCTGAAAACCAAGGTGGGAGCAGACGAAATTGACGCGCCGTTTGAAAAAAACTGCCGTGCAAAATATATTGAAACTTCAATGTAAAAAGAAGGAAAAAAGATAGTTGAATTTTAATTTCATCGTCATAATAAGCTTGAAGAAATAGCGCACTCACGTCAACTTACAAATACTTTTTTCATGTCGCCTCACGGCCGCCCCGTCGTAAAAGTTAGAATAAATAACCGCAAGAGCTTTCCTCGTCGTCGTCGTCGTCGCAGCGCTGTGGTCAAAGTTAAAAACTCGCTCGCTTTATATTTCCTCGTTTGCAGCAGCGCAAGGAGATCCCTTCGCGCTCTCGCCGTAGCAAAAACTAAACTCGTTACCTAGAAAGGAGGAAGATTGCACGATGACTGTTTTCGGCCGTATAAGTGAACTATTTTTTCAATTTGTTTCGTTGTTGCAAAATTCAATTCTCTCTGTCTATTGAATAATTGATTGAGGTTACTATCTATTCATAGTTCTGTTGAAAACTCGTTTTTTCGTTTTCAACTACGATGGACATGACTGTTGTTTAAACGAAATCCCGTCGAGTTTTTAAACACAAAAATAGGTGAGTAAATGCACAAATATTGGACTTGTTTCTATAGAACTGATATTCCTTTTAGTTTTATATTTTGTCAAATTTTACATATAGAATATTTTCCTTCAAATCGATATAAATCTTGAAGACGTATTAAGTAAGTGATCTATAATGACAGTGACAAAATTAATTTTGTACATTGATTAATGTACAAAATACAATTTCTTTTTCGAATTATTAACTTTCAATTTTTTTTAATGTTGGAAATAGTATTTACATGGAAAAATATTCATTTCGAAGCAAAATGATGAAGTTCGAAGTGACATATGAAATGCGAATAACGGTGTATGAAAAATCGAAAAGAAAACATTTTTCTAAATATTTTTTCTAAAAAAATATACTAACATTTTTAAAGACACATTTTAATTTAGATTATGTAAAGATCGATTACAATAGCCTTCAATTTTTAAACAAATTTCAACAATATAAAATACATTTTTGCGTATTTTAAGCACGGGTGTGTTAAAATAGTTTGAATTTTGTTAGAAAAAGCCTCTTCCGAAAATAAAAAGAATAAGCTCATCTCAATCGATCAACGTGTAAAGATAAAAATGTATTTTTTAATGAAATAACTTTAACTTCAATTTTACATTCACTAACTTTAATATAAATATATGTTATCTGAATGATGCTGATCTTTCAAGGATGTTCAAAGACAGTTTTAGCGAATACACTAAAAAAAAAACGCTATAACACTCAAGATATTATTTTTTAATATATAAGTTTCTATTATAAAAAAACCGATTTTTTCAAATGCTTCATTGTACATTGAAATAATTTGTCGGGACACAGCATCAATTCTTCAAGAATATATTAATGAAAACTATAGAAGTGTCACGCGTTTGTGCATAACTCAGAACCAACCAATCGCTGAAGAATATATAACTGCGAAATCACCAAACAATAAAAAAAATATAAAACGAGAAGATAAAGCGTAACTTTAGCACTCGTGAAAGGGAAGTAGTGGGGTCTGGAAGAGCAGAACAAACGGCACGAATTAGTGGTGCAATGTAGCGTGTAACTCTCAAACTGCACTCTGGCACCCCCTCGGCAGTCGCGCGTTTTACGCTCAAGACGACGTCGACGTCTAAGAAGAAAAGAGGCTACGAGGAGCATCTCTCTCTCTCTCTCTCTCTCCCTCTCTCTCCCTAGCTTCATTGCCTGCGGGCCGAAAAAAAAGGGGGACAAGCGAGAAAGCAAAATCTGATGTACTTTCGCGGTTCTGCTTTATTTCTTTCTTTTTATCCTTCATACTGCGTGGCTACTTTATTTCAGGCTGTAGGCGTAGTTGAATTCTTCTTATCTCTTCTTTTCGATTGTTCTAATTTCAAGTCTAAAAAGCTGATTTAATTTGCCAATTTATTTTTTCTTCGTCGAGCACCAATCTAACGAAAAGAAAAACAAAATAGTAATAACGAAAGACCGTATCCGTCGAAAGGGCCACGCGCAAATTTCAAACGTGAAAAACGACTTTATCGATGGCCAGCCGAACGTGCGCAAAAATGATGCACACGAAATAATCCACGATAGAGGAGCGAAAAGGCAGAGAGAGAGAGAAAGAGAGACAGAGAGATACACAAAAAGAAGAACGTTTCGGCGTTGCGTATCGGCAAGCAAAAAAAAGATTCCGCTGGGTATAGGTTTACAAATCCAGCGTTATTACGAGCAGAACGTATAGTAGTAGTAGTAAAGGCGATCGCCTTTGACGCTCTTTTCTGTTCTTTAATCCTACGCGTTCGCTAGCGTCAAGTTGAGAGAGAGAGAGAGAGAGAGAGAGAGAGAGAGAGAGAGAGAGGGAGGATCAGACAGGCCTCGGCGACTTTCATTAAGGCTTATCCCTCTCTAGCTACCCTCTCATTGTCGCCCTCCTATCTCTTCTTTTTGCGCGTGCATTGTTCCCGTCCCTAATTCTCTTCTTTCTCTCCTTCTATCCCTTCCCCACCCTTCATTTATGGTTGCACCCAACCCATTTTGTTTCATTATTTTCCATTTTATCCCTTTTCGCTTGATTTCAAACTATATATACTCGATTAATTGCCGCTGCTGCTATGCGAAAGTTTCGTGGCGGTTTCTTGGCTTAAAGTTTCTCTTTTAAATTGTAAAACCAGACTTGAAGATGTTCTTTAATACATACTTATGCTGGAGAATAATTTAGATAAATGTTTACTGACAAGAGAGATCCTTTAGTGTCAGTCTAAAATTAACAAATACCGGTAGTCATAAAGAGACGCAGATCTCGCGAATAAATAAAATTTTAGAATGAATCTTCGTTGAATCAATTTTTATTATTTCCCTTTTAGTTTCACTTCGGCTTCAGATGATACAATCTTCTCAATCTTTTTATGCAATAGGTATGTTATCAATGGTATGTTCTTTTTGGAATTTAACAATGCAGAGTACAACACAAAAATCTAATTGAATGATGTAGAATATTTTCGAGTATTAATCTCATATTTTATTTACGAATTCTAAAAATTTGAGTACAAAATTCTTGATCCCAAGTACGGTCATCTATAAAAATGAATGTATCTTAATTTTATTATTTCAGTAGAAAGTTGGTTGGATTTCGCGACCAGTAGTTGAATAAAAGCACAGAAAAATCTAGACAGAAATATATTTTTCGGCGTACAAAGACGAATTGCAATGAAAAGAAATCAAAAAACGTGACCCAACAAATAACAATAACTCGGCGACAATAAACAATATTTACAGGGTGTGACTTTTCATTGAACGCCGTTTGGTTTGTCGGCGGAGTTTTTTGGCTGTCACGCAGACGAACGAAAAAGCGCCGAGCAAGCTGACGCTCTCTTTCTCTCTCTCTCTCTCTCTCTCCGCATCGACAACTCTCTCGCAACGTGTATTTTGTCGGGTAACTTCGCAACAATAATGGCCTGCCCGTTGTTTTGTTTTTTACCGCGATTTCGTTTTTTTCCTTTTTGTTCGTCGGCGAATGGAAAATTTTCCTTTGACAAATACACGATACAAAACGGCAATGTTCGCGGGTATAAATAACCGTGGAATTGTATACGTAAAATCCTGTCCTATAATTAAAGTAATCTATGCAATTAAAACAAGCGTCTTGGCAGGAAAAAAAAAACATTGCTGCGATTAGAGGTAAAGCTTTCGCTCGGGGGGTAAATAAAAAAAAGAAGGGAAGTAGGAAATCGGACACGTAAAGCTGCCAGACTAATTTCGTAGGAATTTACGAGCTTGCGAAATTTACAGTGGCAGTTGTATAGCGGCAAGAAATCAAATTTGTTTTTGAAATTATGCTAGTACAGAATGAATGTTAATTTTCGTAGGAAAATATTTATCGATTAATCAATCCGATAGTGGTCGTCAGTCAGAGCGAAGCTGAAGAATAATTAACACGACTTTGCACGTAAAAAATCTTCGCTAGTCGATTTGTAAATTGAATTCGCGATTACTTGGCCTATTCAATTATTGGAAATACGAAGTAAGCCCTCGGCAAAACTAAAAATTTATGACAAACACAGGAATCGATTAGGATGTTTCTCGATTGGAAACAATGTTACAGCGCGTAGCACAACTCTCTCGGCGTTATCAATAAAAAATCAGCTGCAACGAAAATACCTGATGCTCGCAGCGAGTCAGAGATGGACGGGAAATCGAAAGCTCGTGTAAGAAAATAAAAGCTAAAGGGGATTTCGCGTCTCGCTGTTCGTCATCAAATTTAATTTGACAAATGAGAAAGTCCAAGACGCTCGGCAGAAACGACGTGCATCGTCGAATGGCAAAAAAGGTGTAAGAGATAAAAGCGGAGCGATGACAATGAGAACGAAGAAAAGGAAATCCCTGAACGTGATACTCACACGCGGTACATAGAGGGACTACGAAAAATAGGTTTTCACTTGAGTGCCACTTTCTTTCTACCGCCAGAGAGAAGACAAGCTGTGAAAATTGCATTTTTCAAAAAATGACGTTTCTTATAACATTTGTGCGCCATAAAAGTGTAAGTTTCTACTTCTCGTGAAACGGCAGAAACACTTGATTGTTATAAGTACTTCAATTTTGCTGAATTCCCCTTGAAATCAAGTATTAAGCATCTCGTATGAAACAAAGATTGACTGTAGAAAAATTGTTTGTTTAAAAATAAAACCAATGTTAATGTGTGGAAAGTTTCTTGAGAAAAAATTATCTACTTACCATAGATAAGATGTACACGTTTGTATATAATTCGTAACCAAAATGTTCGTTGTCATAATTTCATATGCGTTACAAAATCTATAAAACAACATTTAAGGAATAATAAAATTGAATATTGATGTACTTTACAATATTATTTATTATGCAACAAGTCATGTATTATTTTTCTTAAGTTTAAAAGGTATACAATAATAATTATTCATGGTTACAATAATATGCGTTCTTAATAAACTAATTAAAGTTTCTCTTTTAAAAACAACTCTGCCTCATTTTATTAAAATATTATACGACAAAACTTAAATCAATATCTAATTTTTAACGTTATACAATAAATAAATATTTCTCAAAAGGAAAACTATATCTGTTGCGTTATAGTTGCTCAAAAAACTAAATACATAAGCTTACAAGAAATAAGTTTACAACAAGAAACAATTGTCAACTGTGCATTTATTAATAATAATTTTTTGACTAGATTTCATTTTTTTGTTCATTTAATTTTTCTGTTTTATTTATTTGCTCTTCATTCGAAACTCGAAAAATACAACGCGGATCGACATACGCTGAGTTACTCTACCAACGGTTAGCAAGTTAATGGTAAGACTTTTCGTTTGTTTTGGTTTAGAACGAAGAACCATTGACAGCAATTTTTTTTGTTTAAAATACACAAGCCTCTTTTTGTCTCGAGCCGACGTAATATATATATACACACTTTTTCTTCGATTAAGCTTAATATGCAAAAGCATTTATCATCGGATTTGTGGAGTTTTTCTTTTTTCGTTAATGAGTTTAAAGTACATGGAATTTTTTGTTTGTCTCGACGCTAAAACTGGAAAGTTCATATATTTTACACTTTCATTAGAGAATTTTTTTTTTATTTTTTATTTTTTTGATTTGTCACCGATCTCATCTTTAAGAGATAGCATTTATATTATTTTTTCCATCATCTCATGTCCATGCCACGCAAGCAATTTTATCCGTTATACGTTAATTCGACATAAGCTGATTCGATCACGCAGATGGACGATACAGAAGCGTCCTCGTTAATATGATTTATTTCTTCATTCTACGCTTTTATTTTCTTTCTCTCACACACTCTCTCAGTCTAATATTTACAAACGCATCATCGTCGACGGTGACCTGATTCCTTAAATCGCCGTTTTCTCTCTTTAATTTTTTAGGAGTTTTGTTTTTTATATGAATTCTCCCGCGAGTACGCTTTTCTCTTTGTAATGTGCGACAAAGAATTAGACGTACCGCTAGAATGAATTTCATAAAATTTTTAGCTACTTCTTTCAAATATGCTGTTCTTTAAAATTTTAATTTATAAACCCGTGCGATACCATTTATTCATGTTGTCATGTAAAAATAATACTCCAGTTAAATTAATATCCATTGTTATCGAACTTCCGTTCACGATTCCGAGAAATACAATTAAAAATTATTTTTGAAATTCATAAAAATAAGTTCCATCATGAATAATTAATGCCTCATCGAGTTCAACGTACCAGTAAAAGTATACTGGAAGCGCGCGGAAAACCTGTAAATGTAACTTTGTTTTTGTCCTTTTTTTTGGATTCTTGCAAGAAGCTATATACAAAAAGGTGGTGTGAGTTTGAGCTCACACTGGGTTACACAGGTGAATCGATATGTCTTCATTGAGTTTGGTGTACGTTTTTCTGCATTGAGAGGATTATTCCTTGGCTGTGATCGAGCCGTTGGTCAGGGCCGTGAGCACGCTTTCGCCACTCGCTGCGTTGCTCAGCGTGTTAGCTGTACTACTGGCGTTCAGCTCTAATGTCGATTCCTGCAAAATTGAATTTACCATGATTTGCGATTGAGTTGCGATTTTTTCCTTTGAGGATTTCGTTATTAATAGTAACGGAGATAAAAGCATTCAATTTTCTCTCGAAGTATATCTATTTCGCAATTCAATTTCATACATTTTAGTTGCACGAATATATCACCGAAAGTTGATTCAATTAAAGCGATCAACTCGTGCATCTTCTCCGAAAAAAAAAAAATCGAAAAATTCGATAAGCGTCTCTCGCTTAAATTTGACATATTTGAAAGGCCACCTTTTTTTTCTATTGTCATCGTCGGTGAAAGGCGCGTCAATCATCAACTTGATTTTTGCGGATACTGAAATCTGAATAATTATGATGGACGCAAGCGCGGCTTTGTAATCCCATTTTTAAGAGCTTTTAAAGCGGATAATGTTCAATGAAAAAAAAAAAAAATAAATAAATAAAAAAAAAGAATCGAGGACCTCGCGTCATAATTGTAAAGATATATAACAAATCAAGTGTTCGCAACGTCAATTACAAAATACAATTATCACGCGTGAATGTACTGTACGGCGCAAGTAAACCACCTGTATGTTGTACTCGCCGACAAAATCCTATTTTTTTTTTTCGCGCTTATGCGATAGCGAATATAAAAATAAAAGTCCAGAGGCATTTTTTTTACGATCCGGAAAAAAAAGAGAGAGTGAGCACACCGGCAACATCAAGACACTACGCGTCGCCATATAACGCGTTTACGCATACGCCTAGGTGCGTTATTACCGGCAGCAGCAGCAGCAGCATACGACCTTCTCCCGGTGCATACACGTAGGTAGGTAATTACATATAGGAGATGGTGACGGTAGGCACAGATGATCCGTTGGCAGATCGCGTGATTTATGGTAGGAAGAGATATGATTTCGTGCTATATAGCGCGGCGTTAACGCCTGCGCGAGGCCACCGCGTTGCATCTGCGCGCGAGACACGATTTCCATGTTTCGATCGACGCACACACCTGCAAGCTCGGAGGCTTTGATGGGTTCTTAATTAGTGCCCACCTTCTCTGTCAGCGTACACTCAGGCCCACGTTTATTAGATTTTGCCAGTCGCGCGGCTCGTCGATAAAGCATCTTGCCGTGATTATTTTTTTTACAACGAGCTTTGCAATCGCGGAGTTGGAAGGGTGGAGGAAGGGAGGAGGGAGGGTGTGAATCGGATAAGACTTACAATGGCGATAGGATGGCGGGAGTAGCACTGAGAGTTGGATCTGTCCTCGACGAGCATCATCTCGTCGCAGCAGTCATCGTGGTCCGAGCCGTTAGCCTCCGATCGTATTTTAATGGGGGACGGGGCGTTCTCGTTGTCGGTTGACTTGCCGCTGTCCGGTGACGGTAGCAACACGTGGCCGTCCATCTCCTCGTCTTCTTCTACTTGCTCTTCGCCTTCTTTATTTTCCTGTTATTATCAAAGAACATTCGTCTTTTATTGGCATATATAGTCCCTGAGTTTTCTTTTACTTTCTCCAAGGAGAAACTTGTTTCTGGTTAGATTTCGAACATCGGCATATAATTAATGAAGAGTTTTTGAACACAATTTTGAGTCACGTCTTTATGGTATTCGTTCATGTGGGTGTGGCTGGCATATTTTGTCGATCAATGTCACTCAATTAGTCAATGACTTTTAATAAATATTTGTATGTTTGAAAAATGTCAATAGATTGGTGGAAAAATTATTTTTAAATTGATTTACCCAGTACAAAAATTATTTTTTTGCAATATTGAAGTAATATTTTTTATTTTTGTCATAATTTACTTGGATTTAGATTTATTGCATATAATTAATAAAGACTGTTTAACAACGCTTTTTATTATAAGTTTATTATTAATCAAAATGTGATATCAAAGCCGTATTGATTTCTTTTTTTTTTTTACGTCTGTTCAGTGTGTTTTGTAAATCCCTATAATTCTGTTACTTGGTGGATTTACATAAGTTTATTATGTGTATCAGAATATATGTAAAGCTGGGAAGGACCATTGTTTTCAAGTAAATTGATCTAATAGAGTAATTTTAAAGTTGTTCTCTTGAAAAACTCTTAGTGAAATTTATTCTGGATATTTCGAATTTTTTATTGATAATTTTATATATTTTTCATCACCAACTATGAATTTCATTATACGTTGTGCAGATGACATAATCTCCTACTCTTCAACGAATCATACTGTCAATGTAGCGTTTTTGTCGTACGACTTACTTGATCTTGCGGTGTTGGTGACTGTGACGATTCCTTGTTGTTTTGACTTTGACTTTGCGAATATTTGGCGTCTGATTTGGTGCCAAGCTCGTAGATGTTGATCATGTGCGCTGCCTGAGCGTGTACCATCAATTCCCAGGCTGACGAAAAGGAGTCTTTGCAGAGAATACATAATAGAGAAGCCGCTGAATTTCCTATATTGTGAGGATTTATCAAACATTCAGTCTTTCATGCTTTCTTTTCTTTCGGTATTGCGGCGATAATTCCCACAAAAAATAAAATCAAGTTATAAGTACAATTGATAATAACGAAGAGAAAAGAGGGAAGGACGCAGTGGCGGAATTAAAATTTGCTCGACATAATGAAAATGAGAGCGGCTAATTCAAAACAACAGCGTTTCAAGCTCGTTATATAGAGCAGCTCAACGGTCGACGCGAAATATAAGAGAGGGAGAGCGAGAGAGAGAGAGAGAGAGAGAGAGAAAAAGAGAAGCGGGTCTCTGTTTTCTTCAGTGCTACGTACTTGGTGTGGCGCCGTTGAACGTGTGGCACTTGCATGTGAACCGCAGCTTGCAGTAATCCCGTTTGTGCTCCAGCAACTCGCCCAGATCCGTGAACATTTCTCGGCAGTTGCCGCAAATTAGTATGTCCGGATTGCCTGTAACAAAAACGCCGACCAAAGGGAGAATGGATTTTCCTTTCTTTTTATGCGCGCGCGCGCGCGTGTGTCTGTGTGTGTGTGTGCGCGCGCGCCTGGCTGCGTACTTGTTGAAGAAGAGAAACTGATGAAATCGCCCGAGCATCGCTCGAAAATGTTTCGCGTGCGCGACGCTTTATTCATCGCAGACCCCCGTGGAGTTTCACTTGCGAGCTCCTTTTTTTTTTCTATTTCACTTGAGTGGACGCTGGTATTTTTATTCATCGTCTTGAGTTACTTTATTCCGGTCATCTAAAATTACATAACGGAAAACCGAGCAGCGCGCAAAGTGGAAAATAACGTTTGGCAATCAACAGTGCAACCAGTAAACGAGTAATCCTTCTCCGCAAAACCGAGACAGACTCGGCGCATCCGCAATGAGGATTAATTAACACCATACCTACTCCCGCTGTCATATACTCACTGTAAACTTTTAATTGACTGAGGTCCTGCGCGGCATTGCTCGTCAGTTTCTGTTGCTTCGGTGGCTGCTGCTGCTGTTGCTGCTGTTGCTGCTGCTGCTGCTGTTGAGTGCGAGCAGGTGGCATGAGACGAGGCCGTTTGAGTGGTGGTGCCAGGCGAGGCGGGAACGCCGTGGAAGCACAGTAACTGCAAGTATTTCGTCTTTAGTTGCAATACGACAAATCGTTATGGTTCGCGTTGTCGAATGGATTAGTTAACTAAACCACTCATTTTTTTTTCTTCCCTCTGTATTTGAACATTGTACGCGAGAGGCAACGTAACTATAACTATTTGCCTTAGAATAGCTGTGGATTAATGATTTATCGAATACGTTAGCTGTATATTTCTCTTGAGTAATTGAAACCCGTGATAATGGATTGGCATTCGCATAGCGAAAGATTAATGGTAACTTGCTGAAATGTTTCACTCGAGGCGTATCATATAAATAACCAACCTAACATTTACCAACAATCTTCTTGCGATAAATATGTACTTTCGCCGAGACAGCCCGTTCGAGCATAAGCGCGCTTGGCTTATTCCGTTGATTGCTGCGATTAGTCGCCTACCAAATTTATGCGCATTGGCTCGCCGCAACGCGAAACCACTCGCGGAATGCGTTAAGCGAGATCATAGTATGACGTGACACGTTTTTTGTCTACAGTCTACTTTATACGCGCTGACTTTCGGGACATTTAATTCTCGATAATGATGCATTTTTGGAATATACGAGTGTAGTAAGTAGTACTACTATCGCTTTAGTCAGACTTTTTTTTAAACTGTGATATTTAAAATGCCTAATGTAAGTAATTACCGTCTCCTATGAAGTTTTTATTCAAAAGTGGATCATTCGAGTGACAAATTGATCATTCCAAACACTATTAAAGTAATTTACACTCTCGCTGGGTTGAAATACTTTGTTGGGGTAGCTTAATTTGAATAGTCTGTCTTAGTTAATGGAAGTAAAAGTAAACATTAAAAAAAGTTCGCAAGCTTATAGAAACGTATCTAGCCATAACAAGTTGAAAGATATCGCTGAGTTACTCCTCTGGATAATGGATCGCGGGGACTTTTATTTAAAAGCGAATAGAAGTTCTGCATAGAAAGAGAGAGAGAGAGAGAGAGGGAGAGAGGCGAGAAAGGGGAAGAAGAAGCATATACGCACGCGCGAATGGATAAATACTCCCTTCTTTTTCTTTCTCTCTACGTTTTACGGCCTCGTGCTGACGTGCTGTCACCTCGTTGTTTTCCATTTTCACTGCCACTCCCCTTACTCACTAAAACTTCCCACTCTCTCTCTCTCTCTCTCTCTCTCTCTTTCTCTTTGCACGCTCATTCGCCCGCTTTTGTTTTGCCCACGCGATCGAACGGAAAATTATTGGTTGCGTTCCGGCTTTACTTTTTAGTCAGGGAACATTCTCGAGCCCCCCTCATGCTGTCGAATTTAGTAAGATTGTTTAACGAAGTTAGCGACGTTAAGACAGACAGAATACAAGAGTCCTCTGGACACATTTCAGTTTCTGTTGGCCATCCTTCAGAAAGTGGCCAGAGTATAGAATAATCGGCCGATTGAAATATTTACGATGTAAACGAATTATATTTGTGACAACGGACGGTATTCTCGACTTCACGTCGTCCTTGAGTTTGGAATTAATTACGAGCAAAGTTACACCAGCGTCGTATCGAAACTCACCAATATATAGGTGTAATAACTTTGTTCGTACCATGTAGCTCAAACACAAGAACGAGTTTCGACGGCCGTCGTATTTAATCGAGCACTAGGCATACTACATGTGCAACATCAAAAGGAAATGTACTTTACATTTGTTACGGGCAGCTATAACGCACATATTCAAATCAAATTCTCGTGGCTACAGCGCGCGCCGAGCTGCGAGTCCCCGACGATAGGATCTTGATTCGGAGCATGAAAGTTCGACAATAGCAGAAAAGCAGCGACGTTCTTTCCACGTGGAATCTTTGAGACGAGAGGGCAAGTACTTGATAGAGTCGAGCAGGTGCGAAGCTTTACGACGTTTCAAACAGGTTATGTGTAAATAGTTTGTTTAACAAGAGATTTTTAAGCAATTTTTCGAGTGCACGACAGTATCCATCCCTCAAGCCACGCTGACGAGTGCGACAGAGAAACGAAACTCGAGCAATTTATAGTTTATATGATCTGTATTTAGTGTTTTTTTCGTTAGTGCGTGTTCATTTTTTCCTGTCACTGCCCACACCGAACAACGCCGCGCAAACATTTCCTACTCGCTACATCGTCAACATTTTTCATTTAATTAGAATTTTTTTTTTTTTAAGTGCCGATAATTTTTTGTTTTTTTGAAAAATAAATATCCTAATCCAAATTGTTTTACTTTTATTCTGTATAAATTTGAATAACAAACTTTTTCAAATAAGACAAATTTTTACTAAAATGGAGAAATAATGTCTCAACCTATAAAATTGTTTTCGCTTCTATGTATAAAGAGCAAATTTCGATAGAATATACATATTCAGTTAAGTATAAAACTTTTCCGTTAAAATTATCAATGTTGTAAACACTGCAAAAATAATGGGCAATCTTTCGGTATTTAGCTTCGTCAAACGATAAAATAAAAGACGCCCACTTAGAAAACCTTAACAGCGTAGACAATCGTTTTCCTTCTTCTTCCTTTTGAAATCGAAGGCGACTGAATGGGAGAAAAGATTGTAGCGAAAGAAAAAGTCGATTTCACGCGGGTTAACGGGTCGCAAAGAACAAAAGGGAGGGAGGGTACGAAACGGATTGTAGTGAGGCGTGATTTATAGGAGACACATAATTGTCCCCAATGTCGAATCTTTTGATCCACTTCAATGTGCTTTTTTTTCGAGCAGAACAGTCTGTAGTTAGGTTCCCCTTTCGTTTTCGAATTTCTGAGAGTGTTGAAAATTATTTTTCATCAGTTGGGATACTTCCAATATGCGACGACAAAATCCATTTCATTGAACCGATGTACTTTTACTATTGAAGTAGTTGGAGATTGAACAGTAGTAGTCGTTGATTAGATTACATTTTGATTAGATTGACGAATAATTTCATCAATGTTTCATTCGTAACAACTTTATTGAAAGGCTACTCATTTAATTAACAGATTCTATTACCCCTACTTCTTTTTCAACCGTGCCATGTGTTCTGTTTGATCAATTACTCATTCGAATTAAAACTGGTCAATATAATGAAATGTAAAATTAATGTTCTTATTCCATTCGTCAGAGCAAAATGATAACATTGAAAAATCTATTTTAATATGATGCTACCTAATGAAGCTACGCTTCAACGCAGTGTACTAAAACTTGTACATATTTCTAATAAATTCAATGCACGTGAAGCATATTTTACGAAAAAAAAAATAAAAATAACAATTCAACGTCGCTCGTTTTTCACAGACTCGTCGCGAAGCGTTAATCTTCGACAACGAGGGTTGAGAGAGAGAGAGAGAGAGAGAGAGAGAGAGAGAGAGAGAGAGAGAGAGAGAGAGAGAGAGAGAGAGAGAGAGAGAGAGAGAAGCGCATGCGTTTTACCATTCGTGTCGAAAGAATAAAAGACGCTTACACGTGAGCGCCTCTCCGTTTGTATCGCGAATGACTTTTTACGCGACGATTTCGAAATCGGGACTCAGTACTCGTTAGCGTTGGGGCTTTACGAGGGAAGGAGTAGTGCTTTTTACTCGAAAACTATGTACTTTTGAATCGAATTTCTATGAAAATATCAGATTTATTTTCATTTTTCTTTTCAATGAATGTTTGAATCTGGATATGTATTTCTGATGTAGTTTGTCCATATATATGTTTGAAATACGAGTTTCGTCAACTTTATTTTAAAAATAATTTTGAATCGCTTACTCTGACAATAGATAAACGAGTGTGAAATATGACGAAAAAACGAGCGCGAATTTAATGTTACAACAATGAAATAATTCGCGCGGCGCACTTAGTTTGCAAAGCTTTCGAAAGAATATAAACGTAAATAATTAACTGCAAATCAATTGATGAGCTGAGCTGTACCCCTTAGATACGTTCGCGAGCGAGAGAAAATATAAAAATACCATTCGGCACGTTCGGCATCGATCTTTCGACGGCGGCGAAAGCATTTAGCGCCGTTTCGGGCCAAGAGATGCGACAAAGAGGGAGAAAATCGTGCAAAAAGAGGGGTTCCCAATCGTCCGGATATTAAAACGTACATCATCCGTGCTGTCTTGGCTTGGCCTCCCGCTTTAACTCTTCTCGCGTCGCGCCGGCCGACTACGAAAGCGGAATGCCACACGACGAAAGCGAGAGGTGTGTACGTAAATACGGGCGTTGGTTATTTTCGAGGAAATACAGTTTCTTCTTTTCTTCGCGTGCGCCCACTTTCAATTGACGAGCATTGGTTTCACCTTGGGGCGATAAGTCACGAAATTTGATCGAGCAACGCTCATCGAAACATTTCTGACTCAGAGTCCATCTGCCGACGAAGGAAAATTCCCAAAACAAGACAACAGAAAATTAAGCTCGCCGTCGAACCGAGAGGGTAAAAGAAAATGAATTAACCGGGAGATCCATCGCGACGAAGTATACAAGGGCGAACAGCGAAGGAGAATGGAAGCGCTCGGCAACAAGACAAATTAAAGCCGCATGCGGCATCTCCGCGCGCGCGGGCTCATTAGATCCAATTACCGCGGCGAACGAACGCAAAGATAACGAAGCGCGCGGAGCGAGGGAAGAAAAACAGCGGAATGTGGAAATTGGGGGAGGCGACACGTCGCGCTCGCTAATTACTGGTTATCAGTGCAGCAATCAGTCGGCAGGATATTCGTCCGCTCGACAAAGTAATTGCCCGGCGAGCGGGCGTCTGAATGCCCGGCGCGCTGCAAAACAATGGCCGAGGGTGGGATTCGACGCGGCCGACTAGACTCTCGTTTTTTTTTTCTTTTTCTTTCTTTCGGGGCCATTTCGCGCCGCTCGCGATTCGATCTCGGTGTACGGTGCCTGGCGCGCTTGCTCACGGTAACTCGCGTTCGCTATTTCGGCAGCACTTTAATCGCCGATCCACGCGAAAGCCTAAATTAGCGCGCGACGAGAATTCGCGCCGACAATTTTTGCCCGCCCGACGGACGGATCGTTTAGCAATTAATATC